CTCAGTAGGGCCCGAGGTACCCATGGTATAGGATTTTCCGGCACCGGATTGACCGTAGGCAAGAAGGGAAACATTGTATCCCTGGACGAACGAGCTTACGCTGTCATTCAGATATTCCCAAACACCATCTTGGTCAACGGTTTCAGGGAATACGCGATCGAAAACGAAGAGCTTGCGGCCTTGCGGCACATCGACGGCCAAACTGGTCGGGGCCGTGACGTGAACCATAGAGCGTTGGAATCGTTGCGGAATCAATTCGTATCCGGGATCGGTGGGTTTCAGAGGAGGTCGCACTCGAACAGCTAAGATACCGGGAATGTTAGCGATTTATTCTCCGCGTACATTCCATTATTTCCATCCGTTGGGGGTGGGGACTATTCAATGCGATGCGCGCGCATCACACCTTGAAAAAGAGACCACGTACCGACTTTGACGGCAGTCTTGCCATCTTCGTCCGATGCCCGGCTTCCACCTTGTCGACTACTCATACTCATGCGACTATTGCTGCGCGGCGTACGCATCACCGCGCTGATGGGCCGCGGGGGGGTTCCCCGTTGGTGAGGCTGGCGGTGAGGCCGTCATCGCCCTTGTCGAAACCACGTTGCGTGGGGAGAAAAGGGGGAGAGGACTGTAGAAATTATCCGAGTGAAGGGTTTGCGATCATGAGGCGTGAACAAGATCAAGGTGTGGTCTAAATTGTGGAGGTCGCGATTGTTAGTAACCCCTTTTAATTTTTGGTGAGGGCCCGCGGTAATTGGGAAAGTCAATCGGTCGGGCAACGATAAAAGTGCAGGAGTTGCGGGCGCATTGAAACACGAGATTGAGGCGACGCACCTGAAGAGATCAGACAGTGTACCCCCCCAACACAATATCTTGAATAACCCCTGGAGGAGAAGGGGGATCAAGGGTGTAAAAGGCACAACGTCTGGAGAAGACCGTGCACGAACTAATCTGCAGGCGGTTTAGCCCCGATTAAGATGAAGGAGGATTCGGTGTGTTGCTCTGTTTTTTGGTGGAGACCAGGCAAGCGAGGCCTTGCAGATGCGGTCAGGGGCGACCAAGTAGACAAGTAGACAAGTAGACCAAGCTGGGCGTGGTAGTGGTAGTGTGTATTGTGGAAGTGAAGTTCCAGAGTGGTCAAGATAGCCAAGATAGTCAAGATCACAAAGAGTAGTCGTACCTTCCTCCTCCGCCGTACCTGCCGCAGTTCAACCATGGATTTCTTTCTTTTCTTTTCTTTCCCCGGCGGAGTACCACGTTGTCTTCTCCACTTCACCTCTTCTCGACCTATACAGAGTACTACTCCAGTTGACACATTGCCTTTTTAACTCTACTCCTGATCACTCCTACTGCCCATTGCCTACACCTTGTACACTCCGTACCGACCTCGGTCTAGCCTCAGGGGCTGTTCGTTTCAAATGCACGTTTAGGTTATCACCCTGATGGGGCTGCCCGGGATGAACCCCCCCAATTTCTACCTGTCCACGTTCGAGGGATTTTCGATCTTCTCATTTTAATTTGATTTGGCTCGGCTGCCCAGGCGCGCAGCCATCCGGACTTGGATTCTGTCGATCGCTTCCCTCTCTCTACTCTGATGGAGACTCGAAGTCAAGGAGACGGGCCAGTCAGACCAATACGGCAATTTCTCCTGTCATCTGGCTCCACCGTCCAGACCAAGCTCGACACGCAATGTGGGCGGCCCAGCTGAGCCGACCCGCCATTTCAATGGGGAGATTCATATCAGAGAAATTTCATGGAGAACGAGACCAAGACCAAGACCGGCGCCCAACAGGGTTTTTACGAGTAGAGTAGAGTAGCCTCTGCATAACGTACAGAGTACTCGTAGCAATGAGAGAGAGTCTTCCGTATTGCGTTTTGGTCGCTCTCAATTCCCTTGTCGATCTCTTAGCAGCCACTTCACCCTTCACATGGTCCATTCCCAAAATTGAGCGTACTCGTACTATGTACCACCCATTCCGATCCCATCAGCTCCAGACTGTTCGGCGCCATGCAAGCCTCGCCCGACGGGGCTCCCAGTCCAGACCAAGAAAGCTCGTACTAGTTCGAGGCTGGCTGGCGCATGATCGACAGGTTCGTGATTAAAAACGGCTGTCTCGACGCCGCCCCCGCGGGCATCATGAAACAACGATGCACGGAGTATGGATCCTGGAGCTTGGGTCAAATCAAACTCTAACCATATCCATGAGCCTTGTACATATGTATGCTCCAACTCTATCGGTCTCCTATTCGGCTTCTGTCAAACCATAGCGGTACCACGAGATGAAGGATCTAACGGCGTCCAACTTGGCTCCACCTCATTATCAGCTAACATCCACAAAAACATCTGACCATCCGTGCTTCGTTTTATGGTGGCATAAGCAGATATTCCCGCACACTCGGCACCATATTAAACCTTGTCCATGGACCTGATACTAATGTTGCCTGCCATCGATGTCTAACCATCCATTGGAGAACCGTGTAGAAGAGAAGGCCTTCAAAGATACTCGTACTCGTACTCACAGCCAGTCCTCACAGCATAAAGAATCACGGCGGTCATAATCTAACGTCTCAGTTACTCCGTAGGCGTTCGTGCGGACACTGGCCGGCAAGACCGGATCCTCGCCGCTCCGCAATGACCAGCGGCCCGCCGATTCTCAGCTCGGGAAGAAAGCTGGCCTCGAACCGTGGTGTTTCAGATGCCGAATATCATCCATTTAGTTCCATATAAAATTCTCGATCGCGGCAGTCTAGTCCCTGCCATGCCCTGGCGCAACCAAGTTCTCTTGTCAAGGGACCCACTTTGGCAGGTTGACACGCGGTTGGCATTTGACGTCAACCGTTGGATGCAAGCGGGTGAGCATCCTAAATAGGTGGTTTGTTTGTTTGTTTACCATGAAGAGGCAGTTTCTGTATGGGTATCGGGGAATAGATATATTGACCAATATGGGAGGATATAGAGAAGTATAGACTCTCGGGGTGCTTGTCGAGAATGCATTGGCATTGCATTAGCAAACTTTGAAACTCTCGGCCTCCTACGTCGACCAGTATATAAGTTCGTTTTAATCGCATCGTCAACATGATATTCATAGTGATGAGAGTGCAGGAAAATGGCCAGAGATATACTAGTATTAGTAGAGACTTCAAAGATAAGTCACATTGCGGCCTTGTGGCCTGAATTTTCAGCCAACCTTGGAACTGAACCGCCACCACTGCATACTAAGAACATAACCGCACCTCGGGACATTTAGATCTCTAGATTTATGGCCCTATATCATATGCAGAAACAGTCATGCGCAGGCACTAACAATATCCAAGCTGACCTTCGGCCCATGAGCCGACTAGCCCCCGGGTCGCCGCCACAATGATTTCCAAGAACGCCCCCACCAAATATAGTTCAGCAACCGATGCGACCCATCAGGCAAAGGCGCATATAAATGCGCCCCTTCCAAGCCCAATCCACTCTTGCGCCCCCTCGCAATTCTTCATGCCCGATGCCACTGCTAATGCGTCATCCTACTACTCATGTGGGCTGGAGCAAGGTTGGATCAAGGCCGGACTCCGAAGCAAGGGGGAGCGCCGTTAGCTTTTGTGATGCACCCGAATTATCGGGATTACCGGCTTGAAGATATCCCTAGACGATGAACCTTAACTCTATCACTCGGCTATAATCACCTGCAAGGTATTACTGCCAGTGCCAGGCAGGTCTTGGAAGAAGTTCCGAGGCATGTAATAGAGACAAGAAGGGAGTCGTGAACCTGACGGGAATTATATCCTTGAATAATGAGAATGAGCAGATTATTCGAGATGTGAGGGACTCGAAAGCGCTGCTGGTATATTGAACACTCAGGCTATCGCAACCAATGGAGTCACCACTGGCAGTGCGCATCCAACTTCGCTAAGTTAATTCATAGCCTATGATTACAGGCCTAGAGCTAGGGCTTTTGCAGTCCTACTGGTGAACGTGGTCGTCGTCGAAAAAGAATATTATTCGATTGTCGTCTCATCTTCATGCCTCAATAACTGATCCAAGGACCTGACCTCATTGTGAGAAGACATTTTTATTATAGATATTAAATCTTAACACACATATCATCTATTCTCTCATGAAGCTCCACCTTGTCTAGCAGCTTCAGAACACCGTGACACACTATCGGGGTATCTTGCCTGTAAGTTACTCCGATACCAGTAGTGCTCAAGTCTGTGCTTTCAGTGTTTTGCCATACAGCCCTCTGATGTTACTATTGCCTAGTAGATGGTAGTATTATCCAAGTTAGAAAGCTGCTCCGATAAATTATTGGAACCTTCCTTGTCCTCAATACTACTATAGGGTCCACGGGTGTTCCCAAGTTCTAGCCCGAGATATGTGTACTACTAGTTCTAGAAGTAGTTATGATATACTAGTACGACTTCTCGAAACCGTCCACTGGCAGTCCAGTAAGGCTAGTAAAGACATGGGTTCAATTGTAAAAATTTGCGTTCTTTACAAAGCCGAATTTGCTATACCGAGATCCCATTAATAGTTAAATAGAAAGCCCCTCATGCTCATGACGTTCAAGTTCTAGCAGGTATTCCTCTGCGTCCTTGCGCGTGATACACTCTTGCCTTTTAGTTGACGACAGTGCCTTTCGTAACAGGTTCTATAGCTGGTTTAGCTCGATACCGAACATTAGCCTGTGTAGGGTATATCCTGTAGAGATATTGACCGAGCTGTTCAACGCGGCCTATATCGGTGGTAATACTTGGTCCCACTGTCCGTCCGGATTCATGATACACCAATGTCGGATCCACAACTGCGCTGTCATATTGGTACGCTCTGACTGTTCGTCAGTCTGAGGATGGTACGCGGCGGAGTAGCGTAATTTAGAACCTAGCGACTCGAAAAAGCGACGCCAGAATCCCTGCACGAAGAGCGGGTCTCTGTCCGAAATCCAGATCACTGGGATACCCCAGTCACCCGTTTCTAGCCGTGCCAGAATTCGGTCCGCCCACTGCCAACCCTTCTACGTCGACTTGCCGGGTTCTGCTGTGACCCTCTTGGTGAATTTGTAGGTAATAGTTGTCATTGCGTCAAATCCGGTCGTTGTCAGTGGAAGTCCGACTACAAAGTCGATTGTCACTGTGTGGAAGGGGATTGGTGGCGAGAGAATAGGGTTGAGCGTTCCGTAAGGTAGGTGGCGTTGGATATTATTCTTACGACATTGGCCGCAAGTTGCTATGTGCCGCTTGAGCTTGCTGTGTCCCTTGTATACGACCAGTCCGTGTATCCTTGTCCAGCATCTGTCCAGCCCCTGGTGTCCCTGTTCGTCATGGACCATCTCGAAAACCTTAGTTGCCACGACATCAGGTATGTATAGCCACTGATCATTATCTTCCTGTTGTACTGAGTACAAGAGGCTATCTCGTATAACGTAGGGGAGCTTCGTACCATCGGCCGGGGTCTCCTCGATGCGTTGTATCTCAGCGATAACCATTGACCATCTTGGGTCATCCGGGTACGCTGCTTTCAGACGGGTTTGAAAGTCGTCGCTTATCTCAACAGTAGATGTAACGAACACCATTGTATCTGCATCAATGTCAGCGAAATAGGTATGCAACGCATCTAAGTCATTATCATCCGTAGTTGGGTCAGTGGCCGGCAGGCGTAACAGACCGTCTGCAATCTTGTTTGTCAATCCTGCGCGATGGTACACACGGATATGGAATTGCTGTAAGTATTGTGATCCTCGGACCAGACGCAGATTAAGCCTGTCCGGTGATGCTGTCGATAGTGATGTTGCGAGGTAGATTAACGCGATGTGGTCAGTATAGAAGATGGGAGGTGCTTCAGCAGCTTCGATCCACGCTCGTAATTTACGCACCGTCCACACCATACAAGAGAACTCAAGCTCTGTGCTGTAATAGTTCTTCTCCGCTGGCGTAAGCACTCGGCTTAGGAAGATTGGGGGGGCGGGCTTCAGACGAGCGATTCAATTAAAATTCTTAGCTAAAGATACTGAAGATACAGAAAAGGGTTAACGACTCTTACGGAATGTATAGGCCCTGGGCGCTTTAACCTGAAGTACATGTGAAATTTTAAAGGGGGATTATTTGCCCTTGCATGTCGACATACTCACTCGCAGTTATCTCGCCCCAGAATTGTTCTGGAATCTCTTGGCCCTTTGCAATAATGACACTCCTAGGTGTCAGCTGAATGTTCAGTCGATTAATACATGAACTTTGGCCGAAAATAATCCCAACAAATCCATTAGGCAGATGGGATGCTGGTATGATCGAGACTACAGTTATATTGATAATAGGGCGATTTGAGAGAGCGACACGAGCTTCAACTTGACATACCACGCCATTGCTTGACCGATACGGATCATGGATCGGGTCCCGCAGATACTGCCGGAAATTGTCTGGTAACAGTTCCTCTGCTACCGTGGTGTAGCTCGCCCCCGTATCGAAAATCATTTGTGCCTCGACCTCGCACGTAGCATCACCAATGTCTCCATCTAGTGCCTGTAGAGAAAAGGCGCCACGCACGGTAGGAATGTGGCTGTCTGTTAAGTTGGCTTGCAGTCGTAAGAAGGGCTCGCGAAAGTCTTCCCGTGCGATTTGGCGGGCCATGTTGCGGAGGAGCTGACGAGTCTCTTCCGTCGGAGGCCGTTGGCGCGGTAAAGACTGAAGGTCGATGCTCGACTTGATAGGGAGGCCGACACCCCGTTCTAGTGGCGAGTCAGACGGCGGGGATTTTTGAGCTTCTTGCCGGAGTTGTCGTCGTTGACTTCCGGGTCCCGGGGGAAATACGAGGAACTCTTCATCGAGGTTCCCCAGTGACGCTTCGACGGCCTTGATGGCCTCTCGCCAAGTTGTTCGGAACGGGATAGTTGTTTGGATGTTAAGGCGCGATCGGTTCATTGCCACGGCGATTTCGCGGAGGAGGTCTTGGGGGGGGGAGCGTGACGTCTGATTGCACTTCCATCGTGTTTGTTTGAGTTGAAATTCTGATGGGGTTTCATGAGTAGCTCTCAGGCTGGTTAAGGACTCGGGGCATCTTACCGCTTGATGACTCCGTTCGGGAGATTTTCTTGGATTTGCTGCGGCTTCTCGGCTTCGGCGAGGAGACGACGTCGTTTTCTTCTCGACTGCGATAGCCGCAGCCCCGTATAACTGGCGTCTTTTACCGACTTTCATGGTGAGCTGACGTCAGATGTTTGGCCTGCGAGGGGAAACAACGTAGAGCAATGCATACCTGTGGTGGAGATCTTGCTAAAAAGTACATACAGTCACCGAATCTGATAAAAAGGAAGTCGCAATCGACTCCCGGAATGGGTCACGTGCTTGTTATCGTTCTAGTCACGTGCATCCAATGTGGGTTTTGCTACGGCCGCTTTGCACAAAGCGAATTGCGAGTTAATTGTGTGTCCGCATTGACCCCCAGTCTTGCATGGTGCCCGACGTAGATTGTCCTACAGATGTATATCGACATAATATCAGCCAGCTGACAGCTATACAACCAAGGCTTGTGATGTTAAGGCAGATCTGACAGTCATATTTTGTCCGTGACCAAGGCTAAATCTTACGCCTCAAGATTTGCTTGTGAGATCCCGGAGGTTTAAATAAACATGTTCTGCTATATGAGTAAGGGCACTGGTACTTATATATAAAGTGGTCAAACATAGCAGAACAGGTCCGGTTCGGGATAAACCAAGATTAATACAGATAGGCAGGGTCGATGTAACCCCTATGGGGGATCTACTGTCTGAAAGACCAGTGTGGAAGAAGATGATCCTATTCTCCCCTCTCCCTAAGGGAGAGATATCTGACTAGTCATGTGTACGGGTAGCTAAGCTATGACAATACCCCCCCCTAATCAATCTCGTGGCATCCTCGCCATCGCTGTAGTCCTGTCCTTCTCTCATAGTCCTTGTCTTCCGGCCCACTCCGTCGCCAGCCTTGCTACTTCTCTCTGCTCCTTCAGTATCTGCTCTCCGGTGCGCGCCATCTCTTGGCTTACGTTGAGTTCAGATATCTCCTGAGCGGTTGCGAGGAGGAAATATACTTGATGGGAGCGTCTGAGAATGTCGATGGGTAACCTGTCTCTCGTGTGCTTATATGTATCCTGAAGGTCTCTGAAACGTTTGTCGTTATTGTCCAGATCCTGGTTGCCAAATATACTCGCTATCTTGTTGTCTAGGTCTCTGATTGGATGTTTTCTGGTGGAAATTTCGGTCTCGGTTGTCCTGGTCTTCTTTGCTTTAGTAGTCTGTTTGGCGGCGGATGTAGGAGATTCCTTAAAAAACTCTTCGAAGGTAAGCTTACTTAGGGGCAGGGGTAAAAACCTTGTAGATCTCTCGGCCTTAGGCTTCTTTGTCTTTGGTGTCCTGGCTGTCTGTGGCGATTGAGGGTGCTTGGTTGCTTGAGCTTCTGATTAAGAGTGCTTGGTCGCTCGAGCTTCTGATTAAGAGTTATTATTGTCTTCGGACGGGGCTCTAGTCCTTTGGGCCTAGATAGAACTTTCTAGGTTTGCTGTAGTAAGTCCTAGGATTACTGGTTTGTCCTAGATATCTTCCTTGGTCCTAATAGTATAGGGTTAGACAGAATATCTGGTATAGTTTATAAAAATACCTTACAACTCCTTCCCTTAAGTAACTAGGTAATAATACTTTATCTTCTGGGTTATAAAGCATCTTGTATTGTAACCCTTATATTCAGAGATCAGAGTTAGGCCTAACTTATCGTTATATATAATAATATAGAATATAGAATAGTTATCTGTTATTTTAATTTTTTTATCCCCTTATATTGGTTTGTCTGCCTATACTGTCCGGATAGTACCTCTATAGTGCTTAATATAGCGGTAATCTGCTATAATAATTCCTAGCTATACAAAGGGACCAAAATAATTTTTCTCACTCCTGTCTACTTTTGGGCTCTATAGACACTAAGGATATTAGTTATTATTATCTATAAGGATAACTCCTTGATAGATAGAGATCTAGGGTATACTGAATGTAATGGTTACTAAGTTGTCAGGCTAGAGACCTGTGACTAGGCAAGGATATCGGACGGTAGAGATCAGATTGGGCAGTCGATACAGAGACTGATTCTTGAGAAGATCAAGAATCCAGAATACTTGTGGGATCTTAAATACATTAGGGTTCGGGTGGATATCGATATGCAGGTGACTCAAAGGGGATTCGTCCATGAATCGGCCTCGAAAGTCCGGGGTATCGTATACTTCGAATCCCGTGACACTGAATACCTATATTACTAGGCCCGGACCTCTGTTCGGCTAATCCGGTCTAAGATTTCTGTTACTGTTAAAGTCTATAGGCTAGAGGGTCTTAAGTTCCCGGACGCTATATCTTAGTATAATATACAAAACTATCTTATCCGTAATTTATATAAAAGGAGGGGGAAGAGCTCTCTCCTACTTATTGTTCTAGTAAACAAAACTTAGCGGCTCTATCTAAACTAATATTTAGGCGGCTGTCGGACGGTCTTTTATATCTTAGTAATACTGTAATACTATAGCTCTTTCCTCTGTTTATTTACAGTAGTAATACTAAGCTGTTCATAATATCTACTGAGCTTATTTATCCCAGTATAATTATATCCCTAGTACTTTCCGTATTATCTGGCTCTCTTCCGGGGTATAGAAGTAATCCTGATTACTAGAGTAGCTTATAATATCCTTTGCCTAGACTAAAGCTAGTATATCCGAAGGTTTAAGAAACTAGCCATCCTATATATCTAAGCCTAAGTCCGAATTTACTATCTTCTTAGGGTCAGACACTGACTATAATATATTCTCTATATTTATTAACTTACTTAGGTTTGCTTTGCTTCTAGATATCACTATATATTTAGGTTATATAAGGGATTAGCGGAAATAGACTAAGGATAGGTTGGTAGTTAACTGTTAACAACTAATAGGGAAGTTAAGGATAGTAGGTTAATAGAAAGTATGTTAGGGATAGTAGGTTAATAGAAAGTAAGAGAAGTAAGAGGGTTGCTAATAGTCAGCCGTTATGAGCTTTCAGATATTACAGTTCAGTTCAGACTTGTCTACATCTGACAGTCTTTAAACTCTTGGATTACTTCTTTGTAGCTGACTGACTGTGTCCTCTATATATACCCACTAGTCCTCGCGGCTAGACTAGCCCTTCTATTAGATCAGGTACTTCGTTATCGAGGCTTACGTCCTGTTATGCTGTAGGCAACCTAGGGCGCTGACTACCTTCTTATCCAGGATATATTCAACGTTGTAACGGTTACTGTCATCCAGGAAATAAGGATCAATAGTCAGTAGGTATACCTTATCTGTTTGCCGGTGCTAGTTATCCTCTGACTAGGGGCATTTCTCTAGGAAGGAGACGCTAAATACTAGATAGACCTACAACCAGTGACTATAGTCAGGTAGTTATAAGCAGTATACAAGGGGTCTGACTCACTTAACTATTTTAAAGCAGCCAGCATACTTTTGACTTAGTTTCGCTAGGATATTTGTCACGGGATTCGAAGTATACGATACCCCGGACTTTCGAGGCCGATTCATGGACGAATCCCCTTTGAGTCACCTGCATATCGATATCCACCCGAACCCTAATGTATTTAAGATCCCACAAGTATTCTGGATTCTTGATCTTCTCAAGAATCAGTCTCTGTATCGACTGCCCAATCTGATCTCTACCGTCCGATATCCTTGCCTAGTCACAGGTCTCTAGCCTGACAACTTAGTAACCATTACAATATTCTTGTTTACTACAATATTGTATATATCCCTAAGTTTGATATAAATCTATTCACTAACCTCAAAAACTACCTTTTAGTGTTGTTAGTTATAGTGGTCCTTTATATATATTACTGTAAATAATAAAGTTTATTCTATATCTGCTCTCTTTGTGAAGAAACAGTTAGTAACATCTGATAGAGCTTAGGGGTATAGAGACTATAGCTATTATAGGTTAATACTGAATAGAAGACGATAGGGGCTGTATCCTGTCAATACGCTTACTGCTAAGTTTATGCCAGCTTATATATAAGGCAGGGCTATATCCTATCGGTAGCTCTCGCTGCAGTAGATAGCGACCTAGTGCTAAAGAGCAATCTTAACCTGCTGATTTATTCTCTCAGACTGTCTGTTAGTCTGTATATAGTAGGATATAGAGTATAGTAGTCAGATAAGTAGGATATAGAAAATAGCTATCTACAATCCTTAGACAAAACGAGGGTTATAATTACTAATGATAGCTGTAGATAGGCCCTAGTCTACAGTCTAGAAGAAGATCAACAAAGGAAGCGCCTAGTCTTCTGTAGACTAGTCCAGTCGTCCTAGTATAAGACCGACCCTTTTTGTAAATTTGTCTATCACTGACATAAATGCGTCAAAACCTGTCAGTGTTTCAGGTAGGCTGGTTACCAGGTCAATGGTAATAGTGTGAAAAGAGATAGGGTGCGGGATAATCGGTTATAAAGAACCGTAAGGTCAGTGGCGTAGTGTGAGGATGCTCAGATACTCACAGAGATTAACGTACGGCGTAGCATACGAAGCAAAGGAAGCAGTAGCGGTTCGACGAAAGTAATAGCTTGAGGAGAATAAGAAGGAAGCTAGGATGGAAGGCTAGGTATACAGGTGTATGGCGTGGATGCCTAGAGTGGTGCCGTAGGCATGAGGCATCCACGAATGGTAACAACACCAGTTCGTTACACACTATATCTGATCTAACCCTTGTTCACTGATAAAGCGAGTACTTTATGCCTATGAAGACCCTGATGCATTTGAAAACTTAGAGGATGAAGTAAATAAGTGAGTTATAATTTATGTTATCGATTTATCTTCTTATATATAGGTACTGATCTTGATGAATTAGGATCATCAAAGAAGCTACTAGTGAAGATGTCTGGCTTATGTTGCCAAATACCTATCCCCCTAAGGGTGTTACTCCGTGAGTATTTGATAAATTATAAGATATTACATCAGTGATTAATTGAACTTTGCAGACTCCTAAGTGAGGAGACTATTGAAGTGTTGAAGACCAAGGGTGGTATTTACGTTCAAGAATTGGATGATGATTAGGGTCATATCTTGTTGGAAACTGGCTCTTATATAAGGAATACTTAGAGAGCTGCTTAGAGGCGTGTTTAGATCTACTTAGTGAGCAAAAGCGGCGCTCACTGAGCACTAAAACAGAAAGGGAAAGCCAAGACCTTATAAGGGAAATCCGGTATGCAGGTAGTTATTTTCGGATAGTAAATATTTTAGTAGCTAAGATGACTACCTGACGACTTGGAGTCTTTGACCCACTTCATACTTGAAACCTCGGTGCGCATTGAATAAGATATGATTTTTGTACAAAGCTTTAGATAAAAAGCAGGCAAATATTTGACATGAATTCGAACAGACTTTACCCATTATTGACCATTCCCTTTTCTTTCCAACCCGCAGATTCATCGGGTATATCCCCAGATAGAGAAGCTAAACTGCTCCCCAAGCCTTTTCATAATTGAAATTCCGTATTCAAGTCGACAGAGGCATGTATTCTAGCCCTTTTGGACTTATTTCTGGCCCTTGCAGGCAGCGTTGTCAGCAGCGCACTGAGCCTCGTTGGGGTCACCGGAGCTGCGGCAGGTGTCGAACTTGTTCTGGCACTGGGTGTTGGTGGTAGCCAGAGCGAGGGCAGCGAAGGCCACGGTGAAGAGGGTGGTGATGCGGACCATTTTGGCTGAGTCGTGGAAGTGTTTGAGAGGAATTGAAGAGAGAAGAAGGATTGAATGATTTGTTCGATTCTCTTTTCCACCAGGATATGGTCCCCTTTTATCTCCTCAGATATCCAGATTTTCCAACATGAGGTACTATCGTACTCTGTGCTAAGCGGTCAGTTGAAGATACGTCGATACGTTGACCATGTGGACCGCCGGACTGTTGGGAGATCGTCCGAAACAGTGTCTTTGGAGAACAAGGCAGTCTAGCGGTGGGCGAAATTGTAGCTAGTCTGAGGAGATCGTCTGAAACACTATCCATTGGAGGAATGGCTTGGACGAAAACAAGCTGGGCATTTAGAGATTTGGCTTGTGGGTCTAAGCTGGACTAAATGTCTTGGTTCAAGATCCGCCGGGGAACCCAGGAGTAACATCACACACCTGGGTACCTAGAGGAGGGTAGCCTAATTCTTGCCAAAAGGTGAGTGTGGTTCTCAAAAAATGAGTCGGCCGAGGGATTTGGTATATAACATGCCTTAGATGGAATTTAACTACCGCAAAACGTACAGGGTGAGCGGAGGAAACAATCAATAATTCGGGTCTGGCTTGATTACCCACTAGTGACGATCAGCGCCCCTTTTTAGAACAGGCATTCGGAAGACATTCGGGACGGAAATAGTGGAGTCTCGGAACCGCAGAGAAGCATTTTGGAGTACTCGTATGGAGAACATCATATGACGACGCAGAAGTTGTCTGGCAGGGCGCGGTGAAGGAGAACTAAGCCTCGCTCTCACAGACACACGGAGTCCGGATACGGAGGACGGAGTGCAGTATCAAATAATATAGCGGATTGTGGGCCTTTCCGATACTTCATGGCCAATGTTTTCGCAAAAGCCCAATTTCGAGGATGACTTGCAAACCCAAATTATCCTGTGGGGAAACTTGAAAGCCCACGGGGTACCCGGTCGTTGAGTTCCATTAGCCCTCAACGGGCTTCAATGGTTAAACCCTCGTGGATGCATCGTAATATGCATATGCATATGCAATTCACTCAGGATAACGTTGGAGATTTACATGTATTTCTAGCTCTATCCAATGAACAAATATATGTACCGCCAAATAGTCGGTAAAGCCTGGGCAATCAAATGGAAAGGTAAATCCCAACCACCCTGGGTAATATCACCGACTAGCGAGATATTTTCAGATCTTCCGTTTGACGAGGCCCTTGAAGAAGTCAAAGCTGTTACTGTCGCTCTGTAACTGCCAGACTCGTCCTGTTGGTCGGTCATTCCACCCCAGCTCCTCTGCAAGCAGCAAACCATAATCTCGGGTAATTCCCTGAATGCGGGCACGAGCACCGCCCTCCTCCTCAAGAGTGACAATCTGATGCATGTGGAGCCAGTCGTCGTAATACAGCTCCTCCATGCCACGGTCAAATCCAGTCCGGAGGAAGCGGGTATAGAGATCTTCAAAGGTTGTCAAAATGCGTGCAAGTAGTTTTTCGAGTGTGATAGGGCATGCAGCGGCAGCCCCAGGCGAAGCGTATTTGGCGGCGAGGGCCGTGAGAGCAGTGGTGGGAGAAGCATTTGCGGCGTTGATGCCAATCCCAACAACAGATATGTATTCGTTTGACATGAAGTGGGAGTTGACAAGGATGCCGCAAATCTTAGTGTATCGTTTCTGTTCGGGGTCCTCCGGATCAAGAGCGTCTGCAAAGTTCATCAGAATTTGGAAAGATAGTTTAGCAGAAGTCGACACTTACAAACGTCATTCGGCCACTTCATTTTGATGGGCAGCTTCTCATAGCCCTTGGCATAACTCTTGATACCTTTCACTACAGCCATGGCTGATAGATACTGGATGAACACTACAGGTGCAGATTGAATCTTTTCCATCGGATGCTTCACCACTGTCGAGAAAAGCAATGATCCAGCTGGAGAGATCCAAACATGGGATCCGCGTCCTCGTCCAGCAACTTGGACCGTCGCAGTGGCGGTGAAGCCCTGTGGTAGAAGACGCAAAAGTTTTGTGTTTCTAGAAAATGTTAACGACTCTCAAAGACAGATTATTGCCAAACCACCTACTTTTCGAGGATTGTGTTGGTGCTTGTCACAACCTCGCCATACATGAGGTTTGACCCGAATTCCGATGCACCTCCCCGAGACTCGGACTGATATTGGCGAAGGTTTGAGTAAAATGCATGGTGGTTGAAGTAAGGGGTAAGCTTCGAAGATGGTAGCTCATCGTGAATCACGAGTCGCTTGGTAACGGTCTGGTAATCAACAATGCCGTCGCCATCAGTGGGGAGTGCCTCCTCCAGATCGCTCAGTTTCCAGGCACCCGGACGCTCAATTCGGAATGTATCGTTCTCATCTTTTAGATATTCGTTGTCATTTTCGTTTGTTAGCGATGGGGCCAGCGATGACAATATTTCCAACGTCACCTCGGCATCTAAACCAGAAACGTGCAAGGATGATAGAGAAGGCACTGAGGTGTCTTGTGCAACTTGCAGGCCAAGCTTGAGCAGGCAAGCTTTCAAAAACTCCGTACGTTCCTTATCATCAGCAGCAATGGCATCCACAACATCTTTATAGCCAGGCCCGCCTTCATTTGGATTGAGATTGACTGCGGCGAATCTAGAAAAGCGGGTTAGCCAATGATACTCCATTGACGATAATGATCTAGTCGCATACTCCGGGTGAGGTCCTGTCAAAATAGCCGCACCATCCCCAACCTTACAGTATACAACAGCAGCTGCGCCTTCTCCGGGGTCAACATTGAGCTTTTCGGAGTAATTGGCTAGCACCTCTACCCCTTGATCCTTGAACTTCGGCGCATCCACAAAGACTCCGCCGCCATTGTAGTATGATCTGAAATTGGTAGGTGCTGTGCCAACACTCAATGCCTCCTTTGAAACATCCAGTCCAGCCGCCCTGGCACCATTTTCGCTATGATAAACGAAGCCCGGGAACGCCCCGCCACGACAAGTGCCAGGGTAGAATGCCAATTCACGCTCTCCAATGACTTCCATTGTCTTATCCCCGACCTCGAACTCGCATTTTTGGCAACCATAGTAGCCACCCGCGCACAAGCCCAAGTAGCGGCCCCCGCGACGCACGAACTGTGTGATGCGCCGGTTCCCCGCACCATTGAGCGTGCGGCCGTAGCCTAGATCTGCGCCGCCGGGGATTACCAAGAGAGCGCAAGTTGCTGTCCATGGCTCGTTGAGAAGCATCTCCCCCGTGACTGGAGTGACTGCATAGTGGGAAGCGAGTAAGCGGCGTAGGGTGTAGACGCAGTGACGGACTGAGTCAACGGTCGTTCCGGTTCCTATTGTACCGCTGTCGGTGAGCAAGCGGCTGAGTTGATGGGCTGAGTAATTGAGCGCACCGGAATAGACCAAGACATTGAGTCTCTTAGCAGTCAGATTGGCATTATTGCCTGTTGGCGCGGCCATTATTGATTGCCGATGATTGTTGGGAATTGGAGAATTGCGGGCTCGGACGATAAGATAGCCATGAGATCTCCGATGCCAACCGCCTTGCGGACTGAGATTCCTCATCTTCCACCATCTCATACTTCCAACCATGTCAAACAACGCAGATCAACCTCATACCGAAGTGGATGATGATGACGAGCCCGATGAATGGTAATTTACTTCCCAATGGTCTGTCGCGCAGCGGAACGGTGCTTACCACGCAACAACAGGGACAAGCGCATCTTCAGCACTGGCTGCCACGGTGAGTTATTTTATGCATTCAACTTGGTCTATAAATCATACACTGAATGGGGCTTTTGAAAATAGCCGAACAAGATAAGATGAACGACTGCTACTTTGCCAAGAAAGATTGGCGTGAGTGCAAAGAAGAGGTGAGCTAAAACCCGTCATATAAGGCCTTTTATGGTCTCTTCTATACTACCTGATATGCTCCCATCTGGGCCAACTGCTATTGCCTCTGGTTAAATAATTTATATCACCTCGCTTCTATATCTTAATTACTAACATTGATTGCAGATGGAAGCCTTCCGCGAATGCTGGAAGCAGAATGGCAACGACCAGCGAACGGAGACCAAGGACGCATGAGATGCAGCAAATGGCACTCAGATCTGTCTACCTATGAACCAATTTATCTAGCACACTCAATGTACAATACCATCTCATCTCCCAGATTCCCAACGCCCACTTGTACCAGTAGTAGCAGCCACTTTCTCGCCTTCATAAAGCTATCACGTGATCGTCCGATATCAGTCAACAGCGTCGGGGGCAGCTCCATCACAGCATCCCACTGCTCGCTAACCTTCAAGAACCCCCTCACCCTACCTCAACCCACCATGTCAGCTTTACGTTGCCGTCCCTGGAGGGCATTGGAGTCTCTCCAGCATGTGACACCCTCATCGCGAACAGGCATCACCTCGCGCCAACTCCGCAACCAAATGACCGCGCGCGCAATCAGCTCCAGTGCACCCCGAGTCCAGAACAGCTCCAGCAACACCACTACAGCCGCCACACCCCAATCAACCACTACTTCAACCTCGCAGCCTTCTTCCCAAGCTCCCCCTCCTCCTCGATTCACCGCGCCAACCCCCAACAGACCCACAACGGATAACATCTCGAAAAGCGGACTCTCAGACAAACCCCTCGAGCTCGAGTCCGCACCAGAAGAGAAGATAGACTGGACCCGCTCCTTCCACGGCCTATCCGCCGAACCATTCCCCAAAGAAGCAGCCGACATCCTCCTCGCCGAGACAGACCCCGAAGAAGTCGAGATCAAGCCCGATGGAATCCTCTACCTACCCGAAATCAAGTACCGACGCATTCTAAACCGCGCCTTTGGACCCGGTGGCTGGGGTCTTGTACCTCGGAGCGAGAGTATCGTTACGCCTAGGGCAGTGACGAGAGAATACGCTCTTGTCTGTAATGGACGGTAAGCAATAAGCAATTAATCCCGAGGTGTCCCTCCCTCCCTACCATACATGGGTAAGCTAATGAATGAATGATGTTAGCCTCGTCTCCGTTGCTCGCGGCGAACAAGACTATTTCTCACCTGATGGTATTCCCACCGCGACAGAGGGCTGTCGATCCAATGCCCTTGTGCGCTGCTGTAAGGATCTCGGCATCGCTAGCGAGCTCTGGGATCCGCGGTGGATCCGCAAGTACAAGGCGCAGCATGTGCGGGAAGTTTTCGTTGAGCACATTGTTAACAAGAAGAAGTCGAAGATTTGGGTTAGGAAGGGTGATCCTGTCTCGTATCCTTGGAAGGAGTCTGGCAGATAGAGGGAAGAGATTCCGAGTAGAAAGATATGCGATATATTCCGACTGCCCCAGGGTGAAGTGAAGTCTGACTCGGATCTTTCGTTTACTTGCGGGGACTTAATGGTCCTTTTTCCTCTTTAGAGATTTGGTTTTCTTTTCAAGTTCTCTTTCGTGTATTATATTGTGGTTGTATGAGTGAAATAATATGATAGCCTCCCTACTTCAATCTACAGTATAGGTATGCTAGCGAACTTGAATCTTAATTCAGGAGAATGAAGCTACTATGTATGCCAGGGCTGTGCAAGACTCGGAGCGAGGGAGCAGCTACTAGCTATGCTTTCGATAAACCGCGACTACCTGGGCAACTTGAAGTTAACTATGTACTATGCGACAAAGTTACTTCAAGTTTGATAGAGGGAGTAAAATGAATAATAATCAGCCCTGTTAAGGGCCTGTATTGAGATCAATATCTAGATCAAGCAGCGCATGGCTCATATCATACAATAAACCGGGGAAATTTTGGCACGGACAAAAAAAAAGAACAGTCCATGCGAAAGAAGAAATGAGAAGGAAATGAAGAAGAAAAGAGAGGGAGAAAAGAGTAAAAACAATCGCTATGAATGACCATCTCACGCCTCATGCTCTCCACGAGACTTATCCTGCTTACCACGTCTCATCCTCTCAATGAGCGAGTTGCGACGTGCTGGATCAGTCTCGCCAGGATGAGGCGAGTAAACAGATGGCGGCGAGACAGGATCATATCGGTCCATCTCGTAGTGCTGGCTAGGAGGCCGCTCATGCGCATGCTGCTCGGAGCTCACACCACGGATGGAGACGGGGTCGAAGGGGTTCTCTTGGGTGTTGTAGTAGGTTGAGGTGTACTCCGGAGAGCCGATGATGTTGCCATGTTGGGGCTCGTAACGGGCACTGCCACGGGAACCTGGGGGTGCGGGAGCTCCGAGGATGGGAACCTCGCTAGTTGACGGGGTCATTCCTGCGCGGACGGGGGAGAGAGGGCGAGGGACATCGCCGTCCTCTCCGTGGTAGGAGACGTGGGCACCAGCCTTGCGATGGCCAGTGGAGAGGCCGCGTTGCATGGCGCTACCGTCCTTGACGCTCAGAGAATGGCTTTGGTTGGAAGCGTTTGTTGCTGTGCGGTAGAGGCCTGCGTTGGCATGAAGGCCGTCGTCACGGGCGACATCGACAGCTGGGGAACGCAGGTTGAGGCGATCGGCGATGGCGGCTTCGCTGGCTTGAGAGCCACGCTTGGTGACGGTGCCGGAGGATCGCTTCTGGTCGAAGCCGGATGTTTGAGCGGTGTTTGGAGACAGGGTCTCGCCAGCGGCGAAGCCGGCAGCAGGGGCCAATCCTGCGTCCTGGCCGGACTTGCGGTTACCGGTGTTGGAGGCAGCATCGTCGTCATCCTTGTCCTCACCATCTTCCTTGGCCTCTTCCTCGATGGCGACGCCAGGGGCGCGAACAGGGATCTTGCGGACCGCGAGAACCAGAGCACACATGAACTTAGAGCGGCGGGCACCACGGATAGTTTCGTTGGACCAGTTTGACTTGTGACGGATATCGACGCGCAGCTCGAGCTTATCCATATCACCAACACCAACAATCTCGATATCAATGTCAGGCTGGAAATCGCGGCAGTTGTCCTTGTCACGGACGAAGGCTTCCATCTCCTCGCGAAGGAACTGAACATCGGCAAATGAAGTATCGAATGCAACAGGTACGGTGAGTTGTTCATGCATGGCATTGGCACGAGTGAAGTTGTCCACCCACAGACTGTTAAGAATGTTGTTGGGCACCTGGGTGATGCGGTGGTCGGTCACACTGCGGAGGACACTGAAAAGAAGCGAGATACGCTCAACAACGAAGGGCTTGTCGCTGACTTCAATACGATCACCAATGTCGAAAGGATGCTTGACAAACAAGAAAATGCAGGATCCCAGAACCTCCTGCGCGGTGGTCGCGAAAACGAAACTCAGAGACAGAAGTGAGGTAGCACCGGCGGCGATAACAGTTCCGAAACCAGTGGTAACGAAAGAGATGAAGACCAGAATACCGACCACGGAGGCAACAGTGAGGAGCAAGTTGTCAAGAACACGAATGGCCTGGTCGACATCGTGCATGCTGTTGTTCAGAGACTTGCGGTTACGACCGAACTCGGTGATGGTAAGGATCATTTCGTCCAAGCTGATATCTCCATTTCCATCCTTATCCAGAGCGCCGAAGCACTCCTCGGCTTCAGCTTCGTGGTCACTTCCTAGAACCTCAATGAGATCGTCAATGTACAATGCGTCACGGCCTTCGACGACGAAAGACATCCAGATGCGACGAGCCAGCGCCGCAGCACAACGCTTACGCTCAACAGCCTGAACAACAATGGAGTGAGTGGCAGTTGGGTTAAACACTTTTTTGCCGGTAAGTTCAGAGGCGACGTTTCCGAAGGCTGTAGTAACCTTATCACCAACACGGCCGACGTTGTGACCGACTTGACGACCGACCTCGCGAATCATACGCAACGGCATCACCGAACTCCGCTTCTTTTTATCCTTGGCATCTTGGGCAAGCAGCGAGTCAAAGATCAAGTCATCCTCATCGCGGAACTCGGGGCAGTAGACAGGGAACATGTTGCGGGAGGCCTCGAACAAGAGACCAACCAGGTAAAGGTTGTGTTTGGATTGCTTGATCTTGGCATCGAATTGCTTGCGGTGGTAACTGATCGAGATGAGTTGAACAAGGGCCTTCTCAGCGAGGAAGATCAAACTGCAGACGAGCAGGGCGAACAGGATGTTCTTGACACTCTTCTCCCAGGCAGAGACACCGCTGTTATTGTCTGCACCGTATCGCATAATCTGAGGTGGCAATAAGGTTAGTTGCTGTCTTTAGGCCACCCGTAGAGTGCAAGGATTCAATACATACCGGTAGAAACGTGACGAGCGAGATCACACACCAAAGCACAATAGTAATTGGAGTTTCCAGAGCACGCAGGATGAGAGCATACTTGCGCGTACCCGAGCTAACAAAACCACACAGAGTCTGGAAGACATAAGGAATGAACTTGGCGAAGATCTTGCATCCCCACAAGCTGACCCAGACAACCTCAATCCAAGTAAAGAACCAGTAGAGATGAACGCCGCCAATGTAAGCGTCCTGCGCAACAGTGGCACCAACAATAATGGGAATCGCAAGGAGAGCACCGATAGGGAAAACGTAGATCATATAACGAGTGACGATCGAGAAATTGTAGATGGCCTGGTAGATGCGGCCTAAACGATTGACTTTGCCATCCTCCGGGGAGACGGCAGGCTTATGAGAGGCATCATTGATATCCGTATCGACACGACGGCGACGACCAGGGCCGCTGCCATCTGGCAGACCACCCTTCTCACCATCACCAGGCTGCTCAACAGCCTCGGCATTGGACCTCCATTTGTGAATGCCGTTCTGGCCTCTGGACGGAGCGTCCGTGAGGGGAATATCAATGGTCACGTCGTTAGGGTTCGTCATCCCGTCGTGTGGGAGGTGGTCGGGGATCTGTTCAAACCGGTGTGTCGACAGGCGATTTGCCGCGATGCCTAGCTTGTTCCTCATCTCGGAGAGACGCAAAGAGGGGGGGCACAAACCCTTTTATGGTCCTTTGTAGATCGATGCTAAAGCTGGTTGGTCCGATTCGGGTGTGCTAAGGTGGAGTAGGTGGAAAAAAAAAATTACAACGAGTCGCGTAAGGCCGATGACTTGTCGCTGGGTCCTTTGCGTGTGGCCCCCTCACGCACACGCGCGGACAGGCTCAAAGTACACAAGTACAAGCAGTAGGCGAGACACTTCCGAGTGCCGTTTGATGCGAGTTTCGCTTGGCTTTGAACCCCGGACCAGTGATGGTGGTTGTTCGGGAGTCGATCATCCACACTTTGACCAAGTTGAAGTAAGTGTCGAGTGTGGAGAGGAGAGTGATCGTCGAGAAAGAACGGGGAGTGACAGTGACGGTGACTTTGCGCGGAGAATTACTGTAGTATTTTCTTTCCTTTCAATTTTCGAATTGGATGGAACGAAAAGAGAGAAAGGATGGTAAACAGCAGGACCGCGGGCGTGTTTCACCATTGTTGGGGGGCAAAGGCGCAAAAATGTGAGACAGCCATTCCTCACCGTGGCCCACTGACAGCCGCATTCCAGTGTTCATGGATTTAGTACTGCAGCAATACACAATTGGTGTTGCTATTTCCGTTCTGCAATGTTACCATAGATACTACTCTGTATATACACACTTTCTCTCTCCCTCTCTCTTACAGTTTATACCCCTGACCAGGTCATAACCAGATTCACCAATGGCTACAACTCCCATTGTCCTTTCAAGATCCTCTCTCGCCACCCCCCCTAGTGATTCCGGTGGTGCAGCTTCTCTGACACCATGGATGCAGGTCCACCAACCCCACCGGGCGTTCAAGTGATGCACCAATTGTAAGGCACGATCTTCCCGGTCGTTCCAATGCCAGGGGTCCAAGCAGTTCGACCCAGCCTTACATCACTGCGGTGCAGTACACTATGTAAGTAATTGGTATTTCCGTTAGATCGACCCAATTGATTGGTTCAAATCCTTGTTCGTTATTCTCCCGATCGGCCTCCCCTCAGCTCCGTCCAGCCCGCTCATGCTTGTGATTTTAGTGATTCCGGTGTGGTGATGGATTCTAGGCGAGGCCATGGGTCACGTGGCATGGCCCCTGGATGGAAATTCCTAATAAGACAAAAGATAAAATAGAAATAGGACACTTTCCTTCCTTCAGCCCGTCACGGGAAGTATCAGTGGGTCTATCAATCATATCGGTGGACTAGCTTTGGTCTATAGCGGCTCTAGACCTGACTCTGCCGTGATGTGGGAGCAAATTCTATTAGGAAATCTTCAACACTTACTCCGTACAAGGCTACCATATTCGAAGACAACGCGAACCTAATATAACCCAATTTCCAGTTCGAAGCACGCATATACATCCGAGTCATCCTGGATTTCTCCAATCCTTCGTAAGGAAGCTGCAATTGACTGGAATCATAACTACTCTTCGAAAGGAAAGCCAGCACTGAATCAAACTGAGAAAAAAAAAGTTGGGATTATCCGGATCAGCCGTGAAGAGCACTGGCAATCTATCCTAAGCTCGAACAAAAATGAATGCGGGTATTCTTTTTTCAAGAATCTAGGACAACTGTCAGTTTTTCTTGCCCAACGCCGATTTACATTCGGTATGACTAGTATGATACTTGGTCCAGTGGAACTCGGGTGGAACTTTTGGCATGTTGGATACAATACTGCAAGCTCCTCCATCAATGCAAGGTCAATACCGATGAGAGTTTTGTAGATAAAATAACTAACAATAACGAAAAAACCACCCTTTGCAAGTGGAGCCATGGTATCTGCTACTTTCCATCTTGTAACCACTCTGATCGAGGCGATACAAACTAAAGGTAGGCTTACTCGAGCCCATCCATGTGTATACAATTCAACCAGGTTCCAAGGCTACAATGGATAACCAAGGGAGCTGTATCGAGATACCTGGAGCCATTGCGAGATCTTCAGGAAGCAATAGGAAGAGGTAAGAAGTAAGCGGGGGTACTCCCTATAGAGAGAGATAATGTAGAGAGGGGAGAGAGCGAGTATGATGTATTGTAATAGTGGTAATATACTGTAATTTCACAAGCCTTTCCGATAAATTACATTCAGCCATGAAAGGTCCTGTGAATTTTCGAAAATCAACTTCAGTTTTTCGTATTCTTTGCCATACTTAAAGGCGGTTCTCACCGCCTGTAATATTATGATGTATTATTACCCGTCCGGGACCCGTTTTTGTTTCAACCCTAGTTTATTTACATCTATAGGACACGATGTTACCCATACTGGCCAATCTTGTTGACCTTTTTGAAAGACTTGAGGCTACAAGTATGCAAAATTCAATTACTGGTCATGAGATCGATCGATCTTAGACTACCGAGCAAACCTGCTAGTTTGAAATACTGTACGAAGTCAGTGTTGATTCCAAGGCGCTATGTGTATGCTACCCAACTTGAAGCCACTGTATATGCTATTTACATCAGACTGAACTACTCCGAGTGGGGTTCCATGAAATTGAATCTCTTCAAGCCCTGGACGTTACTCCTAACCTAGAATTCAAGGCTGCGAATCCAAACGCATCTGCCGCAGCGTACCAACAACCTTCTCACGACCCCAACCCTCCACCAACGCGCGCATAACAATATCCTGCTCACTCTCCGGCGCCATCCCACTCGGCGCAGGCGGCCTACGATCCAAATTAGTCGGGAAAGGATACCCCTCCGCAACAGCCTGAATAAAAGCCCTAACCTCCCTGGCCTCTTGCGAGAATTTCCCAGGATCCAAATCCCCGTCCGCAAAGGTCTTCCCAGCACCCTGATACCTCTTCACCAAAACCTCCCAACACGCCTCAATCAACGGAATAGCATCAACCATCTCCATAGCCTTCCCAAAAGCACTACTAACCTGCAACAAATTCGCGACGCGCCGAAATCCTCCAAGGCCAGCATCCATAACGTTTGCCCCCGCCGCGTGGAATAATGCCGGGTTAAAGAATACCCCATCGCCCAAAGACAGCGGCAAAGCAACATACTTTTCCAGGAAAAAGGCGCGGAATTCAGGTCTTCGCCAGGCCAAATACCCAGGCGCGTAGGTCTGACTGAAAGGTAAGAAGCGCGTGGGTCCAGACTCAACCGGCATCTCACTATGCGCAACGGCACCCTGCAGCGTAAGGAATTGCGAGGTCAATTGCGTCGGAACAGGGTATGAGAGGCAGGTATCCGTATCCTGAAACCCGAGGTGGTAATCGCGGTGACTCTCCTGCGCGGCGCCACCGGGGTGAACAGCATTAACCTGGGCCGTGACACGATAGCCCGGGCCGAGCCATGCGCTGCAGACTGCCGCCAGCCAAGGGTTGGAGTAGTACTTGACGAACGAGGCTGGATCCTCGAGTGCGTGTTTTGAAAATGAGTTCCAGATTCGATCGTTTGTGCCGCCGGCGGCGAAGTGGTCGCCCTGGGTGGTGTTGGATTCGCGCTCTTTGGCAATTATGTTGTTGAAGGCGGTGTTTGTGGATGATAGGATTGGCGCGTATCGGGCTGGGTTGTACATTCCCCGCAGTACGAAGATGCCGGGTCCAGTGTGTAAGATGTGATGCCACTCATCTTGCAGGTTGGAGATAGAGGTGGCTGTGATGGGGTGTTGTTGGTCGGCCTCTAGGTCGGCGAGGTCGTAGATGGGTACATTTTGCTCGACGGTGTCTGCGAGGGGGTAGGTGGATTTGTCGACTTTGCGATTACAGATCGCCTTGAAATCATCGAGGTTGACTGATTCGGGCTGGTATAACCGGGAGGGAATTGATGTGTGGCCATTCATGGCTGGTCGGTGCTCGTGTGTATGTGTGAAAGGTTATTTGTGTATGATCAGCCCTGCAGACAATCGGACCTTTCGCCGGGCTGTTCTTTTAAGTACTTCATTGCGGGCGGAATTCAATCTCCATTGCTGTCCCCGCATTTTCCATTTTCACTCCACTGAACCAGCAGACCCGCATTTTGGCTAGGCGGGATTCCGATTTGGTATTTCCATCGGGTATTAAATTCCGGTTGATCGAGCTTCGAAAATTACACGAGGGGTGGTAGATGCAGATGCGCAGGAATTAGATCTAATTGTTGGGGTATCTCAGCGATCAAGCAGTAAAATACAGTAGTCTACCACGAGTCACTGGAAAGCAAGGTGCACAGTAGAGGAATAACCAAAGGCAAAAATGTAATGGAATCAAATCAAATCAAACCAAGCAGCGCAAAAAGTAAAAATAAAAGTAAAACAGAGACAAATGACATCAAATCAAATCCCCCAATTCATTCCCAGACGCCCGACAAAAGTATCAAACAGACTTGAAAGTTAGAAAAGCTGATAATATTAACGAAGACCGTCCCTTCATGCATATAGTGAGAGATGGTGTAAAATGTGCTCAAAGTGATCGCCGTGTGTTTCGTGCCTCATGCATCGTAATGAAACCCCAGAACCGTGCTTGTCCAGAGGTGCAGATCTATGTTAGGAACCAGAGGTCTTTTTAAAACGGCCTTGCGTAGAAGACCCAAAGAGAAAAGGAAATTCGTCACGTCAGGGGGAAACAGTGCCACCCCGTAGTCTCACTCCACCGGTAGACACATCACGCATTCATCATGACTGCGCCAAGGTCGGAGGTGAGGACAGCGTCAGACGTGGTGGGCTCATCCACTTGAGTCGGTTCGCTCAGGACGAGTTGATTCTCGGACATCGTTTCCACTAGCGCGCTCGGGCGTCCTGTCACGGTAAAGAGGACTTTAAATAGGAATGGCTGCGCCGGGCTATCACTATCGAGAGACTGAGGTTGATGGCGAGTGTGGGTGAGTAGGACCCGGATGAGTTCGCGCACCGCAGTGTCCGTGGATGGATCATCGATTCGGTCGATGCCGTCGATGACGAGAACCAGCAAGGGTGGAAGGAAGTGGAGGAGGGTATCGACTAAGGACAAAGCTGCTTTCCAGCTAGAAAGAGTTCCATCCAGCAATCGAAACCGTTCGGCGCTGAGGTCCAATAATGCGTCGCTGTCCACCACCGTCGGAAGGGTATCTATCAATTGTCGGATCAAGCTATAAGTGAGAGATATGAGTCCCTGTTGGTGTGGGGTCATCCCCTGGGCTTCGTCTTGAGGAAGAGTGCAGAAGTGGGCGACAACCGGAAGAGATGCATGTCGGGCAAAAGATGCGTAGCAGGCTGATATCAATGCCACAGGACTGGGGTAGGTGGTTGACTGAGATCCGCCCACTGCCAGGGCCTGTGACCTGGGACTCGTAGCCCATTTCTGTAGCGAGGTCACTACACTACCCTCTGCGATAACTTCCACGTCGGAATCGAAGTCGGCGATTTGGTCGTCACTATCGAAGAAATTTTGAAGCTCCTTGGAGGCACTTTGAAGTTCGAGTCGAGCCAGGCGTCGCTTAGAACCTCGGGACCATTCAAAGCCAGAGGTTACTAGAAAGAGATTTATCATTAGTGTGTAGCTCCCCTAACGTCGTACAGTCTGATGTACACCTACCAAGATCTGGGGCAGCTGTGGTCAAACAGACAATCCCACTATTCTGCTCGCTCACGGTGTGCAGTTGCTTGCTCACATTTCTCAACATCTGCGCTAGCAACTGGCCCCTTTGTTGCTTGATCCGGGCCCGTTCTTCGGCATCTTGCTGGATCTCCCAGATTAACCGGCGCGTAATTGTATTCTGTGCGGCGATACGGCGCTCCGTCCCTTGACGACCGACTTGACTCATCTGCGAGTCTTCCCACAGAGCCCGAGGGCTATAGGCCGCTTCCAAATCCTCGTCGACATCCATATCGTCAGGTGACTCGGAGAGGGCTTTCGCCTGGCGCTGGATGCAGTTGACCAAATGGTAGAATTCCGAGTAGACATCTTGGTTGTGGCTCTTCAACAATTGGCAGGTAGACCTCCGCACATACCAGTCCATAAACTCGGTCAAAAAGAAAAAGATCAGGGTATAAATCTTCGCGATGGCTTCAATCGTAAAAGGGGTGGCGGAGGCCTCGGGGACGTCCAGGGCGTTGTGGATATTCAGGAGAGCCGTGAGGAGCCCCGCCATCACTCGAGGATAGTGCGACGATGCCTAGGGGGTGTATCGGGTTAGCAAGGGAGCTCTGGACGCAAGCACGCGACCGAACAATGAAACCTACCTTCAAGACCGACTGTAAAGCCCCAAAGAAGGTCGGAGCATAATGAAGGTTGGCGTCGGGTAGCCGAGCGAGCAAGGTCGCGTGGGTGTTCAGGGTGGGGAGAAATTGTTCGGAAAGGACCCTGGCCTGGCTATAGACCCTTTGCCGGGGACGAGCCTTCCAAAATGACTGAAGAGATCGAACGAGGGCGTTGACATCGTCTACGGACTGGGGGCGGTGTTCCCAGTCGACGCGATTGTCTGGTGATAAATGACGGATAAAGGACTTCCATGTTTGCGCGAGTTCATTGTGTTCAACGTCGAGGTCAGCGATAGTAGGGTTCCTGTCGAAACCTTGTTAGATTGCCATGGGGAAAGGGAGGGTGGACTCGTTTCGTCTTCGTGGAGATAGGAACCACCGCCTCGAAACATGTAAAACCCCCCCTCTAGCCAGGGGAGAAAAGCGAAGAAAAAAAAAAAAAAAAAACCAAGAACTTACGTTGAGATCGGCTTCCTGTCATAGCGTCGGTCCCAGCGCTGAGACGGGAGCTGGTCGGAAGACAACTCGGCGGGCATGGTGCGAGGCAAGATGCCCCTAGCAGGCCCGGGGATGGAAGAAGGATTGCCAGCGGGCTCGCAAGACGAAGCAACTCAGGTCATGACCAGAAGGAGTGGATCGACCAGTTTGGTGGAGTGCCGATCGAAGGGGGGGGGGAAAGAAAGGAAGTGAGGAAGATGAAAAAGGCCGGAGGGCGGGTGCAACCGCTCGTCGTTAGAACCGTACGAATGGGTGCGAATGACCCAGCCCAGAGCCACAACACACAGAGAGAGAGAGAGAGAGAGAGAGCCCAGAGCCAAAGGCCAAAGGGCAAAGAGCAAAGGCAAAGCGCCCAGTCTATTTCTGCTCTGCCCTTTTCCTTTTTTTCCTTCGTACGCGGTCGATGAGAGCCTCGACCATCCCCCACTCGAGTCTCCACAAATCACAACGCGCGGTCTCACGGTGTAAAGGTACGGCTGGGCCTCGGGTGGCGGGTGGCCGTTGCACAAGAGCATTAGCAAGCGGCAGTCTTTGGTTTGATCGAAATCAAAGGCTTTGACTTTGACGGCAGCCCGGTTTGGGATGATGGTGATGAAGATGAAGATGGAGCTGGAGCTGGAGCTGCAGATGCAGATGCAGATGAGAGATGCATCTAACAGATGGCAGATGGCAGATGGCAGCGGACGCCTTCCTTCGTTGCCTTTTAGCGCCGGAATGCGGATCCTGCGGGGAGAGAAAAGGTGAAGAGGGAGTAGGTCAGTGCATATCAGGATGATGATCAACGTGGAGGTACGGAGTACTACTGAGGCATGGGCAACGCCCAGTATGTAGGAAGCCCAGAATCGACGAGTCGAGTAAGAGTGGCGGTAGACTAAGTGCAGCAGTGCCAGTGCAGTGCCAGTGCAGTGCTTGGGTGACCAGGGTCCAGTTGGTCGTGTGGCTTGGACTAAGATCATACGGGATGTGCAGATAGAAGTACTAGTATATAGTATAGTATAGTATAGTACTAGCATAGTGATGCGTATACTAATAGTTAGGAGTATACTAGTCTAGAGCACCCTGAGTTCTAGATATCCTTGTCTCGTACGGAGTATAATAATGACCCCATCCTCTGTAGTATAATGTACTCCAACTCATCAAGCAAGTAGCCCGAGCGCTCGGACGGGTGGAGCCCCGGTTTCGCAGTTGCCGATCGGAGGGGAATACGGAGTACAACAGTACAGAATACAGCATGGAGGACTGTCGAGTAATAGTATCTCCGAGGAATCGACGAGTAGATACGATGAAGCCATTGCTGAAAAGAGTAAATAGATACACGCAATGTCATTGTCATTGTTATGGTCATTCACCACATTTCCCTCCCCCATCCATGGACCATTCTACACATCCAGATAATGCACAGCCCGGCTCTCTCCCCATTGGGTTCAAGCTTACTGATACTCTAGGGTAAGATCAAACCTAGTCCAACCATCCACGCCTGAACCTCCCATTTTAATCCATTGACTCCAGTTCACTCCGCGTTTATCTTCCTCCGTCATGATCGGTTGGATCTCCCTTCTCCACGGGGATCCATACTCTGATCGGCTTTAGCTCTCCCCTCTTTTTCCTTGTTTTCCGTTTTCCTTTCTTTTATGCTCCACTTCCCTCCTCCGCGTTGCCTACCCTTTTTCCTTTTTCCCTTGTTCCTCTTTTTTGGTCTTTGCTGACTCTGACTAATGTGAACCTCTCTGAGATCACTGCCCCCTCCGCATCCGCCGCATCCCGTAAATCGCGGCCATGGGGTTCCTAATGTCATGGTCGTTGTCATCATATCTTCCCTCCCTCCTCCTTTCCTTTTCTCTCTTCTGGTTGCCCTCTCGCGCGGATTTCCCTACCGTCCTCCCCTCCAACAATTCCCAAGACCTGGGCGGGGATCACTCCGCTCTGTTCAAACTGCAGAGCCCCAGTTTTCCCTCCGATCTGCCTCTCGCCCCGTTGACCGACTACTTCGCCAATTTAACCGACAAACAACTCCAGGTTCGCTCTTCTCCAGTCTTCAGTCCTCTTAGTCCCTAGTCCCTAGCCCCCCCCCCCCTCCCCCAGTCTCCACCCCACGCTGTTCTAAACTGAGACTATCTGGGATCATTGTCTCACCATCTATCTTGTCCCCATTAGAACTTCCCACTCCGAGGTAGTCTATACAAGGTCAACGTCAACGACTTTGCCCAAAGTTCGCAGACGCCGCAGATTGCCTGCGTCTCGTGCGATCCGGAGGATTACACCGGCTCCTTGTCGGTCGGTCAGAATCTTCAGTACGTCATCGGCCAGAAATTCACTGCCGTCGTACTCTACAGCGCCTCGGCCACTCATTGCAACATCTCGTCGGATGCCCAAGTCGACGATTATCGCTACGTCTTCACCTTCAATTCGACCGACAGTGGGATCGCCCTTAAGAAAACCCTCAACGGTAGCAACAGCAACGGCACCGCCTCCATCGTCCCAATGTCTATCCCACCGGGCGGCGGCACTGGTGCCGATGTGAGCGGCAGCGGCAGCGACTCGGGCGACAGTCCCAATACTGGTTAGTCTCTCAATGGCACCCAATTGATACTTCAATTGAAACTGGCTTTTTCTAATTCTTCCATATAGCGATGATCATCCTGTATAGTATCACTGGTATTATCACTGCTCTGTTCTTGGGTATCATTATCACAGGTGCTGTTCGTGCCCACCGTCACCCCGAGCGATATGGCCCGCGCCGCGTGGCTGGACGACCTCGGCAAAGCAGAGCCAGGGGTATAGCAAGAGCCATGCTAGAGACTATCCCTATCGTCAAGTTCGGCGACGAACAGGACGGCGTTGCCGCCGCCAAGCGAGATGTCGAGTTGTCTGTCAATCCGGAGGATCCCGCCCGCGAGCACTCACCTCACCGTTCGGACAGCATTTCTGATGCCGAACATACGACTACGCCCCGTGAGACCGAATTACCGACCGCTAACCAGTCCATTCAATCTTCTCCCGATGATGCCGGCGTGACCCCCGCCCCTACGCCCAAACCCGATACCGCCGCCGACGGGGGAAACTTCTCCTGTCCCATTTGCACCGATGACTTCATTAAAGGTCAAGATCTGCGAGTGCTACCGTGCAGTCATCAATTCCACCCAGAATGTATTGACCCATGGCTGATCAACGTATCTGGCACATGTCCCCTTTGGTAAGCCACCCGTACCTGAAAGAAAGCAAGCAGAGAGATAGAGAGAAAAGGGAGCCCTTACTAACATTTCCCCAGCCGCATCGACCTAAACCCCAACAAAACCGAAGAAAACGGCGAAGAAAACGAGAATGGCGAAAATACCGAAGAAACTCCCACCACCGCCGAAGGCACCGCAACCCCGACCGCAGAGGTAACCCAATCCCGACACAACCGTCTAACAAACTACCTACACGGCCACGGCCCCCTAAACGCGCGCCGCATGCGCAATGCTACCGTTGAAGAGCGCCTCGCCGCGCTCCGCCGTGTCCGCGAGGAAAATCAGGATGAAGCGGCTAACGAGAGTAACGTCCGACCACGTCTTACCAGACGACTGCGCGATCGATTCCGAATCCGTACCCGTGCTCACGGACTCGATTCTAGTCCTGAGGCTAGCGGGACGTCTACTCCGACGGTGCCGCCGCCTGCACATACGGCGCCTGAGGGGTCGGAGTCGCAGTCGCGTACGTGATTATCATAATCATGTTCTATACTGTATATGATTTTGATGAGATGTCGCATCCGCATCCGCATCCGCATCCGCATTCGCATTCGCATTGTGATTGATCTACTCTCCTTATCTGTACCTTCTCCGATTCTCTTCGATGCGATTCGATTCTTGCATATTCTTTTCACGACACTCCTTTTCTGGCCATTTATGACTATGACTTCCACCTTACGAACTTCCACCTTTTTGCACATTTTTTTGGGTTCTTGGTTTTTGGAATGGGTTGAACTGTTACATTTACTTTACTTTACTTCCATGGCGTTGGGTCATTCTATTTTCATGTTCATGTTATTTTCATCTGAGACAGGGAAGACGAGAAACCGGCTTGGTACACGGCGTTTTTCAGAGTTGGAGAGGGAAAGAGTTTTGATTCAAGTTTTTCTTCTGTGAATGGTTTGTTTTTCTTCTTGTTTCTTTTTACCTTGTATATACGAGATGTATATCTGTGAGGAGAAGGGTTGGTAGATTCAAGACATGCTTTACACTAGCCACGTCGTGCATTTGGTAGATCAGCGTAGTAGTAAAATCCGTACGAGTACGAGTACTACATGCCCGGGGTCATGAGGTTCACGGAAGTTGGCGGGTGGCTTGCGAGAGAGTAGTAGTTGTGAAATAAATAAGAATCAGATGCATTCACTATTTGCATAAATACCTAGGTTCTAACCTTCCCGTGATATGCCCAGGTGGTACGAGTAGGTTTATACTCGCAGTACATATTCAGAGAATCTCCCACCACCACCGTGAAGAGAACAAGGCAAGACAAGACAGGACCACAACTATCGTATGTAACCCACGATCTCACCGATCTAGGAAAGTATTACCGCCACAGCAAGAATCTCCGACTTGGCACAGCGTGGGGGAGAAAAATCCATGGAGAAAAGAGGGGGGAACCGGGGGACGGGCGAATGGCGGAGGGAGATTACTCCACTCCACCCGGGCACCACATCGGAGGAGGAGGGGGGAAGTGAAAAAAAAAAGTGTGGAGAAAAGAGCGAGAATTTCTCGCAGTAATCTCCGTGAGCACTTGGAGGGTGGAGGGCTGGAGGCTTGGTATTTGACATCATCGGGGATGGAAGTCCGGGAGAATGTTCGAAATTGATAATATCCTTTTCCCCTTTTCCACCTTTTCCATGCGCCCGGTAAGACAAGACCAATCGTGTGTACTACATACGCACTTACGTATTGGCTACTCCGTAGTTAAGAATGGTATTAATAGGCCTCGCCTTGTGGACTCGACTCGGCGCCCGGTTGGAGTCGGCGCCGGTCCGAGTTGCGAATGAGAATGAGAACAGTCGAGGTAATTGGGTTTAAGTTTGTCATCTCGATCCGTTAGAGATGAGGAATATTAGTATGGGGGGATACGCCCGCGGGCAGTGAACATTAAAAGGCTGGATGAAAGATCGAATGGGGTAGGGCTGTCCCTGTCCCTAGCTTCTCCTCATCGTATCGCGGGGGGGTAAACGGTCAACCCTTCCCCTCGTACTAGTACTGCTACTGGTATTGCTACTGCGACTGCTAGCTACTAGTAGTACACGATTACGGTTACTTATCTCCCAGGGAAAAAAGAAAGAAGACGATCGAACAAAGTGGTCTCCGCACGGCTAAACCCTCCGGGCATTCTCGCAGCTCCACTGCGTCTTTTTTCGGCGTTATGACACACGCTTTGTCTGAGCGGCGGGCACAGCCTGTAGGAGAGAACGTGAGCACCGGAGGAGAGAAGATTGGGGTTGGGAGAGGGATATTATTGTCAAGAAAAGGGAAGAGAGAGAAAGAGAGAGGATGCTGGTAGAGGAAGTATCAGGAGATATGCATGTGAAGGTGAAGGCGGTCTCATGATAATGCTGGCCCTAGTAATATTATGCCCGGTGACAGGCTGAGGCTGGTATTCCCTCGGCTCACCAGGCCGAGGAACAAGGACAAGTGTAGACGATAAAGAATAAAAGAATATCTATTCCATAGAATCTGAATACCTTCTTTCTTTTCCTCTTTTCTCCTTTACCCCAATATTGCCTAACCATATTATTTATCATTAACCGCCCACTCCAACAACGCCAATTAACCGCGCTCTCCACCCCCTCATTCCTCCATTCCTCCTCATCCGGTGAACGCAAGCAGAAAGTTCGAGGAATTTCCGGGGAAAAACAGCCCAGTCACATCAGGTACCACCCGCGTCAGGCAATCCGGTGATTAATCAGAATGGTCCAACAAAACCCTCCTCCTCCTCCTTCCTTCCTCTCCTCCGCTCGTGAACGACTTTCTTCTTTATCCACACACATCATGGGCGCCTCCAATCCCTCTGTTTTCACTGCGGCTACTGTCGCTGCCGCCCCCGAAGATCCTCTTTTCGGTTTGATGAAGGCTTACCGCGAGGATCCTTCGGATAAGAAAGTTGATCTGGGAATTGGTGCCTACCGTGATAACAACGCAAAGCCCTGGATCTTGCCCGTGGTCAAGAAGGTGAGTGAGCATACGCCCTGGAGCAGCTAATTCTATGCTTGTGATGACTGCTCCACCCTTGCGTCCCCACCATCCCACTCCTAGTAATATTGGTACTAATACCAACTCCTCCAGGCTGATGATGCTATTCACAACGACCCCTCCCTGAACCACGAATACCTCTCAATCGGTGGCCTGGCCGAATTCACCTCCGCTGCCCAGAAGCTCATCGTCGGTTCCGACAGTGCAGCCATCCGAGAGAATCGGGTATGTAGACCCGAATTGCAAATCCCTCCAATCCAATTCGACTTCCGAGATGAAGCTACACCCCACCAACACAGAGCTACGGCCTTCCACGAGTACAACGCTAACAACTCACCCGCATCAAACAGATCTGCTCTCTGCAAACCATCTCGGGAACCGGCGCCGTCCACCTAGGTGGTCTTTTCCTGTCCAAATTCCACCCGCAAAAGCCCACCATCTACCTCTCCAACCCAACCTGGGCCAATCACAACCAGATCTTCACAAACGTCGGCCTCAAGCTCGCCAACTACCCCTACTTCTCTAAGGAAACCAAGGGCCTTGATTTCGATGGCATGCTCCAAGCGCTGCGGGCGGCGCCGGCTGGCTCCATCATCCTCCTGCACGCCTGCGCACACAACCCAACCGGCGTCGACCCCTCGCAGGACCAGTGGCGCGAGATCGCCACGGTGATGCGCGAGCACTCGCACTTCCCCTTCTTCGACACCGCCTACCAGGGCTTCGCCTCGGGCGATCTGGTCCGCGACTCCTGGGCGATCCGCTACTTTATCGAGCAGGGCTTCGAGCTGTGCGTTGCGCAGTCCTTCGCCAAGAACTTCGGTCTGTACGGTGAGCGCACGGGAGCCTTCCACTTCGTCTCTGCCCCCGGCGCCGACGCCGCCACCGCCAATTCCCACATCGCTAGCCAGCTGGCTATCCTGCAGCGCTCGGAGATCTCCAACCCGCCCGCGTACGGCGCCCGCATTGCCAGCCGCGTTCTGAATGATCCCGTTCTCTTCGCCGAGTGGGAGGATGATCTGCGTACTATGAGCGGTCGTATCCTGGAGATGCGCCGTGGTCTGCGTGAGCGTCTCGAGGCCCGCGGTACCCCCGGCTCATGGGACCACATTACCACCCAGATTGGCATGTTCAGTTTCACCGGGCTGTCCGAGGCTCAGGTTAAGACTTTGCGCGAGAAGTGGCACGTCTACATGGTAAGTTCCGCTCCTACCTGGCTATAAATTCAATTTCCCTATGGGTTACTAACACTCTTTGTACAGACTAAGAACGGCCGTATCTCCATGGCCGGCCTGAACACGAATAACCTGGATTACTTCGCCGAGGCTGTCGACAGCGTCGTGCGTGAGAGTTCCTAGGCCAGCGAGCGATACCACTAAAGCGTTTTATTTTCTTCCTCTCTCCCTCTCCCTATCATCTACTCGCATGTGATCGGGAAATCTTCTTGTCTTTTCGTTATCCTACCGTGGTCTGCGTGGGTCCGGGAGTGCATCACATGTAAATTACAATCTACGGGCTCGGAATCTCATACACTGCTCGGCTTTTATTGTGATTCTCATACGGTTGTTTCAGTAGACTTAGACTATGTAGAGAAATGCGCCTGGGCACCATATGTACAGTACAGTGTACTGTTTAGCCCTAGCTCTTTGCTATTGGATTCCCTTCAAGTTTTACTCGTCACTCATCTGCACCTCATCAACTCCTTGGCCCAAATAGAATGTATTTTGTGATTCCGGAATAACTGGGTATGCGCTCGCTCGCTATGTTATAAAATACACCTCCCTCTCCTCCCCCGAAGATACGGGCACCATCTGAAAGCAAAACTTGGGTATAGTCGACACCCTCTCCAAACCCAACCCGCACCCTCGATCCAATCTAGAAAATCAAATCCCAAACAACAAGCCACGTACACAAACCAACAGTACCCCAAAACACCGCCTGCGCCGGACTCCGACGCTCAGTCGCACGCTTCAATTCGCGATTCCCCCGACCAATATTCTCCTCCGTCATATCGACATCACTAACAAGTTGCGAGATAAATTCCTCCTGCGTTGTAAGATGCGTGACGAGGGTTTCTTGTAGAGAGGAGATTTCCACGAGCGACCTTTCCGCGTTCCTGCGATGTATTTATTAGTAAATCGAATCAAATCAAATCATGCGCCGTCGTAAAACGATACGAGAGGAGACGAGCCAGGCCCGAAAAGGATAACGTACTGTACTTTCCCAAGCGTATCTTCATAATGCTTTAACATGGAATTATTCTCCTCAGCAAAAAGCTGCAACTGCTCCGCAGAAAGCTGGCCCTCGATTTCCTTCGAATCAGCCTCGCTCAACACCGTCGCATCAGGCGCAGGCGCTCGCAACGAAGAAGATCCAGAACCAGTGCTAGAGCCGTAGTCTTGCTTGTAATTATCCCTCCTCCCACCAGCACCAGCACCAGCACCACCCTGCATATCACTCACCACACCCCCCTTAGAAGCCTTATACAAAACACTCTTCTCCTTCTCAAGAACCCTCTCAATCCTCTTCTCAACCATACTCCTCTGCACACTAGCAACGCCTTCAAGCCCCCGTCTCAGAAACCAAAGCACACCCTCCCGCAACGAGGAAAGAGTCTTCTCCCTCTCCTCCGCCTCAATTTGCTCCGCAGATTTGTTGGACTGACTGTCGCCATTGCGGTCATTTGCGGCCCAGCGGAGGAGGAGGGCGCCTGCGGCGCTGTGCCCGTATTTCTTGTGCTGGAGTTGAGAGGTTGTTTTTTGGCGGAGTGTTTCGGCGTCGGAGAGGTTTGTTATTGATGATGATAGGTCGCGGAGAAGGGTGGTTGTTGAGGTGTCTATTGCGTCGCGTTCTGGATCTGTGAGGTGGGATTGGGGTTGGGGTTGGGGTTGTGGTTGGTTGCGGCGGGAGGGCGTGTTTGTGGAGAGGTAGGCGTGTCGGATTGAGGTTAGGTATTTTAGGAGCGAGGCGATGTGGGAATTCTGTAGTTGGTTGTGTTGTCAGCTATTGTTGGAGGGTGGGATGGGGGGGGTTGACACGGACGATGCGATGCGCTTCTTTGAGGAATTCGTCGGCTGGGGAGGAGTTTGTTGTGGATGAAATTAAGGGTGCCTTTTTCGCGGAGAGGAGCGTGTTTAGTGCTGGGGTTAGGTCGGTCATTTTGGTGGTTGACGGAGTTGATGGGAGTGTTAGTGTTAGGTGTGAAGTTGAGTTGAGGTTGGTGGAGCGGATCTGTCAACAACGTCAGTGCTGCGCTGGCGCCGGTTCCGCTGCCGAGGACTACCTTAACTACCATAGAATTCGAGATTGATAGTTCGGAGGACAACGAAGGTTGTCGTGTATTATTCCATTTTAGAGATGGTTAAATTCAATCTAGCTATGCTTGAATTTCTAATTTCTAATTCTAATGGTAACGCTTTTGATTTTTCCCTGTTGTCTACTACTACTTGTAGGCGTATTACTGTATAATATAATAAGTGTATACTATTCGTAAAATAAGTTGCGTATTTTCATGCTAACTAAAGGGTATAAGCAAAATCAAAATGCTATAAACAAATGCCAAAATGCCCAATGCACAAACCAATCCCTCAACCCAAAATCAATCATATCATAGATCGTTCTTCCACCCACACCTGTATTTCAATTAGCAACGAGTCCAGATACCCAATACACTTGACAAAGGTCAAAGTCAAGGTTGAGGTGAAAGTAATAGCAAACTCACCTCCATCTTCCCCATCTCACTCCCCTCCCTCCTCGCAACCTCTCTCGCAGAAGAAAGCAAAAGATCCAAATCTTCCTGATCAACCATAGTAATCATATCTCCATCATCCTGCACCTTCATCTTAAGCGGACACTGAAACCCAAACTTCTCCCGAATCTTCGCCTCAAACTCGGCAAACTCCACCGTCGGCCCTATCATGATATACCGAATATCATCCGGCGCATGCACCTTCGTCCGAAACCGACGCACCTCGGGTCTCCGCGAATTCGCTCGTCGTGAGTACCGCGTCGGAGAGCGCGTTCGTCGTTGTTGCGCTGGTGATGTGCTCGACCCGGGCCCCGGCTCGCCGGGGACTACCGCGCCAACTACCATCTCGAATCCGCCTTCTTTGAGCGGTTCGCCGTCGCACACGTCGCTGCCGTATTCGTCTTCTTCGTCGATATATTGCGGGGGTTGGTACCTAGGTCCGCGGCCCCAGCCTGAACTGGAAAGGCTTTGCGGACTGGCGAAGTTGTTGTTGTTATTGTTGTTGCTGTGTTGGTAGGGGTCTGGCTGGCCGTATTGCGGTTGGAGGTATTGCGGTTCTGGGAAGCTGGTGTCGCTGATATTTCGGCGGTGTTGATTTGTTTCGCGAGGCCAGGCGCGGTTAGGATCTTGGCCGAAGCCGCGCATGTTCTGATGGCGTATTGAAGGGCCGCGTGGCTCTGATGCTGTTCTTGTAGTGCCGATTCGTGGTTTTTCCAATCGTGGGGGCTGTTGTGTTACTTGTTGTTGTTGCTGTTGTTGTTCTAGACCGGCGCCTGTTCGTTCGAGGTCTAGTCGAGGTGGTCTCGCACTTCGAAGGGAGGATGATCGGGTGTGTGAAGGACCTTGGGCTGTAGATCCATTGCTGGTGGAGCGGTCGTCTGGGGGTGGTGTTGGTGGGAATACATTGCGGTTGAGAGGGGGGTTCTGAATGTTGACGAGTACGACTTGTGATGCCTTTATGCACTAGGTTGGTTGCTGCCCATGATACTCCCTCACGGTCCTCTAGGGCTGTTTTGTCAATGATCATGGGCCTCCATTGGTGGTCTGCGCTTTGGTTTCGATCTGATGCCGCAACTAGTCGTGCTTTGCCGAGGTAATCTTTCGTCTTGAGATTTTTGACTTTGGCCGCGTTGGGTCTGTATAAAACCCCTACAGGTATAGAGAATACCGTGTACCCCTATTAATTGAGTCAGATGCCTATACAGTAGGGGAATTCGTGATGCCGGGGAGGAAGGGAGGGGCTGGATACATCTGCATTCTCGTGGATTGCATCGTCAATCACATTGTGATCCGGCGAGACCTTCTCCTGTGCTGCGAATTTGAGGTCCTGCATTCCTGGTTCCATCTGTCGAAGGTAGATATAGCAGAGTCCTCGATTGAACAAAACCTCGCATGAGAAAAGGCGGAATTTCAGCCCTAATTGCTCATAATCAATGGAAGTATTCCCTCGGAGATACAACAAGGTATCATTGAAATTGGCCAATGCTTCCTCGAAGTCTCCTAGTAAGAAGTTGGACACGCCTTGTTGGAAATAGGCAATGGCTAAGTATCGATCCAGACCAACCGCACGTTGATAGCATTCTACCTGATGAGGGTCAGTTTAACCTCCGAGATGGGACTTTTTCCAGCTACATAAACATACAGCTTTATCATGTTCACCTAGAGTCGCATAGATCACACCGCAATTAAACAGAATCTTCGAAGTGTCGGCAATCTGGTCAAAGAAGCGCAGAGACTCCTCGAATTCTTGGTTGTCATAGGCATCAAGGGCCTGCACCCATGTCTCGATTTCCTGGATGGTCCATCATCAGTGGCGAGATCTGATAAGTTTAGTACCGGATTGCTTACTTGTTTGAGAGACATGCTACCAAGACTCCACCATTTAATTTGGCGCGACGATGACCCCAGGGGCTAAAGAATTGGAGGGGTTCTCACCCGCTCAATCCAAGAGCGGTCTATTTCCAGGATGGATGACGTTGATCGGACTGGGGGGCTTCGGGTCGCATCCAGGGAAGACTCCCTGCTATTATAGATGTCGGAAATGATAGAAGCGAATTAGCGAAGATGTGACGAGTCAGGTCCAAAAAGTCGCCAAGCACGGGAGCCGGGAAAATGGTATGGTTGTGGCAAGGTGAGGTTCGTTCTTTAGTGGGATGAGTGAGATCGGTGCGATATTGGGGTGAGTACTAGCGAGATGGAAATGGCGGGGATGGCGGGAACACCCTCGTGAAGACCCGGACCTAGACCCGGGAAAGAAATCGATTCAACAAGAACAAAAAACGTATTTATAGAATCACGCAATGCCAATAGCTCACGAGAAAAACCGGTGGTTGACCGAGTCACATACGGTGTGACTGACAATCTGTGGGGTTGTGGTCCAAGCCCCCGATCACGGCGAGCGGGATGATGGTGGAGTGGTGAAGTGGTGAAGTGATGGAAATGGTCAGTGATGCCAGTGTTATCGTCCGACCCGACAAACTGGAAAGGCTGGGAAGGGCTGAGAAAAGGACCCCCCCCCATGGGAATTCAAGTCGGAATACGGAATAGGGGGCGAAGAAAGAAGCAAAGAACTGCAGAGGGGGTTTCCGAGGGGCAGGGGAAGCTTCCAAGCGCTGAGGGCGTGATGGGACAAAAATAACTTGCGTTACACCTGCAGCATTTCTGCACCTCTCCAGCAATCAGCGACCAAGGATGCCATTTTGGCTCATCTGCGCCTGTGAGTGGGCGAGAGGTTGTCATGCACAAGAGTGGCACCACAACGCATGGCAAGTGCCAGTGTGCTGGGACAGAAGCGTGTGCTTCTATCACATCCGAGTCCTCATTTCAAACGCCAAGTCAACTGTTACTGGCCAACTATTGACTACGGAGTAGCTATCAGATACTTGCAACTATTTGCATGTAATGACCGACCAACAACTAACAACAGGGGTCCGACGTTGGCAACCCTCGATTGATTGCACGGGCTTTTTCACGGGCTTTGAACCATGGATGTTGTGCGGGGGGGGGGGGAACACACTAGTGGAACTATGAAGTCCTACACAAGTTCACAAGTCCCTGAACAAGGATTGGGTAACTTATTCCCGATCATAATCTGCGCTTCGTAGTACGGGCACCTATTATTGGTGGCTGGGAAACACTACTGGGGGCCAGGAACGAGCCACGGCGCTTACGATGCTTTATTTAGAGATCTGAGGACAACTCGCTACCGGAAAACCTCCATTGGTCCCTGTCGAGTCAATACTATGAACGTCAAATCCATATCTTTCGAGTCCGATCCTGGCGTCAAATTGAACTGAATTCCCAAAAAAAACTCTATTTTCATGGTATTATGGCCATTACTAGTAGGTGAACTACGATCTAAGGACCGGAAAGCATCACCTAAGACCCTGGCACTAATGTATGAGCTCCTCTTGCCATTTTTAGCAAATCGACTCGATAAGGATGATCATCCATTTTCACAACCAAATTTCTGCCCAAGAAAAAACTCATTGCACGCTACGGAGTACTGATGCCTATCTAAAAAAAGCTGATTGGCAGTGACGATCACTCGCTCACTCTACTGCGAGCTACTCAAATCCATCAGGAATCTTCCCCAATGGCACTGGCGACCCGTCATCTACATAAGAAAAGACAACTCGCTTATACCTTCGGATTGGATATGGCCCTGCTGAGTTGGTGACCTGTAGCACGACGTGAAAGTCCGGCGTAACCAACCCTGTCTGAGGGTTCCTCTCCATCGGTGGCACCAGAACCTGGACTTTGTGCCCTCGAATGTGACTAGAGAAGCCTGCCGAGTTATCATCCAACTGTTGGCTCACGGGATCATCATCTATGGCTTCAATTTTGACTTTCGGCCCCTTCCCAAAGAAATGAAAGCCGTTGACGTCTCCGTAGAGCATCCACACATAGTCCAGACCAGTCTCCGCATGCGCATGATCCGGGTCGTAAGTACCGCTAGCATCCAGAATATGCGTCTCGCCCGGTTTGACTTGGAGAATCAGGGAATCCACTCCAACATGGCTATTTATATCCACGATAGGAGGGTGTCCCGCCTCTGCGAAGTGATCGGTTAAAGTCCACTGCATGCGTGCCGCAAAATCATCTTGGACTGCATCTCGCCATCGCCAGATCGTCGTCTTGTGATCGCTATACCGTTTCTCGTCTGCGCCCAGCACTCCAAAATCACTCGCATTGTAGAAGTGATTGACGTCGATCCCGTCTTCCCAGTCCGCCTCAGCTTGTGGTCGAGTATAACGGCCTCCCCACCCACCCCAATCAATGCGGTCTCGGTGGTTGAGCCCATTCTGAACAAGCCACAGGAATGACGGTGTATCACCTTCCATCCCAAATTTCACAGGAGGATAGGCTTCAGCCCCGAAATCTCCGACTTGGATATGCTCTTTCAGCCATGGATTGAGGACTTTGGTTGGATCGGGCCCGTCACCTGCACCGCCGTTCATCCCCAGCCAACTTCCTTGGCCATATTGATTCCATCCGTGCGCAGAAACAACGTAGAAGACATCCGGGTATTTGGCTCGAACCCACGGGCCCGAGTTATCCTGGTCTGAAATGGTGTAGACTCGCAACTTGGCCCGCTCAATGGCCGCTTCTCTTGAAGATGAGGTCTGAGCGAGATATCTCAATGCCTGGGCTAGTGTATTTACGCCACCCCATACTGGAACATAGAGTGGCTCGGAGGACTCTTGCAGCGCAGACAGAAGACGTAGTGCGCCTTTGCTCAGAGGTTCCGAGTCTCGAAGGGCGTTTTTGCCGTAGACCTGTCGATAGGTGGTTATTATTAACGATATATTCTCCGAAAGCTTCCACACTTGGTCTAATAACGCCGCGCTAACTTACGGCTGGTCCAGATGTAACTAGTTTGAGTAGCTCATCGGCTGTCTGGTATTGGAAGTCTGGATTCACATGGCTGTTGAGGTTCTTAACAACCTTCCCATAGGCAGTGATGATACGCCGGATTTCTTCGGGGTGAGTGCTTGAGCGTAGCCAGGTGGACGTTGTTGCGCAAATCCCTCGTGTTTCAAATTCATTGGCATATAGAAGGTACCGGACCAAGGATTGCGAGTCATCGGGCTCGTTCAGCATATCCGTTAGGATGAATATGCGGGGTTTGGAGGGGAATGTCGCGAGCTTGCTAAGAATCGACATTGTGAACTATTTACTAGTACAGTGCGAAAATCGCAATGGATCTGGAAACGAGCAGAATTAGTTTTGTTTGTTTCTTTAAGTGCTGGATCGTGGCTCAGGAATTCGCCGTCCCCTTAGGCACCCGTCTGGCTTCCCCACGATCTGCCCAAACTGGCGAGGTTTCACACCCCCACATTCGCGGGGCCCCAAAGACACACTTAATGCCGGTGACAGGGTCCGATGGGGCAACGATAAGCAGCAGCAGTTTTAATTCGGATGTTCCTGGATGTCTCTCAACTGGTGCAGTACACTTGCATTACTATTATCGTCAACCATCTTTAAGCAAAGGTCGGGCTATAATGAAGGATAAAGGTTCAATTCAAGTGGAGTACGTATTGACATTTGGAAAATGAGTTAATGTAGAGCTATGTTCAATAAGTTGAGTGGAACAGACGATACCTTCACTCATTCAATATATCTTCATCTTCGAGGTCTATAAAGTCGTACAAGCCCGAGTGACAAGAATGACTCGATCAATTCATGGAACATTGGAAGTTTTTCCACAGGTCACACAGCTGTCAGGTTTTCCCAACATCTGTCCTGGCAATACTAGTAATCCTATATTTTTTATATTGCGCTATTGAGTCAGTTCAATCCCGTGACATCGTGACAGTGTGCACCCTTTTCCCCTAGGCGGATCAAGCGGATACACGCCGGCGACACCTCGGAGCATAGCGGGTCGTATAATTCGGGGGGAAATTGCCAATTTCGTTTCGCCCATCATGACATTTTTCGCCCGTATAACCGTTATATCAAGTACGATCACCCTTCCACTAACTATACCTAGTAGTTAGATATACCCGTCACGTGTGCCACACGATCCGGGCGCCCACGCCAACCCACGACAGGGATCACTCATCAACACACTTGCGCCCTTATTTCTGCCCCTCCCCTTCAAGTTCCTCCGCCAACTCCTGATCTCCAGATCATGGGAGCCCCCATAACCATTGGGGACCAGCGGATGTTTCCATCCGATCATTCTCTCTTCCCCTAAGATGGCGGAAATCTACAACACAGACCGCTTCGCAGAGCTTTATTACCCATCGAATACAGCCGACCTCCTGCACCTGGGCCTCGCAGCTAGGTTCATTGCGGGGCTCTTCGAGACCAATCAGGTCACCTATGCCTTCATCGGGGGATGGGCTGTCTATCTGCGCGGTGGACGTCGCAGAACACAGGATATTGACATTACGGTAGCCACCTCGATGGACTATTTGAAGCAGGTTTTGACTGCGCAGTCTCGGTATTTTGACAACTCTTCTCTCACCTGACCCCTCCTCACATCTCCCTTTCGGCATGATTTCGCTTCTCGATTCGATTCGATCAAGGGACCATGATTTCCATCAGAACTTCAACTCAGACTTAGATTTTAACGCGGTGCCAGAATTCATTACCCAGTTACCCATGGCCGAACATCGGTCCAGATCTTCATTGACACCGGGCGGAGTTTCGACGGAGAATTTCCCCAAGTACCAGACTTGGCTGTCAGCATGGACATAGTGATCAGTGGTAAATCTGACCTCTTCCTTCCTTGAGCTCCGAACGCAAGTGTTGACATGTATACATGCATAGGAAATTTGGGCACACCTTTAGATCTTCAGTCATCGCGCGAGCCTATCAATCCATATAGGCCAACTCCCTTGGGATCGCCCGTCTTGGTATTAAGCCTCTTCTTTCAGATCTATGCAAAACTAAATGCATATTCCCGGCGTGGTGATCAACGAAGTAAAGACTTTCTCGACCTGGAATTCCTATTCACTCAGTACGCCGCCCAGGTCCCGACATTTAGGGACTATTACGACGTGGAGCAGCGGCGGTATTTTTGGACGCAATATGCGACGACGTATGGTGCATTTCCGGACCAGGTTGAAAATATGAGGACCCTTCTGGGTCTTTGATCGGGACTATGCAATAATGAATATTCAAATTCGGGTAGGACACAAACACACACACACACACACACATAGTATCAATATAATTATTTCGTTTATTTATGTATTTACTGCTTTATTTATCTGTATCTTTCATTAAAGTTCATGGTAACATCGCTAGCAGGACATAAGCTTCTGGGTCCATGGGTCCGGAGAGCCCTTAAGGCGGAATCGTGTTTCAAATAAGGAATCCGGTGTCTTCCACTCGAGTCGTCCCTTTTTGCTTCTTACCCTGGCTTCCCACTTTTCTCGTCTGTTGATTTTCTGTGTTGGGAAATAGTGCACAAATGGCCAGCCTCTTCCCTGAGCGGCCTCTTTGGCTTTTTGATTCATGCGGCTCGCCCACTCCAGGTCATTCGAACCCTCTAAATCCAAATACCTTCGTCCCCACTCCTCGGAGACATTCGACCCATCGATGCAGTCACAAAGTGATACCTCGTCATTTGTGTCCAAGAAACTCTGCATGAGGACCTGCAGCGTCGGATATGGGATGTTATTCATGCTGCGCATGATGTGAAAGGGACCGGAGGGAATATGGGCGTCATGAGCGGGGACAAGGATCACGTAGAAGTGGATGCCTTTGCCTTTGAATCGGTGGTAGGTATGGCTGAGCGAAGAAGGGTGTTGGATAGGGAGCGGAGGAACGGGGTGAAGTCTATCAGCGATAGAGCCACATGCGAGAAGAGCTGCAGCCTCGTGAAGCTTGTCGTCGGGGACGCAGAGATCCCATTCCTGGCGATTCACCTGTCAGCCTTGCAATCCAGAACAAGATTGAAGGAAGAGGAGAGAAGGAGGAAGAAGAAGAAGAAGAAGACGATCGTACATCTCGGGAACGGCCGGCGCCGTAGAACATCAAAGCTGAAACGCCCACCACGCAGCATTCAATCCCGTGCGCCTCCAGGAAGCGGGTTACCTCGAGGATCTCCAAGATACCATGGCCGCCGCACGAGGGGACCTGATCGGGCGAGTATGTGGGAGCGGCCTCTTCTAGTAGTGGGGTGTTGGTGAATGGGAATTTGGGGGCGAGCATTGCGAGCAAAAGCAAGGTGAGGAATCGAGACAGAAGGGGCTCCTCCAAGCCATGATCCAACCCGTGGATTCGATGTTGAGCACGTCGCGGGGGGGGAAATGCCTTTGACTCCACGTGATGCCTTAGTCACAAGCATCTAGACCAAACGTTCGCCATTTTGCTTTTTACTTGGCTTTTGCTAACGATGCAAGTAACTCTGAGCTGTCATTTTATGTGGGGTGATAGTTTTTAGAAAATAGACAGATCATATATGTACTCCATACTACTCCGTGGGGTACTGCGTAGTACACATGGACCAGCTGGAGAGTCTGATAGAATGAAGAACTTTTCAGTCGATCTGCCCCACTCGATGATTAATTCGTCACCCGTCCCTGTGTCGATCATACACTGCAGCATGCATCGCCTAGCCGGTCTGTGTATAGTACATTTTACTAGTACTAGATTACTATTACAGAGTATAATCTTGTCAACCGTGGAAGTTTTCTTTCTGAGTTGACTGCCTACAGGGCTGACAGCCAATATATCACCTTTGACAGCCACTCAGGCAGCTAACGACTCAGATAGTTGACTACAAATTGTTATTCAAAATATAATAGCAAATAATACTCCAGGCTAGTACCATCTAGCCTTAAATTTATACAGGATATCATCGATTTGATCATCCAATCTGTATATGCTGGGTGTTTCAAGCATTCACCTCGTAATTCATCATCCACTTAACTTAGCCCGCCAGTGACTCTCTACGCCATTCCCTGACCAACCTGCTCTTGTCTCTCCTCCCAAACATTCTTCCCAGAGCAAGAGCACACCATCTTATCATTATCCCAAACCCCTGCACTGCGCGCAATCACACCAACCAAAGTATTCTCATCCTCACGCTTGAACGGTCCCTCCTTAGTACCAGAAACAACCATACTCCGACCAATCAATTCCCAAATAGCCACCGGTCGGTCCAAAAAGACATTACCCCGACCCTTTTGGTCGACCTCCACAGAGCCAAAGATTCCACGCGGTTCCTTCTGCGCCTCATCCGAGCCGAGAACCTTGGTCTTCAGGGCGTCCCAGATACCGCCCGCCGACGCAGCGCCCTGTGAAATATCGCCAGCTTCGCGAATCGTGGCGTGATATTTGCCTGGTGCCAGACCGTTGATCGTCAAGTCGACTAGGGTCATGTTCGGGGAGACTTGCACCATGCGGGCTAGGCCGCGGACTTTATTGGAGACGCTGTTGGAGTGTGTTTCAAGGATGCAGACGGCGGAGCCTATTATATCAGAATCAATTTGTTTATATATCCATGAAGAACCTGACTGGGAAGAAGGGAATGATTGCAGCGCATACTGTTTGTTGTGCCACTACCGCGGAGAATCGCATCGCGGCCGGTATCCTGGATTGCGGACACGATGGAGCTCGGTGGCGCGGTGCCTTCGATGAAAACCAGTTGCTCTTTGAGGTTTGCGTCGACCTTATTGATTCCTGTTCAAATTGAAGGGTTCTTGTCAGCTTGGCGATTGACAAATATCAAGATGCGACACGGTTAAATCCGTAGCGGGGGAGGCAATCATACCATCCAACTTATACAACGAGGTGGAGACATGCTTCACACAGCTCTCGCAGGTCATTGGGACCGCGAAGGTAGTCTTGAGTATTATTTCTAGTCAGCGCACCCTGTCGATATAAGCTCCGCTGTATCTGAGCAAACCCACCTGGAAGGGCTCAATCATGGCGGGGGTTGGGGGTGAAGTAGACTGATGCCGGAGGGTGGCGTTAGTTAATGGATGGGGGTGGAGAGGCCGCGAGGGAGTAGATATGACCAAAGAATGTCAGATCAATATGCGGTATAAAAGAAGAGAAGAAGTCAAGATGCATAAATCATCAGGGGCCGCTAAAAGAGCAATGCTGGACGCGGACAGGAAGGGCGGGGCGGAAATTGGATTTCAAATCGGAGCTGTTCTTCGGCCCGTTTCTTCCCCAGAACCGAAACGTCATTCCCGAATCTGAATCTGAATCTCCCTTTTAAAAGTCAACCACCCCTCTCAACCAACGCCCACCATGTCGGCCTCCAAATCGCGCTGGGCAGACGACGACCCGGAGACAGAAGCGATTATCGCCCAGCGCAAACGTGAGAAGGAGGAGAAGCGACGCGCCAAGGCGGAAAAACAGCGCCAGCTCGACCAAGCTGCACCTACACAATCTGCCAACGACGCCCAAACAGCCAATGGGGACTCAGGTCCTCCAAAGAAGCGAAGGCGACTATCGAATGACCCCGACGGAATTTCATCGGCTGAGGAGGTTGCTCGGAGCGAGGAGCAGAAGAAGGTCTCGAGCCTGTTGAGGTTTCCGGTGCGAGAATGGGGACCCTGCAGACACGTTGATAACTTTGAGCGACTGAATCATATCGAAGAGGGATCTTATGGATGGGTCTCGCGTGCAAAGGACATCACAACTGGGGAGATCGTCGCCTTGAAGAAATTGAAGATCGAGAACTCGCCGGACGGGTTCCCAGTCACAGGGCTGCGGGAAATTCAAACACTGTTGGAGGCGCGGCATCAGAATGTGGTCTACCTTCGAGAAGTGGTCATGGGGAATAAGATGGATGAGTAGGTCACCCCTTCCCTTTAACTTTCCTCCATCAGCTGCGCTGAGCTCGAGCAAAGGCTAACAAGTTTATTTCAACAGTGTGTTCCTTGTTATGGACTTCTTCGAACACGATCTCAAAACCCTACTAGACGAAATGCGGGAGCCATTCCTCCCATCCGAAACTAAGACGCTACTTTTGCAAGTCGTGGGTGGACTGGAATTCCTCCACGCCAAATGGATTATGCACCGCGATCTCAAAACTTCCAACCTCCTCGTGAACAACCGCGGCGAGATCAAACTTGCCGACTTCGGAATGGCACGCTACTACGGCGACCCGCCACCGAAACTGACCCAGCTTGTCGTGACGCTGTGGTATCGCGCGCCGGAGCTCCTACTAGGCGCAGACAAGTACGGAACAGAAATCGACATGTGGAGCATCGGTTGTATCTTCGGCGAACTACTCACGAAAGAACCATTACTGCAGGGGAAAAATGAAGTGGACCAAGTTTCCAAAATCTTCGCATTAACAGGCCCGCCCAATTCACAAATCTGGCCCGGTTTCCGCTCCTTACCAAATGCGAAATCCCTTCGTCTCCCTCCCTCGTCGACACCGTCCTCGTCCGGAAACAAACCGCCTCTTCTTCCTCGTTCCCGATTCCCTTACCTCACCAACGCCGGTATGCATCTATTGTCCGGCCTTTTGGCACTCAATCCAGCTTCCCGTCCGTCCGCACAGGAGTGTCTTGCCCATCCCTATTTCAGGGAAGATCCGCGCCCGAAACCGAAAGAGATGTTTCCTACCTTTCCCTCAAAGGCTGGAATGGAGAAGAGGCGGCGCCATCATACGCCCGCCGCCCCTCAGCGCGGACAGGAAGCACCCGAGCTGGACTTTGCTGGTGTTTTTGGAGGTGCTCCCGGTGGAGATTCGGGCGAGGCTGGTGCCGGATTCACGCTTCGCCTAGGATAGTCAAATATACAAAAACAGTGACTTTTTACAATATTGAGAAAGGGCTTGGAAAGATGTGCTAGTGCTGGAATATCATGAATTGCTCTGGCTATTCAAATGAAAATGAACGAGCGGATGACTCGCACTATGCATAAACATACATTAGGAATGATACTAATAGGCCATGACCATCCAAAGACCGAGGCAGCAAGACATCATGATGTAAAACCTAACCGAAACATCTCAGCTAGCGTCAGGGAACTTTCAACCCAGTCGTCGGGCTTCATATCCAGTAGCTCTGATAACGGAAGATTCGTCCGTCGATTCACTAAGCCCTAGTCCAGTCCGAGGATCTTGCCGCATGGATCGCGAACCCCCCATTGTTGGAATCCTTTCCGTGAGCTCACGCAGTCTATCAGAAAGAGTCCGGTCGAGGCCACGGCCACTGTGAATACTTCCGTCGCCATAGAAGCGACTTTCTACTTTAACGGGGGGCTGGTCGTCTTGGTCGGGATAGACGCCGCTCGTCTTTCCATCGGCCATGTAGTACTCGTTTCGAGGGAAGGGTGAGAATAGAAGTTCTTCATCAATGGGAGACTCCAATGGACTCCAGATATCGTTAGAATAATATGATGGCGAAGTGATATTTGTCGGCGAAGAGCCTGGAAGGGCGTAGTTGGAATATTCTGATCCATCGTACAAAGACTCGACCGTTCGGCCATAGGGTGTAGAAGAGCTGTGACTATCAGGGGAGATTGGAATCTCATGTGAGTGCGCTGAAAACACCACATGGTTTTTTCTGTAGACCGCCTCGGATTTTCCAGGGTATCCCTGGTCCTAGAGAAGTTATTAGAAGATCCAAGGGGCGAGAAAATACCAAGATGACTTACGGTTCTCAGAGACATATGGCGGCCAAATGGATGGCGTTTCCCAGAAGGCTCAGCCTCACCTCCATCAGTTTGCCTAGCTTGAGCAATTGCAACAGGATTGCACTCTGGTACTTTCAATCGGGCACATGGTATATTCTTGGATTTATCCCGCATTTCACCCGCCCACTGATCCAATAACGCTTGGTATACCCCGGGAAATGCAATTGTGACCATCTCTGAAGGCGGGCTCGGTGTCGGAATTAACTCTTCACGCCCACAGTAGTCGCTTTTTGGTTGATCACGAATTGGTGGTAGGTGCTCTTGAGAAGCAAGAGTTTCAGATTGCGTGACCACTGAGATAGGCGAAGAGGACAAGCTGGAACCCGTGCCCAGAAATCTAGAGACATTCTTCCTCTGGCACGGAATCATATTCTCATACCTGAAGCTTGATGCCGGGGATCCGAGCTCGTCCCAGTCTACCGACGGCGATGGCTGTGTCAAACAGCCGTGTGTTTCGTTGGATGTATCTGTACCTATTTCTCGATTGGTATTTTCTCTCGCATTTGAATCATTAGAACGCCGGTGATATCGAGCGCTTTCTGCGATCGAGCGATACGACGGCGGTTCTTCGGATGCCATACTTACCGGTCGATCATTCATCGGCTCCGGGTCGTCATCGGTGTTGTTGTAGTAGTAGCTTTCTAGTTCGGCAGGTGCCGAGATGGAATTCACTAGAGGTAGAGACAGAGGAGACTCGACCCGGGGTACCAAATTTGAACCTGCTCCATCCAAAGCTGTGGCCCAAGGAGATGTTGATGTTCGGAACAAACAAACACCAAAGCTCAAGTCTTCCTGCGTTGAGTTCGAATGGTCATGTCCTCGGATATGATCTCGCTCACGCCTGGAGACTTCGCGAGAAACATCCTCGATGTGCCTGGAGGGTTCGCAAGACATATCCTCGATAATGGCCTCACTGAAGTCAGTGTTCTCACGAGAGGATAGTCGGAGTAAGCTTGCACGAATTGCCAGCAGCCCTGAACGTGCTTTGTGGATTGATCGTCGTGGGAACTCTTCGAGCCAGGACCCTTGTCTCTTGGGAATCGGAGGACGATGCTTGGAGATCGTGTCGGCGTGGTGGTGGTGATCGTGGTAGAGCGAAAGCTGCAGCCGGGTTATGATTTGGGTTCTGAGGGTCAAAGATAGGGTAATGAATTCTCTCGAGACAAGTTGGCTGCAAGTCCGGTGGATCTGATGAAATGGGCTTGAGTACACTATATTCATCTGTTGAGTTCCCTTCTCAATATCCCGGGGAAAATAAGAAACTCACCTTGCACTTTTCGGGGATGATCGGAAGGCTGCAGATAAAGAGAAAGTCTCACTCCGTCGCTCACGCCTAGGACTGCCCTCGAGCCTGTTTGAGCTCATGTTCGATGCCGACAATCACACACCTAAGGAGACAAGCCCGAGAATAATCAAAAGTCGAACGTCAAACGTCGAGAGAAACAAATGAATCAGGCGGGGGAGGGAGAGCTGGATGGGGAGGAGGGGAGAAGTCTGGAAGTGTGTGATTGTGAATGTGAAAGACAACTACTCGAATAGGAAGGAACGCTTTTCTAGATGTCACACACGGTGTTGGTACTAGTTCCACTTTTAACACCGTCAAATATAGTTGAATATGGCATTCTCACATATTTAGTTTGGAAAGTTATATTCAGATACTCAAACTAGTTACATCGTTGAAATGTTGCTCAATTCGCTACTCGTGAGGTCGTTCACTGTTGAGCTGGTCGAGATGCGGCCCGGGCCTACTCTGTAGAGCTCTCCCCACAGCCACAGCTAAATACTATGGGCCCCGGGGTATTAAGGTGGGCCAACCATAGCACAATGGATACTACTATCTCCTACTACCAGTAGCAAGGCAAATTAGATAAATATCATTTATTTGAACAGAAAGGTTGTTATTTATAAGTAGTACTTTTAGATAGTTCTCTTCATCTCTCGTTGAGGTGTAGTTAGCAACGGGTGACAAGTGACCATCATCTTGGCACTGGGCTGCAAGTCACCATTACTAGTCAGGGTCCTTCTATCCGTAAGGTTTACCATATGTGGGATTTAGATTTCGATCCGCCGTGATGATCATCTAGGTACCTGATCATGACAAGACAATGGCATGTGAATCAATTGCTGAGCTAACCAATGCAGTCTCGGCTCCAAGGCCCCTGTTTCTTGATCCATCATGTTCCACCTCCGGCGGCGCTGGAGGTGGAACATGTGACAGATTACAGTAGTTGACGATGTCATAGAAAGACATAGAATCCCCCAAGCAAGAAACAAGGAGAGCGAACATGTGTAAGTTTATCCATGAACTTGTTTTTGGCTGGCCGGGCCTTGCTGGGGTGGCTGTGGGTCCCTGATTTTCCTGCACGTCAAGAGCGACTGCCCCACCAAATCTGGTTTGGGTGATGACGCAATATGATATCAGCGACTCCCCAGGCCAACTATAAAATAGGCCATTCCTCTCCACGAATCTATTTTTTCCATTCACCAAGAACAACTCTTCTACATCATCTCAAATCATCTTCTAAAACTTTTCCATCAACACCCCCATCAATTTTCATAATGGAGACCGTCAAGGTACGCAGCACCAGCCTCAGTGCCAAAACATTGTTCGTCGTTACTAACATGCAATGCAATATAGAACGCCGCTCAGTACGTCAGTGAGACCGTCCAAGGCACTGGTGCCGAAGCCTCCAAGGAGGGCAACAAGCAGGTTGCCAAGGACAACGATGCCAACATCAGCACTCGCGCCTCCGCCGCCAAGGATGCTCTGGTCGACAAGAAGGACGAAGTGTCCCACGACACCAAGGCCGATGTCAACAAGGGTAAGCCAACCAACTAGTACTTGTCATCATTCCGACTGGACACTAACAATCCAACAGAGAAGGCTAAGAACTAAGTCATCTGCCCAGCGCAATGATTAGTCGATTCACTCCGCCGACAGGCCGGATTTGCTTTACTTTACAGGCGGCCATGACGCTTATGATGATACATTTTATGTAAACTACGAATAAGATACCATTTCTGTTTCGAATTCTCCCCAGTAAACATTCCATGCCTAGTAGTAGTACACCTCTTAACACTGTTGAGCTTATGAACGCTCAGCATTCCCTGTTTGAGGACCTGACCGCGTTCGGTTTAGCGTTCCCGTAGGCTTGTACCTCACTTCGCGGCCTCTCCACTCCTCCACCCTCCCACCAATGCCAAACAAGCAGTATGACTGTATGGGTGTAATAGATATCGCAAGTGAGATCGTTTTCGGCCACGTTCCGCTTTTCGATCGGACAGCCCCTGTCACTATCCAAACATGGATCCCAATCCCACCATAGTTATCTATGCTTGTCACCGATATTGACCGTTGCCCCCAGCGGCGTCACATCAAAGGTGGGGAAAACTTTTGTGAAGATATCCTAAATCGTGCATTCAATCATACACTTGACCGAAATGGCTACAACCATGTCCATATTCCCGCTGATTTTGACTTTCCGAAGCCTATCAAGATGAACTTCTGAGGTTGTATAGTATTTCTGCAAATATGAACCCGAATGGATCTATCCGATGAAAGGATTTAATGAACACTCAGGCAGTCTCATTTCCTGAAAAAGAAGCCAAGTCCATGGCTCTCGAACCATTGTTTGTCCTTCGTCCAGCCTCCGATAACCATATTATTGCCAATCTTCACAACCTCTTCAATTTGATCCTTGCTACCCCATCCGGGCACCCTACTACCCCAACAGATCAGGTGAACACCAACGTGGATTGCAGTGCGGAATGCCATTTCATCACTCAAACCGCCGTATCCTTGAAGGAGCCCTTCAATGATCCAAACGCCAGCTTCAGCCTCTTTGAAAAGTTTCGTTTCGTATAGTTCAGCGATCATCTGACCGAGGTCTAAGGCCCGGCTGCCAACTTGCGCCAGCTCCCAGTCAACAACAAACAAAGTAGTGTCGAAGTGACTGCCAATCGCAACGTTGGGAATGAGAACGCTAGGAAACACAATTTGTTAGAACCCTTGCCATATCAAGAAACCAAGGGAAAGCAGAGATCTAGCATACTTTCCAGTCCAAAAATCTCCATGGATGATTCCAAATTCATCGCCATGGTTCTGTTTCGTCAACTCGGTCGCAGCGAAGTCGCGAACTTGTTCAAAAACATCGCGACTCTGATCAAGAATATCGGGAAAATTCGCAATCGTGTCAATCAACATTGTGTAATTCACCCAGAATTTGAGTTGTTTCATACTTTCATTTTCGCTGAGTGTTGCCTTGCATCTCAATTGATCTTTGCTGTTGCCCCAGTCATGGAAAGATCGCAGCCAGGATCCGAGCGCGCGACCGAGGGCTTCAGCCGAGGATTCGGACACCTCACTCGACACATTTGAAAGCAGGAAGGTCTTCAAATCAACAGAGCCAGGGAGATCTTCAACGATCTGCGTATCTGTATCTATATCAAAATTCAGAAGTTCAGGTGCTTTGACAGTCACACCAGCCTCAGAATAGGGCGGTAGACCACTCAGTGCGCGAAGAATGGCCACTTCAAAGTGCTGGGCAGGAATTAGCTTTCGTGCCTTTGTCTGACATCGAGCAGTGAGCACCAACACATCTCTTACTATCAATCTTGAAGTTCGGATTCGAGGCAGAATGTCCTTTGGTATGTTTGATAATGATGGATTTTGTGGATCCGGATAATATGCCCCGATATACGAAATTCGCAGTGCCACCGGAAAGTCGACTCAAAGACGAGCACGCGAAAGATGTCGGTAGGAGACTTTGAGAGATCTGATCACGCTCTTCGTCTTGTTCCACTGCATTTGTTGCCATTTTTGAATATACTCTTGAGCAAAGAAAGTATGGAGAAAGGCGAGATTGGCTAGATTCTTGACAAAACCCAATACTAATCAGGCTTGCCCGTGTTTGTGGGGAAATATGAAGAATATGAAGGATGCTTTAAAATTAATCACTGAGTATACACCCCAGCAGAGTGGGTCACTTTCCATCCAAACATAAAGAGAATGAGTCGCTTTCGCGCACTCGCCGAGTAATGCATGGCGGAAATGACTCATCTCGTATTCCAGCCCGACGTAGTACAGTATTGGATACCTCACCCCACTTAACTCAATTGCAGAATTTTGGTTGAAAATATCGAGTACCATAAAAGCGACAAAATTCATACTTACTACTGTTAATGATGTCATATAAAGTGGTCTAACACTGAGCCTTTGTACTCACATGATATGATAGAGAAGCCTAGGCGAATAATGGAAATCTATACTAATGCAGGAAAAGGATTGTTGAAAAGTTGTAATACTTCGAAACGAGCACATGAGGGATTACTGGCTAATCCTTTTCAGCTCTACTTAGGCGATCCCTGGCCATTGATTGTCCTTCCGATTTCTCGCCTTATCTTGCTCTATACGAATTTATCGTATTGTCATGCAGACTTGCCAATCCAGTTTATTTAGAGATTAGGTATTGCTTTTTTTTTGATTTTGTGGAATATTGACGCGAGTAGAGGCATTAATTGCAACTATCTATATGTAGTTGCTAAGACCACTATTAAACTAGTCAAGAGCAGTAGTAGATTCGACCAAATCCATTCCCCCAACAGCTATTTCTTGAAATACCGAACCTGGTATCCCGGTCAGGATGTTCTTCGACTGCCCAGCATTATCCCAGAAGATAGCTCCCTCTGCAACTCGCTTTGCAAAATAGCTGCGATACCCATCTCCACCAGGGAAATTATGGCGGTAAGAGTTCAAGCACCACACGACATGCCCAGTGGCGTATTGCTCAAGACAGTCGAGATACCGAACCAAGGTAGGGGAAATGCCTTTGTCCGCATTGGCTTCGAAGTACGCCTTCTTGCGTCGATGGTACTCCGCGTCCATCTCGAGGCTTTTCTCTCTCAGCCGTACTCTTGCCCCATTTACGGAAAGGCCTACTAAGTGCTTTAGCAACTTGACAGAATTTATGATCGGGACCTTCCCGCCACTTTCCTGATAAGCTCTTAACTCCTTAAACCAGGAATAGTAGTCGTTGGAATAAGCCCATGAACACGCAAAGACCAGCTAATCTGAAGCGCTATAGCGCTTTCTTCTTGAGTTATATTTAGATTGCATGCAAATAACCCTACTGCGATAACACACCTAGAGAGAAGTAAGTTTGGTGAAAACCCGGCTTTTACTTCTGTGAAGATAGAATATATGATTGACCAAAATCCGCATTTCGTGAGGGGAAATGCCCATCCAGGCGGCCACCGGGGAATTTCCACTAGCCCCACGGTCAGTCTTCCTGAGATGGGAAACTGTCCGGTGGGCTTGTCGATCATCCGGCGTACCTTGAGCACTGATCTTGCGACCCCTTTTACCTTTCAACGGTCGAGATTTTGATGGTCTGATTCGACAACAATGCCTAGGTCCGTCGATCAGCTCGGAATCACTCCGAGAAGTGGTGGATATGCAGTCTTCAGCGAGCTTACAGCAACGTGTGACACGTTTCCCCCAGTTACTCAAAATTCTCAGACAAGCTTCTTCTCAAAAGTGCAATTGATCGATGGGAGACGTCAACCCCTGCATACACGCCAGATGAAGAAAGCCGTCCGCTATATGCACTAGGACAAGTTGATTCGTTTCGCATTGCTTACAAATTGGCAAGAATAAATTAAATGATGTAATTTAATTTCCAGGCGTGAAGCTCAATCATTCAAACGGCCGAGACTTCTGCATAGCATAATTCTCCTATTGTTTACTCATCAACTAATTACGGTAGACCTCCACGGAGAGATTATATTTCATGCCAAACTGTATAAGACACCTAGGTATTTTGATGGCACCATTCAATTATTCAACTGAATAATTATATCATCGACATTGAACTTTCTAGTGGTCTTCGTGTTCATTTTTTGCTTCCTGTATACACATTGTCAACGCAGCATAGTCGACAGATACCATTTGCCCTTTTGTCTCGATGTCGGATTATTATCCGATATCTCTCTTGCAAGGGCAAAAATTTCCAATTTCTCCCTACTGAAAAAACCTTTAATTTACAATGGAGTGACGGGTATTTATGACGCTAATACTTATGAACCTGAAAACCTGTTGAAAATAGACACGAGAACTTAATATTATTTTCTTCCCGGGGAGAAAACTTAGAGAAGCCTAATATAGGTATTTCCATTGCCTTAGTGGGAATTTGTCGGCCCATTAGGCTAGCCTCGTACTTCCGCTACGGTTCTAGAACTTGACGGTAGACTTGGCGACTTAAGTACCCACCGCAAAAGATAGTTTCCAGTCTTTATAGGCAATACTGAGTGAGGCCCTATGGTTCATTAAAGAAGCTGTGAATTGGTTCGTGGTCGTGTGATGGCTCGTGTGGTGGCCTTGACGTTTGATAATTACAGATCTCCAGGAATTCCCACATTCTAATCATCCTAGTTTCAAATGCCACTAAAAGAACCCCTCCGAGCGACGGTGGGAACATTTGCGGGTCCGCAATTCACGTAATTTCTCCTCTCTGGCCTTCTGCCCGTGCTTCTTGGTGGAGAATCAAGGGAATTTGTGCACCGATAAGCAGAATTACCGGCATATGACAGCCGAGGTCCCCGCAGCTGATTAGAAAACAGTGATCTGTGTGTGACTCGGAGTGACAGGAAATCAAATACTCAAGGCATTGGATCGCAGGGAGTAGGCGGCTATTTTCTTTATGTTTGTGAAGTATACATTGAGATTCAAAATTTGGTACCTAGTGCGCCACACTATCTTCTGACGATTCCAAGGTGCAGAAATAATTCAATCAAGTTCCTGTGGCTTTCTAGGTAAAGTTAAAGGGGGCCCAGGTCGTTTGTACCTCAGTGTTCATTGTGGATACTCGGGGCACTGTCCAGAATTTACATTGATCTAGGCGGGAGTAAACGGATGATTTTCCCGATCCAGATCTCCCCGAACGTACCGAGCCCCAGCCCTAGCGCCACCGGTCTCTCCGATCCATTATTTGAGGCTCAATCAGAACCGAGTATGATAATCTGGGTCAACTCCTCAGCTAGAAACTGTGCAGATGGATAACCTTAACCCTGGGTCAGCACGTGGATTAGTCTATTTATTTTCTTTAGTGAAACAATTCCCCACGTTGCCCATTTGAGACAACCATGCCGAAGCAAAAACATAAACCAGCTGCTGCCCCCCCGGTGCGAAATTCTCCCTTTTTCCAAGAACCACCTGGCACATTTCCATGATGAGAACCCATTTGTATCTACTTAGCCTCCTGGCTTTGCTGGTAGTGGGGATACGAGCAGCAAGCTCAACTGCAACGCAGTTTCCTTCTTGTGCTGTGAGTACATCCGAGTCTTGTAGGGTATCATGACTACCTGGCGCTGACAATTCTCCCAGCTGAACTGCAATGAGAACTTATTTTCAAGTTGTTCCCTCAACGATAACAGCACATGCTTCTGTTCTAGTGACTCGCGCCCGTCTGATTTACTGAACTGTGTTGAGAGCAATTGCACAACCAAGGAGTTTTTTAGTGAGTTTCACTTGCGTTTGATCGGCGTCTTCTCAATTTACCTAACACTCTCAGCTACAAAACGGCAGTATGAAAAAGAATGTGATATTACGCCGCTCAAGGGCCCTCACGTGGTCAGTGGGTCAACTCTGACTCCTTTAATTCTTGCTTCGATCTTTTTCGTGGCGAGGATATTCGCCAAGAGCAGCGGACTTGCGGGCGGGTGGGGATGGGATGACTATACAATCATTGTTTCATATGTGAGTCGGTCGTGTCTTGTCTCATTCTCGGTATGCTAATGACAGACAGTTCATGGGCCTTGCGATTTATGTTCTTCATGTCTATAGTAAGTTGATGCTCCCCCCGACATCTCTCATATAAGATCTAACAAAACGCAGTGGTACGATATGGCTTCGGTCAGAATATTTGGGACATTGATTTCCCCGAAATCACTGAATTTTATAAGGTTCGATCTCTTTTCACCCAATTAAAACCTGTTGTACTAACAAAATCCAGCTTTTCCAAGCCCTTGCAGTGATGTACAAAATACAGATATCTCTGGCAAAAATCTCGGTTGTTCTCTTCCTACTTCGCATTTTCCAAACCCCGATGTTTCGCTATGTCGCATATGGTCTCATCGGTATAAATGCCGCAATCGGTATTACATGGGCATTCGTGGATTCATTTCGTTGTCTTCCCGTGCATCTCACCTGGAATGGCTGGACGAACGAAGAACCCGGACAGTGTATCAACTTCATCAATTCTATTTTGGTCAATTGCCTCGTCAACATTTTTGTGGATGCGGTTACTATTGTGCTACCCGTTTGGGAAGTGAGCAAGCTGCAAATGCCGCTGCGAAAGAAGATTACTGTGGCACTGATGTTCATTGTTGGCTCACTGTACGTGCTCCTAAATTTCACTTCGATGGGCTAAAAAGGTACTAATCCGCATCACAGCCTCACCATTATCGCCATTATCAGGGTCATTGTCTTCTGGAATAATCGCTGGGGTGTCAACCAGACCGTCGGCCTTTACCCACTCATCTACTGGTCTGTCATCGAATGCCAAATTTCTATACTGTGCGCCTGTCTGCCTGCATCCAGAGCCCTTATTGCTCGTTGGTTTCCCGCATTGCTGGGTGGTTCTTCTCGGGAAACATACGCCAGGACATATGGGTCTGCGGCACCAGGAGGACGAAGCAACAGAGCGAATTATGGGCAAGACAGTGCCATAAATAAATCAGTCACCTATTCTGTCAAGTATGCGGCACGGTCACAGAATGATGATTCTAACAGCGACGTGGAGCTTGTTGACAGGGACACAAGACAGAGCCATCATTAGGCAAGTTCTCTGCTACTATCCTTTATTTCGTGTACAGAAAACCATGTGAGTTAATGAGCTATATAATAGTACTAGTATGATATAATGAGATTGAGCGAGTATAACATGCGTAGTACCAGCGAGTATTAATTAAGCCAGAGACCTTGGAAGACTTCTCTATCCAATCGTACTAGATAGGAGCATTAAAACAATACTGAAGAATGTGAGAGCTCTCCTGCAAAGAACCTTGAAAGCCTTGTCTCTCTGTAGCCCTTAAAATCAGCACCTGAATATTCTATTTGATTGTGGATCTGGCATAACCCTGCAAGTTCTCAATAAAATCAACACTTCCATCTAAACAAAGTTTATGTCAAGCTCTAACTCTATGACCAGGTGCTGCTCAAATGTACAGGAAGTGATGGCAAACTTTGCAGTTGGGTTTCTTCGGCCCGGCATTTAAGATAAATATTCCCCATCAATCAATCAATGATCCGCTTGGCCAGGATGCTAGAAAGGAATTGGAAATCAAGCTCACTGGGATCCTGCGGTCTTGAGATCCACATAAACTTTGCCGAGATTGAGATTTGCTGGTCGAAACGGATAAACTGTCTCTCCAGACTCATTCTTTTCCTCATAGGTGGTTGTGTGTACCTTCCCAATGACGTTTGCGTTGAACTGCGCCGGGGGAGTCGACCAAACCTTGAGGACAGCTTCAGAGCCAGTCTCAATTTGGATACCCCGGAAACCTAGCGTTGCCGAGCGTTTCATCATCTCTTCGGCCAACTTCCTCATGAGTCCACGGCCTTCGTATGGTCCGCGCGTACTAGTGGCGTTGCGCATCAGTACCTGACCGCGACTAATGGGTTTCCATGAGGCAGGGTCGCGCGTGTCGAGTTCGTTTAAAGCCTTGTAGGCTGTTGCGAACAAGGGTAATGTCCCGATAACCGGCTTCATCTTTTCCATATCAAGCTCATCGATGCCATCATAAGCCATAGCAACTGAAACCAATGGGAAATCCATCTGGTTCTCGAGGTCGCGCTCAGTAGCACTCGCGTCGTCAAGGTCCCAGTACAGCTTGCCTCCAGTAGCTGCAGACTCTGGTCGCTTGAATTGGTACTCTTTGTCAAAGATACCAAGGGAAAATCCAGAGTCGATCTGGTGCTTCATCATGTAGTGCCCTGTACTGAACATTTGATATGTCCGCTCAGTTCTGTTTTCGGGATACAGAACTGGCCACAGTGGAGAGAAGAACATATTCGTATGGGCGCAAATAGCCCCAACCCATTCTGTATGTTCTGGTCCAAGAACGCGAACTTCATATCTCGGAGGAAGTGATGAGCACATTCTGATCGGAGTTCTGGTGTGAGCAGGAAAAATGGGTTTGAGGGGCTCTGAGGTGAGATTCAAAACGCGCCCTGAATTGGGGCCAACTTTGGGGCCAACTTGTCCAATATGCACCTGGCCCCGCCTTTCTAAAACAATTCATCTAAATTTCACCCAATAGCATATCTGGTAGGCTATTAGAATTGAGTGTCCTCTGATTTGATCACTGAGCCTGATCATGGCATCCATCAATAAAGCACGAGATGCTATCTTGATTATTTTGCAATCTTTCCCCTTTCAGACAACACTCACTACTCGCCAGGAAACTCTTCATATATAGTCACCAAAATTTCCTTGGTCAGTTAGCCAAAGCTAACCATGCAATGTGATAAAAAAGAAGTAGTAAGCTCCTAAAACACCTATTCCTCGTTAGTAGTCACATCGCGCATTGCCGACTTGGGTTGAACCGAGCGGGATTGAGTGGAGTCATGCGACGAACTCCGTTCGAAGAGAACGACGGGGGGGCCTAAACTTACATTTTTAAGGATCGAAATCAGCCTCATATTTCAAATTCTTTTTCGGTGTTCACCCTGTTACAATTACCGAATTTTGTATCATAAGTTTTCACAAACATTTTGCTTATCTCGTGGCCCCCAAAATGGATTTATCGCATGACGTGCACCCGTCGCGGAAAATATTGCTCGTAGTGACAACAGGGGGGATTTACTCATGCTGGTAAGCATAACTAATGGGACTTCAATTAGTCATGAAACACTACATTACTAACTTGATATTTGCAAAACGAAAGGCCCCGTTTTAGAGATTGGTAGGGCCCTCGCCGAGCGTGGTCATGTCATTGAATTTGCGACTCTTGACGGCCAAGAAAGCTGGATCAAGCCCGATGAATACGGGTTTGTCACTAAAATTCACACTATGGGCCCTGGTCCGACACCTGAGCAACTAAATGATCATTACCGTCGAATGCAAGCTTGGGACGTCCGTAAGGGCATCGAACCAACATTCATTTCCAAGTCCATGTTCGACTCTTACTGGCCTCAAACATATTTCGGTCTCAAAAAGATTATCGAAGATCTGAAAACACGCCCAAGCATGATTGTGGCTGATTTCTTCGTGGAGGCCGCTAACGATATGCATGTCGAGTATGACCTACCAATTGCTGTTGTCTGTCCTAACTGGCCACCGCTACAATTGCCCTGTCCTTATATTCCCGGTCAGCCAGGGTTTCAACTTCCTGGGACTATGACCTCGGAAGATGCTTCAATGTGGCTACGTTTCAAAAATGAAATTATCATTTTGCTTGATTTGCCAGCTATCATGAGGCTTTTCAGTCGGACTAGACAAATGCGTCATGAGCATGGCGTTTTACGCCCACTTCACAAGCCCAAGAAGCCGGACTATCTGATATTTGTCAACTCTTTTGCCGGCCTAGAGATTCCACGAGACTTGCCTCCTACCTGTTCTCCAGTCGGGCCTCTATTGAGCCCTAGTTGGGATCCTTTGGATACAAAGTGCGGAGAATTCTTGCACAATCACAAATCTGTTCTTTACATCGCCCTTGGCACACATATCATTCTTCCCCATAAGGATGTCGCCAAAATTATAGTGGGGGTGAGTCGTCTGATGAACGAAGGACTTGTCGACGGTGTGATCTGGGCTATTCCGAAAACTGGCCGGAATGACATCGATACCAGCCAGAGCTTCAATACCACGACCAAAGGCAGAACGGCAGATATTTCTTTGGCGGATATGCTAGCAAACAAACATCCCGACTGGGTGTTCCCATTCTTTGCTCCACAGCGTGCCATCTTGGACCATACCTCTACCAAGCTCTATTTTACTCATGGCGGCGGCTCTAGTGCAAACGAGGCCCTTTTTCATGGGAAGCCAATGCTATCCATGGGCATATTTTTCGACCAAACTGCCAATACAACAAGGCTTGTAGCCGGCGGTGTCGCTGAGTCTCTCGACAAATTCACGTTTACCTCTGATGAAATTTATATGAAATCGAAGAAAATCCTCGACTCCGGGGATGATGGGCTTTACAGGCAGAACGTGTTGCGCCTGCAACGTATCGCCCATATTGCAGCGCGTCGCAAAAACCACGCAGCGGATCTGATAGAAGAGACTATGTATGATAATGAGCTTCGATTTGATAAGAACGGCAAAGAACTGCGTCCTATGCATCTGCAGACAGCAGACTCGCGCATGTCCACATGGAAAGCCAATAATTGGGATCTTTGGACCGTCAGTGCATTGGGTTTGGTGGTTGTAATGGGATCGATGGGGATTGTGACAAAGTACTTTTGGAAGCACCGTCAGCCAATACTCGGAAAGCTATACGCTCTCATTCTCGGTGGATGGAGGCTTGTCAATCGGAATGTCTAGCCGTGAGACACCACGCCAATAATCGTCACACAGCGCAACAACTTTCTTTCAAACATCAGAGTAAATTAGGGCATAGTGGCGAGAAACCTTTTAATATCGACGTATGGCGCAAATGTACTATTAGTAGTAGTCAAACATAAATCGTTTTTAGATTGAATTCCAAGGCGCCACCTAGTATCTACTAGTACTAGGTACAATCACTCGAGCTCATTCAAGTTTTCCATGAAAACTTGAATGAAGGATTTGAAAATATGGTAGATTTCCCTGAGCTTGAATAGACCAAAAGGTTGAAAAATGGTCGATATGGTTTCAAGTATATCTTCCATCAGGAGTGTTGCAGGCCGTGCCGATCCCGGCTCCACCCAAAGCGCCGAGAGCTGAGGTTAAGGTTCAAGTTTCTAAGGTTCCCAAAGTTCCTCCCTCCCACTCCCGACTTGAACTCCTCTGCCCACTCGCACATTCACACTCAGTCATCATGCCGCCGAAGAAGCAAGTCCCAAAGGGGCCATCTCCAAAGGGACCCTCTTTTGACGAGATCATCCAATCCGGTAAACCTTCATCCCCATCCTAGTGCCCGGCCCTAGGAAAACGGCCTCGTCCCTGACGCGTTTCAGATCGCCAAAAGAAGCAGAATGAGTTGTTGGCCAGTCAAATCCTCGGAAAGAACAAGAACAAGAAGGATCGCAGAGCGAGTGCGCCAGGCTCAGGCTCAGGCTCCGGCGCACTGGGCAGGGCACAGCCTGCGAAGCCCGGAAGCCTGGCTAGCCGCATCGCAGCTCCGGGCAAGCTAAAGGTATGATCACAACTGTGCTCGTGAATCCACGCGTTCAACTCTCTAACAGTCGTCCCGCAACTCTCAGCGATCCGCATCGGCCTCATTCCGGACGAGCCAGCCACAACCCCAGCCTCAACACAAGACCAAAGTTAAGACCAACCCGACCCCTGCAACTGTCGGAGCCGCACGATCACGCGAGAAGCCCGCGCGAAAGAAGACTCAGAAGGAACACCCGCACTCTGAGCGCCTGCTTTCCCTTGTCCAGAATGCACGGGATGCCAATCCTCATCCTCACCCCAAACCCAAAGCTGCAAAGAGTGGCCTGTCGATTAAGGGCGCCTCGGGTCCATTCATTGTGGTGGGGAGCAATTTTTCCCCAGGGACATCTGCCGCAGATATCCAATCTGCATTGGAGGCTAGGACTGGACCGATGCTTAGCTGCCGTGTCATCAGTCACTCGCCAGCTGTCACAGCAGAGATCGCCTATGCAGAGAAGGAAATTGCGGAGAACACAGTCGCAAACTTTGACAATCAATGGGTATGATCCCAAAGCGGACCCCGATCAACTTATAACTTCCAGCTAACATTTGCACTATAGGCGGACGGGCGGAAATTAACTTTCAGGCTGAACGTTGTCGGCAACACCACACATGCCAACACGCAAAACTCGTTCAACAATATCCGGGAACAAGCCGACCGCGATCGCCGCAATCGCCGCGCAGAACCGCAAGTACAAGACGGAAGTTACGGGTTCGGCGAAGAGGGCGAAGCTCTCCGTTACAACCTGCCGCAGTCAAATCTTTACAGCGATCAGATGATGGTGGATACACAGCAAAACAACAAAAGTCGGAGGCGGTAATGAGGGTTCTTCGAGCTTGATGTAATACTTCCAAAGCGATCTATCGGCCTGCAGACTCAATGTACTAGTTGTCCTACATCCTTAGTCTATCTATATCACGAATTGTATGATTATTCAGGAATTGACGGCATAGGAACCCATCCCATGTAAAGAAATCCAATGCTGATAAAGATAAGATCACGTGCGGCGGAGCTTTTGCGGAGCAGAAACGCAGCAGAACGAATAAACTCTAGACCTGTGCCTTTGGCTCGAGCGCAATTGTCGAATTCAAGCGCTGTAATTTCGCTCTCTGATTCTCGCCCACTCCGAAATACTCAGTGAGGGCTCACCAGCTCTGATTAAGCATGAATCCCGCCGCCAGGCGCATCGCGTCCCATGCCTTGCGGAGGTCTCGCAACACGGTACTGTCGACATATTCACGGCGATGCAACTCAACATTCGAGCAAAGACAATGGTCGACGCCCTTAGCACGTATATTGGCCGGTGCCATGAAGGTAAGTCTTGCCTGGTAACCGGAATACCTCGGCATGTATACTGACAACCAACACACATCTAGGTCACAGGTCCTATCCCCATCTCAGCCTTTATGCGCCAGGTTTTGACCTCACCGGAAGGAGGATATTACACCACTCAGGAGGGTGGAGCTGTCTTCGGTAAACACGGTGACTTCGTCACGTCACCTGAAATCTCTCAAGTGTTCGGCGAGTTGATCGGAATCTGGACAATTGCGGAATGGATGGCTCAGGGCCGGACGAGAAGTGGTGTTCAACTGATGGAGGTTGGTCCGGGCAAGGGAACCCTCATGGATGATATGTTGCGGGTAAGTTGTCAAGCACCAGGTTCTGCATTTGGTTCCATCCAATTGAAGAGCGTGAGATTAACCGATGATATGACAGACATTCCGGAATTTCAAGAGCTTCTCTTCCAGCGTCGAAGCTATATATCTCGTTGAGGCTAGTCCGACTTTGCGACAGCTCCAAAAATCAACCCTTTGTGGCGAAGAGGCGGCGATGGAGGAGACGGATATCGGTCACCGGAGTATGTGCAAATACTTTGATGTGCCGATCATCTGGGTAGAGGATATTCGTTTGTTGCCACACGGTAAGTCAAAAAGGCAGAGCAGTAGCTATGGAGAGAGCAATTGGCTAATATGTTACTTATCAGAGGAAGGAAAGACCCCCTTCATCTTTGCACATGAATTCTTCGACGCACTTCCCGTCCATGCCTTTGAATCTGTCCCCCCATCTCCCGAGAACGAACCGCAGCCCAAGGAGATCATGACTCCGACCGGACCGCAGAAGTTACATGAGCCATTGAAGGTTGCTAATACCCCTCAGTGGCGAGAGCTACTTGTCACCTTGAATCCCAAGGCTGTTGAAGAAAACATCGAGGGCGAACCCGAATTCAAATTGACCAAGGCGACGGCCTCGACCCCTAACTCCCTCGTGATCCCCGAGGCCTCCGAGCGCTACCGCGCACTCAAATCACAGCCTGGCTCAACAATTGAAGTCAGCCCGGAGAGCCGCATCTATGCCGCAGACTTCGCCCGTCGTATCGGTGGCGACGGTGCACCTACCCGGTCTGCGAAGGCTGATGCCCAAGAACCGGTTAAGAAGACACCTTCAGGAGCAGCTTTGATCATGGACTACGGCACTGCCTCCACTATTCCAATCAACTCTCTACGTGGTATTCAAAACCATGAGATTGTGCCATTTCTGTCATCGCCTGGCCAGGTTGACGTCAGTGCGGATGTTGACTTTACTGCTCTTGCCGAAGCTGCTCTAGAGGGAAGCGAGGGCGTTGAGGTTCACGGACCTGTGGATCAGGGTGACTTTCTTTCAGCGTTGGGGATTGAAGAGCGTATGCAGCAGCTTCTTCGGAAGGTCAAGGATGAAGAGCACAGAAAGACTCTAGAAACCGGCTGGAAGAGATTGATTGAGAAGGGCGGCGGCTCTATGGGTCAGATCTATAAGGTTATGACCATCGTTCCGGAGAACGAAGGCCAGAGACGTCCTGTTGGGTTTGGAGGGGGTATTGGAATGCCTTGAGTATAGATCAAATCATCCATTAGTACCAACATTGTACAATAACAAAAGATGGAGAGAACATAGAAATGTATTATAATAGTATACTGGATAACTCAAGTTATTACAGTCAACCTTGGAATGAATTACTAGTATTTGTCCCAGACTTTGAAATTTTCCTTGGTACAATCCCGAACAAAACGCATCTTGTTATGTATTCATTGCGAGTGGTCTATGTCGTATCTTCTAATCTGTCACCGTGTTCATTTCTCATAAAGCATAGAGCGATATCTCCGTTCCGTCTTGACCGTTACAATAACAGCAGAAAAGGGAATAATAACAAAAATAATAGTACCGACCAAGACGGAACGACAACCCAGAAGCAGCGCTCAGTAGGATCTTAATATTCTTGCCAGATATCTTCGGCATATGCCTCTGTCAGTTTCTCATCCTTGCCATACTTCTCCTGCCACTGAACGAATCCGCCCTCAAGCACATAGACCTCTTGCTTCTGGTACTCCTCGGGGCTCAGAGTACGCTCCCGCTCACGGGTATAGCGGAGTGCAGAAGAGGGGCCGCGCTGCTGGCTAAGAGCACAGTGGAAAATCACCTTCTCCTTGTCTTTGAGAGTGCGAAGTAGCTCTGGCAAACGAACGTCGAGAGAGGAGGTTGGGACCCAAATCGACGACTTGATGTGGCCACCAATATGATCTGTTAAAGTCAGCAAACTATGTTGAAGATAATCGTAGGAGGAGTGAGCATCAGTCATACCAGAGTCTCGAACATCGATGATTGCAAGCTTATCGGATGCGGTGGTAGATGTGAGGAGGGCGCTCAGAGCCTCGCGACTCATGCGCGGGAGTGTTCCGATAGAAATGGAAGACATGACTAAACTATTATTTCAGCTAGATCTTGCAATTTGCAATTTCATGTAAACCGAAAAAAGTGAAGTGTAGTGTAGCCAAAGCGGCGCGCGTGAATGCTCCACGGCGTTCAAAGCTGCGGAGGTTCACGTGATCTACAATTTCAATCGATCCGCTCCGCCTCTCGCGACCAACTCCAAATCCCCCCATCACATCCACCTCTTGAAGGAAAGGAAAAACTCAATACACCCAATTGGCCTTGTGCAAAAAGACACAAGTGTTCTCTACAAAAATGGACACTCGAATTCTGGCCCGTGGGCTCCGTGCCCGGCCAACTCCATGGTTGCTGAACCAACAACCTCGATTCCAGCAATCCTTCCTTACCAGCACTCTCCGATACAACTCCTCCTCAAGTACCCCCTCTCAACCGCCCAAGCAAACGCCCTCAAACTCCTCCGAACAATCCACACAACAATCCTCTGAACCAACCACCCCTGCAGCCGCTCCCAAACCCCAAGAAACCGCCAACTCTGCCTCAGACTTCGACGAAATCCTCAACAAACTCGACCTAGGAAACCGCGGCACACCCACAGATGCCGCCAACCGCCGCGGCCGTCGCGGTCTCAGCGACTCCGTTTCCGAGAACGTCGCCTCCCTCAGCGCCAGCGCGGGCAAACACAACCAGGAACGCATGGCGCAGCAACTCGCCTCACGCAAAATGGAATTGAAGCTAGGACCAACCCTAGGCCGACAAATCCACGTCGAGCCCGAGCGCGGCGTCGACCTCGCTGCTGCGATTCGCAATTTGCAAATCACCTGTGCTACCAACAAGATCAAGGCGCAATCGTTTGAGCAGCGGTTCCATAAGCGCAAGGGTGCGGTGCGGAAGGAGCAGAAGCGGATGCGGTGGAAGAAGCTTTTCAAGTTCTCGTTCCAGGAGACTGTTAAGAAGATCCAGCGGATGCAGACGCAGGGTTGGTGAGATGGAGTACCTGTTGAGGCGCTGTATATACTGAGATTTGTACTGGACGATGGGAATCGGGGTCGATATCCCATTCCGTGTGAGATGTCTACTATCTATGGTAGGTAGACCTTGTTGATTGATACATGTATAACTATTTGCAAACTTTCTTTTTTCCCGCCCCAGCTTGCCATGGATCATCTACATTAGATAGATATGGAATGCATTGGACCTTGACTCGAACTTCTATAACTTCAAACTCCCGTGTATGTGTCTAAGAAACCATGAAGAAGATACAGTACAATTTATGTATAATCATGAATATAGTACAAATCACCCATTCCCTCAATCCTTCTTCCCACCAGGGAAGCCCCCATACCCACCACCACCACCACCACCACCATTCCCATTACCAGCAGAAGGAGTATACCCACCATACCCATTAATACGTCCCCCATTACCAAAAGTCACACCAGACCTACTCCCACTAGAAGGAGACACCCCCAAAATCCCATCCCCCTTCCAAGCCGACCTCCCCCCTCAATCCACCCCGATTCCTCTCCCAATAAAGCGCCCCCAAAGCCCCCACCGAAGCAGCCATAAGAAAGAAAACGCACTGGCAAAGAACCCAGACCCCCCCTCTACAACGATCCTACCCCCAGGCCCCAAAAACGAATACGCCTCCGGTCGATCAGGCCATCCAATCCCCGCACCACCCTCAACCCACGCAACATGGAACGAAAACGTCAACGGCTCGCCGCGAACAACCTTCGTCCCGTGGCCCGGTGTCCAAGGTTCGCGCGCGGCTTGCGCCAGCGCGACAGCTTTGTCATCCTCGTCTAGTTGGATCTTTGCCAGGGCTGCTTCGAATTCGGGGGTTGAGTATGCGGTGCCGGCGACTGTGTACCCGGGTTGACGGGTTTGGGCATTGGAGGTGTCGTCTTGGGCTGCGGGGTCTGAGGCCATGTTGTGCATTAGCATGTTCATGTCTGTCCAGATGTGGAGGTGGCTTTTTTGCAGTGTGCCTTGTAGAGCGATGGTTATGGGTGTGAAGGGTGGGCCGTTGTCGTTTAGTGCGGAAAGGGAGTTTGATTCGACTTCGTTGGTGTTGGTCTCGGAGTCAGAGGAGTCGGGGTCGTTCTTGGAGAAGGCGCTTGAGTGTGTTAGGGGCGCGGTTGGTACGCGACAGGTCATGGGTACGTCGGAGTGCACGTAGAATTCCAATAGGTGGTATAGTGTGTCTGAGAGGGCGGGGACGGTGCAGGTGATTGTTTCTGGAACGCCGTAGTGGATGGAGAGAGGGCGGGATGTCTCATTGCATGTTACGAAGGGCACGTATTGGAGTTTACCCAGACTGTCTGTGATCTGTTGTGGTTGTCAATTGGTTGTTTTGTTGATATTGGGGGTAGATGGGCCTCTCTTCAGGAGGGCTGCGGCGCATACATGTTCTCCGTCCCTAGAAGCGCATTCGATGGTTAGCAATTGTTTTGCTTGGAAGCTGGATAGATTGGATTGTTTATATTTTATGGATCACACTCACAATGTTCGATTCAGGCAAGATATGGGGATTTCCTGGCCCAATGAGTATCCATCCCCGCCGTCGCCACGGCTGTCCCCCGCTGCTGCGCTGAACGGTAACAGCGCACCAGCGATGGAGAGCAGTACGACGGCACTAGAGACTCGAGGTGTGGAAGGCATGACTTTCATGATGTGTTCCAGCCTCCCCGCTCTTGCGAGTTGATTTGTTCTGAGGAGTGTAGAACGCGGCGCGGAGGAGACACGGAGTCTGTTTTTCTGGCTGCAGATCGGTCTAGTTGGCATTTGGCCACCTCCACCGAGGTCCCCCCCCAAACCAACCAACCATGGTAGGCCATGTGAACCATGGAAGTTCACCATTCAACCCCAGATTTTATCCTACTAGTAGCTACCTATCTATTATCGAGGATTATGAATTACTGAAAATGAAATTTGAAACACACTGACATGGATAAGGAACTGATTCAATTTATTTTTCACATACTCATACTAGGCATGAACCTATAACAATTATCATTCGTTGCTCGTCAAAGCCCCATCGTCCTGGATGATCGACCGGGAAAAGGAAATCTACGCCAAGTTGGCCTTTGCCTTGAATGCAAGCAGCAGACCGCTGGTGGAGGCATCGTGGCCGCCGCCCTCACCGTCAGTCTCCAGCTCCTTCTGGATCTTCTTAGCCAGGACCTTGCCAAGCTCGACACCCCACTGGTCGAAGGAGTTGATGTTCCAAATAGCTCCCTCGGTGAAGGTAACGTGCTCGTAGTAGGTGATCAGAGCACCCAGGGTGGAGGGGGTGATCTTCTGAGCCAGAATGGAAGTGGTGGGACGGTTGCCCAGGAAAGTCTTGTGAGAGACAAGGTCGGCGGGGGCACCCTCGGCCTTGACCTCCTCGGGGGTCTTACCAACCATCAAAGCCTCGGATTGGGCGAGGAAGTTGGAAGCCAGCATGCGCTGGTGCTTGCCGCCCTCGACGGGGTTGTGCGACTCGGCGGCCATGATGAAATCGGCAGGAATGAGCTTGGTACCCTGGTGCAACAGCTGGAAGAAGCTGTGCTGGGCGTTGGTGGCCGGCTCACCGAACAGGATGGGGCCGGTTGTGTACTTAACGTACTCGCCGGAGCGAGTGATGGCCTTACCGTTGCTCTCCATGGACAGCTGCTGCAGATAGGCGGGGAAGCGGTGCAGGTATTGGTCGAAGGGAGCAACCAGGTGAGTCTGGGCGCCGAAGAAATCGCTGTACCAGACGCTCAGCAGACCACCAATGGCGGGAATGTTCTGCTCCAGGGGAGTCTCGCGGAAGTGCTTGTCCATGGCGTGGGCACCAGCCAAAAACTGGTGGAAGTTGTCGAAGCCAATGTACAGAGCCACGGACAGACCAATGGCGCTCCAGACGGAGTAACGGCCGCCAACCCATGACTCGAAGCCGAACATGTTCTTGGCATCAATGCCAAACTTGGTGACCTCGGCCTCGTTGGTGGACAGAGCAACGAAGTGCTTTGCGATGTGCGCCTCGTCCTTGGCGGTCTCCAGGAACCATTGCTTCGCGGTGTTGGCGTTGGTGGTGGTCTCGGCGGTGGTAAAGGTCTTGGAGGCGATAAGGAAGAGGGTGGTCTCGGGGTTAGAGTCCTTGATCGCCTCGGCGATGTGGGTACCATCAATGTTGGACACGAAGTGAAGCTTCATGCCGGGTTGGCCGTAGGGCTTCAGGGCCTCGGTGACCATGACAGGGCCGCTGTTTAACAACATTGTTAGCCACGACGCCTTCCAAAAAGTACTATACTGTTCATAACATAGAGGGGAAAACGTACAGATCTGAGCCACCGATACCGATGTTGATGATGGTATCGATCTTCTTGCCAGAGTAACCCTTCCACTCACCACTGCGCACCTGCTCGGAGAACTCCTTCATGTGGTCAAGAACAGCATTGACATCCTCGACGACGCTCTTGCCGTCAACCTCCATGGGCTCATTGGAGGTGTTGCGCAGAGCGGCGTGGTAGACCGCGCGATCCTCGGTGAAGTTGATGTGGTCACCGCGGAACATGGAATCACGCAGCTCCTCAACACCGGCCTCCTTGGCCAGCTTCACGAGCAGGCCCAGGGTCTCCTCGGTGAGGAAGTTCTTGGAGAAGTCGAAGAGGATGTCCGAGTTATCCACGGTGTTGTTGAAGGTGCGGCTGAACTTCTCGAAGCGCTGGGGATCCTTCTCAAAGTACTCCTTGAGCACGATGTTGCGGCCCAGGGTGGTGTGGTGCTCCTGGAGAGCCTTCCAGGAGCTGAGGTCAGTAGCCTGCGAGAATCCAGGCATGATGAAAGTCGACAAAGCTGTAAGTGTAGAAAGTTAGCATTGGTGCGGGGCAGCGGAAGAAGAGGGGAGATGCGATGGGGACGAGAAACGTTGAACGGAGGCGGAGGGGATAGAGCTTACAGAGTATGACAGAGGGGTATCACGGAGAACAAGATGGAGGAATGAAGATGAAGAGAACTTGACGAAAGGAAGAAAGGAAAGGGAAGCAGAAAAAGAATGGCGTCAAGTCCGGCGTGTTGGGGTCCGGTGGAGGGGCCGTGGGGCAAGCATCATCATCATTGCCGCATCCGGGCCTGGTCTTGGTGGCCTGTACCTCTAGTACCTAGTAGGTTTGATTTTGCAGATTAATGTTTAATTGCCTATTACTAGTACCCCCGAGTACCCTAGTACGAACCTACGTACTAGGTATATTTCAATTGCCGACCCTAGTCCAGAGAAGTAGAATAGGCGCTGATTTCCTTACTGGGTGTCCGGTGTCTACTATCGCAGCACACTCCGGGGTCACAGGGTACCTAGTACAGTAGTACTACTAGTACTCGTACTGAGTTGCACTACTTCCAAGGTTGCGCGCATTAGCCGTTGTGAATTGGATCTGCTGACAGAAATAGACCGTTCTAATTATCCGCTTTTTTATCCTCAGGCTGTTTATACTGGACCACCGTTAGACCAGATAGTAATACTACCAGAGGCCCGGGAGTACTACCTATCGTTTCACGTTATTACCTGCCAGTGGGTAATATGTACTATGCCAATTGGGCTGCAGCTCTTGACTTAGCAATTGACATGCCACAGGCCCAGGCCCGAGAGTACTGGTATGCAAGGTCAGCTTGAGCTCAATTGATGTTCTGGAAACATGTCCGGGGCCCCGAGCCGACCGGAGTAGAAATGTCCGAAATAGCGGGGACTTTCACGGTTAGTACTCTGCACCGGTTAAACTTGAATCACTTGGACAGGGTCTAGTTTGTGCCTGATTGAAAAGCATAGCAGGGCTTACTACTATAATACCAATACTAGTACCAGTACTGATTGAGCTGGGTCGTACCTTCCCAGGCGGAGTTCCTGCTGCATACCAACTACGCCGTGGCCGTGGCTTCCCTTCCGGAACTACCAGTAGTACTACTAGTAGTCATAGTCACTCACCCAAAACAAATCACTTGAACAATGACAAATAGCATCGTCGTCCAGTCTGGGTATCACTTGGTCGATCCTGCTCTTCACCCAGAGAATGAAGGACCGCACACAACAGCCTGAGCAGGCTTCAAATTTTCCCATGGCTTGGCCATCAATGTGTTTCAACGAATGAGCTCAGGATCTTCCCCACGATGGTTTCAAGTTCCTCGAGAGACGGGATCCTAAATCGACACACTCGCGTCTGTTCCGTTCCGCTCCGTTCCATAGCGCATCCGCGGTCAGGACAGCCCATTCATGGGTCAAAATTCAGGAATTTACAATCTCAGCAAAACTTCCACGCAACTATTCAAAGCTGGAAGAAGGATTTGAATGACAAATTCACCGGCAACGAGCTAGGTCAGCTCCTCTTGAGCAATTTTACAGGGAATTTGAGACAGACCGGCAGACTCTCACGAGCGGAGTAGGAGCAACCTTCCATCTGTCACGACATGCTGACCGCGTGGCACGAAGAAGATGTTCCTCCTTGCCGGCAATACTACACCACCAGTTTGTGATCGTCCTACAAGGCGACGGGTGGATATTTCAACGACTCTGCGATGTGGAAGGCTACCATCCAAAGGTGCACCTTGACGCAGAGGGCGAGCTTGTCGCGTCTGAAACTCAGCATTCAGCGAGTCGTGTGACACCGATCGTCAACGACCTATTCTACGCTTTGAAAATGATGGAGAAGAGAGGCCGAAAAGCAAAATTGTGATTGGGGTTGGGATGATTTTATTTGGACATACCTAGTCTAGACACGTTCGCGTCGAATAACGATACAAGATCAATCAGAACGAACGGGTGCTCATTTATAGCATCGTGGGTTTGAATCGATTCCTTGATAGGGTAGTGCTTCGATACGTGCGGCGAATGATAGACGCCACCAGACAGATTCCTTATTTTGGGCAGTCGGAATTCGGGTACTTGGGCATAGGCATGTCGGAGGTTGATAGTAACTATTTCATATATAGGTCTATGTAGTACTAACGCCCACTACGACAGCGAGCTGAATTTGAAACTTCATTTAGGGTACGTATAGAGAGACGGATGTTATAGATTAGGTGGCTGCTTACTATAGCTAGAAGCTATTTACATAGTGGTTCCTCTTCCAGCTATTGAGACTGGTCTAAGCTTTCCTTTTGCTGATCTCAAACATTGCTTTAGGACCATGCCAGCATAATATTAGAGATACGACTACAAAGGCATCCGCCCCATGGCATCTATCATTCGTCGTATATACGACAATGTTGAGGCAAAATAGAATAGAGAGGAGATTTGATTGACATTTCGACATCTTGTCACTTGCAATAGTGCCGATGGTCTTTGCTTTTGCGAGTAAAACCAGCCCCATGTACTGGCGTGGCAGCTATTGACACCTATCGACACACAGCAAGTCCTGCTAGACACAGGCGAACGGATCATGGAAGTCAGGACATGCATGAGAGGCTGGATTCCACCGGCTAAGTTGCAGCTTGATATCCAGCGTCAATACTTGATGCGAGTTCCCGGATTTGGTACATGATGTCAAGCCAAGTGTCTCTTTCGTCGAATATTCCATACATGAGTTCGAGGCCGAGGCGGAAAGTTTCAGCTCCGTCGGACGACTTCATCACTTCCGTCATGGATTCCATAGCGTACTCGTTTCGTACAAAATGACTGGGAATACATTTTGCTTTCTTTTGTTTCACGAGACTCAGCAGCATCGCGGTGCTCTTCGCGCCGAGCCGCTTTTTGAGACGCATCGTGGCTAGCTTCGGGGCAGTCGGCGGCAAGCCGAGAATATCATTATGAAAGATGACTGCGAGATCAGAAGCAATGTATGGATCCTTGTGCTCCTGTGGCGAGCTTCCGGGGATTGTATCCGATGTTCCTTGCGATTTTCTGCGAGCGCTTCGGTGTCTACCCCCTTCTAGCAGGCTTCCAGGACGCTTTATATCGTTCACGGCGGTCTGCTCTTGGGTTGGGCCAGGCGGGATCGTATCTGATATTTCTTCAGTGTTTCTGGCAATCTTTTGAGGACGGTCTCCTCCCAGCGGGCTTCCAGGACGTTTTTTGCTGTTCACTGCTGAGCTGGCTGGCTTTGCTGGGCCCCTCGGCCCCATTGGCAGGATACCCTGGACACGCATCAAAATGGACTCCTAGTCCGTATTCTTTCCACCGCCAAATCTCTGGACGAGCTGCGAAAGCGTCTCCTCGACTTCATTGTAATGTTTAAACTCCAAATTAACCAAACGGCGAAGTGCCACCAGCATGCTCGCATCTTTGTCTGTTTCAGGAAAGGCATCGGAGGCTGCGACGGATATGACGCCAAGTTTCACGTTTCGGCGCAATGCGTCGTAGAGCATGTCACCTCCTTTCGCCTTCAGACGACCAAGAGCCATGTCTGCAGATTCGGGCGGAAGGCCAAGCCCAACGTGATGGTCGATTATTGCAAAGTCGGCAAGGAGGATGGGGTCATCCATGCCTGTGTAGGTTCGACTGGGTCGCCTGTTCGCGGGACATGAAGGAGCGTATGGTAAAGGGTCATTTGAAGCGAGGGTACGATTCGACATGGATCGGACTGCATCAAGTTCGTCTCGAATCAATTGTGTCAGCGGATGTTCTTTGTGAGCATTTGGAATATTCCCCTTCAGTTGTTCCATGGATTTCTCGAGTTGATCCGTAGATTCCCTTAGTGCGCCTTTTGTTTTCATCACCTGGTTCCGAGTCTGAGAGCCTTGAACGAGTGTTTCATACCATTTCTGATAAGCCGCTTTGAACTCATGTCTGAGGTCTGTTGCGCGGCATGAGATGTCGATTGCTTTGCTCACGTCGTCCCATGGGAGTGCTAGCTCGGGCCATTCTTTTCTCGCATAGTTGATGAAATCGCTCCCACCGGTTTGCAAAAGGACCATTCCCGGGATAGCCTGCCAGTCCATCGACGCCGTGGGGGGGCTCCTGGGTAGCTTCCTGAGTAGCCTCCTGCAGTGTCAGAGCTTCGGGGTCGTAGTCACCATCTTCCGCGATCCCAGACTCGGTGTTGGAGGCCATGGCATTAGCTCGCGAGTTTGGGCAATACTAGAACCGTAGCATTCAAATCATGACCACGGCTTAGGTATAGTATCCAAGCGAGACTGTTGTGGAGGAGGCAGAGGCAGAGGCAGCGGGAGGAAAACCAAAACCAAAACAATGGGAAAATGGGAAGCTTGACCTTACTACCTAATTCTACCTCGGAAGCCAAGAAAGACACCAATCAGAGGAAAGTGTGCTGCTGCAGATTCGATCGAGGCTCGGTCTGCAATATCTCTAGTACTACTACTGCTGATGCTAGCCAGTGTGTAACCAAAAATTGATGTAGGACATAGCCCCGTGCTCTATATTGTACTCTATGAAGAAATTATAAATATGCAAGAATAGTGTGAAGGAAGTGAAGCCAAAAGTCAAACAGATAATGCCGAACGAAACGGCCAAAAGAACTGAGAACACGCTGAAGATACCAGGTCATTAAGTCATGAAAGGCTGTGAGCTCAATTGAGATCATACGCCTCCTTTTGGGGGATCTTGTCCAAGACACGCTATTTTTTCGGACCATTTCCGATCAGAGCAGATGTTTTGATTTGAGGTTATTAAACAACCTGCTCCTTTCGCTTGAGTCGCTCTGTTCGCTCAAGACGCCATCCAGCGCCCCATCGCATCTCAATGGAAAGAAGCGGAACCATGCAGAGAGTGATACATGCCAGCAACAGGAATGTAAATTGGGCTGTGATGGCATCGATGATGGGTTGAGAAGCGGCAACACCGGCAGCCCCGATCAGGCACCGCATCAAATTGTTCACGGCGGTTGCACTAGCACTGGCACCGGGGTAGAGGTCAATGACGAGGGCACTGTTGATTGTGAAGATGGCGGTGGCACAGTAGGCGATAATGTATTGGAGGATAATTGGGACAGCGAGGTGGGTGCGAAGCGAGACTCCGTACACAGCTGTACAAACAATGAAGAGCGCAGTGATCCACCAAGTGTTGCGCATGCGAGCATATTCGATGGGGAAGTCGGAGTGGGTCTTCGATGTGATGCGTGTTTCGAGAGGCAGGTTGTGCTCCATGCAGTATTCGCGCTCAGTTCGCTTATGATTGTAGTCCATCAAGTAGCCTGTGGTATAAGATCCCGAAATACAGCCGAAACCGTTTCCGAGAAAGGTGAGTCCGACTTCCAAGGAGTTAAGGCCGTAGGTAGACTCGAACAAATCCGAAGTTGAGGATGTGACCATTGACCAGACAGTGTATACAATGGCACCGAAGAATAGTGTGATGAATACGTCCTTCTCGCCAAGGAATCCAAGAGGAGCGATGACAGTCTTGAAAGTGATCTTCTTCTTCTCGCCCGAAGGAACTGAGTTCGGGTCTGCATCCTTCTGTCCAGTGAAGTGGTAGATAAAAGGCTTGTAGAGGCCATGCAGCGGGACGGTTCCATTTCCAGCCACTGTTCGCAGAGTCTCCGGAAGGAAAAATAGAATAGAGAAAAGACTCAATCCAGAAAGGATAGTCAGAAACCAAAAAATAGACCTGAACCCCAGGTACTGTGACAAAAGACCACCAAAGACCGGACCAACTCCCTGGCCAAGCATGCGTACTACTTCTGTTAGTCTAGCCCCACTGTAGATAGTATTAACAGGGCGACTTACCTCCACCGAAAATCCCGATTAGACTTCCACGCTCAGCAGACGTGGTGATATCGCCGATGACTCCAGCACCTGTGGGGGAGTAGGATTAGAAGTTGTCATTGGAATGTGAAGGAGGCGGGGGAACATACCAATAGAAATTGTGGCAGCACTACCCGCAGCTTGAATTGCCCGAAACGCCATGAGCTGAGCATAATTTTTTGACACACCCAATGCAATGTTGGAAATCATATATACAATGAAAGTTCCAATGAAGATTGATCGTCGGCCAAGGACGTCGGAAAAGGAACCCCAAAAGCTGGGTGCAATACCTTGAACGATCATGTATACTGTAACGGTGAGGGTGGCGAGGGACATCGAGATGTCCAGTTCCTATGGAGCAGATGATGAGATACTGTGAGGATAAAAGTGATGAGATGTCATAACTTACTCTGGAAATTTCGCCGAGTGCTGGGAAGTAGATGTTTGAGGATAGCGGAGAGAATATGGCGGCGAGGGAAACAATGCAGACCATCTGCAATTTACGGGATCGGGGGAAGACATGGTAGGGAGGTTGGGTTTTAGTTTGGCCTTCGAGGTTGATAGAATCGGAAGACGGTGTTGGGAGTCTCTTTTCGTCTGTAGGGGATAGGCTAGGGCTAGAGTTGACCGACCAGGCGGTAACTGTAGGCTCCTTGAGAGAGTCTTCGGATTTGAAGCCGAACATCGTGTGTGTGGAATTGAAAGTATAAAAGCAGGGTCTAGGCTCGCATAACCTTTTAAAGATGCAATAAATCTAGACAAGAAATAGAATGGCTCGAACCACCTGCTCTAAAGCTGTCAAGTCGGAATAAAAAAGCTTTGGCTATTCTCGAAGAATGGCGTGCGTGGTAAGGCGCTTTTGTATCTCCACGTCAGCCCAACGCCCCTGATAACTTAGCTCCGAAACTACTAACAGTTCCCATATTACATGTGGGAGCCATGGCCATCTAATTACTCCACTGTGGGTTCAGCCTAGGGAATGGGGAGTGTGGTCCCCTTGGCAGATGTAGACTCGATAGGTGGCAAGGATCGGACAAAGACGGTAAAACCGATGCTGCTCCTTCGATGATGGAGGGGCGGATCAGCAGAGAGAAATTCTAGGCTTTTAGATTTGTTTTTAGATGTTGTACGCCAATCCCTGGAAATAAGGCAACTACAGCAGCTTCTCAAACCTCATAGCTACTCCACAGCCTCGAGGGCTTACGACACACTTGTCTGAGCGTACATATAATCTGCAGTTATCACCACCGGGAAGCATTTATTCCAGTCTGTCTAGGCTTCCGGTGAAGCTATCCATGCCCTGGCATACAAAGTTCCGAGTCAAATGCCATTACCTGATTGGGATTTAGCCTAGTGTGAGTATACGCGTGTCCTACATATCGACTATGAAAAGATCTGCATTCAATTAGCACGGGGTAAGTCAGCTTCACGAGAATGGTCCTGATGGATATTTCCCTTGGTCGGGAGTACAATTGGATCGGGATGTCTCTGCCACGAAGGTCCCGATGTCCCGCAGATGTGGATATACTTGCAGGATAGCAGCGTTACAGAATAATGAAAACCAAGTGGTGGTGAGAAAGCCAAGACTTGGCCAGGACTACACAAGTTTGCACATGGTTATAGAGAAAGTATTGGGTGGGCAACCGATCATAGGGCTTATTCCAGCCCATGACGATCTTGGGCGCCGTCAAGCAATGCCAAGCTCACCACAAACTAGCTGGTGGATGTTTCAGGGGGTAATAATTCCATTCACACGGCAGCAAATTACGTAGACGGCTTGGAAAAGGAGGAATTGGAATTTATTGATTTTACTTTATGTTCTATTTTGGCCGTTTTGGGTGTATAGGGGAAAGCGATAGCCCTTGCTGGTCCAGCAGGTCCCGCCGCCGATAAAGGGGACGCACCTAGGGTATTGCATAGCCGAGTGACGATGCATTGCAAGGGCCCAGATAAGCGTGTGAACCCGTAAACTAATGTGACCAATGCATCTGCAATTCATCAGGCCGCGACATCATATGTGGAGCTTTAAGGGTCAAGAATGCGCACTCGACCTCTCCCGGGACAAGGTTCGCGCCAAGTGGATATGATCAACAACCGAACGGCCTCTACTGACAACTATTTCAGGCTGCCAATCCTTGAGCGCCGATGGTGGACCCACCAAGCCCCCCCTTTGGCCCGGAGAACAGGGGTGGTTCTGTGACGAACTTCTGTCTACCGCTGCATCGTCCCTTGGGATTTGCATGAGAGGGTCTTGTTCTCCACCGTGCGTGCTAGAACGATGCACGAAGCTATCCAGCCAGCACGGACAGATAGCTCCCGGCTGATCACTTCTTCCTACGGGCTGGTTACAGCTTATGGGTAACCATCTTGCACTGATCGTCTTGCCAGTCAAGTGCATGATATGCGCTGTCGCCATCGATATATCGGAGGTTTTCTATTCGGATAGAACCTTCTCTGCTGCCCTAAAATAAGGCTGGTGATACGGAGAATTTTAACTTCTGTTCTTGGCCCTCGGTTCTTGGCCTTCGGCTTCTGCTGTTTTGCGATATTCTCATTTTCAGGACATCCCGAGGAAACCGCGGACATGCATCTCAGGGTCCACTGATGCCCACTTCTTGGCTGTCGCGACCGGCCGATGGTCATCCCGAGTCGGCTAGCCGACTGCAACCTCTTTGTACTCCTCGTGCATGAGGTGCCGGTCAGAGATTGGTCTGTCATGTTTGACTTTATGAATCGAGATTCACTATCTCCACTAGACATCATCTCTAGGCCCGACCTCTCCGTGATGGAGGGTAAAAGTTTCATTACTCTACGAATCTGAGCTTATAAACTCCCCCAAAAGGGAAAGGAGACCGGCTACATCTTCTCCAAATGTCTCCACATCTTCAGTCGACATACATACAAGGCCCATTGGGCTGTCAGAATATTTGGCCACACCCGTACTCCCCGAGTCAAGTCCCCACCCACGCTGTCCAGGCACTTTTTCCGTATGGCTGCACCTAAGGGTGTTCCCGTCGTGGCTTGTCTTCGGTGGCGTGTATCTTGCCTTGATAATTCACCGATATTTCCGTGCCAAGGTGCTTTAAATTACCCTGCTTGCTGCTTCTCACCGAAGATGGAAACTTATCCTCTCCAGCATTAGTATCACGATGCCGGGTTATCAATGTAAACTGTGGATTTTCTTGATTTCTGCCCAACCTGAAACCACATATACTCGTAGTTCAAAGGGGCCATTTGGAGTCCTGTGTCCGTGCGTCTAGGATCCCATCCATTCAATTGGAATCGTGTATATGGATGCCCCTAGATTTATGGAATAGATGTACTATTCATTCCAGCTAAAACCGAGCCTTTGGTTGAGTAAATTATACATACAAACTAGCCAAGGTATTTGTAAAACCCGCCAACCTACTACGTACAGTAGCCAGTAGAAATTCACCAATTTAATTTTCAAACAAACCTGAATCATTCCAGAGCCAAAAATTCTTCAAAATCTATCTGCCTGAGGGTTATTCAAGCTCCACGGCCGATCGGCGCGCCATGTTTCAATAAAACGCATGGACCATGCTGCGACGGAACTACACAGCCCCCTTATCTCAAATGCTTGATACATCAACATCTCTAGCCCCCGAAAGGAGTATTGAAAAGTTCGAGCAATTACAAAGATTTGAGGGACTCTATGTATGTACATATGCTCCGCGATATAGAAGGAATTAATTGAGGGCGAGGTGAGTGTCTCGAAAATCACACCGATTTCAATCATCTCCAACAGTACTTGTTTGCATTCTCACTTCAAGTACCTTTAATGCAGAAACTAAATCTAGACTATGCATAAAGTACTCATGTATGTACATACTGAACTGAGAAAGAGCACCGCTATCAGAGTTCCTTGGCCTTGCCAAGACCACGATCCAAAAACCAGCAACCGTCTTCCATTTGAGAATAGCCTTGGCAAAATCTAACTTGAGCTGAAGCTGAAGCTATCCCCTGTACTCCATACGGAGTGCTCGTACGGAATACATGGAGATCAGATCCTACGAAACCCGCACTCCTCACAGCCTCACACGACGGGTTCCACATATCTCAGGGGAATGGATCTTGATTTGGGACCCTATAAGGCTCCATCGGAAGATCCCATCCTTCTCCCCGCCTCCCCCTGATCCCTGATTTTCGACGAGAGCTCAAGGGTGGGCCAGGAGCTTGAGTGGACGCTACGGATTACGAGTAATCAGTGTGTTCTAGCCTCTTCCTAATGGAACCGCGTGTCGGCAACCGACCTTGGCCACAGTGGATCGCCTCGATAAGTCCACCACGATAACGGGTGATCTGCTCTGGGCCAAGAGCGCCAGGCTCGAATCCACTCAGGATTTACAGCATGACGATCACTTCTAGCCAGATTGCGCCAGCGGAGCACGAGCGGAATCCCGATGTTTCAACTCTTGGCAGGCGTTGCTCTTTTGAGTTCTGGCAATCTTCCGAATTTTGAGCGTGGGAGCGACCCAAGTTGTGATAAATGCGAGATATGTTCCGGTGGAAGTTTAAATTTGCGATTCTTCCAAGCGATCTGGAATTCAGCGGGGCACTGGTCATGCCCCAGGGCTTGACGTTTTCGGGGATGTTATTGATACGGTATCTTCCGAAGTCTAACGAGGACCTTTGCATCCATCGGCAAACCGGATCAATGTCAGTCTCGGTATGCGACATCACTCTGCAGCTGTACAAGTCTGCAGCTTTAATTGCAGAGTGGAACTTCTATTCAGAAATCCCTGAGGTTTAAAGCACATAAGTACTCTGAAGGTCTTTCCCCGAGTCCTTGAGGCAAATGCAGCTGGGAAAAGTATGCAAATGTCCCTTAAGCAGCAATTGGGGTCGGATTTTCCAGTCTACATATCTACATCATGGGTGCTGATTGGGCTGATTGGGTTTAGTCCAGTGATTTCAAGAGTTGCATGAAGCTAAACACTCTACCGAACATGGATTCCTGTCCGCCAAAGATTGCTGCAGAGATAGCGTAAATCTGATACAGAAGATTCGACGACCGGAAGAACGGACAACCGAAACATGTGAGAATATACTTTCAGTGAGTCACACGAGAATGAGAAAAACAAAGAGGGGTAAACAAGAATTGAGACCTATTTGGGACTTGCCATTAGCCAAGCGAGTTAGTATGCAGTCGTTGGGCATTGAATGGCTATTTCCCCCACTTCCAAGGTCCAAGACAACTTGAATGTTGCTCTCTTGTTTCAATGGTCTCAGATTTTATGGGTAGTTTATTGCCCTGAAATTACCTACTCGTAATACTATTGGTAGGTAGGCAGGCTATCCAGTGCTTCTGATATAGTAAGACCTCGATTGAGGGTACTAGTAGTAGTTTCCAAGGTCTAGGAATGAATGTTCATCGGAAGTGCGGCGCAACTATTTTCATACCCACCTTCGATCAATTCTAGTCAAGCAGAATCAATCTTCGGCTAGTAAAAACAGATCATAGCAATTTACGGGTGAGCTGGCCACGTCTAGTAGAACAGTCACCAACTTTTCTCCGGGTGGGCATTGCCTTGCCCATCCAGCCACGCAACAGTAACCACGGAGTCCGCTCGACTGAACCTTGGGGCAAGTGTTAGTTTCTAAATCCCTTGCCCATTTGAAGGGAAATAGCTATTCCAAGCCCTGGAGGATAGTTCTGTTTCTAATTACTCATTACCTTCTACATACCTAACTACTACTAGTAGGTAGTAATCTCTTTCTGTGGAACTTGAAGTTATCCAGATGAATTTCGTCATAGCCTGGACTTCAAGGCTATTGACCGCCAGCGGAATATATATTCCACAATCGCCCGCTCCTCACCGGGACTCGGACACGGAGCAATTTCAAGTTCATGCCCTGGAGTTACACCCAACTTCAAATTTTGAAATAGACAGCACTGTGAATATACCTAGGTAATTCAGAAACATCTGTTTGATTACCTGATCAAGGAGTCCAAGGTCATCGGGAAGTAATTCATCTCATCCGATACCAAGATGTCGCATTTGCAATACTACAACTATGAAGGCGTCGGCCAAAGAAACCAACAAAAATTCAGCTATAGCCAAGCAGTCCGCATTGGCGATCGAATTGAATGTGCAGGACAAGGTAGATTAACTCTATTTACTGCTTCTTGTCCGGGTCATTTCGCTAACGGCTTCACATCCAGGTGGCTGGGACCCGAAGACCGGTGTGTTTTTTAAAGAGATCAACGAACAGATCGACCAGGCTTTTGCCAATGTTGATCTGAACCTAAAAGACGCGGGCGGGAAGGGCTGGGAGCAGGTGTTCCGCGTCAACTCGTACCACGTTCCAATCAATGATGAAGCTTTGGAAGCGATGGTCCGCAACTTCAAGCGCTGGATGCCAAATCACCAACCGATTTGGACCTGCGTCGGCGTGACAAGACTCGGAGAGGATGATATGCGGGTTGAAATTGAGGTGGTGGCCCATGATCCGTGATGTGGTTGATTGAATTGAGTTGGGTATTGGATAGCATGTATTCGTTAATTATGACTCGCGATGGTCAATTTTTCGCTCGTTGTGCTTTCGATGGAGTGAGGTTGTATCAAAGATGAATAAAGATGCGCTCTTATAAGCGCGAGAAATCATTCTCATAGGTCGCCCCTACCACCTCTACTACCACCTCTACCACCACGACCCCCGCCGCGACCCCCGCCGCGACCCCCGCCGCGACCACGACCACCGCGGCCGCCTCTACCACCCCTGGAAGAGCGGCTTGGTCTACTCTTCATAGAGAACAGATCTTCCTTGCTCAGGTTCAAGGTACCCCCGGAAAATTTTCCGATAGAAGCACCTCCGACACCGCGTTCTCTCCGTCCATTGTTGTTGGATTTTGAGACCTTCGAGGGCCGCTCGAGAATTATACCGTTCTCCTTAGCTTCACGACGTCGCTTATCGTCCTTTGATGCTGCCTTTGCATTGATACCTCGTCGGTGAGCATCGGGCATCTTCTGCTTATAGAGCGAGGACTTCGCTCCGAGCTCTTGCATGCGCAAGTCCAGAGCCTTCAGTCGGTTCTTGCCTGTCGGCGCAAGGTCATCCGCAGAGTCTAGGAGGTGTGATTCTTTGAGGAGTCGTTGAAGCGCCAGATCGTGCTTAAAGTTATCGGCCTCCCCGGCTTCGTCTTCCTTGTCTTGTTTCGTTTTCGGTTGTGATGTCGACTTTGCGAGGATGTCTGAGGTGGGTGTTCCATTCTAGCAAATATTAGTCAATCAGTATTCCTCGAGAATGATTTAAAATAATTTCCATACCAAGAAGGCCTTGCGCAACTGCTTTTGCATCAGCTCATCTTCATCCTCGTTGGCATCCTTATGCTCAACGACCTCGACTCTGTGGTCGTCCTCGTCTTCTTCGGAAACTCCATCCCAACCATCGTCTGACCCCATATTTTCGTCATCATCTTCTTCGTTGTAATCTTCATCATCATCTTCCGACTCAGACTCTTCCGCAGGCTGTGCTGGAGCCGCCTCTATAGGTTCAAATTGCGCCTCGAAGTATTTGCGAAAGATATCCTGAGCGTTGTCTGCGGGTTGAGGGCTGGGGTCCTCGGTCTTTTTCGATCTTGACACGACGGAAGTGTCTCCCTTACGCTTAACAACCATGGTGAAAGTAATTCGGGTGGACTAGAAGGCGAGTGTCAATACGCCGACGGTCCGCGAACTTTTTTTTGGACCAAGCTCCGGGTCACGTGCGATAATGAAGATAAGCCCCTCGAGGGGCCGGTCGACGTTTGGGAACTTTGGGGAACTTTTGAGAAGCCATTCAATCGTCGCAATTGCGATTACACAAGCAGAATGACCAAATTCAGACCATGCATTGACCTGCACTCCGGTCAGGTTAAGCAGATTGTTGGCGGAACCCTCAGCAATGTCGCCGAAGACCTGAAGACCAACTACGTGTCTAAGCTCCCCGCGGGCCACTACTCGGGCCTTTACCAGAAGCACGATTTGCGCGGAGGACATGTGGTGAAGCTGGGGCCAGGGAATGACGAGGCAGCCCAAGAAGCAGTGCGCACATGGCCTAATGGCTTGCAAGTGGCTGGTGGCATCACCGACAAGAATGCACAGTATTGGATTGACCAGGGCGCTGAGAAGGTGAGTAACCCCCGCACCGTCATGAATTCCTGATTTGCATTATTGGCGGAGGAAACGCCTATCGCGCTTCTCTCATTTGATGCAGGTCCTTGTCTACTGGCCTTTCGTCATGATTCTCAACGATGACACTAATGGAATGCGGGAGAATAGGTGATCATCACTTCATTCCTCTTCCCGTCCGGCAAATTCTCCCTCGAGCGACTCGAGTTGGTACTTGCGGCTCTGGGAGGTGACAAGTCCAAGCTGGTCTTGGATCTGAGCTGCCGCAGAAAGGATAATACTTGGTTTGTGGCTATGGACCGTTGGCAGACCATCACAGAGATGGAGATCAATCAAGGTATGGGGTGATCAGCCACTGTGGCGTACCTTTCCTTAAGGTTCCAACACATATCTAATCTTGCATAGAATCAATCTCCTTCTTGGAACCCTACTGCTCCGAATTTCTGATCCATGCTGCCGATGTGGAGGGGCTTCAACAGGGGGTCGATGAAGAGTTGGTATCGAAATTGGCAGAGTGGTGCACCATCCCCGTCACATACGCCGGAGGTGCGCGCAGTTTGCAGGACCTTGAGAAAGTGCACGCTAGCAGTAATGGCAAGGTGGACTTGACCATTGGCAGTGCCTTGGATATCTTCGGTGGCTCCGGCGTGACCTTCGAAGAGTGTATTGAGTGGAACAAGACGCACTAAAACACTAGAACACCTCAAAATGTATAGAAATAGAGCCGAAGAATCAATGAATGAACGATAACAATGTTTATATGAAAATTTTGCTTATTAGTTCTCACTGTAAATATTGTGTAATCATCATAATCATCCAGTGGAGCTGGGGCAGAGTCCAGGCAGTCGGCGATGCCTGCGGGCCGAAAGCGGCTTAGTTGGTCTCCGCCCGCCAACCTCCGTCTTCACTCCTGCCATCATCTCGATCATTTCCCCATCCTCGTCCTCCTTTGACGCCCTCGTTCCCCGCCAATCGGGCGCTCGCGAACTCGTATCTCTCCGTACAGCTTGATATTTTCTTTCGCCCGTCACATTTACTCCCACCACCGCCAGGATGAAGCCCGTTGTATCCGCCTTGAACGCTTGGTCTTGGTACGCCTATCCATCTCGAACAGTACCCCGGCCTTTGATAGCTTCTAATATTCTTTCTTGTCCAACAGCGTCGTTATCTCCCTATTTGCCATCGTCATTCTCTCAGTCCTCGGCTCGCTATTCGGCGTATGTCTCTTCCGACCCCATCCAGCCCGTCCACCCCCAACCCAACTTGCGCATCGTCGCCTCGTCTAGCCTACCACTCTACCGAACTGACACGCTAATTGTGCCATTTAGAGCAACAACCACGCCTACACAGGCTCCGAAGGAGAGCCCGAAGATGGAGTCGCAGTCGCAGCCTCGATCTACACCGCTGTGATCATCTACGCTGTACGTCATCCGCCATTCACACTCATTTATTGCATCAGGGTTCGAGGAGTTAAGGCATCGCTAATACGTTCGCTTCTCATTTATAGGGATTCTTCATCTTTTGTGGCTTCCAGGCCTATCTCCACTTGCGAATCAGCAGGGGCGGTGCCATATCACTCCAATAAATTCCAAAACCAAATACCCCCCCTGCAATATCTCATTCGGTGTCTTTGACGGTTTCTTCTGTTGATTTACTACAATCATTGGGTTTTCATATATTTTTTCGGTCTTTCTTTGGGTGGATATGGTTTACCTTGGTCCGAGAGGGCGAGGGGGAACTCTTAAACGGATCTGAGAGTGTAAGGGCGGCCTGGCCGGGCTTATCTTGCTCTTGCTCCTGGGTCGGTTCGCACCATCATGATCTAACGTCGGAGTCCGTCGGTAAGGAGTGGAAGGGAGATGGTCGCTCCCATGTGATGGATAGGCATCAGCTGGGCAGGTCTCGCTGGTCTCTTACTATCCATCACGAGGGGTGGGGAGGACCATCCCACGCGATGTGTACATAGATCGCTCAGATTTATCGCTAGTTTCTTGTTATCCCTCTCTAGCTATCTCACTGCAAGCTGATATCAATCAAGTATAGACATTTCATCATTGTTCGTTATTGACTATAGCCGCTTTTATTTTGAAAGTGTGACCCCCAACGCCTATTTATGCAGAATCATCATCAATATTTACCCCCAAACTACCGCGAACGAAAGAAGAGTTTCTATCCCCTATGACTCTTCATCCTCCCAAGGATCCAGCATCTTGGACATGTAAGGGCCGTCAAGGAAGTATCCAAGACGAGCATAGTAGCTCCGGACACCAACGCCAGAGATAACACTGATCTTAGTGCTTCCGTGCTCCTCTCGTGCGATCCGCTCAGCCTCTTCCATAAGCAAAGTTCCGAATCCGCGGTGCTGGAACTTGTTGGTATCACGGCCGTGGAGCGGGACGGCGGATCCGTAGACGTGGAGTTCACGGACGATACTGGTCGGTTGGCCAGTGAATTCGGGGCGGAAGGTGTGAGTATCACTGCACTTGCGCAGACGAAGCAAGCCAATGAGGATATCTTGCTTGGGATCCTCGTAGGCTAGGAAGGTTTCCCAGCCACCGTTGGCGGTGTAATCGCGACGGATGAGCTCGACTTGTGAGGGGCGAATCTTATTCTTGACCTCGTTGATACCGACTTCACGGGTGCGGACGTCACGGCAGGTCGTTCCAAAATCCTTCATGCGGGCCAGAGCCAGCTCGCGCAAGTTACCGTTTTCAACACCGGAGGTGACCAGGGGCATGGGGATATCACGCTGGACACGGTAGATACGGGTCCAAGGAGGGACCAGGGCCAGAATGCGGGCCACTAGGTCAACCAACGCATTGGGAGTGTAGTTCTTGTAGCGGCCGGTGCGCCACAATTCGTAGAGACCTGTGCCACGGATGACAAGCGTGGGGTAGATCTTCAGACCGTCAGTGCGGAAGTCTGGGTTCTCGAAGTATTCCTGGAATTGGAACAGATCACGCTCCATTCCGACGTTGGGCAAGTCGGGCATCATGTGGCTGACGACCTTGAAACCGGCGTCCTTTGCAAGCTTGAAGGTCTCTGCCACCGCGGCGACAGTGTGTCCGCGATTGGTATCCCGCGCAACATCTTCGTACAGACTTTGCACACCAATCTCCAGACGGGTACAGCCGTACCGCAGCATGCTGCTCAGGTGTGTGTCCAGGCAGTAATCAGGTCGTGTTTCGATAGTAATACCAACACACTTCACGTTACTCATCTCGCCGGCCAGCACGGCCTCGTCGACGTTGTCTGTCTGGTATCCACTGAGCGCATTGTGAAGTTGCGAAATGAAGGTATCCCGATAGTCCTCTGGCAAGGACATGAAAGTTCCACCCATAATAATGTATTCGACCTTATCCACGCTGTGACCAAGCGATTTGATCTGGTCCACACGTCCTCGGGCCTGCTCGAAGGGATCGTAGCGCGCGCGAATCGCACGCATGGAGGTTGGCTCATATCCGGTGTATGACTGTGTTGAGTATTCGAAGTCGGAGTCGGGGCCACCGGGGCAGTAAACACAGATGTTTCCGGTGTATGCGATATGCGGACAACGGTGAGGCTTGCACATCACGGCGACAACGGCGATACCCGATGAAGTTCCTGTGTTTGAGTGTTAGTTTATATCATCCCCGCATTACTGAATTGGATTTTTTTTTTTGGGATCCAACGTACGGATGGGCTTCGCGATCAACTTTGGCAAGATGTACTTCTTGTAGTGTTCCGGTACCGCGGCAATAATGGCTGTCAGTGGCGGTTGGGTGCTCAAATGATGCTTTTTCGCAAAGGTGCCCCGCAGCTTGTTGAGGTTGATATCCTTCTTCGGCTTCGACGAGTCCCTGGACGACTCATAGTCCTGAATGAGGGCATTCGCGATGTCGGAGCATGCTCGCATGTAGCGCTCGTTCTCAGGGACGCTCTTCGCATTCTTCCTGGCCGTCTTCTTGGTGGGTGCCATTGGCATGGTCATTGTCATGGTGGCCATGGCGGGTGTCACCACGGGGGGGAGGGCGAGAAGGCGAGGGAGGATAACAAAAGAGGCGATCAACCGATAGGAACAGATATACTCGTAGCTCGCAGTACCCTAATATCCCTTGATGTAGTAGTGGGGGGGCAGACCGATACGATTAGATAGAAAAAAAAGTTGAGTGACCGAGGCTGCCGAAGTCAAGTCGGGTCCGCTTAAGTAAAGGTTTCTCTTCCCGAACGAAAACTCCCGGGCGCGCATCCCGATTCGATTCCTTGCTTCACTTCTCCTTCCCGAGTCACCACCTCTTTCTCTCCAACTCCTCTCCTCTCCTCTCTCCTCTACTTAATTCCTTTTGTTGCAATCATGCAGGCATTCCGTCGCAACACCTTCTCGGCCCTCCGAAATGTCGGTCAGCAGCGCCGTACTCAGGCCACCTCTGCCTATGGCAGCACCGTGAACAACCTGCGCATCAACAAGGACACCCGGGTTCTCTTCCAAGGTTTCACCGGAAAGCAGGGAACGTAAGTTGGATTTGATTCTCTGTCAGGATATCCCGACTGGATGCGCCAAGTGCTGACGTGTAGTTCCTGAATAGCTTCCACGCCGAGCAGGCTATCGCCTACGGTAGTTTTCCCTCTCCTATCGCGATCGCAAAAACACCACAGCTCACACAAGTTCAGGTACCAATGTCATTGGTGGTACCAACCCCAAGAAGGCCGGCAGCACTCACCTCGACCTCCCCGTCTTCGGTACCGTTGAGGATGCCGTGAAGCAGACCGGTGCCACCGCTTCTGCCATTTTCGTCCCGTATGAACCCCATCGTCTGTTCCGCAGAGGGAAGAATACAGTGAATACTAACGGCCTATAGCCCCCCCTCTGGCTGCTGCCGGTATTGAGGAGGCCATCGCTGCTGAGATGCCCCTTGTTGTTTGGTACGTGGCTTATTTTTGGAGCTCCCGATAGAGTACCCGAAGCTAATTTTTTTTGCGCGACACAGCATTACTGAGGGTATTCCCCAGCACGGTATGCAGTTTCCGATAGCTAGCCACGCGCGAACGACGCGACTGATTGATATTCCCTGAGACATGGTCCGCATTACCGACATCCTCAAGACCCAGAACAAGACCCGCCTGGTCGGCCCGAACTGCCCCGGTATCATTGCTCCCGTAAGTGCAACATGTCCCGAGCCCGATGCCGAAGCTGTATACTCATATATCTTTCGTCGTTTTAGGGTCAATGCAAGATCGGTATCATGCCCGGCTTCATCCACAAGCGCGGCCGCGTTGGTATCGTCTCCCGTTCCGGTACCCTGACCTACGAGGCCGTCAACCAGACCACCCAGGCCGGCCTTGGTCAGTCCCTTGTCGTCGGTATCGGTGGTGACCCCTTCTCCGGCACCAACTTCATCGACTGCCTGAAGGTCTTCCTCGAGGACCCCGAGACCGACGGTATCATCATGATCGGTGAGATCGGTGGTTCCGCCGAGGAGGACGCTGCCGAGTTCTTTAAGGCCAACAACATCCACAACAAGCCCGCCGTTTCCTTCATCGCCGGTATCTCCGCTCCCCCGGCCGCCGCATGGGTCACGCCGGTGCCATCGTCTCCGGTGGTAAGGGTGGTGCCGACTCTAAGATCGCCGCCCTCCAGGACGCTGGTGTTGTTGTTGAGCGCTCCCCCGCCTCTCTCGGCAAGGCCCTGCTTGCTGAGTTCGTCAAGCGCGACCTTGTTTAAACAGTTGAAGATTGTGTGAAGCTTTCTTGTTCCTTGGTTGGTTCCTAGTTTAATTCATGAAAAGTGAAGGCTTGGATTTTTCTGGGGTATATCTGCCCCCATCCATAATAGGATGGGGTTCAGCGGTTCATTTCATCTAACCCGCTCCTGTATTCTTTTCTCCTTTGTGTTAGAGACCCTTGAAGTATTTAGTTTCGTGTAACTTTTACTTTTGAACATTGTTCCTGACTGTAAACCATGAACCTCGTCCTTCGATAGCCGCATTCATCTTGCTCTAGCCGTACAGTGCCCATGGCGCTATCACGGTAGAACACTCATACCATGGGGACACCAGTTTCTTTTGGCATTGTGCTATGTTTGATGAGGTCATAACCTGACGTATCTTAAGTTCCGATTCTGGAGCCGTTGCTATTTGAGACATGGGACGGCGCCAATCTGGGGTATCGGGCCAAACAAACACATGGTTCAGGCGGCTTATTGTTCGACTTGACCATCTCGAGACATTTTCAAAAACATTTCATTATGACCAAACCGGACTATTCTAGACATCCGTTCCCTTTCAAGGATGTCTCTGGCACCTTTTATATCTCGTACCTTCCATCTCAGACCCTGTCGATCACCCTTTGAACTTGTTTATACTAAGCAACATTTACATCCAACAGGATTTCAACCCAGTTAAAATGGGTAGCAAAACATGCAGAGCACGACCCATGTGGATGTGGTATTTTCGCAATGCTGAATACTGCCTTGGAAAAATACTCACCACGCTCAACACCCTTGAGCCCAATGCGATGGCAACGCCAGAGCTGCGCAAATGGACCGGCATAGAGTTCAATGAGCTTGACATAAAATCCGGGCTTACGAGCAACGGTTCTTCGTTTTTCACGCCCCGTCACGATGAAACTTGCAAGATTTCCAATACTGGACGAGACCCAGATAGTGTGGGAGAGGACGAATTCACCTGCTGTCGGCGCCTGGGGAAAGCCGGAATTAATCGTCATAGTGGGCTCCAAATGGACGCTGCTTTTGCTTTTAGGGATTATGCCCGGGACCTAGCTGATGTCTACCAGCTTCATGACGAATGGGAATACATTCCGTGAGTTTCATCCAAGACAAATTCAAGTGGATATCTAGATGAAAATCGAAACTAATGAGTTGGTTGGTTTAGGGGAAAATCGGACTTGAAGGGCCAGTTTAGTTCTAGTCGCAACAGCCCCCATGGCTTTGATGTCTTTCGTGGATCGCAGATCACGAGTACTCGCCAGTGTCACCGGAGTGTCTGGATGGCATCCCATAATTCAGCAGACGCGAATTGGCCATCTGTGTCCGAGCTTATTATGCTCGTGAGTTAGATGATAGGAGCCATGAGGTCGCAGAAAGCGATGCTGTCATCCTGGAAGGGGAAATGTCATATGCCATTCCATCATACATTTCCGGTATAGTGTCTTGGTCCTTTCCCTGGGGGTGCTTGATGTTTAGTGTTAATTAAGACAGACACTTGTAATCTCATCAGAACCCCGAGCGCGGGCTCGTGTGCTGTATGGACATTTTGATGACAGATTCAGAGTACAGTTCAGTAAGGCCCAAGAACTCGATACCCTTCATACATTGAGGCCATGAATACCCTTTTACAGTGGGCTTGGCCACGAGCTCGGAAATCCACCAGAATGATACGACCACCACTGCCTACAATCCTCGAGTGTGACGAAGAAGAGGATGTTGATTTAGGTGTGATGTCAAAAGTCAGGGGTATTGAATATTTGATGCAGAAAACATTTTCATTTGCCAGGAAAGGAACTTCTTCCGAGCAAGGTGAATGGAATCAAAACAGAGGTATGGCTACCAGCCAGCTTGAATTCCAGCCGTTGAGCAAGCTTGATATGCGTTTCCATCAGTCATCTGGAATGTCGGTTGCTTATAAAGCTAAGAAGAAATCTTTTGCTGTAAATTTCATTTCGTTTTCTTCTATTTGATCGGCGTAGCTCCATCATTATGATACACATAAATTTAGTGTTATTTCACTCTCATTGGAAACTTGAATATACTATCTATCTACGTCAAATCTTGACCTTTCTCAAGGCCTTCACAACCTCCTCGGTCCCAATGACATCCGCAAACTCGCCATCAAGACTGGCAACAGAAACCTTGTGTACGGTCTCAGCATCGAATTCACCCTTTCCAAATGTCGCAGTGGCATCAGACACCAGAATAATGCGTCCTCTGTCGACAGTGACTTCCTTTAGATGCGTGCCATCGGATCTTAGCTTCACGGGACCTTCATCAAGATAGCGATCGACAACGCCTAGGTTGGCCGCCATACGAACGGTTGTCGAAACACAGTGATCAGTTGTGAGGCCTGCGATAAAAATTTGGCGAAATCCCTTATCTCGCAGGTGGGCTTCAAGACCAGTACCGATAAAGGAAGAGTTGACGGACTTCCAGATAACAGGCTCCGAGCCATCTAAGGCTGGGGTCGCGAAGTCCAGCGGGCGGATACCTTGGCCCGGATGAGTGGGATGAAGAGGTGATCCTGGAGTAGTGGAAGAATGGAACACATGGATCACCTCCAGAAGAGTTGAAGATTCCTCTCGTGCGGTGCGGAAGGCGGAGATGAGAGCTTGGATATTGGTCTCATAGAGCGGGTTGGATCGTCCGTTGCCCCAGTGCGATAGAGTTGCGGCGTCGGAAAAGGCCGCTTGATTATCGACCAGAATGAGAGCCGTAGGGAGGCTCAAATCCAGTGGGACTGTCATTTTAAAGGAGAAGATGGATGATTCACTTGACTCTGAATCGGAGTGTGGGGTATGAAACGAAGCAAGTTGTCGTCATCCGCAGTTTTTTCTAGTGGCGCTAGTTACCGTGAGTCACTAATGCATGCTCACAAATCAACATTGCAACAACAACTCAAAAAACAATTTCCTTCAATAACTAGAAATTTATTATTGCTCCTACATTTGCAAGGCTCTCATTTCACACTTCTTCTATCGTAAATTATTCATATTGAGAAACACTAATCCTCAAGGCATACAGTTCGTTCTTCTAGACTCTTCTAGCTCTGTACTAGTATACGCTAGTCTTCGCTCAGCCGCAAAGGATAGGTTGCTTTGAAATGTAGTTTATTTCTGTGTAGATTTGCTCGTGTGCATCACATGATAGATAACTTCTCTATGCTCCCTTCCTAGTTCCAAGTCGAAGAAACCTTCTGAACTCCAAGTTGGACATTCTTGGTATCTCCACCATGCGAGAATAGCCGTGCAAATGTTGCATTTTGGCTTGGGAAGATTTGAGCAGTCAGGGTGGCTTCTCCTTCGCCTCCAAACACCTCAATACTTGACCAGTCAACCAATATCCGAAGACGCACCGTCCCATCCGAGTTTGGAATTAACGGTGCATGGTATACACTCGCAAAGGTTTCATCGAAAGAGACATCGCCAGATTTGGTTCGGTCGACGAACATTTGCTTTTCTTCAAATTTGTAACCAATTTTGGTTTGTTGTTTCCAGTCAGAAGTCGCTTGAACAATGATTCCAAACTCGGATGCCCCCGAAGCAGAGAATTCCAACTCAACATCCAGCGTTTTTCCGACGGAATCAAGGTCTTTGTTTCCTTGGTTGAAAGTCTTCCATGTGGATGAATGTTTTCCTTGGCTTTGAATAGATTTCCAAGCTTCATTCGGCTGCTGGATCAAGGCCGGCTTCTGATTTTTCGTCTTCAAAGACAGATGTCGGGGAGCCGCCATTGCGCCATGCCAAGGGTATACTGGGATTTTCGTGCCGTACTGCCAATTGTTCATCCATCCAATGACAGTATGATCGGTACTTGGGAGTCCATTAAAACTGGTAGTTGCATAATAGTCCGGCCCCCAGTCCATCCAATTCGAGGTTTTGTTTCCGGGGTACACACTCTCGTCATCGGGGGTAAATTTCGCTCCGTCAAAGCTGCCAATAAAATATTGCGTTCCGGATCCAACAGTGCCTGGTGGACCTCCTGGATTGAGTCCCACAATCATGACCCATTTTGTTTTCGATTTGTCGTTGTCGAGGTCAAGAGGGAAGAGACTGGGACATTCCCACACTCCACCGACACCGTTAGAAGGGCCAAACTCACTCAAGACTTCCCAGTCTTTCAAGTTGTCTGAGGTCCAGAGGACAATTTTGTGGACTTCGGATAATGCTGTAACGAGAATCCATTTCTTCGTTTGTTCGTGCCAAAACAAGAAAGGATCCCGAAAGTTCTCGTATTGTTCTTGATATGGGGCTGGAGGGTTGTGGATGACTGGATTGCGTTCGTCGTAGGTGGTCCATGTCATACCATCATCGAGACTATAAGCAAGTGATTGCGATTGCTGGTTGGCTTTCACTTCTTTACCACTAGGTAAGGTCTGCGTAATTTGGTACTTGTTCAGACAAGGCTAATTAGTACATGTGCACAGTACACGATGGTATGGGCAAACCCACGGAAGAAGTATACACAGCAACCAAGGGAGTTTTGCCATCAACACCAAACCCACTGGTATTTTTTACGTCGGCAACAGCACTGCCAGTGAAAAACATCTCCGTCACATTCTCGGGGAAACCTCGGGCGAGGAGAGCAATGGGCTGTTCGTCCCAATGCGTCAAGTCATGGCTCGTTGCATGGCCCCATGACATGTTACCCCATTCGATTCCCCCGGGGTTGTATTGATAATAGAGGTGGTATATCCCATTATGATGTAGTAATCCGACAGGGTCATTTATCCAGTTTTTGGCGGGGAGAAGTGAAACTGGGGACGATAGGGTTCTTTATAGCTCATAGCCCATGTGGGGCTGGCAAGAAGGTAGAGCCCCAATGCTTTCAGGGAAACGACCATTGTAAACGCAAAGATGAAAAAATATCGACTTTGTTAATTTAATCAATGATTCTTAGAAGAACAAAGTGATATTTATACCCCTCCCCTCATTCTCTCATTCCCCACGGGGAATGCCCGCACGTTCACAAGGCCGAAGTATCTTCGGAGAAATATGAGCTCGGTTCCACAACACTATCTAAATGCTCCAAACATGCGACGGCTCGGTGTCAAGATCGCAATAACTCAGAGATATTCTCGGAGCTTGCGGCAATTCTTCGGTTTAGCTCAGTCCCGGTGCACCCTCCCTTGTGCCTTTATTTTCGGTCGCACTTGTGGCATTCATGGGTTTCCTTAGGATTCAGAGCTTACGCTATCGTCTTTCACGTTGGTACCAACGGACTGGCCGTAATTGCTTGGCGCAGCATGGTTACAAGGAATTCCGGAACTATCCTCGTCGATAACGTTGGTACACTGGAAAACCTCGTCTTGCAATGTGGTTCCAGCCAGTGGCAATCCCATGGTACTGTTGACCGAGTCGATCTCCACGTTCTCAAACTTGATTCCAGGGCAAGGGTGGACATCAGAGCAGTAGATGGAGCTGGCGATATTATACCTCGATGTCCCTTTGATATTGGAATAAGTGATGTCTGAAATCGCCATCTTAGAGGTATTGCAATCCTTTCCGCTTTCGGTGTAGATACACTGGGAAATTTGGATAGGCAGAGCTGTGTTGACGACTTCGAAGTCTCGGAAGGTTATGTTCTTGACATAGCCACTACCGCCGCCGCCAGCATCGCCATTTGAGCTGTCATCTTCAGCAACACCCTGCCAGGTCTTGATCAAGGCAGCCTCCATACAATTGTAGCAGCGAATATCCTCGAATGTCACATCTTCAACATAGTCAGGCATGGTTGGATATTGCCCAACAGATCCGATCGCCATGCCATAATTACCGTGGCAGGTCACGTTGCGAACGAGCAGATTGGTTGTGTTTCCTTTGACTGCGATGCAATCATCTTGGTTTTGAATCACGGCGTTTTCGATGAGCAAATCCTCGCTATTCCAAGAGTCATATCCATCGGTGTTAACGGTGCCCCACTGGTCATTGCTAGTAGCATTCACATAGAAGTTTGTGATAGAGACATTTTTGCTCTGCACCACGAACGTTGCCCAGAATTGAGGCTGAATTATGGAGAGACCGTCAATAAGCACATTCTTTGAGTCGATAATTGTCATACTAATAGGGCGGCCCGGTTGGTTACTTTGGTTTTGGTTCTGGGTATACCAGGCTTGACCATTGCCATTATACCATCCGCCTTCCTCGCCTCGAAACGTAACATTCTCACCCCCAAATAGCCAAGCAGTATGCTGGTCTTGCAATACCATTGGATAGGAGTGATTAAGCCAGTAAGGAATGTCGGTAGACCATCGTAGCTCTCCTCTCAATGAAACCTCGCAGTTCTCCAGGTTTGTGGTATTCATCACCGAATTGATGTTAAACACATGATCCTTGGCAAAAATGACTTTGCCATTGTGACCGCATCGCTTGAAGGCTTCGTAAACTGAGGGTACATCGTCAACGGCATCGCCACCATTTTTGAGCGACTCTGGAAAGAGGGTGCAGGTATTTCCTTTATGGACGACGTAGCTCGCCGCCAATGGGGCCAGAGCTAAAGAAAGAAATAACCGCATGGTCGGGATGAATTTTTGCCTGTAGTCTTGCAGGAAGTGACTGGTTGGTAATTGAGCCGAAAAGGAAAAAAAACAAAACAGAGAGCGTGGCGGATGCTACTTTTTATTGCAGAGTGTCAAGACTGCGTTGTCTCTAAGCACGCGCTTTGAGCCCCAGGGTCCTGGATCGCCCCCGTGGGGGTTCTCATTATGACCGCATGTCTGGTACGAAAAAAGAAATAGAAGAAATGAAGTTACATCTTCTCCCCGCATTGAGTGGATACGGCAGGATCAAATTAGATGGAAAGCATCCAATCAACTTAGTTTCTAGTGCTGAGATATTCGGGAGTATTTCAGCCTTGTAAACTGGCACGTGGCCCAACCCAGTTTCAAGCCATCCGATAATCATCTAAAAAAGGATTACCATGTGCAGGGCTCAATAGAATGTCGCTCCGATATCTATTTCTTGTGTAGATGTGACTGTGTGAGTTGAAATTGTAGCGAAAGGATGCCAAGAGATTCGACGGCCACACGAGTAAGATGTCGGAGTGTTCCGCGAGATCATCAGTCAATGCGGGATCAATGTCAATTTCGGTGTAAATCGACCCGACTTAAATCCTGCAGACAAGCCAAAGCGCTTGTTTTATCATCCCGAGCGCGAGATTCTCACCTTGTAGCCAAGTTTGATCATCGCTCCCACCGGAGATAACTGCAAGAAATGCGCCGTTCCAGAAACAATCAATACGCTACACGGTCTTTAAAATCATGTTTTGATTCTCATCATGCGCGATGCATGTACATGTTCAGGCGAAGAACAAATTGCATCTCTATTTCATCTATCTCGGATGAGAATTAATCTTTTAGCATAGGACTTAGATTGCCTGGGATAACAGAGCGGAAGGTAGGCCTTCTATCAACGGGTTTTCTTCTCCTCGGGGCGCGTAAATCGGCGCGTGCGACTGCGCAACATCTCCGCCCTTTCTTCGAGGGTCATGTTGACCTGATCGCCGATGGGAATAAGGCACTTTGCCAGGTGAAGATAGTTCTTGCGAATCAGATTCACGGTGATAAAGATGTAGTCAACATTACGGAAGACCAGCGCCCGTTCCTTGGCATACTGGTCCACCTGTTTGACAAATGAGACCGGGTGGTCTCTCCAGTGACGGCGAGGATTCAGGTGATGGGAAGTGTGATAGCCATCGTTGAACGAGAAGCGGTTGCTCTAGAATATTGTTAGTCTCATGCAGAAGACGATAAAACGATTTCTATACGTACCGGAACATCAATCAGGGTGATACTTGAAAGGTAGTCCGAGTCGGGATCCGCCTGATCCACAAAGGCATGCTGGCCCCAGTTTCCAACCATCAAGCCGCAGCGCATCACGGTAAGCGGGAGAATCAGCACGAAGAGAGTTGCGCGTGCGTTGACATAATTATAGAGCAGGTAGATCATAACATAGTTGCCAAGTTCCCAGAATGCAGCTCTGGAAGCATACTTGACTTGTCCTTTGCGCCAGAAGTAAAGCGGGAGTTCCAGCCAAACGAAAAAGAAAAAGCGACCTACATAGCAGGCGAAGTCGAACGCGCTATCACGATCGTAAAACATGGTTGTGCTCAGATCATTCGCACCGTTGCCCTCCACATGGTGATGCTTGATGTGGTGGTAGAAGTAGGAATTCCACGTATGTCCTAGCATAGGATCCAACAAATACGGGAAAAGCGTGTCGAAGACCCAGAATTTGGATGAAAGCACACCATTCTGGTGGATGTGTTGATGTTTCATCAGGGTGAAGGCACCGCAGCACAGCAATTGCATGGCCCAGTGCAGGATACCATGAATCCAAGAGAAATGATAGTACATGTAGATCGCACTTGGAACAAGAGTAGTGAAGTAAAGGATCAGATGCGTCAACATGACCACATCTGTTCGATACCTTACGACCCCTTGGGCCCAGTTGACATATGGTTGCAAGATGTAGCGCTGAATGGGGGCAGGTAGCTTAGCCAGATCTGGAGTATCCCAGAGCTGGAAGACTGTAGGATCAAAGGCAGGATGAGAGGCATCATTCATGCCTTGAAGCTTTTCAATGATCTCCTCCTGGCTAAGCTTCTGATCCGCTGATCTTGGCTCAGTCTCCCCTAATGTCAGTCAGTGTGTGCTCGCAGTTAACAGGAGCAACGGGTGACGTACCCTTGGCTGCTGGGTCGGTGATGACTGCATCAATCACCAGTCGATCCGCGGTGGTGAGCTGGGGATCCACGTAGGTTTGGGGATCCATATTGGGTGACTATTGACCTGTGTCGGTCACGTCGATCATGAGAACTCCGAAACAACTGATACCATAAAAGCTGCCACGGGTGACGATGGTAGCTGTCTGTTCTCTCTGGTTAATGCAAGAACTAAAGACAAGATCGAGCTGGGCTGTGCCGTCCAGTATACTCCATTCGCCAACGCGTCGTCAGGGGGAAAAAGTTTTCCTGAGGTCAGAGTGGGTCCGAACAGTTGACAAGTTGACGTTTGCCTGTGGTACTCGTACGATCTCAGTCACAAAAATAGAAATAAACAGCTTTCATTTAATCTAGAATAGTTTCACATATACCAGTAGACTCAATAGAAATCTAGCCCTTTTCCAATACAGATTAATTATTTTAGTTTAATTTTTGGGTGTACTCGCAGTTCATGGTGAGTTTGGGGTTGTTTGCACTACATTCAGGGGGGTTCTCCACGGTCGGAATGAGGTCTGGCTCGACCCAGAAACTGCTTGTGTTTTCCCCCTGAACTTCCTCCCTTGGCCCCACGTAAACAAACAACATCTTGGCCACTTTGTTTTGAATTGTTTACAGGGAATCGAGCAGAGCTTTCGGAGGTATAAAATAAGAATTAACTGATCACTATGATACTAACTAAGGTAATGCTACTAGTTTTCTATGGTTTCCGGATACCCTGGCAAGTCCTGTTAAAGCGGAGCTAAACCCCCCCTCAATCACAGCCAAGCGACTAGCTCAAGACAGTGGCCGATCAACATCTCTTGTCCCACCGCCATCCAACTGCTGGCACCCTAAATTAATTCACTCAGTGTACTCCGTACTCGTATACAGAATATCAGTGAGAATCTAGAGGGAGACAGTTTTAGATTTATTAAATAAGTTATCACACCTAAAGCTTGCGTTATTAATTTCAAAATCAATTACTACTAAGATATATAGTACTAGTATAACTATAGGAGGACAACTAGTTACTATGTGTACATACTACCTAACTAGTATAACTTCTACTAGTGATTTCCAGATCCGAGATCGATCGTCACCCGACTACTCCGTACTCCGTACCGAGTCTGATCTCATTTCTAATCGCAATCCATGGATCAATCTGGATCCCAAGGTTGGTTTGGTCGTAAACACGGGGAAAAGAATCGTGAAAGCTTGAAGTATTGGAAATGCTACACTAGACACAACGTGCTTCCAGTAACCTTGAGAAAGTCGACATTATCCAATTCCAAGTCTTTTATCGTCCCCACAGCAACTTCCAAGATTCAATCATGGTAATCTTGATTTGAGCAATCGGATTTGGGGGCCTTGGCTTATATTTTCTAACAAATACTCTAATGTAATTTGCCAGAGACATTGAATCGAAGCAAAAGCCGGCACCTGGGTATCCGTCTCTCCATGGGATTCGTTGAAGCACCCATGGATGGCCTAGGGTCAAATGTCAATCCAAACCCCTTCTTCTATATAAGTGATCCATTTCAAGTTGAACTTTATGATCTGTGACCATCCTTCCGGTCTTTCCGAGCTACCATGTAGAACCGATTCATTTGCCGTCCCTCGCCGATTGCTATGGGATATATGCCTTACACTTGACTACATTTTCACTTATTCGAAGCAAAAAGTACAAAGAGGCCTCCCACCACGGAATTTCAAAACATAACAGCGAATCAATTAGGCATTCAGGTGAAAACTGCGTCGCTGCCTTCCATCTCCACCTCCGAACTGCCGCAGCTGGGCGCGCAGTCCAAACCCGATGCGGGGTGATCTGCATCAATTAAATCTCCTGAGTGGCGAAAGGATGGCCCCTCTGCGAACTCTGCGAACCTCATTGCCTTGGGCGAGCTGCGAGGGAAAAAAAAAGCACTTTGATGTATTCCAAACATCGCTTCTGTCTTGAACCTTGGAACAAGCCTCGAATATGTGGCCGCCAAGGTGATATTCCGTCCCGCATTGCATTTGTTTACACGGCTCAACACTGCCTCGAATCCACATCGGTCGGAGCTATCAGGGGTTCTGAAATGAAGCATATGCGACCGTGACGTGCCTTGAATCTGTGTGCTCCCGTGTATTGCATGGTGTGAGAGGATTTCGATAGAACCCACTCAGGCCAGCAAATATAAATAAACACTCAATTCCCCCACCCTTCAGATCTGCCAATATTGTTATTCTTTCTACCATCAATAGACGTACACTCGACACCCATCCGACCTCTATCAACCTTGAAAACAAACATTTTTGTCAAAATGAAGTTCCTCGCATCCATCGCCCTTCTCGCCGCGACCGTGTCGGCAGGCCCTGTCGTCAGCAGAGCCCCCAAGCAGTTCACCTTGAAGACCAGTGGCGCGAAGAATGACGCGCACAATGACCTCTACCTCTACTCTTACCACACCGGTGCTGGTCTAAGCGATGCCGTTTTCTCTGATGGTACTGCTCATTCCGCTCACGTTTATCTGAACGGCACCGAAGCTCTGGTTGACCTGGGAAATACTTTCTCCTGGGGCATTGTCGCTGGTGGCGACAGCAGCTATTCCAGTAAGTGATCAAAAATGAATATACCTAAATATTTCAGCTGGACTCTTTGCTTATACATCTTTGAACAGACTGGGATTCGGTCGAGATCAACGCTGGTGCCAGCAGCAAGGGCTTCTCTATTAAGGATGGCAACTTTATCTGGGCCCGAGAGGACGGATTTGGTGGCTGGTTGGGTAAGTGAACTTGAAGTGTCGATGCTCTTAAATTTGCTTGGTTCTTTACTAATAGTCTTTAGCCTGCGACTGGGTCCACGATGCTCCTCAGCTGTTCTACCTTCACAAGAGCTTCGAGGGCGATGTTCCCAGCAGCTGCGACAAGGTGGACCTCAAGCCTGAATACTAAATGCTGATCCCAGAACGCTCTAGAGGCGCATTTACGACCCGACGTTTATACAATCATGACATGAGACCTAGACTTAATCCCTGTCTCTATTTACTTAATGCCCTGATATAGTTCGAATGCAAGCAATATGCAAAGAGTAAAGCTATTTTGCCGTGGTCTGTATTCGATCGACCTAGAATTCATTGCTTTTCATACATCATCATCAAATGGATAATCATTAAGTAGCGGCGACTCCAGAACCAGTCGACGGTTTATCTTCGTAATATCGGCGGTCCATTCCTGCCTGCAAACGGGCTTCCTCGTTAAAAGGGCCGCGAATAGCTCCACGGAAATGTTTCTGGACATTGGCACGGAACACCTGCACGGGATCGGTACCTTCCTGGGCACAAATCCAAGTCAACCATCGGTGGCCGGTGGTAACATGTGTGATTTCGTCGTTATGAATGATCTCTAGTGACTGTACGCTCTCGCTGTCGCCGGCGACGCGGAACTTCTGAATAGTCATAGGATTCACGTCGAGCCCACGGGCCTCATGAACCAAGGCGATGATACTAATTCGAGACCGAAGATCATGTGCAGTCTCAAGAGCAGATCGCCACAGACCGTGGTGAACTGGAAGAGCCCCGAAGTAAGAGCCCAATTCTTCGATTCGAGTGCGAAGTAGGGAGAAGTGTTTTGCTTCATCGCTGGCTACTTTAAGCCAATCGTGGAAGAAGGCCCGCGGTAACTCTTGCGAGGATCCTTCAGTGTGAAATGTCGCGAAGCGGACGCAGATATCAATTGCCAAGTCGATGGCCCATAGTTCGATATTGGCTAGGGCGTGGAGCATGGCGATCCGGCTCTTCAATGTCCCGCCCTTTCCTGTACGAGGCATGGCACCAGGCTCGACCTCGACCATCTTTTCGCGCGGAGGTTGATCAGGTGCTGGAAGTTTACCTCGACCGAGTTCCATCGGATTACCGCCAGCCTCTCGACCGGTGAAGATCGTGAACAGATGGGTCGTCAGTTCAATCTTGTGTTCAGGATTAGCAGTGTTCAAAATATGAACTGCCCAGTCGCAGAATGTTGCCTTCTCATCCAGGTAATGAGCCGGGCCAGCGTCCTCAGGAACAAAGACAGGCGTGTCTTGCTTATCGGGTTTATCAGATTTGGTCTGTTTGTTTGATGGGCGCGGGTTCGGGTTCGGGTTCTTCAACTTGACTTTCTCGCTCACAGGCTCGATTCTCCCAAGGCCGATGCTCTCGCCATCTTCGACGGGGAAATCTACCGTGACTGAACCATCCCGAACATCAACGGGGAAAGTGCAGGCCTTAATGCCAATGCTTGATTCACCCGTCTCCACATTGAAGTCGTAGGCGTGCCACGGGCAAGAAACAACATATGCTGAGTCCTCGATATCCACACTAGAGTCAGCCATCGGTCCGCCCGCGTGGGGGCATTCGGCCTCCATCGAGAAATAGGACCATCCTTGGGCTTCGTTGGGTTTGGAACAAGCCGGGTCGATGGCCGGAAGGCGAAAGAGCACCAGTCGCTTCCCTGTGGAAAGATGGATCACATATCGCGCTTGTGTAAAGTCCGATAGCGGACCACAGTTGACCAGCATTGTGATGACAAGGCTTCTTGTGGCTGCTAAGTGGATGTGGCTGAAGAAATTCACTGGTGATGTTTGCCTTCAAAATCTCGACGAGTCACGTGACTGCTCCACCAGTGGCAAGTGTGGAACAACAACAAGAGAAAATACTAATCATATTAAAAGGGAGAATGGGGAAATGGAGTAAGCAAGTATTTTGAGTGTCTATATTAATTTCCAGAAAATATCAACCGTGGTGATTACTTGGCGGTCCTGGCGAATTGGAAATGCGAACAAAATCATATTTTCTACTATTTCAAGATAACTTGAAGATGAAGATGTATAAAAAGCTTGAAGCCATGGCTAGTAGTTGTAGATAACCTGGAGTCTAGTATTTACGCATGCGGATTTCTAAGTAATAGTATGCGTTATCGGAGAGTGCTAGTTGCCCTAGAACCGTGTAAACACATCGATACTATAATTGAATCACCAATTTTCGGGGTCACATGTTGTCATCTTTTTGAGGTATGCCGCATGTTTGGGGAAGAAGTTGGTCGCGGGTCTGAAGAACAATAAGCAGCCTCCTCAAGCCACACGCGGGTCACCTGGGCAATCATTCAAGTTAATCAAATCAAAGGAGGCGAATGAAACGTTCGTCAGTCATGCATTTGGGCAGATAAGCTTCACTGTCCTAAAGTATATAGTATACTATCCCGAAGAAGCAACTGTAGTAAGCAGACCGCCACTAACCTAACGGTTGATAATGGTTTATGTACATTTAGTTTAGCCCATGTAAGAATGAGTAGCAGCGGCGATGTAACAATTCTCATGATTTCTTTTTACCGTCGCATTCCATAGTACGACAGAGAATGGGTCGTCATGGCGGATCTGCGATCGATTAAACGAGCTGAAAGATCCACTATCGAAAAAATAGGTCCATATCAACAACACCAGTCGCATGCGCTGCCCTAATGCAGAGTGGGTGGGAGTGAACAGCACACCCAGTAGAGGCTCCATGTTAGTGGAACTAAAGAGGAGCCAAGGTTGGTTCGTCAGATAATAAGCTCCTTAGAGATTAGTCAGGCAAATTAAGGCATTCTGATGACAATGTGCTGTTGCACAGAGAGGCAGTGGTCTTATGCAGTCTTTGCCCTTTCCAATGTTCTATGCGGGGATTGCTAGTTATGCGCGCGTGCCAAGCAAATATGGGAACACGAGTGAGTAATTGGAGCCGGAGGAGCGGACAACTCCAACTCCCCCTTATTTTTTAGGCCTAGCGGAGCCCATTTGCGGGGAAGAAACAAAGCCCGGCCGTGGGGATCATCAAAGCGTTTTAGGGCCGGAACTCGGCATCGAATAAGGTAAGTTTCGAGTCAACATGCATATGTAGATGAGATGGACAGGTTCCAATCCATCTGATGTGATCAATAATGCAACGAAGCAGTGGCCATTGAAATGCCAGCCAGGGACAAGCCGAAATATCTGTTCGCACTAGAGGCCGAGATCGGGCCCTAAGCGGATTCCCCGAGTGGGTCGGCTATTGTGTAGAGTCGCAATGGAGAACTTCCGCGGCTTGAGGGAGTCGTGAGTCAAAAGGCCTCGAGTTTTCCCCATATTCTCTTGGCTCTGCTCTTTTCTTCTTTTTCTTCTCATTACCCCTCTTCTTCCTCTTTGTTCGTGTGTGCTGGTGCTTCCTCGGTGGTAGAAAACATCGCGCTACATTTGTTTTTGCACTACGCATCGCATCCCTGTATTCCGCAGTGATCAGCACTTGAAGATCCGAAAGGCCGAGCTATTCTTCTGCTTTTCTTTCCCACCTTTCGCCTTTCCTTGGCAAACGTCTTCCCCCTTTCCTAGCGAGGTTCTTCTATAAGAACAGCGGTCGCAACCAATCATGGGACTCCCAGGTATGATAGCAATCGCATTTCCCCCACGCGCGCGCATTCCGCACGCGCGCGGACTTTGATTTCTTGGCTTTGCGGGGGTTTACTGACAGCTTTGGTTTCCTTTTTGTAGACTTCAAAGCAGAGGGCGACGACCACAGCCCGGCCCTGAGCCAAGAGAACTATAACCCCGACCATGATCTCCCTCCTCTCGTCCACACCACCGAGCGCAAGCTCATGGCCAAGATCGATTGGCATGTTTTGCCTTGCCTGTGTATTCTTTATTTGCTCGCCTTTCTTGACCGGTAGGTAAACCGCGCGCATTGGTAGATTAAGGTCTTCCACAATTGTCGGATGCTAATTTTTTCGGCGTGTTTGAATAGTGTGAACATCAGTAATGCTGCGATTCTGGGACTGAAGACGGAATTGGACATCGAGACTGGCAACAAGTACAACACCGCCTTGACGATCTTTTTCGTGCCTTACATTATTTGCGAAATCCCGTCGAACATTTTGCTCAAGAAGTTCAGCCCTCATGTCTGGCGTATGTTTTGTCCATTCGTCTTCCTGAATTGGAGATGGAAATAGTGAGCTGACGTGCTTCGTTCTAGTGACATTCTGTATGTTCATGTTTGGCGTGGTCATGATTTGCCAAGGATTAGTTTCAAACTGGGGTGGATTAATGACCACTCGCTTCTTCTTGGGCCTGTTTGAAGCCGGCATGTTTCCTGGATGTAAGTTTGCAAGATGTGCCAAACAACGCACAAAGGCGAGAAGGCTAATAGTTATTATAGGCTTCTACTTGCTAGGAATGTGGTATACCCGAGCCGAAGCTCAAAAGCGTTTCAGTTTCTTCTTTAGTTCGACAACTCTTGCAGGCGCTTTCGGTGGTCTGCTCGCCTACGGTATCTCTCAAATGAACGGAGTCCGCGGATATATGGGCTGGCGCTGGGTCTTCATTCTTGAGGGTCTGATAACCTCCGTGGTTGCGATAATCCTTTTCTTCTTTATTTCTGATTTCCCGGAGGAAGTCAAGTGGTTGACTGACGAGGAACGCGAATTTGTGCGCGCAAAGCTGGCGAGGGATGTGGGCAAGTCTGCCCATACAACAAAGATAGGAACACGCCAAGTGCTGGAAGTCTTCAAGGACTGTAAGTCGACAACCAGAGTCTCAGCATCTTGTTTGTACACTTGTTGACATTTTTACAGGGAAAATCATCATCGGTGGCTTTATGTATTTCGGTCTCATCGTTCCGGCATACGGTTAGTTGGCCATGTCCGCGCAAGGTGTATCATGCATAATTGTTCTAACTTGCTCCAGGCTACGCTTACTTTGCTCCAACTATTATCCAGTCCTTTGGCTATGATCGTATGCGCAATTCCTGCCTATTTCTCTGATATTCTTACTGACATTTGCTCTCTAGCTGTCAAGACCCAGCTCTACTCTATTCCGCCATGGGCCGCTGCGTTTGGTTTCTCAATGGTTGTCGCCTTCTTTTCCGATCGCTTGCGCCACCGTTTTGTGTTTACATTGATTCCAATTGCAATTGCCATTACTGGGTTCTCCATGCTTCTAGGAATCCACGACAAATTTCACGTCGAGTACGGTGCTTTGTTCTTGGTGACTTGCGGTGCCTACAGTGCGATGCCGGTCATTGTTTGTTGGTTTGCTATGAACCTGGGCGGCCATCACCGTCGAAGCGTCGGTACAGCCTGGCAGGTGGGATTTGGCAACATCGGCGGTATTATTTCGACATTTGCATTTAACACTGACAAGGGGACTTTTACGACTGGTTACAGTGTCTGTGTGGCATTCTGCGGTTTGTCTGTTATAGCCTGCTCTATATACTATGTGGCGCTTGTGTTGGACAACCGCAAGAAGGATGCTATCTCAGCGAACCAGGACCCAAATGCCATTTCGGAGACGGAGGAAGAGCTGATGGGTGATCTGGCACCGAACTACCGGTACAACTATTAAAGAAGAGCTCGGGTGGAAGGAGCTTTGTACCAATGGGAATGGTTCCAAGGATATGAGCTTCCCGATTTGGGGACAGAGGTTGTCGATGACTTAACGCAGAGCTTAATTGATGCAAGCTATGAACATACTAGGGCTCGGGAGAGAGCTTAAACTATCTACGTAATTGCAGAAAATACGCACATATATAATATTATCAATTGAAATGAATCCACAATTTTGATTTTTTTTTTTCCACTCGTTTATTTCTCTTGAATGGAATCCGTTTATTACTGTGGCTGTCAGTGAACCCTAGTTTTCGATGCCATTCCGTCACGTGCCCCCATACATCATGGCTTCCCAAGGCGGTTAGCGCGACTCGCTTAGCGAATCCGCCGCCCACTTCAAATGCGCAGGCCGCTGCACTTTCCATCTTTCTTTCTACTATCTCTCCTCATCCTCGCAGAAGTGAGTCGCCACCCTAAGCTCCAAACCTTGGATCATTCCTCGGAAAAGGATCCTCGTTCGATATGGACATTCCTTGCTAACCTCTTCCCCCAGATCTACGAAGATGAGAGCTAAGTGGAGAAAGAAGCGCGTTCGTCGTCTCAAGCGCAAGCGCAGAAAGATGCGCGCGAGATCGTGAGTTATCCCGTTCAGCAAGCCGTGGAATACTTTCGGCTGTCTACATTTGAATTGCGTCACTAACAATCGCCTCAGCAAATAAACTACTCGCCCCTCCCATCTCAGCTCCTCATGCCGAGGCCCATGTTTGAACGCTGAACACGACAAATTGAATTGATACGACTTCTTCCTCGTTTATCGTTTCCCGCCTCTCAATTTACCTACCCGGATATGTTTTCCGCCGCCATCTACAGACGAAATCACAGTATCTACCGACGGAATCCGCCGTTCAAACGACTCCGTTCCTCTTATTACTTTTTTAATCCCTTCGGATTCATTTTCAACGTCGGTCGGTCTGCTGCTGGATTAGGTTATATCTGGGAGGCTCGTGTGTTTGGTTGAGGGTTGAAGGACCAGCCTATCGGACTGGTCGTTGAGCTCGGCACTGGGGTGACTGGTCAACTGCTTATCCAAACCTTCCCAAGGGACCTCGTTCCCTTTGGTCGGTGCCATGGAGAGGTTAATTCCGAGAGTTTCAACTCACGTCACAACAAAACCAAAACTGAACCAAGCTCGGAGGTTTTTGGTTTCGATAGCTATGCTTGACAATCGATGACTTTACGAGCACTACTACTTCTTCATATCGTAAATTGTAACTCCGTAATCATCATAACTTCCCATACCGAACATGCTCACCCAACCTTTGCGTATCAATCCTTGAACTGCCCAAATATTGTATTTCTCCATTTCGTCACTGAATTCCCACTTGTGCGGCCGTCTGTGTGGATCCCTCACCGCCTGCCCGACAATCGCCGCTAGGAAATTTTTCTGCCGACAACTTTTTGACATTCGATTGCACAGCTTCATTAAGGATCACCAGAGGTCTTTCTTGCGGTATTTCCACCATGCCGTCCGATAAAACAGAAAAGAAGCGCAAGCGCGCCTCTGATCGTCATGAACGTCCCACCAAAAAGCCCGCACTAGGCCTGCAGGCCCTTCCCCCGCTGAAAGCTAGCCTGGTCGAGGATAAGAGCGAGCTAGCGCCAGTTATTGGTGAGTGGAATGGCAATTTAAATACGCAAGCTGGATTGTGCTAATGTGAAATTATTCTCAGCTACTACTCCCGGTGTTCAGAGTGCCAAATCCCTCCGCTGGAACCCTTATCTCAAAGCCCGTGACAATGTCTCCAAGTCCTCCGCATCTCTCCGCAACCCCGGCATTGTTTCGTCAGAGATCCTGCTTCAGTCCTCCCAGCATGAGAAGATGGATTTTGTTGGCCGCGAAGGACACGATGAAGATGCCGACTCCCAGTTGAAGCACTACGTTGCGGTCGTGGACCCCGAGCGCAAGACCTGGCAGATTGTGGAGGCCCGCCGAGTGACTCTGCGTGGCTCTGTACGCTCTCACAAGGCTTCTGAAGAGGACTCAGAGTCCGAAGACGAGCTCGTAAGTGTTTTGGTACTAATTGACTGGCTAGGATCAGTGGAGCTAACATCAAGTATAGAACACAATGCGCGCTCAACGTACTGCCCTTACCAACACATTCGGTACCAAGCAATCCCGCAAGGCCGTCCAGTCCATGGCAGAGAACGCCCAACTTTCAAGTGCCCCAGCAGGCACCGTCACCGAGGCTGGTGCCGCACTCATTTCCTCCTTGCCCGCTGACGCCACCACCGGCGCGGCAAAGGCAATCGACGTGCAAGCCGCTGTGCAAGCAGCCAAGCCTTTGCCTACCCCGGACCTTACCGCTGCCCACCCATCGGATGTTTACACCATCGAGACCCTGGTCCCCGGTGGCCACTCTACTCTGCGCTTGTTAACCGGTGTCGACGAGTGGAAGCAACAGGTGGATGCCGGTCTTGCCGTTACTACAGTTTCACGATACGTGTCGAATCGAGTATCTGCCGTTGGACAATCCGATAACTCAACACACCTGCAAGTCCTCCGGTTCATCCAGCTGCTCCTCGAGTTCGCCCGCTCCCTTAAGGGCGCTGGCAACAAGGGTCCCGGTCCGAACAGCAAGCGTCTCCCTCCGCGCGACGAGCTGCGCAAAATCCTCTCCAACACATCCGGCGCCAAGCCCGGCAGCGAAGAAGAGGAATCAACCACAGAGCTCCTGCCAGACTCTGTTATCGACAATGTTCGTCGCCGCTTCGCTTCCAACGGCGGTTTCATGAGCAAGCACGACATGACTCTCCTCCACACCACGATCTGCGCCTTGACACTGCACATTCCTCCCCAACCGGCTCAAGACGGTGGATCCAGCTCTCTGGGTGGTAACTCGCCCAATGAACTCGCTACCGATCCCGCCGATCTCCGTGATGATCTGCGCCTCGACTCGAACACCATCCAGCAGTACTTCCGCGAACTGGGCTGCCGCATTGACCGGCCTCGTGAGACTGAGTTCAAGAAGTGGAATATTAAGGGTGGTCGTGCGGAGGCTCATGCGCGCCGTGTTGCTCGCCTGAAGATTCCGCTCGAGTTCCCCAAGGTTAGCCGCGGTGGTGGCAGGAAATAGATGTGAAATCTTCGTTTGGTCTTTTCTGTAGCGGTTAGCTTTCGACATGTAATTAATGTTCGATGGCCAAAATTTTCATGCCTTGTGATATATCCGGCGTTTAGACTTTTTTGAGGTTCTTCAAATGTCTCTATATGAATCAAATATTATTGCATAAGAAGTATAGCGGTATATCAACTTGAAGACCCGCATTCATAATAGAACACCATAATCATAGGTACCACTGTAGTATACTAGATCATCGATTGAAGTCCAAGTTGGAAACAAATTATCCGATATTTTCAAGGTTGTTACTACAACCAGTATTCGTAGTAGTGGTGGTGGTAGTAGTGGTAGCAAAAGCTTACTAGGTCTTAGGTAGTACGCAATACGATGGGCTTATATAGTATCTTCATGGCTGCATGGGTGGTCTGAAGAACTGACACATCAAGACTTTAATGTTTATCTAACGATTCCGTAATAACCCTCGCAGCCCCATCTAGATTGAACTTCTCGAGTGCAAGCTCTGTCCAGAGTATTTGTTGTGCAACACCTTGCCAAATCATAGACTCTGTGCCACAAAGCATTTTCCATCCTGCACGTTCGCCGAGATTGAAGAACGCTGTATGGGGTCTGGGATGATAGCACATCTCGAGAATATATCCTTTCTCCTCCTTGTCCAGAAAGGTCTGCACGATATTTCTAGCCAAGATTTCACCCTCTTCTTTGGGTGGAAAGTCCGGTACAGTGCCGACAACCAGAACTGGAGCCTCCAAGGCCGCAGCCTGGTTCACAGAGGAGACCCAAATCAACTCTCCACCAAAGTCAGTTGCTTTGAACGAGTCTATGATAGCCCTGATCTCACTCTCCAGCCTATTCACCACATAAATTTCTTTCACACCCATCCACTTCCATAAAGCGTAAATAGCCGCTCGACAGGCCCCGCCGCCTCCGATAACGAGACCTGGATTCCCTGTGGATTTTGAGACGATTCCAGGGCAGTTTTGCAGGAAAGCCTCTCTCACACCGATACAGTCAGTGTTGGTACCGATATATTTAGTACTTCCATCGGCCGATTTGCGAAGAAAGACCGTATTGATGGCGCCGATAATTCGGCCTTCGTCCGTTACCTCATCGACGGCGGACATCATGGTCACTTTGTAGGGCATTGTAACCGCACATCCAATGACGTTTTGTTGTTTCAAGGCTGGGAGGAATTCAGACGAATCTTGCGTTTCGAGGAGGGAGTATTCCCACGGCAGGGAGACCCCTTTGAATAGAGTTGCGTGTAGAAGTGGTGCCATGGAGTGGGCAATCGGATAACCGAACAAGAATGCCCGCTGTGAATTTTCACAGCGGGATGAAGTGATACAGGAAGAACCATAGTTATATGACTCCTTCAGAGTACTCTCGAGACTGTTGACTGGATTCATAGCGAGAAAGGGGGGTTGGGCTACGGCCAAATTTGTTGGACTTGAGATCGTCAAAGTGGTTAAAGCCAAAATTTCTTTTTGACAAGGAGATGTCGGTTGGGGTATGCCTGGATGCCTTTTCTATGTTTTCTATCTTCATTTGTGGGGAATAAAGCTAAGGACGTGGGGAAGTGGCGCGAATCATCTTGCTATCGGTGGAGGATTTAGCCTGGAGCACGGATCGCTGGTTAAAGTATTATCATGCCGTTCGAGCGTCATTCTAAGAAGTTTCGTGCTTATTGGATCCAGCCTACCAGTCATTCCAATATCGGTTAGATTATATCCGGGGTAGCATCAGGCTCGGTGCCCAAATTTACGCTCAAGGTGAAGAAAGTTGTTAAAAATTCCCAGGTAGTCACCTCCTAGCCCCCGCCCTGTCCGGGGCTTAAAGCATGTATATTGTGGGTAAATGATGGGCATAAGATCACAGCTCGGAATGTATTGATATAATTGGGATCAGAACCTGCTAATGAGGTATGTTGTTTTTCTCTGAATACATTTCTCTTAGACAGAAGCAGTGTTCTCCATATGCTGCGTTCCAACCTTATTCTCAACAACCGTCTGTTCGGCCTCTCGCTGATCAGCAATAGTACTTTCTGCGCCCCGGCGCTTGTCGAGAGCAAAGCCGCGGATACTGAAGAGAATATCCATCTCCTCCAATGAAAAGCCCTTAGTCTCCGGCATGAACAAATACACAATAATCAGACCGCACACCACGGAGCTTCCGAAGAAAAGGAAAGTGCCATACGTGATGTTGGCCATCATATATGGAGTTGAGTAAGTAATTATGAACTGCCCCAACCACTGGACACATGTCGTAAAAACGAGAGAAATCGATCGAATACCAGTCGGGAAAACCTCGGCACTGAAGAGAATGTCAAAAATACTGATAAATTCACATGCCGCTAGGAGATCCATACCAGAAAACCCACGGGATACCGTTCCAGGATATGGCGTAAAAAATAGCAAAAATATAGACCATTACAATGGCTATGTAAGCCCCGGCATCTCTAGTTGCAGGAGTTTCGAAAGATCCAGAGAGTTTGGTGTAGGCAGCAAGGTAATACATTGCGACGATGGCCCCTGAAGAGCCAATGATCATAGACTTCCGACGGCCGAGACGGTCAATTCCGAATATCATGAAAAGGATAGTCGCTGTACACTTCACTATGCCGAAGACACCGGTTGCTAGCAGCCCAACACTAGTACCGGAGAAACCAATGGACTTAAAGATAACAGGTGAGTAGTAATTGAGTGCGTTAATGCCCGAGAGGTTCTGTAACATCATCAAGGACATGCCAATAAAAAGTCGGTTTCGATTCCCAGGGAGAAAGACTTCCTTGATCTTCACGAGGAATGGCTGACGATCACCAACCTCAGCTTCATGCCTTAACTGTTCCTCGATTGTGTCAGCCTCCCACTGAATATAGGCGTCCTCCATGGCAAGTTTTCGGACAAAAGAGAGATTATCAATTGCTTTTGCGCGCTGGCCATTTTTGATCAGCCATCGGGGTGACTCGTGTTGTAGCAGCATCAGTACGACTAGGAGAGTTCCAGGGATAAGCTGTAGGCTAAAAGGAATTCTCCACTGCGCATCAGAAGAAGCAGAAACATGCTCATTTACCCCATAGTTGACCCAAAAGCCGATGATCTGAGACATCTGGAGGACCATTTCGAACACTCCAACTAGTCGACCTCGGATCGCAGGTGGCGACCATTCTGCGATATACTGAGGGACGATGAGGGAGGAGGCACCGACAGCGAGTCCTTGTTTATCTGTCAGCATATATCATATAATAGGAAATAAGACAACGCAAGATACCAGTCAATGCACGACCGCCGTAGATGAGCCCAACGTTACCAGATGAAGCAAGTTGCAAAACAACACCCAAATTGAACAGAATACCGCAAGATACCAAGGGTATTCTGCGACCGAATTTCTCGGTGAAATATGACACAAGAATAGCCCCAAAGAAGCAGCCAGCCTGGAATGTGCTCACGATATTGGCACTGAGCGAAGCAAGAGCCTCCTTAGAATCACTGTCAAGCCCAAACCTGCTCTTGAATGATGGTAAGGTTATGGTGCCACCAATAAAGGCTGAGTCATATCCAAACATCGAGGAGCCCATGCTTGCAGAGATGGCCAAGGCATACACCCGCCAGTTGTAAACTGACTTTGGGGCCGGGAAGGCAGAGCTATCCTTGATCTTCAATAGAGAGGGCATTCCGTCTTGGCCGTTGGAACTGTAATAGTATAAAGAAAAGTGAAGTAAATACTGCCACCAACAGAGCTCTAGAGTACAGCTGGAATGGTTTTGAGAATAGTGGATCGATGAGCACTTTAAATACATGTGGGAGTAGAGAAATCCGGGGTAAGCAGTCTCCATACCAGTTGCCCCGCAGAGATGTAAATTAGGGGGGATCTGAGCTTAGCCGATTCGATTAAGTTTCTTCGCCAAGAATCCCGGGCCCGCCATACAGGGAAATTTAAGGCTTAGAAAAGAGCCGACCGAAGCGGTGCTGTGCGAGCGTAAAGTCTTAGTATCAAATTGGTGCCTGCATTCACTTTAGGGCGAACCTATCTCGGGTATTGTATAACCCTTTTACAGTAAACAGGCTGGAAAATCAAAAGCAATTTTGATTTTGCCTTGGTGGTATCAAAACACTATGACTATCTACTGAAGACAATTCTCAATTACCGACCACGGTACAGGCCTCCCTGTGTATTGCATAAACGCCTCCGCAACTACCGTAACCATGGAGGAAGTAGAGTCCAAACTAGGTAAGTCGAGTTCCGAAGTTACATTCCCATTTTTCCTTTGTAGACACTGCACAAATGTGGGTAGCCCAACTCCAAGAAGGCAGCTTGTAGAGCGCGCGAGACCTTTTGAGTGAAATTTTCCTCATCTACCACTGAAATTTTCTGCTTAGGTAGCTTTCCGATGAGGTGGCGTGCTTGATGAACTTGCGCTAGACTGAGTTGGCCAGGCGCCGAAGGGAATGGAATCAAGGGGTGGGTGACAAGTGAGATCGGGGACGTAATTCTCGAAAGCTGCCCATTTGCCCCCATTCCCACAGCAAGGAGTGGTTTCGGATATTTTAGTTTGTAATCGCGAACAAACAAGCCTAGCTCATAGCAATCCTCGATTGCGGGTGAGAGTATACTTAATTTGATGATATCTGCGTCTTGAGACTAGTTTCCTCGCGGATATTGCTTAGCTTACTGCGGTATAGAAATCTTACCACCCAACGCATCGGCTGCAGCAAACCTTTGCACGAGCTCTTCACTCGTCCATCCCACCTTTCCAGTCCAGCTATGGTAGGAGGCCACGACTTTGTAGAACTCTTTTTCTCCGTAATCTCTTTGAGCATAACCGGAGGCCAATCAATTTCCACATCAACATAGGATATTCCGGACGCAATAGCAAGCAAAATGAGGTCCAAAGCCTCCTTACTCGCATCGTCAGGAAACTTGCCACCTTGCGACTTGGTGCGGATAGTAAAAAGGATAGGCAGGGAAGACATTGCTTGCAGAGCCTCCACCTGCTCCTTGACGTAATCTAAGGAAGGCAGATTCACATCGCCAACCTCATTGCCAGGTGGGCTAAGAAGGTCCACTCTCAATTCCCAGATGTCACCGCCATATCCGATCCCTGTGATGATATCCTTAGCATCGCTTATATCTGTGAAAGTCAAGGATATGATAAAGGTTTGTTTGCCATTGCCGTAATTTGAGAAGATAATATCCTCGCTCTGAAGTTGAGACATCGTGGGCTAAGGGAACAGAAAGATTGAGGAGTATTTCCAAGATTGCAACGTCAAAATGTATCCGACCCCTCAATATTCGTCGTCCTTAAACGTCGAGGGTTTAGTATTCAGGCACTCGCGCTTGCTTTACAATTCACGGTTAGGTATCCGTTTTCGGGTAAATAATATCCGTCTTACTCTATTGGCCACTTCTTGACTGGTCAAGTACTCGTCAATAATCTGGAGAAGTGGGGTCGACTAACTGCCCTTGAAAATGCGGGGATCGGAAAAAGATCCCTATTTCCAAGGGCAGCTTTAATAGTAAATTGTTGAACCTTGTACGTCCTCTTAAAATCTTAGAACTCTTGGGGAGAAAAGAAGAAGATTCATCATAGGACCTAGTTTCATAAAAAACCGAGAATCGGTCATGGTGGGACAAATCCAAAGGGACCGGCTTAGAAAGTCTGACAAGAACTTCCCCCAAGCACGGAAAAATGGGCTTCACCACTTGTAGTCTTGTACACAGGGATTCTTTCTAGAAATCGTCCCGAAACACGATACCTATCACGGCTACTCTGCCCCTGCGCCCCGTTCTTGGCAGTACCCGTACCGTCGTAGATAGCAGCCTAAGAATAGCTTCTGTATTAGACTCGTAAGGTCTCCAAGGTTTCTCGAACGTCAATCCAGCAAAAATGCCAAACAGACGGATGCCTGCTCATTTGAGGATGTCGGAAGACTCCGAATCCCCAATCTGCCAACCACTTTCTCCGAGTGACTACTGCAAACGAACAACTCGTATAGAGATATTATGTACGTGGCAATGTTTTGCCAGGGGATAGAATAAGAAGCGAGAAAAAGCATTGGGGAGAAAACGAGACTTGATTGTGTGTGCGAGTTGAGAAAACAGCTGCCGACAGCTCCGCCCCGCCACAAAATATACGGCCTCGATAGAACTGCCAAACTCCCAATCCGATCATCACACCAACTGGCAAAAAAGCTCGGCTTTCAAGTCTTTTGACTACTAAGGCTCTCATCTCTTAAGAAGAGATCGTAACACTGGCGCTGCCAGCACCGCTCCATGCCTCCACCGCCACGACCTGATAATTGAAGTTGCTGTTACCGAACCCATGCTGTGCCCAGAAGTTGAAATGGTTGGCGACAGTCACCGTTCCAGATGTGCGCGGGCTCTGTCTAACAGAGAAGTACTGCGTGAACGTGCTTGTTCCCGTGATCGATGGCTCGTTGGTCCGAGTGTCAGTGCAGACTTGGTAAGTGGCTCCATCAGAAGACACGGTACCAAGGCTTGTGGCCGAACTGCAAGGGTTGAAACTGCCGTAGTTCTCGACGATGTAGTATTCAGCCTGGGGAGAGTTGACCCAGCCGTACACAGCGAGGTAGGAGCCAGAGCCAGAAGCGCTGTAGCTGGCAGAGTAGGTGATAGATCTGAAAAATGTTAGATCCTGGACTTATATTCAAGGATATAGTCACCCACTTAGAGGATCCAGTGGTCCAGCCCAGACCAACTACGAAGTCGGAGCTAACTCCATTCTCCCAGTACATGGAATACGTTCCGGCACCCTCGTTGTAGGTGAAGTCACCAAGGTTGCCATTGTAGTTCTGGACGTAGTTAATACCGGCACTTCGCGACACCAGAACAGGTTCGGAGGCAGGGGCGGCGAGTGCCGTGACCAATAGGCCTGCAAAAGCTGCAGTGACCTTCATGATAATTGAAGAGAGTTGGATGCTGGTGAATGGGTGGGTATAACCGAAAGAGAAGCCTGTGCTGGTCAATGTTGCTGCAAGCCCGTTCTACCTCTATTTATATTCTGCGAAAATGACTATTTATCCCCTTTCCCCGCCCGACGAAGTGGCCCGGTTATGTGCATTTTGCCGTCACCTTTGGTGGTTAAACGAGCTCGAGCCTATTACCAGAGACTGCTCTATAGTTATAGGTTTCCGATGCAGCCACCAGTCTGGGCACTGCACTTGGCTAAATAGACTGTACTTGGCTAAATGGACTGCGCTTGGCTAAAATGACTGCAGGTGGCTAAAAGGGCCACAGTTCAAGGGTAGCAGTTGGGTGAAAGGTAAACAGTGTGGAGGCGGGGAAGTGGGGATTCTTCACGGGTTGTCTGCACAAGCTTTACTGGCTCAGAAGTCATGTTTATAATTGTGTACTCGCTGATCAACTAAATAAACACAGTTCCTCATCCACACAACACGTACGTACTTGAGGGTCATATTTCTTTGCTTCTTGTAGCTAGCCTAAGGCTGAGTTGCGCTGCAAGAAACACTGGCCAAAAGCCGCACCAAGGATTGCTCTCATTCGTCAGGTACTTTGGAGCTTAAAGGGCACGGGGAGGAGGCCGTGCAGATCTTTGTGCAGGTGATGAAGACGAGCAAGACAAACCTCGGCGCGGACCATCCAGACACGCTAAACAGTATGGAAAATCTCACTTTTACCCGGAAATATTCAGGTCAGGATGCGGAAGCCATTAACTTACTCAGGTACTGCCTAGCCAAGCAAAAACAAACATTGGGGGCTAGACCATTGGCAAACTTTAGCCAACTCTACAGCCTTGGCATAATGGAAAATGGAGGGTGAAAATAATACTTCAATAAGTTTGATACCTTAATATCGCATGTTTACATAGCAATTTCTACTTTATATGTACTTCCAAAATTGACCTTTCCACTCATAGGTTGACTTCGTGGGCATCACTTTGGTGAAAATCGCTGTACAGTAAGGAGATTGAGGACAAGCAGAGTCATCAACGACCTAGCTCAGGTGCCAGTGTTCTTGACAGAAGTATTACAAGTAATTTAAAGCGCGTTTTCTCGCGTGACTTGAACTTTCAATACGATCTAATACTTGAAACTGAGCCAAGCCAAAGATGGATTAGCCTGTTTTGTCAGGCTGTGAGAGCAGAATTACGATTTTGATTGGCCTATTCGAAAAGCTCATATGAACAAGTTTCGTGAAGCGATTGAACTCAGGGCAAAAATATAGAGCTTTTGTGCATATATTTAAGGGTTAAGTGCCATAAAAAGCACTGACAAGGCTTTGACCGTAATGGATTATAAAATTGCGGATATCCCATTCACCCCGGGGCCGTCAAAACGATATTCTTGGGAGACAAAGACGATGACCTTACGCCAGCCCGTCACATGGACGTGCAGTTGGATCAGCGCTTGTAATGAAGCCGGCATAACTTGGGATAGGGTGATTGATTTCTTCTCTCCAAACGGGTGGATAGAAGATAGAAGATTGGAACCCTTACATGATAGTAGCATCCAAAATTATTGATTGCTAGTAAATACAGGACTTAGACATCCAAACCATGCCTAATTAGAGCAATCCTCTAGTCGCGAGACATTAAATGCCTGTAAGTCAGGCTAAGTAAGTCTCCAGTGCAAAGTCTCCGGTGGGCGGTCAGAGCCGGAGACTTTCAAAGAGACATCATCTTTTCTCTTTCGAAACTGATCATCACATTCTCATTCCGCTCAGTGATCAGTGGCCTCCGGAGACGTTGCTACTACTGGTAAACAGCGTGAATTGGACTAGCAATTATCGCCACGGGAGGCCAGAACCCCACGCAAAATTGTCTTCTTCGCCGGAGTAGTGTTTCAATTGGCCGGTATCTTCACAACCTCTTTTTGTACCGAACACTATGAAATCTTTCTGTCCCAAAGTATTTGCATCGGAATTGGCAACGGCCTTGTCTTCTGTCCTGCCCTCACCGTCATCTCTTCTTATTTCAAAAAACGACGAGCTCTGGCAATTGGAGTTGCAGTCAGCGGCTCAGCAGCTGGAGGGATTATCTTTCCGGCAATCGCCAATGCAACTCTCGAGACGATAGGCTTTGGATGGACTATGCGAATCCTCGGATTTATCACTCTTGCCACACACATACCATGTATCATCTATTTGTGGCCCCGGCTACCACCGCGAAAGACGAGACTCTGGATTGAACTATTGGCTTTCAAGGAGGCTTCGTATGCTTTTTGTCCTAGCCATGTTCCTGAACTTCCTTGGGCTCTATTTCGCATTTTTCTATATTGGAAACTTTGCACGCCAGGTCATCGAAACCTCGACCTCTGTCTCGCTGAATCTTCTCATAATCCTCAACGGCACGGGGGTTGTGGGTCGTCTACTCTCTAGCTTTCTGGCAGGCAACTACCTGGGGCCGCTCAACACAATAATCCCCATGGATATATGCACATGCTTTCTCATGTACTCTTGGGCAGCAATTCACTCGGTCCGTGGGTTGTACGTGTTTGCTGTCATATATGGCTTCTTTGCGGCTGGTGTGCAGTCAATGTTTCCAGTGGTACTGAACAGCCTTACGTCTGACCCGACCCGGATTGGAACTCGCATGGGGATGATGTTCGCCGTTGTGGGCATCTCGTGTCTTATAGGGATGCCTTTGTCAGGTAAATTTGTAGTGAACTTTTGAATTCAGAGCTGGGTTTATTGTCTGATTCTGTGGTAGGATTGGCCTCTATTTATACAATTTTAGGGCTCATTATGAATTTACAACAACTTATGAAGAGCCCCCAAAAGGAAGTGATGCTCATCGTGAGAAAGGACAATCTGTGGGGCTGCTAGATCTTACAGTCAGCACCAAGCCAGCCGGACGAAATTGTGACGGTCAAAGACCAAGGCACTGCCTGTAGATCACATTCTCTATACAGATTAGTAGGACCTCTGGCTGGAACTGTTGGTCAAAGAGTCTTATCAAGAAATAGTGTTAAAACTTGGTGCTAGTAGTAGCTATAGTATGTTGACCCGAGTCAGAACAGTGATCATCTATGTAGATAAAGCATAAAGCATTTTTGCCTTGCGAAACACAACCCTCTCCATCAAAATGTAGCCATTCTGTTAAATCTCTCTAGTTTGACAAGAGTCAATATTCTTGAACATAGCCAAAATTGATGCCAACAGTCCGGTTTTGCTCAATATTAACGCAGATAGACATCAGTAAGAAACCCCTCAGAATTCCAGACTCGAACGGTTCTTTCGACTTAGGAACAACATGCGAGTCGACGAGCCGTGGTACATACAAAGGAGTCAGCCATGCAGATCAAACCTGGTGACATACCCACTCATCCCAAATATATCCACAAGAATAAATACAACAGGCCGGTTGTGATATCCACGGATTCTGGCACAGTAAGTCTTAACCCACTATAGCAAGGGCCACCAAGCGACCGAATCAGCTTCTCGTGCAAAAGCCGGGGCTGATATTCTGGGGGTATAAACCCCACACAGAAAGCTTTGCTTTTAACTGATCGCCGAATTGGTTTCGAGAACAAGCTCTCTACATTGCCGACGCTCCTTCCGCGTCCTGCTTACGGGCTCCACAATGGGTGTTTCTTCACTGCATCCTGCCAACTTTTTAGATGTAGACTGTCGTTGATTTGGTCATATAATCATTCCGAAAATCCTTATTCAAGAAGGTTTCCATCAATATCAATATCCAGGCTGTAAGTTATATCTCCCTAGCACATACAGATATCTTTTAAAGTACCTTGAGATAAAAACTAGTTCAGCGCTGAGTTTAGGCATAGATTTTAGCCCCCAAAGAATCTATTTCACCTGCTTTGACTAGAGCTGTTCACCCCCATCAGCCCCCACGTAATCCTTCTAGATGCTGGCCTATAGCCGGCTGAAGGGCTGACTTTCATGTGAAAGAAGCTGGACTAGCATGGGACTCCCTAATGTCTGAAACGAAATTGTAATGGCGTTCCAGTCAACAGTCTTTGTGCCAAAGAGGAACTTTGAGGATGACTTGGAAAAGAGATGATGATGCTACAGGATATTGTTCTATCTAAGAGTTGATGGCCGTGTAAAATGTTTACACATCCGGTTAACGGATCCTTCATAATTATGATCGAGTCATGAAATTAATTAACACTATAGAAAAGTCTAGGAAGCATCAATAGATCTGAACTGGCTTCGCCTCCGCTCAGTATGTATCTCCCGATCGGCAGCAAGCTGCTGGGCGAACTTGCTCTTCTTCCGAATCTCAGGACCCTTCCAATAGAACACATAAATAGGAATTAAAACCAAGAAGCCAATACAGCCTAGAATCGTACTCGCCCACTGAAGGTGGTATTTCTGGCCAATATTGGTGTACATCGGCGTCGCGTACATGGTCGCGATACCGGCGAGGAAATCACGAGCGAATCCATTACCTCCGGTTGCTGATGCGGAATAAGGACCGTAGGCCGCGACCATGTAATCTATTGTGGCCATGTAAATTGCATAGTTGGCCATGGCAATCATGCAAGAGAAGATGAGAGGTGCGATCCAGGGGATTGGGGGACCCATCGAGGTCCATGCGAAACCAAGTAGGCCGATTGGCTCCAGGGGGGGCAATGAAGAGAAGAAGAAGTAGACGTCGCTCGGCATATCGACTAGCGGCGCCTTCTTTGGCGCGTAGCTTTATTTGTCGATAAATGTCGGGCAAAAAGATGAAGTAAGCGAGGAGATAACCGATCAAAATTGAACCGAAGGTCATTCCGATGGCCAGAGTGGACATGTTCCACTGTTCAAAGACCAGAGTGAACGATTCAGTGAAAACGAAGATCAGAGCGTCGGAGAAACCTGAGAGCAAGGATAGGAACAGCACAATAGGCTCAAGTAAGAACATCTCGAAAGGCCGACGCCAGATAGTCAAAACCTCGCGAAGTTCTAAACGAGGTTTCTTAAGCTCATTCGGGCCATAGACCTCCTCCTCGCCAGCCTCCCGGCGACGCTTGGCTTCCTTATCGACCAGAATCGTAGCACGAGTCTCAGGGACCAAAAAGAAATGCATGGCTTGTGTGACACCACCGAATATTAATTGGACCCAGAAAACCCAGTGCCATGAGAGGTATTGGCCGATGATACCACCAAAGAAAGGTCCAATAGTCGATCCTCCCACCGAAGAGAGCACCACATATGCCACTGCGTAGCCCTGATTATCAGGTTCCCACATATCGGCCGTCATACCCAAGGTGACGGAACCACCAGCCGAACTCAAACCACCCAGGATACGGCAAACGACGATAGTGCCAAAGTTAGGCGCCAAAGCGCATGGAATCTGCCAGATGTTCACCAGGAACAACGAGAGCTGCATGATGGGCCAACGGCCGAACTCCTCCGACCAGGGCGCCCAAAGCTCACACCCGAACGCATATGCGACGAGGAATACACATTGTCCGACCCGAGCGGCTTGTTCGCTAATGTGGAATTCCTCCGTCAGGCCAGTAACGGCGCTGGCGTAGACACCTGTGTTGAAGTTCATCGACATTTGCACGACGAAAATCACCGAGATGATAATCCATTTCTTGTAGGTGGGGAAGCAAAAGCCGAGACTATCGTAGCACTCGTCTTCTGTGAGCTCACGCTTGCCGTCTTTCTCAACCCTGGGGGTACCGTGCTGGCTGCTGCTGTCGGATTGAGAGGCATTTTCGGCGTGGGTATCGTCTCCGCGTGCGACTTTCTTCGAAGCTTGTTGTATTGTGTCGGGTTGCTCTATTTTTTGTTCATCTTCCCGCTTCTCGGAGAGCGGAAGATCGTCCGAGACAGCCATGTGGCAAGGGGGATTGTATGGATCGATTGCTTATATAGGAGGAATGCATATGTCAACCTGAAAGTAAAAAGTGCCCAGGTGGAGTATAGGGGATCGGGATGGAGTAAGTGGGTTCCAAAGTTAACCCCTTGGAGAATGGAGCAAAAAATATATAAATCAGTGCGGCCATGAGGAAACGATTTATATTTATGCAGCTCAAAGATAGCAAAGTGGGACCGGGGGCACATGGATCAATGCGTATGCAACTTTCGCATCATTTAATCAGTCGGGAAAGCTGGAACAGGATACGACAATGTCCATCGGTAGAATCCGCCGGCCGTGGGTGGCTTCGTAAATCCGAGGACATCGTGAGATTCGTCCGTGGAGGCAAGAACAGTATCCACAGGCAACGGCAACTTGTAACATGAATGGACAGGCCTGGGCAATGACTGATGGAGAGCGGCAAAACCTGTTATAGTTCCACCTTCCACCTCCATGGTTGTGGACGATCGTGGACGGTGGGGCTGTCCGGGGGTTGACGGCGGCCCGACTGGTACGACGTCATATCCGCGTCAATCAATCGATCTTCTCCACTCCATTCTGTCCCGGGGCGTTCAGGGCGCATCAATTCATTAAGATATGAATGGCTGTGATCTGGCCTCAAAATGGGGGCTAGAAAGAGGGCGTAAGTGCGATGTTGTCATACTTCAAATGACCTGCTTTATCAAGCCAATAGAAAGTTTCCTGAAAGCGCGCAGCCTCTTCCGTTCTTTTGATCGAAAATCATACCACGCTCTCCATGCTTCCATGGTTCTACTTGGAATTGGTCCGCAAGGTTAGGTTCGTAGTCGCCTATAAGCCAGGCTTAGGATCCATGCCTGTGCGACGAGTTATCAAACGAAGACTATACGGCATCTTCAAAGACAGAACATGTTTCCGAGGGTCGATAATATATCGCTTCTACTGCTTAATATTCACAAGCCTTATGGCGCCGAGTGATGTGCTCTTTGAGCCAGTTGCCACGGCTTGGCGATATCTCGGCGATGCCCAAACCGGTTCAACCGAGTCACGGCAAAGGCGTCATCATCCATGGTTTAGACTAATGTACAGATCTGTAGAGCATACATGGGACGTTCGCACTGGCCATGGGTGGTCATTTTCCGACCGGAGATCAGCTCGAGCTCTTACGTTACCCGTCGCACTGGTCCTCTAAGAGTCATCGTGATAGCTCGAACAAAGCAGTGCTTGTTTCTCAAACTCCTTGAAGCATCCAGAGTTCTTCTCTGCCAGGAGGCGTTGAATCTTTGCTGCTTCGTTTACTTACTAACTTTCTTGAATTATTGCACTTCGTTGAGTTTCAGGTAAGTCCAAAAAGTTAAAGTACATCGGCTATTCAAATTCCAATTCCCGGTTGTTACCAATCCCAACTCCCAAAAATGCAATCAATCATGCAGGGACTTCTTTATGAACAATTGCGAAATGTGCTCGAGATCGACCCCTCGTATTGAACCTTTTATCGCAGGAAGGATGGTGACATAAATACGCGCCGGGTAAAATATGCGCTGATTCAATGTGTCGCAGGGCTCAGATTCGCTTTTGTGAAGAATCCGCCGGTATTAGGACAGTTTATCCAGCCACAGTGGATTTTCTCCTTTTTCAGATCCGACCGAATAGAATTGATTAGATTATGCTGTCCACTATGTATAGTACGTCGTTAGACTCCGTTAGAGGAGGCGGAGATGCTTACTTGGGTTGGGTTAGCGGATCAGTTTCAGTTCCGGTTCTAATGCAGCTTGAGTCTCAGACGCAAGCGCAGGCGGACGAGAGTCGCCTTCAAGTTCGAACCACGACAATCTTGCCTGAGTTCGGAGTCGTCGCCAGGTCCGTTTCGATAGCTTGTGCTCCGGTTCTAATCTCCGCTCCATCGCCTCCAGATAAGCCATTCCGAATATAGTTCCTAACCTTCTCTTAGAGCCCAGTATCCTGAGTTGTCGGTTTAGCATGCTGCCGCATCTCCCATTGTTGCAAGCGCCATGTAAACGTGCGTATTGATATTGGAATACCGTGCCTTTCATTTAAATGCTTGCTTATCTCCCATCGTGTTGAGCCATTGTTGTAAAGTGAGATAATCTCATCTTTATAAGGGTCAAGATCAATCTTGGGGCAAGGCATATGGGCAGTGGTAGCTGGGGTGTAGAGGGCACAGATGTATAGAGGGCATCGAGGGAGCCGTGGCTATGTGTTTGTTGAAGCTACAGGATCGGAGCGACCGAAACCCGACAGTGGTGGACGTAAAGAGAAAATGCAAACAACGAAGGCGTCGCATTGAACTTGGATGTCTGGATGCCACATCTCGACCATATAATTCATAAACCAGGCTACGCCTATATAGGAATTATCCGACCTGATCCGCATGATCAAGTATGGAATCTTGAAATATTGGAGTCTTTATATGAGCTTTATATATCCAGGATCTTCACCATGGTCGTTACCTCATTCGGTCAAATAGTCAAAAGTTATCGCTGAGATGAAACGCTGTGGGCCACTGGGGACCGCAGCCCGCTAGATACCCCGAAGGAGGCTCAGCTGCCGGAACAGGGGCTTCAAGCGAAAGGATATTCCACATTCCTTGATCATTTCGGTGGCACCCATGCGATATAGGCCACAGTTTCGTCTTTACTGATTGATGGCAATTGAAGATACTATTGGAAAACAGCAAAGTGTTTCCAAATATCCTCAGTATATTGATGGAGTAAATGGAAATATCAGAAAAATAAATGCCCGGGTATATCAAAAACAACCTCTCTACTGGATATCACAACTAAAAAAATAACAACAAGTAGTCAGTCAAAACCAACGCCCCTGACAACCTCAATTCGAACCCGGCTCCACCGGCCCCCGAATAGGAACCATAGCCCTCCTAACATACTTATAACAAACAGTCTTAAACCTCCTCGGCAAACCACCCGCAGAAGACGATCTCATAGACAACTTCCTATGCAAACGCGTAGCATCGAAACTAGGTTTCCGCGCCATACCTCCCGCTCCCCCGCCTGCCGTTGTCACAGCCGGCGGCGCCGTCACCGACGTCGTGCATCGCGTTTCAGGACTAGACTCCTCCGTTTGAACGGCCGTTGCTTCACTTGTATCATCTGTTGGAGAAACCGTGCTGTTTGTTTCGGGGCGATGCGTTTGTACGCGCGCAAGTGGGACCGTGTGTGTTTCCATGCGCGCGAGTGGGATTTCTTCTAATTCTGATTCGTGGCAGGGGAGAGGTATGGTTCTGAGGGCTGCAGAGATGCGGTCGTGCATGGCTTGGTCTTGGATTATTGAGACGGGGGGTGGGGAGGGTGATTCGTTTTCGTTTTCGGGAATGGTCATTGCCATTGGCACTGGCATGGTTGTGGTAGTAGTTGTAGTTGGGGTCGGGGGTTCCTCTTGCTGGTTTGCGATTATGTCGTTCGCTTCGAGGACCCTTTCCTCAATGATGGCGTTCTTCTTCTCTTCGATCTCGGCTTGTAGGGCGTTTTGCGCGCTTTGGAACGTTGAGGTTCTTGCGACTGCTTCGAGTTCGTCCATGTCGAGTTCTGCTTCGGAACCGGAGCAGTATTCGTAATATTCATCATCTTCGTCGGAGTCGGACTCGTCGGACCAATCCGAGTCTTCCTCTTCGTCTTCGTCTTCGAAATCGGCCGTTAAAAACTCCTCCAGTCCGCCGCGGACTTCGTTCTCGTCTGTCTCGGTATGGATCTCAGTTCCTGGTTCGGGTTTACAAGGGTTCGCGTCGTAGACGGGTGATCGTAGTTCTGGGCCTTGAGAGTATTCCTTGGCCTTATTGTCCAGCGTCGCAGTGGCAACTTCCGGATCCAAACAAGAAGATGCCATATTTTGCATATTCAAGCTGTGAACAGCGCGATAAGCTTGCGAGACCAGCTGTCTCACGTAGTCGGCCGAGGCAGGGTGATCGGGGTGACTCGCGGCATGGGCGTAGATTTTGGCGCAGTGTAATTCGAATACTTGGGCCAATTGGGAGGCATCTTTGAAATTGGAGTCAATCAATGTGTGTTCTGGCCATGAGGTCGCCATCTTTGGTGGTGGTGGTGGTGATTAAATGTGATGGATGTTGTGGTGGAGGGTGGGAGGAAACGCGTGCAAAGCAGCTTGACGCGTTAAGTACTCCGAGTCCTCCCCACAGGGGCTACGGTTAGTGATATTGCGCATAATCCCTCAGGCATGCACCAAACATTTCAGTCCCGCCCCTCATTCTCGGTTTAATTAGCTTCCTTTCTGGTGGAAGATTTTGTGAGGGATTTATTTTGCTTTTTCTTTTCCAAATTTTGAAAGGGCACACCTCTGTAAACAAACATACCAAGCCAGACGCTGGACCCTGGAAGTAGATCTAGTTCTTTCTCCCCCCCCCCCCCCCTCCCCCTCTCCTAGTGCCAGTGCCTAATTCCTAGACAGAGTGCCAGTTCCCTGGGCATAGCGCCCTATTAAAGGACAAATAGCCTTTCTCGAAATATTCGCAAGTCATCAGTCTACAAAACTACCCACATTTACATCTACAACAAGGTAAAGTAATGCCCCCGAAACTCATCCATTGACAAAATTCGAATCTATCTATCCACACAACCAGGTCGATACAGTAAGACGGATGAAATAAACAGTCAAAGGCGAGCCCGAAAAACCGGGAACCAAAAAAAAAAAAAAAAAAAGTAGTGTCATCCGTATGGGAATGACAATCATGATCACAGTCATGTATTATGAATCAAATGGTATGTAGGTTAGATGCAAGAATACACATCACACCGACCAATCAATGGAAAGGAACGGACGGGATATAAACAAAGCATGCGTCAGCTTGAATCCCAGGCATGCCCCAACCTGACCGGGAAAACTCCTCCCGGACCTCCCAAAATGAGACAGACCAAAAGAGAGCCTCCACAGTCTGGGACGTGGCAACTAAATAGCACCATCTCTCCGCTTAAGCGGCAATACCAACAGGAGCGGAGGCGATGGGCGACTTCGCGCTACCAAGGGGGGGTACCGGTCTTCATGCGAGGAGGCACGGGGGAGGCCTGGGCCTGGGTCTCGGCTCCGAATTCACGGGAGATAGCGACCTCGAGAGACTCGGTAGCCGCGAGGCCGAGCTGGGATTCTTCCCAAATAGGCTGATTCGCAGCCTCGGCGCCCTCGACGCCGACACCGACGAATCCACCCATGTTCTCCCAATCGCTAGCGCGCTTGAGGCCCAGGTCGTTCCAGACAGCTTGCACGGCTTGAACAAGGTGATCGCGCAGGGGCTTGACGTGGCCTGGAGTCGGGGTGATGCGCAGACGCTCCTCGCCGCGGGGCACGGTGGGGTAGTTGATGGCCTGTACGTAGATGCCGTGTTCCTCGAGCAGTTTGTCAGAAGCTTGCTTGGCGAGTTCGGCGTCACCGACCAGCAGAGGCACGATGTGCGAGGGGTTCGGGATAACGGGGATGTCGAGAGCCTTCAGGGAGTTCTTCACGGCACGGGTGTGGAGCTGCTGCAGGACGCGGTCACGAGGTTGCTCGGACTGGTACTGGATGGCGGCGTCGGCACCGGCCATGGTTGCGGGTGGCAGGGAAGTGGTGAAGATGAATCCAGGTGCCAGGGAGCGGATGGTATCGACCAGAGCGTGGGATCCAGCGATATATCCACCGACGCAACCGTAGGCTTTGCCCAGGGTGCCGGTAATGATATCGATACGGTCCATGACCGTGCCCTTGGTGCTCTTGGGAGAAGCGGTGTCCTGCGACGCGTAAACGTCGTAGTCCAGGTGCTCCGCGACACCAGCTCCGTGGGGACCGTACATGCCAACAGCGTGCACTTCATCCAAGAAAGTAATAGCGCCGTACTTGTCAGACAGGTCACAGATCTTCTCAATTGGCGCAATAGATCCGCACATGCTATACACAGATTCGAAGGCGATGACCTTGGGAACGTTAAGAGGGAGAGAAGCCAACTTGGCTTCTAGATCTTCCATATCATTATGTTTGAAGACCATCTTCGCCGCTCCGGAGTGACGGATACCTTGAATCATCGATGCGTGGTTCAAGCTATCAGACAGAATCACACAATTGGGCATCTTGCTACCCAGAGTCGCGAGGGTGGCGTCATTGGCAACATAGCATGAACTAAAGACCAAGGAGGACTCCTTTCCATGCAGTTTGGCCAGAGTATCCTCCAGCTGAATGGCATGCTGGTTGTGGCCAGAAATATTGCGGGTACCACCAGCACCAGCACCGTAAGTATCAAGAGTGCGGTGCATGGATTCCAGAACCTTGGGGTTCCGACCCATACCGAGATAGTCGTTGGAGCACCAGACCGTCACACGCTCCTCGGCCGAGGCCGTGTGGGCACGAGGAAATTCCTTGGCGAGGCGATTGATGTTGTTGAAGTAGCGGTACGACTTGTCCTTGTGCTTCTTCTCGAGTTCGGTGTTGTAGAATTCATTGTAGTCAAATCGGGAAGTGATCGGGGACTCGGGGCGAGGACCGCGGGCCGCGGCATCCGCCGCAGGAGCAGGACGGAGATGAGCGAGGTTAGGGTGGGCTGCTAGCCAATTAGTATAGATTCCAAGTGTCAATCAAAATCAAAATCCCGTCGGAAACTCACCCTGCTCATTCTTCTTGTAGGTTCCTTGGGCGGCACTGGCCGGGTGGCCGCCAGTGGTGTGCAATGCACGCTTGTTGGATGGCGCCAGGAACGGCTTCGCGGCGGGGACTCCGGCGGCGGAGGAAGTAAATCGCTTGGTGCTGCTGAGACGGGCACTCTGGACTGCAAGAGCCTTGCTCATGACCGGGCAGCGGCGAGCCAGAACCTGGAGGTTGGACATAGTTCCACCGCCGGTGCTGGGACGGGTAGCCGTGGAGAGAGTGCGGAGGGCGGCGGGCGCAGTGCGCTTGAGGAAGGGGCACATAGCCCGGGACTGCTGGAGCATGGCCTCCATTATGGTGATTGAATTGAAGCCTTACAAGGTGTGTAAAGGGCTGTAGGGGAGCAATGTTGCAGTGTAAAAAAGAAGAGAAATGAGACTCATGAAATTCCTGGGGCGGGGATAGAAAATGAGTCAGCAGATGACAAACGGGGGATTGTGAATGGCCAGATCATCGACAGCGTGTGGTGCAGCTCGGAAGATCCTCCCCATTTGGGCCTGCGGCACGCTTCACCCGAACTTAGTCAGCGTTCACCGGTATCAGAAGGCCCGGGTGGCCCGAGGTTAATTAATTGACATTTGCTGTGAATTTTCTGCGGCGGCAAATATACTTTTTTGGTGCGGGGGAACTTTCCGCAGTCCCTGGAAACACATGTCGGTGAGGCCGAAAATAGATAGAGGAGAGAGTATGGAATACGGGCTGGAAGATCATCGAAGATATAGTGCGGGGAAAATTACTTCGTACTAGTATAGGTACATTAGGTAGTGAACATCCCGTGTGGCATGTGCCCGCAGTACCCCCTCAGGTAATAATTTGCGATGGTCTGAACTTCCATGGTAGATCGGATTATGATCCCATTGCCATGATAAGCGGCTATAGAGAAACCTGTGGCAACTTGAACTGTACCCCAATAGTATACATGCATGGATGAAAGCCAGTGTACTTCTGAAGTTATAGTAAGAGTTGGCAAAGACCAGTTACTATTAATACTAGTAGTACCCAACTATACTAATAACCAGCATATCAGGCTTTAATAGTAGAACCATGACACCAACTTGAACAAAACTCTTCCCCTAATTCGACACAATAACCCTCTTATTATCAAACTGATCCCCCTCCCTCCCAGCCGCCACATCAACCATCCACCTCGCACAACTCTCACGCGTAATAAACAAACTTGCCCCAGACTCCGTACTTCCAAACGTCTTGACCGGGCATAACCCTCCACCCTTCAACCCGACCGGCAAAGGAAGCGTCCAAACAACATCCTCTCCACAAACCTCCTCAATCTCATCATTAACGGCATTATGATCCTTATAAGACTCGGAAACATTACTAAAGGCAATCATAAACCGAACAATATACGGCGTAACAGCATAACTCTCGCCAACGCCTAGAGCATTCATGACAACCAAGCGAGGTTTGCTGCCGCCACTTGCTGCGAGGCTGTTCTGCTGCGCGTGTATGAGGGCCCGAGCAGCATTCCTAGTCGAGTCTGCGATTAGACGCGGTGGACCAAGAAACTTTCCCCAGGGATTTTGGCCTGCGCGTGGCGCGTTGAGGAAGACGAGAATTGCGTCTACTGGGGTGCCGGATTCTTTGAATGCGCGTGCCATGTCCTCTCCTGACAGAGGGGAACCCTCAACGACGGTGAGTCCCTCTTGGGGCTCGATGCCGTCGGCTTTGCGGACGAGAATGGTCACCGTGAACCCTGGAGGAACTTATTAGTTCTATTTTTTAAACTTCTTTGATGCCCCGTGACATGATTAGGAAGTCTCATATAATATGTAGAAGTAGATACTACCAGTCCGCTGGCAAGGTACTACATACCTTGTTCCAAAGCATATTTATATCCGTACAGACCCGTTCGCCCTGTTGCCCCGAGGATAAAGAGATGCATTTCGCCCACTGGCAGCGATCGTCAGCTAAGGAAGTCGTGACACTGGATATTGTGAGCGCAATGCACACCTCGATTATGTATTCGGAGGTAGTGTTCCCCCTATTATTTTCGTTGCGCGAAGAGTGTGGCAAATTGACTAGAATCGCACCTCGAATGGGGAAGTTAACTGTCCCCATAAAAGCTCGAACCTTTTGAACTGTCATTGGTCGAAATACCCACGTCAAGTGGCCCATGCGCATTCTAGCGCCCCGGCTTACTATGGCTTACCCCTCCTAACCAATCATGTCAAATGAAGTTGTCTTGGACGGAAGGATGGTATTCTTTAAATTTTGGGCGAACTTGCAACTCGGAAAATCGCTTGGGATAAGAAAAGTACATTCAAGTTTCATTCCATTTACTGTAACTACCAGTAAGCCTTCTACAGGTTGTTGATCGAGAGTATCATGTGACCAACCTGGAGATCTGGATCCTGATTGGCCCGTTAACTCGCCCGTTTGCTTCAGGCCTCTCATTCACAAACAGTCAACCAGATCACTTCCTCTCATTTTACTTCCTCCGGAGAAAGGTTTACAGTTAGATCCTCAACAATCCATTCACATCTCTGCCGCCCCTGACACCTGGAGTCGGCTCGACTACCTAGGGCTAGAGATAGCCCGAGCTCATCTTACTTCTCTACATACATCCAAACTGGAAGCACTCATGGTGAAAGCCGCCGTTGTAAGCAACATATACATTTCATGAGTGAAAACTTTCCAGATAGCTGACCACAACCACAAAGCTACCTGGCACAATACACAGTGCATCGCTCTGAAAGTCCACAGCCTTTTCAGCATTCGCAACCCTCGCAGTAATGGTCTACACCATAAAAATTTGGACCGATGGCGGCTGCAGAAACCATGGAACACCAAATGCAATCGGAGCTTCTGCCGCCGTTTTTGAAACAGGACCCGGTGTCTACATGTCCTGGACGAGGTCGCTACCCTCTCATCCTCCCCCAACAAGCCAGCGTGCTGAAATCGACGCCATTAACCTAGCACTGGACCAAGCCCTGGTGTTTTATGAAGAGCTTCCCAGCTACACAAGGCTTGATGTGACAATTTATTCCGATTCAAGATACGTGGTTGGCTGTATGACCCAATGGATTCCCAGGTTCATCAATAATGGCTGGCGAAATTCTGCTGGCAGGCCTGTTGCGAATCGAGATCTCCTAGAGGAGGCTTGGTATCTGAACAATGAATTGAGACAGCGGGGATATGTGGAGTATCGCTGGTTCCCGAGGGAGCAAAACCAGGTTGCGGACGGGTTGTGCGATGAAGAAATGGACAACCACAGCCACTGGCAGTATGGCAGATATTAGTATGTGTCTTATCACTCCTACTATTCTCTCGACTGAACGGCCAAACGACCGCCACAAACGTCAACTACTATTCCATCGTGCAGCCACAGCAATTCCAACAGATCTACGCTGCTTCCTAACCCCAGGCTGTTTTACGTTCCCTCCAACCCGAGTGCGCGGTTCCTCGCTGCCTCTCCTCATCCTTAATCATGTTCGAAGGTTATCAATCATGGTATTTGTACCAGGACAACCATGGATTTTACGCCCCCGTAAGTGGCGGCCCCGGTTGAAAGGAAGATATCTGTTAAGTAGACGATCATATATCACCGTCACCGTCACCTTCAAGTTTTTACCAATCAAAACAACCTGGAATACATATTTTTAGGAACAGCATAGTATAGAACATCATTTAAATCTATTATGATAGCCACATCAAGTGCCCCATGGACATACAAACATCAAATCCTAGAGTTTCAAGTCTGCATGCAAACAAAAGAGCGAGGCACTCGCAGGTAGAGAGGAGCGGAACCCCAGGAAATTGAAGAAAGAAGCAGCTTTTTGCCAACACCCATCAGATATCCCAAGAGTTTTTGGAACCTTGAACATAGAAAACAGCAACTGTAACCTGAGCATCCAAGGCGAAAGTCAAAGCCAGAACCGAGTCAAGTTTTCGACCGTAGGAATAGGTAGGCAAACAGAGAGTAAAAGAGCTTTGGAAGAAATAAAAACTTAAAAAAAGGGAACACTTCTCCCTCCCGAAACCAGCATCCAGACACTGGAAACTTGAACGAATACATCACATCAGTGATAAGGTAAATTTTTGTAAAAAAAAAAAAACATCAACATCTATTGCATTGCGACAGCATAACATCACATCACATCAAACCACTGCTCCTCTCTTCTCATCTCTTCACTTCCCGTAAGTAATGAAACATCATGTAGAATATTTGTAAATAAAATTTCATCAAAACAACAGGGTACATATCCCTTCTCTCCTTTTTTCTTCTTCTCTTGGGATGGAATAGGGTAGGAAGGAAGGCAAGTGTCAACGATAAAAGCATTGTATGGTAATACACAGCAGATCATTGATATGGTCTGGAAGTTTGAAAGAAAAAAAGCAGAAGAGAGAAAGAGGGGGTCAAAGTATGACACGAAAAGAGAAATAGAAAGAAAAGTAATAAAAAGAGTTCCGATGGAATCATCAAACGCCTTCGCCCATTTGCAATTGCAGAGTAATACAAACAAAACAGATCACACACCACTCCCATTAGCTGAGTCCACCGTCCCCATCGATTAATCGGAGACGTTCCTTGGTCGTTTTAGCGCGCTTCATCGTTCCCTTCCCCGGTCCGCGACCACGACCTCGTTTTGCTGGTGTCGCTGATCCGGCGGCTGCGGGCGTGTCCACGGTTTCAGACATGGGAGTTGCGGTTCCGGAGGGTTTGGCTGAGGCATCATCGAAATTACCCTCGCCTGTAGAGAAAAGTTAGTAAAGAGAATTTGAGAGAGAGGGACTGAGAAAGAGAGCTTTATGTGCGATGCACTTACCTTCATGGTACATATCTTCCAGTGTGAGATCACGCTTCCGCTTCTGCGCTGCAGCGGCCTTCTTATTGCCCTTAGCAGCATTTTGAAGTTCTCCACGCTCAATGGCCTCACGTTCCCTCTTTTCCAACAGTTCGGCTTCGTCGTCGTCCGCAAGCCACATGGCGATATCCTTTGTGCGGTTCTCGCGGGGCGCGCGAGTGTTGAAGTCCACGCCACCGGATGCGCCACCAGTGATGACGACGCGCTGGACCTCCTCCTTCTGAAGAGCACGCTTGCGAATACGCTCTTCGATCGTGCCGCGGGTAATGAGTCGGTAGACGGTGACTTGGCGGGTCTGACCGAGACGATGGGCTCGGTCCATGGCTTGGGAGTCGATGGTGGGATTCCAGTCTGAATCGTAGAAGATGACGGTGTCGGCGGCTGTCAAGTTGATACCCAGACCACCGGCACGTGTGGACAATAGGAAGACGAATATCTCGGGATTGGACTGGAAGTCGGCGACTGTGTCGCGACGGTCCTCGAGCTTGGTGCTTCCGTCCAATCGGCAGTACTTGTAGTTGCGGAATGTTAGGTACTCTTCCATCAAATCGATCATGCGTGTCATCTGGAAGTACAGCAGAACACGGTGACCGCCAGGCTTGAGTTGCCGCAGAAGCTGATCCAGCTTGGCAAGCTTTCCGGAATCGGTGACGAAGCGGCGCATGGATGGGACTTCGATGTTGGTGTAGCGAGCCTTGAGTGAGGCGGGTGGTGGCAGGATTGCCTGGTCAGAGTACGGCGCAGGGTCCAGTTTTTTCTCAAGGACCTGCTCATCCGTTTGCCGAGTAGACTTGCCATACAATGCTTCTCGGATATCCATGTTGAACAAGGCTTTCTCACTCTCACGTTGGGCCTGCATACCCGAGGCGGAAAGCAAGATCGGGGGCGCAGAGGCTTTAGGAACAGCAGATGGTTCGATGACGTTCAGACCTTGGTCCTCGTAAGTTGTTCGGGAGACATTCATTAGGTTGCGCATACGACCCTCGATCGTGATGTCGCATAGGGCCTGTCGATCGTTGCGGTCCACAATGTTTAGCATGGAGTGTGGCAGCACTGAGTTGTCTGATGATCCATTCTCATCTGTATCGTAGCTGACATTAAGACGAGACAAACGATTGGGTCGACCACGACGGCTGGTTGCGCGCTCGAATGGTCCCTGACGAGCCAGATCGCTAGCTTCTCCAGCAGAAGTGTCCACAAATCGCAAGAACGAGAAAGTGCCGTTTTCACGAGAACTACGCTGAATGTTCTCCGGTGTCCAAATGTTCATCAAGTGGGACAAGTATTTACCCCGGAAACCGGCACGTTCATTACCAGGCCCGGGCATATCAACGCGGGCCTCTGGACCGCACAGAAGGCGCGGCAACTCGTACTCGATGCGGTTCCTTGTCGAATAGCGCAAGTCGACAAAATAGCCTTCACGAATGAAGGATGCGCACTCTCCAAAAGCAGCAAGTGAGAAAGGTGACTTGGTCTCTGCACGCTCGAAGAGATCGGGGTGATTGCAGACTTTTCGGAACTGCATGACCAAATTCATCAAGGTGGTACTGTCACTATCGTCGCCGACTGCCGCCTTCTCAATAATATCAATGATGCTGACACGATTCCTCAGATTGGCGTAAATAGCGCGCTGGCGGTAGGTCAAGTCACAGAAGATATCCTTCTCGACCTTGTCGCCAAGCTCTTGTTGTACATTCTTTTTAACACGACGAAGCATGAAGGGTTTCAAGATCATGTGCAGACGTTTGAGTTGATCCTCATTCAGCTTTGTGTTACTTTGAGCGTGAGACTCGATGTCTTTGGAGAACCACTCGCTGAACTCGTCGTGGGAATCGAACAGGGTAGGCATGATGAAATGCAGTAAAGCCCACAATTCCTGCATGTTGTTTTGAATCGGGGTACCTGTCAACAGGAGACGGTTGCGGCAGGAGAAACCCAACAGGTTCTTCCATCGAGAACTCTGTGATGACTTGATGGCCTGCGCTTCGTCAAGAATCATATACTGCCACTTGATTTTCTGAAAGTATTGCGCGTCGAGAACGACGAGTTGGTAGGAGGTGACGAGTACATGGAATTCGGAGTCGCGGTTATAGGTGATGTGCTTGCGGTCCCAGAACTTTCGAAGAATCTTTCGGTCCTTCGCATTACCCCAATATGGTAGAACCTTGATGTTAGGCACGAACCTGGCGATTTCCTGTTGCCAGTTGTGTAGTGTGGAGGCCGGCGCAATAACCAGGAAAGGTCCCCAGATGTTGTGGAACTCAGCCAAATAGGCCATGACGGAGATAGACTGAATAGTCTTACCCAGACCCATCTCGTCGGCCAAGATACCGTTGATACCTTGTTCATACAAGTTGACAAGCCAATTGAGACCCTTCAGTTGGTACTCCTTCAGCTGGGCATTCAGCATGGTAGGCTGAGAAATCGTAATATCACCAAGACTTGAGGGGTTCTGGAAGTTCAATTCGCCCTCGTCGAATTGTGCCATCTTATCACCTTCTTCATTGTTGAACGCACGAGCGCGGTCCTGGGCCTCCTGGACAGCATTCTGGGCATTGGCCATGGCAGCCTGTTGCAGGGCGGTCTCATCATCGGCATCAAAGTCAAGGTCCTCAAAGTTGGTCACCTTGCTCGGATCGGCATCGCCGGTAGGCAGTTCCCTGCCGGGCTGGGCTGTTTCACCGGTCCCAGAAACATCATCTCCTGCTTCCGCCTCCGCGGTCTTGATCTTCCGACCGATAAAGTGAGAGTACAGTTCAGTTTGGGAGATAAGGAAATTGAGCTTGCGCTTCTGTCGGTTGGACTCTCGCTCGGCCTCGGCCTTCTTCGCAGATTCGAGCTCCTGCTTCTCTGCCAGACGACGCAGGTCACGCTCCTCACGCTCGTTGCGTTTCCAGAAGGACATCATCTCACGCATAGTACGCTTGGCGCGGGCCTGAGTATCCTTGGTGCTCTTGTTCGTGCGCTCCTGCCACTTGCGGGACTGCTTGCTTGCCAATTGCGCCGTCTTGCGCAAATTCTCCTGGCGAGTAGACAAGGACATCGTCTTGATGCGGTAGACCTTGGGGATATCCTTTCGGGCAATGTCACGCCAAATTTGTTCGTAGATCTGGTTATAACCCTTGCTGTCGTAGTGCAATGGCACGGGGGTACCTTCTTTTGAGCGACCGCCCTTCTTTGAATCGCGTGGGGTGTAATAAAGAGATTCATCATCATAGCCGCCCAGATAGGCAGCCTCGGCGGCATCCTTTTCAGCCTGCTTCTGCTCCTTGGACTTCTTGGGGCGAGAACTGGCACCTGCACGCCCAGAGCGACGCCTCGAGGGAGACGATCGACCAATGTGGAATGAGCTGGTGGTGCCGCCTTCGAGATTGGGAGCCAGAGGGGTGACCTCGCCAAGTTCGTCTTGGGCATTCCCGCCCTCCAGGGCGCGCTTAGTAGACTTGATTTTCTTTTGGGCCCGTTCGGCCTCGCGAAGAAACTTGGCCTTCTCCGTCGAATCTGAAGCATTGTCTGCCTTGCGCTCGGCCTCGAGTTTCTTTTGCATTTCTAGTCGGACAGTGTTTTCACGACGACGCTTGCGCTGCATATCCTTCTTACGCTCCTTCTCGTCCTGGATCTCCTTTTGTTGGACTTCAGCGATGACTTCTGGTTCGTTCGCTACGCGGAAACGCTCATTTCCGATAATAGCTTGCTTCTCGAACGATCGACCAAGGTCAATTAAGAACTCGTTGCGGCGGCGCTTGCGTCGAAGGTGCTCCGCACGGGCGCTATCGTTGGACCTCTTCAGACTTTTCTCCCGATAGTACTCGAGCTCCGCATCGAAACCGGACGCCTCAACATCACTTTTATCGGCATTTTCGATGTCAATCATGGCCCGGTTCACCTGATCAGCATCAACGCCCGGCGGCAAGGGCTTCCGTGGGTGTACACGATGAGTGGTCTCGGCCTGCTCGGACCCAGACTTCGAGATTCCGTTGGGAGCAAAAGATCCTCGAGTGTCTTTCGGTTGCACCGGGGTTCTATCCGCCTTGTGAAGAAAAGTGCCTGGGGTGGGAGCAATTTCACGAGCTCGAGAGTCGTTGTGCGGCGTTTGTGCAGATGGAGCAGGGGTGGATGGCTGTGGGGACGGCTTTCGTGCGGGTTTGTCTTCGGAAGGCCCAGAGAGGATGCTGGCAAAGGACATCGGGTCGGCTGCTCTCGCAGGCTTCTAAGATAAAGGCAAAGGTCAGATAGCTGTTAGATAAAGTGGGATGGTGCAATCTCGAGACGTACAGTTTCTCTGGGTGGGGAAGATCGTCGTGATTCCTGCGCCATCGAGGCCCCGTACCCTGCTCCGTTGCCTCTTACATGATAAGGAGATTCCGACTCGCGACTCGGTGATTGGGAGTGACCATCTGGACGGCCGGATGAATGTCCATGAGGCGTGGAGGGACCGTACGGCGAAGCGCCATTGCCCTGGTGTACCGAATTCGCAAGGGAATGTGGAGGCGGCAAAGAAGGGGCGCCGGCTGCGGAAGGAGGTTGATACTGCGTCGATGGCTCTAGATGCGATGAATGCGCTGGGGGAGCGGCGCCATTCAAGGGTGGCGGGAGTGAACCGGGCATGGGGGAAGACGCGTGCGAAAAGCGTGGACTGCGCGAGACGGAGGATGGAGGGAAAGCCGGGGGCGTCTGAGGTGGATGAGGAGGGTATTGCTGCTGGCCCGATTGTTGCGGCTGCTCATTGTTGGAATAGAACGGGCGATTCTTGCTCGGAGACTCGTAGGCAGGGTACCGTGGTTGCTGAGTCGGGGACTGGGCGTTGTACGGCGGAGCGCCTGTCATGATGGCCGCGTCCCCGGCGCCGGGCAAGCGCGGTAGAAGTTATCTGGTCGAAAGGGAATGAAACAAGATGGAATTGGATAGGATGGTGATTAGACACGGCGAGTTAGGCCCATGGACAGGTGTCAAGGGGGGGTTGTTCGGATATCTAGCGCGGACGCGACGTCAGCGAGATTGGATAAAAGTAGAAGCGCCGGAAGTAGGCAGGAAGAGGAGGATAGGGAAAGAAATAAAAAGAGGAAGACGGGATGATTGTACCTGGTGGAAGGATGGATTCGTTTGGTGGTGGGAAGATGCAGAAAGGAGGATCTTTGTGGCCGAGCAAGCAGAGAATGCGCGGCCGAGCTAGGCGAGGACGCAGGATGAAAGGGAAGGAAAGTAGTAAATGGAGGAAGAAAGGAGGCGATGGGAAAATGGGATGGCGACGAGGATGAGGAGGATGAGAAGGATGAAGATAAAAGGTGGGAGGGGAAACTGGGGGGGGAAACTGGGAAATGGTTCCGTTGAAGGGGAAGAAGGGGGAGGAGGAGAGCAGAGCTGGTCTTGTTGGCTCGGGTTGGATACTTCAATTTAACATGGAAGGTGTACGTCGGAAGAGGGGGAAACTATTTAATTTAAGAATCATGGTCTACTCGAGATGGAATATTGGGATTAAAATTTGTTGATTCTTTGTTCTCTTTTTCGAAGATCCTTCTCTTCATTCTCTTCTTTTAAGCCCCTGCCAAATGTCTCGATGGCTAGTAATGCCGCCGCGATGCATCTCAGCGGAGGAGCAGACCGGGGTTATCGTGGAGGCGCCAACTAGATGAACAAAAGGTCATGGATTGCTAGGGTTTCCCTCTAGAAGTCTGGATCATATCTTCCTTGTTTATTCCGAGATTTCCAAATCGCCGAGATCGCCTTCTGGTCCGGTTGAGAGACTTTGCCCATCCGAAGATTTCGTCGCGGCCGATCCCGTACCTCCGTAACCCGCACAGCCTGGCTCTTCCGACCCCAACAGAAGAAGTATGCACCACATCGGGCTGGACGCATAGATCTTTTCACTCAGTAAGAGGAGGAAATAAGCTGATAATGTCCACCGTAGTCGAGAATCTCCAAACGTAAAAAGTACCAAATCGTCCTGTTCAGAGCACGCACTGCCTCATCTCGCCAAGGCCACGACGAACCACAGCTGACCGGGGCACAGTCTAACCTTGTCAGACGAGACCAGTGCAGCCACAAACATCAGGTGCAAGTCCGCATGCACTCTATGTAATCGAATCCAAGTCCATCTGGACTTCAGCCCCAAGTCCCTAAACAGCCCTCACCCAGATCGACGTCGATCCCGGGCCGCGATTCCCGCAAGGTGCGCGGTACCTGGGCTAACCGTGCATTGGAAAGACCGAAAGAGCAACGGTAGCCATGCAGTGATAGATATGTGTGGACTGCAATTCTCCCAACCCCTGTGCATCATGTTCGCCTTGGTCGCCCTGTACGCTGCAAGCATGGCCTGATTGCGGAGTCATTGATCGGTTCGTGTGGAGAGGCGATGGTGACGTCCTCCACTCCGCGCACGATCTTGTTCATATCGTCGGTTCATTTCTTTCCATTTGGGGCATTCGGATTGAATGGGGGAACGGAGGAATTCCAGTTAAAGAGTCTAGGCTTTTTTGCTTTATTCTGACTGACGTCGACGTGCCAGTGGGCTGAAGAGGATATATGATCATGCATATATACCAACGATAGCGGATTCAGGCTGGAGCAAAGCTCGAGGACAAGGTATGGATGCAAATACCTGTTTTTGGGATAGCAGTGGCAAACCAGCAATTACCTGTGAGATAGTCAATTACCAAGGGACAATCAAGAAGCATCGATAGATGGGGAGATTTTGGAAGATAGGAAGTTCCCAATGGGGAGTTCCGAGTTCAGGTTGTCAGGTTGTCAGGAACGGAAGGAGCCATCATCGACCTTCGCACCTTCCCTCTGGTGGCACCACCTTATGCATTCCTCGTTTGCTTTAAGAAGTCTCCGTCTTCCTCTCTTTCTCCTTCTCTCCTCCTCTCTTCCCTTCCCACTTACCTCACCCCCTCTACGAAACAACTCCCCACTACTACATCTCCCAAAATGACCCAAACAACCCTCCCCCGAAACCCAATGGGCCCAAGTGGTCGAAAAGAAAGGCGGTCCCCCAATCTACAAACAAATCCCCGTCCCCAAGCCAGGACCCGACGAAGTCCTCGTCAAGATCAAGTACTCCGGCGTCTGCCACACCGACCTACACGCCCTGAAAGGCGACTGGCCACTGCCCCTAAAGATGCCACTCGTCGGCGGCCACGAAGGAGCCGGAATCGTCGTTGCAAAAGGCGACATGGCTTCGAGTATTGAGATTGGCGACCACGCCGGTATCAAGTGGTTAAATGGCTCATGTCTAGCATGCGAGTTCTGCAAGACCGCTGATGAACCGCTCTGTGCTAAGCAGAAGCTGTCGGGTTACACCGTTGACGGTACCTTCCAGCAGTATGCGATTGGCAAAGCCGCCCATGCGATCAAGTTGCCCAAGGAAGTGGCTTTTGATGCTATTGCACCAATTCTATGTGCCGGTATCACCGTCTACAAGGGTCTTAAGGAGTCTGGCGCCCGTCCGGGTCAGACTGTTGCCATTGTCGGTGCTGGTGGTGGTTTGGGCTCCTTGGCTCAGCAGTATGCTAAGGCTATGGGATTGCGGGTTATTGCCATTGATGGTGGTGATGAGAAGCGTGATATGTGCGAGCAGCTGGGCTCTGAGGTACGTAACAGCATCGATCATGGGTTGACTAGTGTGGTGGTGTAGAAGCTAACAGGGAGGGAAACAAAAGGCCTACGTTGATTTCACAAAGTCCAAGGATCTTGTTTCGGACGTCAAGGCTGCTACTCCCGAAGGTCTGGGTGCGCACGCTGTGCTTCTACTTGCCGCTTCCGAGAAGCCGTTCCAACAGGCAGTTAGCTATGCTCGCCCCCGCGGCGCTATTGTTGCCATTGGCCTTCCTGCCAATGCTTTCCTCAAGGCTCCTGTTTTCGAGAGTGTTATCAAGATGATCAATATCAAGGGAAGCTATGTGGGTAACCGCCAGGACGGCGTTGAGGCTGTCGACTTCTTTACTCGCGGTTTGATCAAGGCGCCGTTCAAGACTGCCCCACTCGAGGATCTTCCCAAGGTGTTTGAGCTAATGGGTAAGTATTTATATTCACGCAGGGATGACGGGATACTGACATGGTATACAGAGCAAGACAAGATCGCTGGACGCTACGTCCTTGAGATGCCGGAATAAACAAGCCAGAAGTCTACAGAGCTTTCAACACCCTGACGGATATTCCCGGAAACAGCGAAGATAATGTGTCTACAAAGTGCCTCCAAGCCACATAATGAGAAATGAATATGCTAGAATTGAACACAAATATCTGACACTTCAGTAGCTGCATATATTCATAAGCGCGAGAAATACTTCTCGAGGACTACTGATCCTATAATTTCTTAACGTCAGAGTCACACTCCTCTTCAATTCGTTTTCCTTCATCTTCAGGCGCGACAGTTGTTTGAGGCCCCTTGAACGTCTTTCGAGCATGCAGAGCATAATAGAGGATTGCGCCAATCCAGAGTGCACCGTTGATAACGACGGTATAATTCATGTTTTCAGCTAAATCACTCGTCAGCAAGGACACAACCACACAAGAGAGGAGAGAAACGGGAAAGAAAAAGACTCACCAGACGGATTCGGCCCTTCAGTCGGAATCATACACAAAACAATCGCAAAAGCCATATAAACAACCGCAATCCAAGCAATCGGCTTACTCAAATATTTCCCCGTGTAAAACTCACCAGGGACAAAGCGATCTTGTCCCCAGATCAATCGCGCCAGGATAGGCGTCAACCAAGCGAGGTCATTTCCCGCAACGGCGAGGGAGAACAAGGCGTTGGCGGCTGCAGCGTCGATGAGTGAGAGAAGTCCGATTATTGCGGCGGCTGTCACTACTCCGCAGACCATTCGAACGGGTTGATAGCGCATTAGTCTATGTTGGCTGACTTTGCGGAAATATCCTGAGAATGGGAGTGCACCGTCACGGGAGAAGGCCCAGCTTTGACGAGAGGCGGCGAGGACCTGTGGAGGAGATGGTTTTTGTTAGAAACTTGAAGACATAGGTACTTGGAAGTAGATAGCTAGGTATTTCAGTAGCTTGGAGTAGCTACTAGGGCCAAAACTCACGATACTAAGCCCCATGAAGTATTGAACTATTGCGTTGACAGCCATAAATCCGAGGGCACCATTCTTGCCTAGGGCATCGAAGTAGATCTATAAGTTTCATAAAAAGTTAGCATCCATTCACTCATCATCTTTCCAGGGGCCAAGGAAAAAAGCAAACCTGAGCCATCGGCTGTCCAAACTTCGAATTTAAAATCCCTTCAATATCCGTACTCATACAAGCCGCAATAACAGCTAAACTCAACCACCCCAGCACGCCACAGAGCCCTGCCGAAGAAATAATCCCCAGAGGCACAGCACGCGAAGCATGCGTCGCCTCCTCACTCATATGAACGCACGAATCGAACGCGCCAATCGTCCAAATAGGCGACAACCACGCCATGATAAAAGCCCAGCCCGTCGGCCAAGTGGTCAAATTCTCTACCTGGCCGAAGACATACGAGCCTGAATTGATGGGGGGTGCGTTCTCGGATTTGCCGATTGGTAAGGCGATGACGGTTGCGACTACTAGGGCGACGTTTAGGAATATGCACGCTGATTGAATCTTTGGCATTATTCTGCCGAAGAATATTGCTATGAAGCCGTGCGAGAAAACTGTTGCTGCGTATGTGCCGTAGATTATTGGGCGGGTTGCGGACCAGGTTCCGTCTCTGGTTATGGATATCATTGAGAGGAGCATGTTGGCGAAGCCGTCTAGAAGGGCAAGTAATATGGGGTTAGCTGATGAGGTTGCGGTTTGGTTGTCCGATGTCTCCTGCTCGTGGAGGCTGGAATGAGACTGAGATTGGACGTACAATCAATAGAGCAAATACCACCAATTAACCCAATGGTGTTACTATAACCAACTAGAAAACTAAGAGGGTTCTTCCACTTCTCTGCAGCGTAGTAGTGTGTCCAGAAGTAAAGACCGCCAGCAGTGGGCATGGCTGAAGCCATATCAGCCTAAAATCAATGCTTGTAAGCACAATCATTATCACAAACAGAGCAGAAACATAGTAGTATCATGTGAAAGTGGCAAGAAGGAATTTGAAGTAATAGATAGCGAGAACATACCATAGCCAAACTAACAATGAAAATAAAACAACTCGCAACCAACCATCCCCAGACCATGCCCACCGGCCCAGCCGGCATAGAAAATGACAACGTCGACGCAATAGACGGTAACAAGCCCATGATACTAAATGCGACGGCGAAGATCTGGATTGTTGAATAGTGACGTCGTAGTTCCTGCTTATACCCCAACGTTGCTGCAATGGATTTAGTTAGCGGCTGTAATATTGTAAAGAATAGCCCCGTGCTGCTTGGAAATTCCTAGGTGGAATGGTTCAATACCCAGAGCATGAAGGGCAGGGCCACGGACCTAGTAACTCCATATCGCCCGTCTCGGCAGGATCATCGTGTTCGACGCCATCACGGAGCGATTTTTTATCGCGTGAAGCCGATTTGACTAGATCAGCCATCTTGAAATAAGATGAGCCGTCACGTAGACTCTTGCTGCAGTTGTGATGGAGAAGGGGGGTGGGGGGGGCAGTATTGAGCGGGTTAATGCCTGAGATGTTCAAATTCCTGTCGGTGGATATAAATCCCAACCCAAGTAAGCGAGCACAGTACTTGGAATGCCTCCCTAGTTCGAGGCGTGAGTAGCGTAGGACAAATCCAGCGCGTCTGTAAAAGATGACCTCAGATCAAGACCAACACCAGGATCAAGAATAAGGCCACCCTGCGGCGCACCTGCATAATTTATGCCAATCCGAACCACCTTCCGCATTGCGATAAGAGATCCAATTTAAATTCCCTGAGACAAGAAAAAGGCTCGAACCCCGTCATCTTCTCCTCACTTCTGCGGCACGCCGGCAAATCAAAGCTTTATCGCTCTATCAAGTCTCGGTAGGAATTGCGAAATTGTGGTTGGAAGATGGGAGGGGGTCTGGGAGTGCGGGGATATAGCCTTTTAGTGGCTGTGCGGGACCCGAGTCGTCCAGGGTGTACGAGGATTGGATGTCATATCCTGTCAATCTTGTCCTGTTCTGAGGATTGGCGGGGTATTGTCCGCTGATATTGGTACTGTTTATTGCGTGACTTTATGCCGGGCGCTGAGTGAATGATATGTCGCGATAGGGGGGGAGATAGGGTTTGATGTTCTGGTTGGTCGTGACGGAGCCTGCCTCGGGATCGTCTAACCACAGTGAGTTTCTATGCTCGATAAGACCATTGAGACGTTCATAGTTAGGTTTGGACTAAGGAATTAAGTTTCATCATGCTCCGAATCTCGATTCTCCATATGCTTGACATATGCTTGACATATGCTTGACAAGGCTGCTAAGCTGCGTGTGGCGAAAGCCAGAATGCTTACTATGAAATAATTTGCTGATCGCAGCGTAGTCATGTATGCAAGAAGCTCTCCTACAGCGTTGGGACTTGTGAAATGACGGTTTAAATGGGAGTCTTGAGCGACAGAAAGTACTGCATTCTTGGCTTCCTCCAAAACTTCTGACACATCCAAACAAATCCGTCATCACAGACCATCACTACTCCGTATCCGCGAAACCCTATTAGTTTGCCTCGGACGAAGTAACTGGTGATAGGATTCGGAAACTTCCTATTCCTCACTTCGCTTAAAGATATACGACATGAGAGGGATCTACTTAAGCACTACATACCACTTCTGCAAGAAATGCACATGACCAAAATATGTGGAAAGTGGATAACACAAATTACGACTCAGCGAATGTTGTGATGCCGTAAAGAGATCATGATGCTCGGAATTTGAAAGAAGAAAAGGGGAGCCGACTACTGCAGTAGTATGTGATTGGTGGAAGCTGGTCAGCAGCCAAAGATTTGTCTGACCTGCAAGATAAACTGAGGGAGGGGCCCAGGGGTGAATACATCTAAATGCCTTGAGTCTCTGAGTCCCTATCCCCGGTGTGATTGTTTATAATTACAATGCACGAGGTAATTTGTTGCTATTAGACTGAGTAATTTATCATTTCTGAATGGCCGAGTAACTAGTGACTACGTAGAAAATAAAATGAAAAAGAGAGATATATGCAAAATGCCACCAGCCTGATTGTCACTGCACAAATTATATGGCTCGGCTTGCCCCTGGCCTAAATAAGTAAAAGCGAAGCTCACCTCCAGCAGAATATGTTCAGTCAAGTGGAGAGTTGTTTTGAAAGTTCAAATAGGGGGTAAAGATGTAGACTACTCTGTGGTTGGCTGGCACAAGCAAGCATAGCCTCACATCGCCAGGCCTATAGGATCAAAGAAAGAAAGTACCATACATAGTATAATATTGTGGTATGTGATGCTTGAATTTTCTTTCGGCCAATCGGATTATAAGAGCACCTATGCCTAGGAGCTGGGGAGATACTTGAAGATTATTATATCTGGCAAACGGGAATTAAGTCCCAGCGCGTGTTGTGAGACAAAGAAGAAACCATCATTGATGTTCATGATTTAAAAAAAAGAAATAGAAAGCCAACAACTGCACTAATGTATGATTGGTTGGAGGCTAGTAAGCAACTAACGACCAAGCTGGCCTGCAGGATACACCAAGAAAGGGGCTCAGGGTTTTCATGCTACATCCAAATGCACCAAGTCCAACCGGGGCCGAGTCTCGATATGCCCTGTATAGGCCAGGTTATTAGATCATCATGATGATAGTGACGGAGGCTAGCGACGCCATGTATCTAAACTTTACAACCAAGATAGGATCGAAAAGAAAAGAGATAACCTTGGTAAACTTCAAGTTGAATGATACTAGCTAAAAAGTAGGAATTCCTTCACAAAATGTATATAGAAGTCTCAGGCTGAGGCTCCTTTAATATAATAAAATACTTGATGTATAAACGGTGTGTAAACAGCTAGTAATTAAAGCAATGAAAAGAATATAGGCAAGCAGCTTGCAAGCAATATGTATACGTAAAGCCCAAGCTAACTTAGGTATAGGCCAAAGGCCTCAGGGGTCTCGACGGCTATTTGGGACTGCGCGAAGGGGTAGTGGGGACGGCACGCCTTTAAGTGGGGCATTCCATTGCTAGTGTGAGCACCCAAACTTTCGGTCAACCTCCAAGGAAATTAAATTCAAGTGGAAAACCCGCCCGCAAACACAGGTTTGGCTCTTGACACACACCTCGTGGGCCAAGTATGATTTCCCAAAAGAGCCCTTTTGTCCTTCCAGGGTTCTCATTACCCTTGAACCGCACTCGCTCCGCCTTCGATTTTCCCAATCCGCTAGAATTTTATTACATAGAGGTTGATTGTTGTCGCCTGAATGTTGTTCGAGATATTGCGATGATGCGAGCCATCAATGAGATTACAGAAATTGACGAATACCACACAAAGGTGGTGGTATTGTTTGAACTTAAACTGATTATCTCATAAGAGTGACCCTCGGTAGGTATTGATGATGACACCACTAGAGCATGGTGTGAAGACATACTCAAGAGTCGGGAAGATATAACTCCGAAAATGATGAACTGGATTGTCAAAGAACTGCAGTGGAAAGCAGAGAATTTCAAACAGACGGGTTCTACATTCGCGCTTGATCAAGGTGTGTTCAAGTCGGACACCGCAATACCCAGCGAGTTGAAGCAGGCAATCAAAGACTCGTCTAATTCACTGGAGCAAGCTGGCGCTGACCTTTTTTCTCGCAGATTACACCGTGACCTATGACCAAAACTCCAATAAGTAAAAGTGAATTTTTTGCTAGTTGGTAATTACAACTCAGCTGGTGGTCAGGGTCATATTTGAAGTTCAAATGGGGAGGCAGTAAGTAAACTACTCTGCGATTGGCTGGCAAGCGTCGACTCGGAGCAGCTATCAGCAGGCACAGCCTCATCTCACCAGACCTATAAGCTGGAAGAAGCAAAGCGCCCCGGGCTAATGGCAATATTTGAACTGTCTTTCGGCCAATGGGTCTTTGAAAGCGCTCATGCTCAAGGGGCCCGGGGAGGGGAGTTTTCAAGCCTACCAGATCGGGGAAAGAATTACGGCTTATGAGGCTGAAAGACGAAACTTGAATTGGGGAGGGGATCACCACACTTGCTTATAATTGGTTGATGGCCAGTAGGCAGCTGAATTTCCCCATTCTCGTGTAGAGCCGGGGTATGAATTTGTATTGAGATATGATGGTTCAGATTCAAGTTATTGATGGTTTTTGATGGAGTAGTAGCATACTACTTAGTAGCATAGTACCTAGGTACTAGTTAGTATACCGGATTCAAATTTACGGAAGATCATGTTGGCCTCGACTCGGATCCATCATACTATGTATACTAGTAGTAGCTGATTACTCGTTAGTAGACCTCCGAATACGTACTATGTGGCATGCTACAACTCAGAATCAATCCCCAGATCTCTAACCACCGTCTTATTCTTATCACATGATACTACAGACAAGTATTGGAAAATACACAGCTCTGTGGACCGGAGCAAAGCCCAGCCAGACACTCGACCATGTAGTAGAAGCAGAAAGCAGAGCAGACGGCCAGCCACCGGGGCTACCCAGCTGTCTAGAGGGCCAAGACACCAAAAGAAAGAGAAATAAAGCTAGAAGAATTGAAAAGAAAAGGCCATCAAAGCTATGACCACCAAATTTCGAAAATACCGCGAAGAAGACAAAAAAATCGAATCCTCGGGGTTACGAAAATGCGAAGACCCAAAGCGGAAAGAAACTTGAAAGCGTCACGGGTAGGAAGGGGTAAACTTGAAGGTAGGAAGGAAGGCTAATTATACAATTCATCTTGTAAAACACAAAACACTGATAGAGACAATGCACATGCAAGTCAAAGTCAAAGTCAGGGCGGAAGGAGATGCGTTCCCAGGGTAATCATGTCATATCAAATCAAAATCAAAACTCAACTCAACTCAGACAGCGCCAGGTCCAGGACCCTTGTGGTTGGACTGATCAAGTAACAGCTTCGGCTTAATGTAGTCCTCATCAAGTTGCCGGAACCACGCGGCGTGGTCGCCCGATGCACCGCCCTGCCATAGGTCCCGAAGAGCGTCGCGCGCACTGAGTGTAGGTTCGCGACGGGCTGGGGAGACGCTTGTTGATGTGCCTGGGTTCGGGGATGGTGTATGTGTGCCCGTTCCAGCTGGCGTGGGGTGTGATGGTGATCGGCGGAGACGAGACGAACTGCTTGCTGCGGGTGGGAGGTCGTCGTCAGAAGCATTCTCGAGATCGAGGTCGAACTCATCGGGGTGGGCAACGGAGTTGGAACGGTTCTGGCCGTTGGGCGGGAGTCCGAACTCGTCGTCACTGGCGATAAGGTCTGGATCGCTGGCGCCGCCGTTGAGAAGGGTTGCTGTTGATGAGCGATCGCGCTTTGATTGCGTGTCCTTCTGGCTGAAGGCGTTCGAGTACATCCGGGTGTGTCCGGGCGGACTCGGGCGCTGGTTATTACCGCTTGTGTAACTATCCGCGCGGCGGCCGAGACCGGCTCGCGAGTTGTCGACACCGTCCAGGGGAATGGTGGAGTCGTTGCGGGGAGTGTATCCCAGAGCAGTGTCGGAGCGCTTATAGTATGTTCCTCCATGGGTAACTTCGATGTCGAACTCGTCATCTGAGTCAATTTCCTCGACCACGCCGGTACGAATGCCCATAATCTCTAACATGCGAGCTGTGGTACCGCCGAATATAATAACGGTCAACACAACAACGACCAAAACAGTGGCCCGCAGTGCAGGCGCATTGACACCCGTGAGGCCAGCGGCCAGCGCGACACCGACAGCACCACGCAGTCCAGCCCAGAAGAGCATGGCCTGGTAGGAAAAAGGCAATTCATCGGCAACCTCAATGCCGCGACGGCGAGCTCTATACCGAAGGAACCAATTGATGGCCTTGGAGAGCGGGAACACAGCCAAGTAGCGTGCCAGGCAAATACCGAAGACCGCCACAAGGATGAAGAGCGGGTTGAACTGCAGGTTGGACTCAACAAAAAGGTCCAGGCCGAGGTAAATAAAGATGAAATTCTCCGAAAGCTGCGCCATGACTTGGAATAGATATTTAGTGGTCAACTGCGTACGGCGCGACATGTTATAGTAGGCGTAATGCTTGAGGGTGATACCACAGAACAGGAGAGACACAATTCCTGTAGTTGAAGGTTAGCTTGCAATACGGCGAGTGCAAATCAAACATGGAACAAGAGACCCACCCGACATATGGACACCGTTGGAAAAGAAATAACTGGCGTAGGAAATCAGGACAATGAGACAGCTCTCGATCTTGGGCATACGGCGCACGAGAGTATACTTGAGACCAAGCGCTGTGACGATGCCGACTACGATGCCAATCAACATACTGCCAAAGAAGACAACCAAGAAGAGTCCCGAAGCCTCGAACAAATGGAGGAATGTCAGAGACCCAGCCTCGCTCTCGGCATACTTCTGTGCCGTCTCGAAAAGAACAATGGCAATAGCATCATTCAGAATGGACTCGCCAAAGATGATGGTATATAGCTTCGGCTCGACCTTATAGAGGTTGAAAATAGCGAGAATGGTAACGGGATCTGTTGCGGAGAGCGTGGCGCCGACGGAAATCGCTTCGACGAAGGAGATATTGAGCCCGCTTATCGGAATCCGTGTCCAGAGATATAGAACCAAACCGAGCACGATGGCTGAGATGAACGTTCCCGCAAAGGCGAAGGTGAGAATGGTACCAATGTGGCGGAAGAAATTCGCTTGGTGCAGCTCGTATCCGGAGGCGAGAATAATCGGAGGGAGAAGGAGGTTAAAAAAGAACTGGTAGTCGAAGGCGACACTGTCCTGAAGGTTGGATTTCGGGGTGAGGCGGATGATCAGACCAACGAACATGCCTGGGTCATTGTTAGCTTGGGAAATCCCAGTAAGATATGCACGACAGCGCGCAGGGCATGGCGATCGGCGAATTACAACTTTCTGTCGCCCTGCGCCTGCCGCTGCGATATCACATACCCGCAAAGATGGAGAGCACGGTCTCGTGCACAGCTTGGATCTTCTTTTGCTGCAGGATATAGCTTGTGAAGAGGGCAAACATCAATAGCATAATCATGATAAATAGCGCCCAGGAGCTGGTGATCTCTTTCGAGCCCGCCTCGGGGGCATCTGTATTCCAAGCCACATGTCAGATCGCCGCGTCGTGAAGGGGAGCTTTCTCGGTAGGGTAGGGAGGGAGCCTAGGTTGTTGGATGCGTACCATCGGGGTCAGTGTCTTCGGCCGCTCGCCCTATAAGTAAGGAAGGGAGATTAGCATTTGCCAAAAGGGCTAACCCCGCGCTTGATGTTCTGGGTAGTGCGTACTTATGAGGGCGAAGGCGGCATCGCCAAACAGTTGACTGGCCATCGCGACTCGATCAGTAATGCTCGAGGGCGGGTGTGGACACCTGGCAAGTAACTCTGGCGAAAAAAGAGCTAGGACGAGCTGCGCATACTCTAGCGACTGGAAGCTCGAGGGAGTGAAGGAGTGCCAGACGGAAATAGGGTTGGAAGGTTTGAGGTTCTTGGAGTTGCACCCGTCTGGGAGGGACGGGAGGGACACATCGGCTGGAAGTGGTTTGGTATACGAAAGACGGGACAGATACGAGAGGGACGGCGTATGCAGGGGCGGAGTTGGGAAAAGGCGGGAGATGACAGGGCTGAGTGGTGTAATGAGACAGTCTGGTCACCGTATTTCGGTAATTAACACGTGGCCCACTTCCGCTGCCAAGACATGGTTGGGTTGCGGGTGGTTTAAGGGGGGATCGGCGCTGCATGCAATAGCCATAGTCATACACCAACCAGTCTTCTTGGTATTTCGGAGCTTTTGTGATATATGAGGTGTCCTGGTAGATAGAGACAGTGAGATCACTGCCGAATTCTCAAGTATTTGAATAGAATAGATCATTCAGAGCTGATGCCGTGCCTGCGTGCCGACCCACTTCCGTACTACATCGTTGATACATGCTGTATGAGTATGCATTTACATTTGCTTGGGGGCGAAATCAATCCAATTATATTGGCTACTGGCAGAAGCCAAGTTTACCATCGAGCGCACAATACTATGATACAGAATCACCGAGTTCCCTCGGCTAGCCTCTTCGTCAACCACGCGGCACAGAGTGCAGCGACTCCACCGAATCGTAGAACCCACCCCACACTATCATCCCACGGCTCGCCTCGCGGTTTTTGAGCAGCTTTGAAGATAGCGCTGCAGATGAGACTGGAGAATATCTGAGGAAATGAGATGGCCACATTGTGAAGACCTAAGATGATGCCAGCTTGAGCGGTATTTTCGTCTTCGGACGCAGACCCGAGTCGACCGTTTTCGAGATCGTGCTCGTGCTCGTGGTCGTTCTCACCGTTGCCTTCATTCTCGTGGTCTTCATGATGTCCATGATCATCTTCCCCAGAGACAGCTGCGTATGACCCGGAACTATGAGCAGTTGAGGGAGTGCCCTGGGCTGCATGGTGAGATCTTGCTTGGTGACGCTTGCGACGATGCTGAACATCGATGAGGGCAACTTCATTGGAAATGAGGGAGAATGGTGCCCACAGCGTCACGGCCCAACAGATCCCAAGGAAGCCGATAATAACCGTCCCTGCTGGATAATAGGAAACGAATATTGTGCTGAACGTGCACGCCGCGAACAAAAGGTGAGATAAGAGCCATGTACGCCGGAGCGTCAATCCAGGGATCTGGAGGCGCGCAAGCCATGTCGGTTCCCCCTCTGCAGGGAATCTCTTATGAGTCGCTGCGTCAAGTAGTGGCTCGGCTGAAGTGCTTGGAATTGCAGAAAATGACAGTCGGCGGTGTTCAGTAGGTTCATCTTCATCCCCATTCTCAGTGTCAATGGAGCCCTCGTTGTCGTCTCCAGCGGAGGCCAATGCGTCTCCATAAGTAGGCACAACGAACAGCGGAAGAAGAATGTTAGCAAGGAAGGAAATTATAGCGTAAACAAGAAGCGCAAATGTGCCCATGCGGGTAGCTTCTTCCCAAGCCCTATCGATCTCAGCCTCTGACATATTCGGATGATCTGCAAAAATCGGGTTCACGTAAAGCTGGCCAATGTATGTTGTCGAGTAGTACAGGAACGGGAACCAGCCCACCCAAGCAGCGACCTGTACCTTGCAGATTTGAGAAATCTGAGGCGGTAAATCACGGATAGACTTGAATACATGGCGAAAGAATGACACCACACCCAGCTCGCTTGTACTGGGTGGACCCTCCAGTCGGGGATCACGTTCTCTGATGTATATGCAGCTCGCGCCTAATGTGACAGTAAGAGATACCGATGCAATGACGCAGAGAATTTGGAACTGCGTGTTTCCCAAGAATGGCAAATACTTCGGCAGCTCAGTGTATCCGGAGACGAAGCCTAGGATATTGCCGACGCCGGTCAAACGACTAGCCCAGGCATTGGCTTGTTCCTGCTGGTGAGCAGGACAGTTGTCAAGAATGAATGCTCGAATTCCAGCTTGCACTATAGCAATCAGATTAGCAAATGCGTGAATCAGGCCTGTGAGCGAGCGAAGACGAAGGGGAGGGATAACCATACCCGTATTAATCGCAAAGTCGAGGGCAAACATGAAGAGAGTTGCGACGATAATTATCATCGTCTTTGTCCCGCTCGAATCACGATCAGCGCCAAAAACAGATAAGAAGCCACCAACCATCTCTCGCGACCACGCAAGGGCGAGCAGGCATATGATAGTCGCCGCACCACCGAGTACCATAAACGGCTTGCGTTTACCCCATGGGCTGCGGCAGTTATCACTGCGGATACCGATGTAAGGCTGAACCAAAGTCCCGGCGAGGGGGCTCGCGATCCAAACAACGGCAAGGAGCGCTTTGCTCATACCTAGGGAAAGTAGAAAGGGCTGGTACACAAGAGGACGAGCACAGTTAGCAGAGATCTTGGATGATACATTGGAGATAGCGATTCGTGAATAAGTAGTAGGGAGAGAGGCCGAACTCACCGATCCATTTGAGAGTTCCACAGACCAGACAACTTGGAGCCTATATTGTGTTAGCAAGAAGAGAAGTCAAATATAAAGAGACAGAGACGAAACTTGCCCGCCAATAGATACTGTGAGTAGAAATAGGTACCAAGCGCTCTTTGAAGAATCATGAACGTCGTCCTCATGTCTTCTCTCTGCGAAGACGCCAGCACCATCGCGGGCGGCGGCCTCGGTCCCATCTTCTCGCCTTCTCTCCATCAGACGAATTCCCACTTTCAGCCTGTTTAATAATTCACAGGGATCATGCACTCGTCCAAGGTTAGTCAAAGAGAAGCTGTGCGTTCGGGATGAACCCTCCGGTAACACGAGATAAGATCAGAAGGCCCGAAACAATCGCGGGGAAGTTGCCAGTAACATATAGTTACGTATCGCAACAAGAACAATTGAAAACGTCGTAGGCAAGCTCTTGGTATGGATGTTCCGCGCCAAGCAACCGGCTATGGCTGACCAAATCGTAGACAGGGGTCTATGTCTGCTTCTGGGGTTTCCGCAAATCAAATCAACTGCTCAATCGGGGGCCGCGAGGAGGCGTGCAGGTCATGCGGCTACGGGCACTGCGCGATGCTTGCTAGGTAGCAGCAGAGAATAGTATGCGCTGGTAATGCGCAGTGGCAACGGGATATGTTTACCGCTGTTCTCTGAATTGACTAAGTCGTGGGGCTGAAGTGGTCGGAATTGAGAGCTGCCTCTGTTGCTTGCTGTCGACGTCAGCACACGTGACAATCACGCATTATGATGATCGGCAGTGCAACTACGAGGTATGTTACAATTAAGAACTTGAACACCTAGTAGCACATGGTCGCGCCGCATTTGAAGCAATTTTAATCAATTCAATTCGTTAAGTAGTCTATAGTATAATCGAAGCCACCACAAAGCGACATCCAATTCCCAAATTTCCCTGCTCTTCTGAGAAGATACCCGATATTCCAGATAAAGCAACCAACCCAGCAGTTCCAGTTAATAAAAAGAAAATATAACCAAGATGTGTGTCCATGTCCATATAAGATCCCCCGCGCTGTCTACGCCTGATGTGCCCGTACCCGCCGGGCAGATTGTGTGAACCGCGGGGTGTGTGTGCTGAGTGGCACGGCAGCAAGGCGAGACAAGACGATAATACAAGGTGGATTGAGGGAGAAGTTCCTCGATCCGTTGCAAAATACACCCGTGTGCATCCCAACACAAATAACAGACGAAAAAAAGAAGAATTCAGAACGGGCGAGGAAAGACCAGGCCAGGCAGACAAAGTGAAAAAAGAAATTACAAGACGGTAGAGCAGGACGCCGTGGCGCCAACGAACCCAGACAATGAAACCGCGCCGGGAAATAAGACCCTCATATAAGTGAAACTCACAACTGCTGCTGGAGCATTTGTGGAGCAATCATGTGGGAAGCCATGCCCGGCACGGCAGGAATACTCATAGGTGTGGCCATGGAGGTCATTGCGGGCATGTTGACCATGCTGTGGGGGTGGGAGTGAGCAGGAGCAGGGGAGACGACTCAGGAGAGTCGAACTCGCCATCATTCTCCAGATCTTCCTCAGTAGCAAGGACAGGCTGACCGTCTTGTTGGGCCTCGTGGATCCGACGATGTCTGAGAAGTGGAGAAATTAGCAACGGGAAAAACAAGGCAAGACAAGCCAACGCCTCAGGCGTCAGGTGTGGTGTAAGCTTACTGTGCAAGATTGTCGGAGCGCGAGAAGGCTTTGCTGCAGTAGGGGCAGGGGTATGGGCGTTCTTGGGTATGAGTCCTCACGTGCCTACGCGCCCAAGTTAGTCTCGGCGCCAATCGAAACCCCATCACATTGATGACAGGGACAGAGTGCAGATCGTCCCCACAATTGGGGACTGAAGAATTAAAAATAGAACCAGACTTACCTTTTAAGGTGTTCTAATCTCTTGAAGAGTCTGCCACAGGATGGGATTGGGCATGAATGGGATTTATGGGGGTATGGACCCAGCTCCATCATGGTTGCACTGCGAGCCCGGCGAGCAGGACCAGGGCCCGCCCTTTCCGATCGGCCAGTGCTATTTTGAACGGTGTTCTCCAATGCTGCGCTTGTAGGAAGCGCCGCCAAGTCATCAGCTGGGTGGTTAAGGGGCACAGAGTGATGATGGTTGACGGGCTCGTCGAGGTTTTGCAGTGGGGTTCCGTGACGCGAGATTTCTTGAAGCAGGTCCTTCTGGGGAAGCATGGAAGGGTATGCGCGAGAGTAGTCCTGTGCAGTCTCCTCTCCTTCAGCCACCGGGGCCACAGAGCTAGACACCGAGCGACGGAGATCGCTAGGCCGGTGTGCAGCATAGGGTGGAGGTTGGGGTGCTGGGGTACCATGGGCGGAACCGTGCGCTGTAGCCGGCATACTCGAGGCACCCGGGGTGACGGATGGTCGGCGCCTGCGCTGTTTGTATGTCGGGGAGCCCTCGATAACGGGATAGGCGTTGGACGGGAAAGATCGGGACGCAGAGGGGTAGTGGCCACTGGCGAAGTTCGATGGAGGCAGCTGCATCATGGGGTTGTACGAAGCCGCGTTTGAGAGATCCGGAATCGCAGTGTACAAGCCGGTATCTTCGTTAGCGATATAGGCAGGTTCAGCCCCAAGTCCGACAGAATGCTGGGGCGGGGTCACGGGTTCGAAGGACAGGCCGCGGTTGCTGTAGTCCTCGTACTGCGAGGACACAAAGGACGGAGCGGGGGAGTACTCGTAGAAGGTCGGCATGGACGAATGGCGTTGGTGGATACGTGCCATGGGCATTCCGTTGCGATCGTATTGAACTGGGCCGTAATCTTGCTCACGCTTGATGATACCCTGAACGAGGTTATTCGTCAGGGGCATATGCGGAGCTCCGTACATCGCGGGGTGACCCGAGTCGTCCTGGAGTAGCGGCATCGCTGGGGGAGCCATCTGGGGAGGAGGCATTGCGTCAACGGTCCGAACCACGGGGGGGGTTGGGCTGGCCATATGTCGTACTTGCGTGGGCAGCGAACGAGGAGGAATTCGCTTGTTGCGCTTTCGTCAATTGCTCATATAGGGACTGGGAAGAGTCGAATTCGAAGGACATGGCGGGTTCGCTGACCGCGACCGTTGTCGCTTCCTGGTTCATCTTCTCGCGCTTCAAGTCTCGCTCGAGCGCATCCAGGAACAATCGGTCGTGGGGAACGCTGTACCAGTAGAATACCTTTTGCTTCTTCTGCGTGCGAATGCAGTTATTTTTGTACAGGAAGTCCAGGAACGCGCTCTTGGGCTCCTCGAGGGAGGCATCGGTCCCGGCCTTGAGATTTCGTAGGTCGGAGAAGATGCCCTCTTCGAATTTCTTGGAGTTCTTCACGGGACGGCCAAACGCCTGGAATCGGAAAGCGAGACAGCGAACGATGTCGGTACCCGAAATGTGGAAGAGGTTGCTCCTGTAGGACAAATCTGGTTAGCTTTGGCCTTTGGCCTCTTCGCTGCGAAGCTCGGCCATTTATCAGTTCCAGTACTAACCAGAGAATACACGAAACATAGTCGCCGGTCGGGAGGAGGAAACGGCGAATGAGCTGGTCCTGTTGCCAGTCGACGGGGGCTGACAAAAGGAAATATTTTACTATCGAGGAGGAGTCAGGTTAACAAACAAAGGCTTCACAGTGTTTCGATGAGGGTGGGATGGACGTCGGACATACGATTATCGACTTGTTGCAGAGCGACTTGCGCATCATGCGGAAGGCTGTTCTGCGCCTCTTGCGAGAGCATAAAGGTTTCCGGCTTCTGCGTTGGCGGAGGTGGCATCGGGGCACCCGGGTGAGGATACATGGTGCCACGCGGTTTGCTAAAGAATTTATCGATCAGCACACAGGCGGAAAAGGGCAGATAGATAAGCGAGACGAGGAACAAAGAAAGGATCATAGACATGAAGCCATGAGACAAAGGCGATGTCCACGGGTTCCGACTTTAGACCTGACTCTGGGGATGAAACGCATCGCATCAATGCGGGCCGACTCACTTCGGTCGATCGCGAAACACAAAGTCGGATAGCCGCGCGGAAGAGATTCAAGATGTAGGCGATTCAATAGATCGCAAGGGAGCTGGATTGAATGCGATGAGCGGCAAGGAGCGAAAATACGCGACTACCAGAGAGATTCAAATTTCGTGAAGCGTTGAGAGACAGAGGAGCCAGCCTCGGGAAATTGGCGACAAAGAGAGAAAGACCGAAGAAAGAGAGATGTTAGAGATTATACTGGACCAGCCGGTAGAAGCCTCTGTGGATTCGCACAGCGGAAGAAAGAAACGAAGGAGAGAGAATTCTCGACAGAGTAGGATGGAGGAGGAGAGGAGGAGAGGAAGGGGAACAGTAAGTTAAGTTAATAATAGCGCAGTACGAGTAGATGATGGCAGACATGGCCAATGGGTGGTGTGACGGCCATTGTGACCGTTACCGTATTGAAGAGTGGGACTCCCACATAATGTTGTTCATTCTTTCAAAGTTACACTGTCAGGTATGGTAAGCGATCCACTGGGGCCGAGAAAGCAGGAGGCTTGCGCTTTCCTCTGTTCCTCTGTTGTTGCCCCGAAAAGAGAGCTTGCATCACACCACTGACAATCCTCCGTACTTCCTCCATACTCCTACACTCCTACTTCCTACTACTCTCTATTCTCCTTCTTTCCTCTTCCCTCTCTTCCCTCTCCCATCTCATCTCCCATCTCATACCCCTCTCTGCACACTGATTCGTTACTCCCACGCCACACTGACTGGACTGCAGAACGTCTGTGCATTTCGAGGGGATCACTTTTCTCGTTTCAAGGCTACTGTGACCAGGGTGCCGCGGCCAGGCCAACGGGAGTGACCCAGTGGAGACATGCCAAGGACTCGCTCACAAGTCAAACTGGCGCTGGACTGGTGTTTCAGACTTCCCACTGGGCGCTTACATGCAGCCATTGAAACCGGGTTGCCCTGACCCACTCCTCCCACTCTTCCCACTAACCCGGTGGCTCCAATCCATTTGTCCAAGGTCTCATTGCACACCCCCCATTTCTGCTATTTCTCCGATATGCCCCTCTGTCCTTCGGTCTAAACGGTTGTGGCTTGACTGGATCGCTTCCGGCTATCCCGACCCTCGAGTCATCCTAGTCTAGCGCACGACTGGTCAGAACAGACCAGTCGAAAAAAGGGATGGCATGCTCCCTCCCATCTCTCCCCCCCCTATGTATTACCGTCCCGAATTTCCCCCGGTTGATGTATCCTTCAACCCTCGGACGTCATGTCTGGAGTGCATGAGCGAATTGCCGGATTGTGCATGCAGCATGAGTCTTTCGTGGCTATCACTCCTGCAGCAGTATAATTATATCCCGGCTGACAACTCGGACGAGACTCGCCCACTTCCCTGCCCCCACCGTACTCGTACCTGGTTCCTGACCCGCCCGTTAGATTGTTATGTCATTCATTTTATACTGATCAACAAATCTAGACTCTCCATCTTCTCCTGGCAAACCCTGGAGCCCTTACCAGTATTCTCTCGCCCATGGTTACGAGATGAAAAACGAGTCATAATTAAAAAAGCTTGGCCCGACCAGCAATCAAGCAGCAATCAAGCAGCAATCAACAGCACCAAGGTCCAGAACATTAAGGCGCCCACATGGCCTCGGCGAAACCTTTTTGCGGGTAGTACATCTTGTATACTCCCGTTCTCTCGAGTCAAGGCCTAGGGTAACTATCGTATGCCCGAAAAAAGGAGTCTTCGGCCCCGAATATGGGGCTCTGCTTTTTGGAATCCATTATCCCCTCACATCTACTCGTACGGAGTATTCAGCCAACTCCTCCTTCTTGATCTACACACACCCAATCCCGGATCGCCCTGCTCGTGAACGCGGAGCTTAAGGTTGTCGCATCATTTTGTCTCATCCTCCAACACGATGATCACCGGGCGGACTCCGATGTGACGATGGCGGACCGCGCTCACACGCCCCGTGGAGATGCTAGAAGCTCTTGCCGAAGGGTACGGACGAATGTCTTACTCTCTTTCACGGAGAATGAACTAGATCGCACACCATTACCCAAACAAGGTATACTAAATAGGGAAGAAAGGGGGGGCGCTCGTAAGGAAATGTTGGGCCGTGTGGACTCAAGACTTCAGGAGTTACGATAGACTCTTGATCGAAGTTTCAAACATGGTGGACTTTTTTCACATTTTTTTCCCTTTCTCCAAAACTGCCCCTGGACTAACGGGTCTCACGAGACTAACGGGACTCCATAACAAGACTAGTACTAGTTGGGATGTAAACAACCCGGACGGGTGGAGAGCACAGAGCAACGGAAACTCTGAATGTTCGGTTTGATCGTCCACCCTGAAACGATCTAGAAGTTCTAACCCTTAGCCTCCTTGTCGAACGTGGGGCGTTAGTGTGTTTCTCTCGTCTAGAATTCCCGTGGCTGGGACAACGACCGGGATGCTGCAACACTCCAAATGGGGAAGCTCGCTTTGGTCAGGGTTCTACGTAGTACTGTGAGTATCTCCTCCTCCTCATTCAGTCCTTCACGGCTAAGTCCCGGGTTTATCACCTGTCCTCCATAAAACGATGGACGATCTTTCTCCTCAACAATCAGATGAAGATGCCGGACTCAAGATCCGGGCCGGGACAAGGTTTACCGGGCGTTTCCGTGTTACATGTGGGCATGATCTTCTTTTCGATCGACAGCGGAGTGATATTGTTCTCGAAAAGCGTCACATTGACCGCTGTCCTTAAGGTTCGACCGGTTTACAACCAAAATGCAGTTGTACGTATGCACTCCGTCAAAACGGTTGTTTACCGCGATGTGTAGGGCTGGGCACCGGTCCAAGGGTCACGAGGGTGACTCGCAAGTTGAGTCGAAGCTAGCGGACGCGAGAGTCGTTCTATACCACATTCTGGAAAATCTCCGATCGACTCCTGGTCATTGCATGCTTAGCTAAAAGTATATTGTACTCAAGCCCAAAAAATTTTCCACTCTCTTCTCCGTCCTTCGTACGGAGTACCATATGTTCCCTCTCTCTGTTGCCCAGCTGCCCCACCTCTTTTTTGGGGGTTTTTTAGGTCCCGGGTCATCTATGCCGACAGGAGCAATTGATTGTATGTAACAGATTGCGGTGCCGGTGCCGGTGGTGCTACTAGTGTTGGTGCTGGTGCTAGTCGTGCACGGGGTCTCACCTTGACAGAGTTACATGCAAGACACACAATCCTTTGTTCAAGAATAGGGCCAAAAAAGAAAACAAAGTTCAGTCCGCGTGTTTCTGATCTTTCTGCATGCATACCCTCTTCAGACTCGGTTTCCGATATAGCACCGCTTACCCTCACCCCCTTAGTTCTAAGTCTAAATTCACCCGGAACCAAACCATGGCCACTGCCTGAGCCTCACCCGCTCCATTTTTGGGGTCTTGCTCTTAACTTCCAACAACCGGTGGGACCCGGGATCTCTCAACCTCGTGGGTTCGCATATGGCAGGTGAAACGAGCCGATATCTGTTGCAGAAGTTCCAAGAATAGCCCACAGTCTGGAAATTTTTCTGCTCTTCGTTTGGAATTGCTTTTTTGAGATGGTGTTTCGATGATATTCTTTTGTTTTCAGGAATGAGGTCATTCGATTCAGATGCCCTACCTAATTCTCTGTCTGAATGTATGCTCAATGACGCAAAGAGGAAATTAAAATGCCTGATTAATGTATGTACATACTCCGCACCCAATGAACTTGAATCAGTCGGGGTAAAAAGCAAGAGGAAAAGAAAGGAGAACCGGTATCAAACTGAGTCAATACTCTTCCTCCTCTTTTCCAGCATGGCTTCTTTCATGAACGGACTTCTTGCCCGAATCTCCTTACCCCACACCACAAAAAGAATGGGCGCAAGAGACAACGCTAACGAGATGAACGCAAGAAGCGTACTGGCCCAGTTATAGCCTAGAGTCGAGTACATGCTCATAGCAGCCAGGGGTAAAAAGGCCGAGAACGTGTTCTCGCCCGCGGCGATGATACCAATGGCCGAGGCCGCGTACTTGCTGTAAGCATCCACGACGTAGTCCGAGATTCCCGTCACTACGATCACACTACCTGCGCCCACCATTGCGAGGCCGACGGCTGGGGCAATCCAGGGGAGGTTGGGGTAAGAGGTCCAGGCGTATGTGAACATTCCTCCTGAGATGCCAATCATCCCGCCCACGATGGCGAGGTATAGTCTAGCCTCGGGGATGGGTGTACCGGGGACTTCGGTGTTTCGAGATGCTGAATTGAAGTATAGTCTTCCTGAGAACAGAGTTCCGATCCATCCTAGGATCTCGCCGATGACGATGGCTGACTGGACGTAGCCGGCTTGTGCGGGTGTCCAGCCATAAAGTCCTGCGAAGACCTGTTCGACTGACTGTGTGAACAGGTAGAGTGTTCCAACGGTGAAGGCGGACCAGAGCGTTGAGACGAAAACTACCGACTCGGTGAAAAAAAGCACTATAGGTCTTGTGGCGCTTCGAGCCACGATTCTCATCATCGACGTTCCCTCCATGTCAATTTCGTGCTGGGTATACGCCAACTTCCCCTCCTTCCTCAAAGCCTTTGCTCGTTGCGCCAGGATGGCAATACCACGGCATTCCTTGAATAAAAAGAAGTATACCGGGAAGAGAGCGCCATACCAGATTAGCTGTAGATATCCGATCCATCTCCATGAAAGATATTGGTAGATAGGAGCCCCGATCACAGGACCGATACTGCTTCCGGCGAGATAAGTGACAATATAAAGACTGACGGGGACATTGCGCGCTTTCTCGCTATCCCACACATTCCCAATAACCGTAGCCGAAGTATTCGCGAGGATGGCAACGCATCCTCCAGCGAAGAATCGCGTTACAACAAGCGTGGCAAAGTTCTGCGCCAGCGCCTGAGGAACAACGAAACAGATGAAACATAGGTACGTGGATAGGAAAACCCATCTCACGCCAAAGTCTTCCATCAGCGGCAAGATGAGCAGAGAGAAGCAGCCGCCGCCAACAGCCCAAGATGCAACGGGCCAGTATGAGTGCGGGAAAGAGGCATCTGAGATATTGAACTCTTGATTAATTGCCTCGTGGGCGACTGTGATGATCGTGCCGTTCATCATGGTGATAAAGGTCGTGAATGCCGCCAGGGCTGTTAGGGTCCATTTTTGAGAAAGGGACCAGTTGTACGGGTTGCCAGGGTCGTTGTCATTGTCCCATGAGACTACTATGATATTTCGCGCGGAAACTTGATGTTCTGTTATGCAGTGTCAGTGCGTGTGTTGATAGTAGAGACGGCTTTTACCCCAGGAATGCTGCAGGGTCCATCCGTACCTAGCGTTTGATCGTCGTGGCCGGAGACATCGCCACGTGCGAAAACCATCTCCCTCGTGAATCTTCACACAGAAGATATTATTTTCGGAAAAGGTCTTTAAATTCCTGCCGCAGCGCGTAGCTACTTATCGGAGGGCTGCCACAGCCTGCCTAATAGGGCGAAGGCGAAAAAGAAACCCGAAGGGAAATGACCTCACGTCTCCGCTTTCAGCGAAGGATCCAAACCCAACAGCGTGTGATATATTTGAATCAAGCTCTGCGCCGAGAAAATCCAAGACTATCGCCAAGAACAGATGATGAGAATAAAAAACAAAGAAAAAGAACCTCGAGCTTAAATGTCGAGTGTGACAAGAAAACTTTTCCTGTTCACGCAACTTCGACTACCAGGCGATACCCGTCTCCCATTCAAGCCTCGGGTGGGAAAAAATCCACCCTTCTCCAGACAATAACTCTTCTGGGACTAGTGTGGGGCCACTCCCCGAGGTAGTTTCCATTCACGACTCGCTGGTTCGTCGGTTTGTGGTCAGACTAGTAGATCATCGTGATTTTGTTAGAAGATACCATTTGCTAAATCATTTTTGTGCATCCGATCTGAGCCCCCCCTCCCCGCATTTCTATTTGCTGGGTCTGGGCTTGTGAAATTCACATCTAGTCAGTATCGGGGATATTGTAGCCGCGTTGGTTGCGAATGGTAATGGTGTGTAGATCATATTTTAGGCCGACCTCGGCCGTATCTTGACATGGGAAGGAATTGTGCTTCGCTTGACTACAGAAGTATCATAGTACCAGATGAACATAGGATTAGTGGACTGACAAGGGGATATAACACTTTGTCGAGGTTCTCCTTGAGTTCATGGGCCTCCAGCGCCTCCAGGACTTCCAAGGTTCAATTTGTCACGCATTACTGACATTCAGATAGTGCGATCACCAGTAAGCTCAACGAATGAGAGTGCCTCATCGTGGTCACACACAACCACTTTGACCTTCTAAGCTTCCGACCGCAACTCGTCTAAACGGCGTAGCTCTGTGATAGTTTTCGACCTCCAATCGACCAAGCAAGAGTGGAAAGATGGAAGATGGATGACTTCCACAACACAGGCTGACCGCGATTAATGAACGCCGCAATACTCAGAAGCACAATCGAGAGAAGTACAAGAATGATAGGGAAACTTATTCATGCCCAGCGAACATGGATATAAGTCTCGGTACGATAAGCAGTTCCTCCGTCCTGGATGCTCCGGAAACTTGTTCGAATATTGTCGGTCATACTTGTTGCCATGGAGTAGAATACTGTAGGCACATCGGTATAACTAGTATTGGACAGAATCAATACTGCAGTTGATAGATAATCCTGATAATTTGTCTCGCCGGTGAAGAAGTGTGTTGCGTTAAAGGTACCTTGGAGTAGTAGAACTATCAAATCCCGTGTTCTGGGATACACGGAAAAGTTTGTCCTTGAAAATGTTACAGAATCGTTGAATGGCAGCAATTGTAAAGGTGTAAACGGCAAACCTTCACCTGCAGGGATGAGAGGCTGACATCTTGAGGGTCTTGGGGCCTGAGCGCTGGATGGAAGATAGCTAACAGTGGTGAACTGCTTCTCACAAAAATGTACGTAGCATTCAGTTAACATTGGCCTTGGCTCAGTAACGTTGGGAAACTTAGAATAATAGGAAATCGTATCAAGAAACTGCGCTGACAAGATCGTAACAAGTGCACGGGGTATATTGCGGGCGATAGTTGGGCACAATGCGCCGGATTCTGAGTTCCAGGGGTAACGATAAGTCACAGTGTAATTGCCAAAGATATGTGATTCCAGTATTTCAGGGGCAATCCGCAGCCCGCTAGGAGTTGTGTATGAGCAATTCAAACTCCCACCCTTGGGTGATATGCATGTTTGAGTTGATGATTCTGTGACATTGACACACTGCGAGCAGAATCCCTGTGTCGTAAAATCGGGGAAAGCGCAATTTGATGTAGGATATATAGGCTTCAGTGGGTCATTAATTTGCGCTAGCCCTTGGTCAAGGGCGATTTCTATCAAAGGGTCGGGCTGATTCATTCTAAAATTCCGATTTTGGTAGTTCGTCGAATCCACCAAGGCTAATGTTCCTGGGCCCTTGGATATAAGCGGTTTCATTTTGGGTGATTACTTGGCATGAGGGGAAAGCAAGATTTTGTTGCGAGAACGGATCAAGTGCAAGAGATAAAATCATCAACAGGGCCCCCGCCATCGGTAGAGACCACGGCATACGCCAAAGTACCTCCAGAGAGCCCCATGGACCTCTGCTAGCTTTGTCAAGCATGTCAAAGTAGTTAAGCTGAATAGGTCTCTGTTCTGGGCCCATTCTCCAAGGTCGCTTCCATTTTAACTGATCGAGGCACGTGGAGATAGGTATTAGGGTTGCAGCCTTTGCGAATGCGGCTAGGATGGCGACCACGGTATTGGGCGAAATCGAGTATTGCCAGGAGGAATAAGCCATCCCATTTTCGCATAGACAAGGAAGCCTATCAGTAAGGTGACACGGACTACAATGAAGAGGGCGCCGGCAATCTCCCAGGTCCAGGAACCTTCGGCGTCATGGCCTCGAAATGATGATGCGGTTTCAGATATCTGTAGGGACGAATGTTGCTTATTTTCAAGTTGTGGGTTTGGAATTTCGGTGAGACCGATCAGAATTTCTGATTTATTGATATCTAAATCAAGATGTGGCATCCCAAGGTTTTTGTTGTTCATGGTACTCTCCTCTTCAGCTTGCGCCGCCATCTGGTATGGATTCCGGCGATGAACCTTCAAGTTGGCACCTGTGGGAACCTTGGAAGCTCAGAATAAATTAAACATTTTCAAGGTTCTTTGGCCTGGGAAAGCGGGGTTTCAGGGCTTAAAGACCACTGAATTTTCAGCCGCACGCTTGGAGGGTGAAAACAAAGCTATACGAGATTAGGGCTAGTAGCCTTGGACAAATGCTTTTGGGCACCTAGATAGGGACGAGAATTATAGAGGTCCGAGTCACTCTGACAAATTACCTTGAGGATTGCAGATGGGGTGGCTCATGAAGTCCACCATTCGTTTGAAAATAGTATCAATCGAAAAGAGTCTCACCATAAGCTCCTTCTAACGATGATGTGGACTTCTGATTTGACGTGTTACTTTGATCTCGCCTCAATGGCCAACCCCACTCTGTAGCAATGTGAACATCAGCTATCGGCTTATCAAGGTGACTGAATATTTTCAGTGTCTTCTTTTGATTGAGAGTCATCGCGACGGGATGTTATATTCACCAAGCATTCACTGCTAGTGAATGGTGACTCGAATATCCTAGCAGTTATTAGTACTATGCAAGCCCGTGGTGGCCTCAGGCATCCGCCGGGGTCGCACCTTCCCCGGGTCCATTTTGTATAAGCCCACCTGGGCAGTGCCTTCCTCATCTGGAACCTACTCTCACTCTTGCAATTCCCATTCTTACCCCATTCTCTTCTTTCCCTTTCCCCGTCTCCTCTCCTTCCTCCTCTACTATCATCCTCACTGTACACCAACCCATTGCATTCAACCCTCAAGTCACTCGTTCCAATTCACTCTTCAATTCAACCACCCAACATCTCTACCTTTCACTTCCGATTGGAAGGATGTTCAAACCCCCGCCGAGGTGGATTGTACATGAGCCGGAAATTGCTCCGCCCCCGCCAGATGGAGCTTCAGCTCGTTTTTACTTTCAGTGATCATTACCGTACTCCTGGCTTTCCTTGTTCTGGAGGTGTACCGATATGCATTCGAAAAGCCACGCGAAAAGCCCAAGCGTTGCCGAATCTCCAAGTCCCAGAGATTGCTCCAGCCCATGCATGCTGTCGTGATCCCAGAGTGTCCCAAGACACCCAGCATTCGACGAACCCGAACCCGTGACATGCCCCCCTCTCCGCCTGAATCTTCTCCGTCATTGAGCTCGACATTTTCAGCCCCGTCAACACCCGGAGGTGAATACAATGCCATTACCGAAGGTTTCCCTCGTGGCGTCGACCTGAATCTTACTAGAGAGCAACTGCGCGAGGCTTTCTATTTCTCCCCCAAGGATCGCCGCATCATCGACCCAGAAGAGAAGTACTGGGGTCGAGGTCGCAAGAGCAGCCTTCGGGCTGAATTTTGGGAGTTTCTATTCGAGCGGAGCGAAGACTATGATCCACGCTTTGACGAGACCCCATATGACCTCCCTGAATTTGTCCTGCGAAGCAACATCGGAAGCGACTGGGCCAACCGTGCACGCTACTTCGAGAAGCCGCATCTCTATGACAGCGAGGGAAGACTCCGCGATATTTCCCCCAACGGCCGCTCGGGACGAGACATAGGCCTATTTTCGTCTACCAAGGGCAAGAAAAAGCGAATATTCGACGATGACTGAAGAAGGCTCTGTCGGAGTACAAGACCTCGGGTATCTGGACATCACCAGGAACAAGAACATTCTTTCGAAAAGAATACGGTATATGGATTCATATTTGTTACGGGGAGCGATCTGATTTACAAGCGGCCAGTGATGCCATTCTGGTCCGATAATTGAGCCGTGATGTAACATACGAGATGAAGAGAAAGATGTTGTTTCAAGCGCCAAACATTTGCAATTAATGTATAATCTGTCAAATTCAAAAAATGAAAATCCTCAAGTCTGATTCCACCAGATACCTATTTCTCAAGACAAGCCAGTGGACCCTGGAGTTTAAGATGATTACGTTGACATGCATGATATACGAGTATGAAACTTCGGGCGTATACTAGTACTCTTTGGAGCTTAATATAAGTCCTCGATCTTTATTATGGAGGCGACAAGGCGGATCACTGAGGTGTGGCTACGTATCCGGTGGCGTTTGCTGGTTCTTTCATGATCATCGCGACTGGACATACAATGTCGAGGGTAGCTGAAATACTCAATACGTAATCTGGATTTCAAACCTCTGTCGAAAATAGCTAGCACCGATTTTGAATTCAACTAGGAGCGGGTACTAGCGATTGGCTCCTCGTTCTCTCCAAGATAGTCTTTATATCATAGGTTTGCCACATCATATGCTGAGTGCCACGGGACAGTCTCCCCGCACTTAGCTTTAAAAGACCTGGAAAGTTCTCTCCATCTCATGATTCCTCCAAATAGCCTACTACGCCAACTTCATTTGCTTAACAGGATACATACCCCCAAACTATCGACAATCAACCTGAACCCAATTCTACTCTCGACTCGACTGCCCAAGATGGTCGGAACCACTATTGACAACAACCCGTTGGACCCAACATCTGCCCAGAAGCGTACTTCGATCGATGGAAATGACAAGAAGAATACACCGAGAACTGGAGTACGCAGGATGAGCGACCTGGAGACGATCGTTTACGAGAACCGCGATGTCGCGCCGTATGTCGAGACTTCTCACAAAAACTCACATTGATTGCCAGGTCGCTGACACTGGCAATAACAGCTCCTCCCAAGCTATCTGTGCCGAGCTTGCACACGAGCACGCTATTGAAGATCTTCACCAAATGACTGACCATATGTCGGACGAGAATAACCCAGCAAGAGGTATGGAATCTACGTCTCCGAGATAAATCCACAAATGTTTCTCCTCGACGGCACAAGAACTGATAATTGTCGCAATAAGGCCCATTCTTCCCTCAAATCTATCCCCAGCACACCACGGAGCCTAAATTGGACGAATAAATTGAGATTTCGCGTTAGGCTGGTGGATGATATGAATCGGACGACCACTTTTTTGATTTTTTTGAATGACCACGAATTGTTATGATCATCGATGAGACCACTTAAGATTGAGAAAACACATAAATACAATCAAATGCAAATACATAATGAATCAAATTGAGCTGTCCCTTGCGCAGCGAAGACGAGGCGGCTGGTGATGTCAGAGTGATGTTCCCCGCATGAACTTTGTGGTCGGCAGCATTGACATCATCCGGTGACAGCCGTACCAGTACGAGTAGAATATTGACTCCACCCCTATGTAGTTCTATACATTGTTTTAGATCGGATGTATTTGCGCACCATGAGAAAATTATTAATGGCTGAGCATGAGGGATCGTTGTCTGCTCAGCCAGATCTGAGTATAATTTATTTGAAACTTGTGCCAGACTAAAAAATGCCCCCATGCGTGCTATATAAAGTTTCACGAAGAACTTATTGGAACATTGAAAAGTATATCTAAAGATAAGAAATACTTTCAAAAATCAGTGAGGTTAGCTGAATTTGCGAAGAGGCTGACAGCCGAATATTAAAATGGTTCAATACGGCCCCAAATTTCATTTACTGTTACACTATCATTAATATTGGAAGTTCTTCGGCCTTCATCGAGTCCTAAGTCCGTATAGCGATTAATAATAATTTAATGAGAGAAGACTGAGTACATCTCTTACTAGTGAACGGTAGGAAGAGGTCGAAGTCTATATAATAACTGATACCGGCACCTGCACGAAATCTTTGAAAGATACCCATAAAACTATAACTCTTTCAATATTGATTGTCACAGTTCTATCTTCGAGATGTCGCAACGCCAAACTGCTCTCCTAGTGACTGAAATAGGGCAACATTTGAGCAAAGCTACTCGGCCCATTCCTGAGCCTAAGGATGGAGAAGTCCTCGTTAAGATCACAGTGGCTGGCCTGAATCCTCATGATGCGAAGTCTCGTGACGATGGGCTTTCCATAAAAGGATCTCTTCCAGCGGTCTTAGCCTCAGACATTACAGGCCACGTTGTTCGCGTCGGTCCCAATGTCACGCACTTCAAGCAAGGAGACCACATATTCGGACAAGCCCTACTGGCAATTACCAGTACGGAAACAAAAGTACCTCCACATCCTAATTACGACTCTCAGGGCCTCCAGGATATACCGATGCCGAACTTGCAACACTGCCCACCAACCTGGTCACTGCTGCTGTTGCGTTGTTCGATTCTACTGGTTTAAATATACCATCCCCTTTAGACACGACTGCACTTAAATTCAATTACGAAGAAGCATCGATTCTCATTGTTGGCGGTGGCTCAAATACTGGAAGGTTCGCCATTCAGCTCGCTGCGATAACAGGAATCGGAAAAATCATCGTTGTCGCTAGCCTAAATGGCGAAGCAGATCTGAAAGCCCTGGGAGCAACGCACGTCATCGATAGAACAAATCCGGGCACACACATTGCAGCTGATGTGAAGAGTATTGTTGGAGATGATTCGATTTACGCCCTTGATACTATTAATGCACCGGAGGATCAGTACATTGGCGTCGAGGCTTTGTCAAACACCAAGACGGGTAAATTCGCTCGTTTGAGACCCAGGGGACCGGTCGATGAGTCGAAGTTATCGGCGAAAAAGCCTCTAGGCTTTGAGACACTGAATATACTGGGTGCTTCGAATGTAAGAACCGCTACTAGTGTTCCCTTGTGGGAACGGGTTAGTGGTCTTGTTGCAGAAGGAAAAATCAAGCCGACTAGCTTTAAAGTTATCAAGGGTCTTGACTTGGATAAGGCTAATATGACTCTGGATGGCTACTCGAATGGGGCTCTGAGTGGTCAATGGCAGGTGCATATTTGAGTAGGAGTTTATTATGGGTTTATAGTTTGTTCATTGCTGAGCAAATTTGTACGTTTTAAGTAGAATCGAGTCCTCAATTTTACCTCCTAGTTATACAAACACAGGATACTCCGGGTCAAAATGGAAAATTTGGAAAGCATATTTACGCAGCGTTACATTAGAGGGGTTTGTTGGAATATTTTATGTAATAAAAGCAGAATATCTCTGATTAATTAATTGTTTATCTCATGTTGAATGATGGGAGATATACTTATTCAGCCACGGAGGCTTGTTTGACAATATAGTCGGCTTTTTCGACACTCTCAACCGATGTCTCTTCCTCATCCCGTCCTTTTGTCTGAGACTCATCGTTGCTTGCGTGTTCGATGGGCTCGTGGTCCCTGATAGCCAACCAAGTAGGAACCACAGCAAGGCCTATATTGCAATATCATTAGTATTTTGCATAAAATGAACCTAAAGTACCAATGGGACGATGCTCTTAGTACGACTGGTTACGAACCGAGAAGAATAGTGTTCACTGCAAGAGGCACCCTTCCACCAAACCACTCTTTGGTGTTCAAACCATACGAGACGGCCTGCGAGAAACTTTCCTGTCCACGCAAGATTCCAGATAGGCGGGCTGTTCATGTCAGTAAATAAACAGCAGCAAAGGAGATATTGCAGCGACTTACATAGCTCCGAAATATTATCTGTCTTTGTCGCGATCATATAATACATCCAGTTTTGTAAGGCTTGTCGGGAGAATTCTATGAAAGATGGGGTTAGATGTATATCAAAAGAATGGCTGAAATGAGTTTCTTACCCCAAAGAATGACCACAAATAAGCCTCGGGTGAAGCCTTTGTCAGCCCAATCCAAGGATGGAGGGTTTGCTGTGTACATCTCTTGAACAACCCATCCATAGACCCAGGCGATGATATGAACGATAACAACGTAATAGAAACTGGAGGGCCTATAAGTAAAAGTTTCCGTCACAAAATGGAATAAAGAGATATCATTACCTGTACATGATTCGGCTCTTTACTGGCAGGTTCTTGTAATCCAAGAATCTGCTAATGAGCCACGATGAGAGAAGTGTTCCGATGTATGCTATGAATACTTGTAAGTCCCGCTGAATCATCAAGGGTTAATTTTCATCAAAACATACAAACAAGGCCAATCAAAGCGCGAGCTCGAACGCCGAAATAATAGACCTCGAAGTCTATAAAAACATGTTAGAAACTCAATTTAGGTCAACAATTCCTGTCCCCTCGGAAAGAAAACACTCACTTCCTTCGTATTGATTGAAGTATGATGCCCAGAAAACAGGAAGGAGCAGTAGAACCTAATTTTTTCAACCATTAGTAACATACTTGGATGTTTCAGAATCCTAAGAAACTCACATCTTTGCGGCAGGAAAGTCTCCAAAGTTCTTTCATCTCACCAGCCCATGAGTCTTGCAGTACAATCTTGACCTTACTTCCGTCGCCACGTTGAACCTTTTCCGGTCGGGTGAGGAAAATGGCAATTGGAGCTGCAAGGCATTGCAAGGCAACAAAAATTAAATAGGTTTCTAGAGCGGATTCCGCATTAGCAACAGTTTTGGGAGTTTAATAAAAATAAAATTATGGCTAACGAACCTGAGCCAACCTTTCCTTTGCTTTTGGACGCGGCAGAGCTTCACGGGTGTTAGTAATAGACTCTAATAAGCAAAGGTCTCAAGTGTATATCTTACTGGTTCAGACCAAGAACAATAGCGCTACCAAGCAATGGGCCACCGGTTCGGAACCAAAGCCAGATACTAATCAGGGTCAGAGATGAATTTCAAGTTAAATCAGACATCCAATCTTGTACTCACTTCATGTACTGGCCTCTTTTCGCAGGCTCTGGATACCCAAGTGCCACAGCACCTTCGGAGGCCCAGAATAGACCAGCCCTAATTTTGTTAGGACAAGGTTCTCATTTCTATGTATTAATGGAACGGAAGAACTCACGAAAGACCGCATGCAACGGCTCCAACGAGTACAAACCATTCATTTCCCTAATTCAAATATTAGTCATTTCGCCTTTTAGTTTGGTTCTTGAAGTCGTCAAATCCTCACATAGCGGTTATTTGTATATAAAGCGGCACTGGTAGGTAAATAAATTAGAAATAATCCCCGACCTTTGTGGGGTTGTGAATTGGCTCACGAGTAAATCGGATATCCAATGACACCTAGTAATAGAGTCCAGTTCATTCCAATGCGGTTGGCGATAGGGCCGCCAAACAAACACAGAAAACCCACTAAAACCCCAAGGTTAGTCGGCTTCCACTTCTCTTGATAAAGACTTCGATTTGGATGACCCACTCAACCCGAATACAAGAGCATTTGCTGCATTGACAAGATAGGGCGTTTCAGCTCCTCCTGCTCCCAGCGAGTTCATGGCATTCCATAGTCCAGGAGCCAGGAAGCCCACGCTTCCAATAATGAACGCATTGTAAAGAGTCGTCCGGTACCAAACACGACCGGTCGTCGGCGCATCCTCTGCTGTCACCGATATCGGTGTTGGCTCAGTCATGGTTATCTGATGGTCCAAAAGCCTGCAAATAATCCAAAATGCGAATTTGACGGAACCAATTTTTTTTATAAGAAATGTATTGAATGATGCTCTGGTATATCTACTTTTTATTTTAGCGCCAGGCGGCCTTGAAGAAACCGTACTCATTCATGAAAACGATGGCGTGCTGGCAAGACAGGGGAAATTTGTGTTAAGCGCATCGCCAAAAGCCCGGGTTTCCCCACATCGGCCCGCACAGCCAAATCGGAACCAATAATCTTTGATATTTCTTACCTGCCAATGCTGCTAAAGATTCAAGACTTTCCTATATCGTTGCTAGCGCTCGGTCAAAACCGCTTCTTTGCCGAGTCTGGATCAGGCCCGAAGACGTGCTTCTACTGGGGACTTCGGCAAGGGGAAGGTCGCAGCCGCTTATTGACGGAATTTTGACGATCCCGAGATGATGGATGCAAGAGATCTGTTGAGACGGGATCAGGGTTACATCTCTTGTCAAATCAACATTACGCTCTTTCGTACCCTTGCATAGTTAAATGCTGCTACAGCCCTCGACTCCAATCGATTAATGATCAGATCAGATCGTCAAATTATGTGTCCAAAATTCGCCATGGCACAGACTGAAATAAGCATGGGCCCGTGCGCGTTTTTCAAAAGAGCTTGCATTCTTCGCAAATTGGCAAAGAGAGAACCATTATAGTAGGCTGTATGGCCAGCCTTGACTTTCATGGAAGCCCTCGTTCGTCTATGATAATATCATATCAGATTTCCATTACTACTGAAAGCCATTGGAAACTTCAAATGTCTCTCGAAGTAACCAGAAGTTTGAGAGCAGGAATCAAGAGTTCCAATGGGATTCATCTGTGGATGTGGAATCTTGATAAGCATAGGCCATATATTTCGAGATGGTCTAGAAGTCTGCTCATTCCCAATTTGTAGGGTCTATGCAGATTGAGTGTGCACAACCTGGTTTTCGAAGGGGCAAGGCGGCTTGGCTTGGTCACGGTGTCAGACATCAGGCCCGGAATCAATAACCGGTTGGATGAGGCGGTCCTTTTGTGGCTCTATAAATAATTAGCAGACATAGATGAAACCCAGTTATGGCATTATAGACGCCATGCCAAGAGAATCAAAAGTTCTATGATACTGGCTGTCACATGTCGCTTGGATTCGGTTTCTTGGCCCTTCAATTCCTTGGCTAATTTTCAATTCCTGACACCTGAGTTTCGTTTTTCATCTGCGTTATTCAAAATATAGGCCGAGAAACGATGATATTAGTCTTGAGCCTAGGAGTAATCGTCTTTTTCGCTAGCCCAACCGAAAACGTAATATAAGGCCAATCATACTACAAATTACAAAGATAAAGTTCTTACACCACGGTCGCAAATCAAGACCCATCGGACTTTCATCTCAGCACAATCAGAGAGCTCATTATTGTTCTTCAAGCTTTAAAGAGCATCGATTAGGTACAAATTTAGACGTAAAACATGTTTCCCTCATTTTGCCGAGGGGTTCGGGTTGAGCCTCAAGCTTCGAGCAGTGGGGGCCAGGGGTTTCGCCCCCATGCCAGTGATTATACTAGCCCCTGGGCCACTAGAAAAGGGAGTGACCCACTAGGAAAAAGATTTTCAAACAAAAGCAAACGCCGTGACACATTAATACATATGTAGTTAGTTCTTCCCGCTAAGGCCTTAGTTCTTTTCGCTGGGGCCCTGAGTCATTGCCACAGGCTCGGGCGCCTTCACAGGCTCGGGCGCCGTGGCGACGACGGGAGGATGGGGCGCAAAAAGTTGCACTGGACCGTCATGTGGACGGATGGCAACCTTCTGCCCACACTTGGTACAAAAGTGATGGCAGTCGTGGCACATTTCCATGCAAAAGGGGAGGAATGCAAGACAGATCCCGCCGATGAGACAGCAGCCCACTGCCGCCATTCTGTAGAATAGGGTAGAGGTTAGCAAGCAAAGAAAGCAGACGAAGATTTGTTTGAGATAAAACTTACCCGGTGGCACTAGTGCTCTCCTTCTGAACTCGGGTCATCGCCTCCTGATAACAGAAGGGGCAGATGATCAAACGCGGCTCTTCGTTGAGCTGGTTCAGCTCGACAGCTCTCTGGACGACGAGACCTTGCCCGGGCTGAGGAGCCGGGGCCTGTGTTGCCGACTGCCATGCAGTCTTTTCATGCGGAGGATAGGTCTCAAGGTTGAGTACGGCCGTCTCTGGTGCTGGCGTCACTTCTTTCTCGTTTCTGATGAAGAAAACGTTACCGTTAGCATGTATAATCCAGATAGTTGAAGCGAGCATACCGTTCATATTGCGGGGGAGGTACAGCATCGGATGCGGTGGTTTGCACTTGATCCTCCGTTGCGGGAATTGCGACTGATCTTGTCGTCTCTGCTGGTGTTGTGGAAGTGAGATCGTGAGTCGGCGCGGTCGCATCGACTGGCTGGCTGGCCACTGGGGTCGAGTCCTTGTTGTGTTCCATGTTGGCTGTATTTTCAAAAGTCGGGCTGTGAATGTGAGAGTATTCGAAATTTGGACGTGGGAGGCTCTTGGAATCTATAAATGTATTGGAACTGTACTGTAGACAAAGATAGCACTCAGCCTCAGGCCAAACCCAATATGGCAGGTCACTAGGTCGATCAAGGAGAACACGGGCGCGTTGGCCCCCAGTGGGCTTTTTCTTGAACCCTTGCAGCCAATATGCTGAGGGGGCGTGCTCGTGTAATGAACTTGGCCCTCGCCCTCTGATCAACATGAACGTATGGCCACCAATCAGCAAGAGGCTCGTGAACGTCTGCCCCCGAAGTCGCTTCGCTTCTCTTGGCTCTTGGCTCTTGGCTCTAGGGGCAAGTCATAACACGAACAAAAAGAAGCTAACTTTTTCAAGTGCCCGAAAGACCTGTTCCGGGGCAGGTGTTACCACCCAAGGATTTTAGATGCACCCCTTGCGGGTCTTCCAGCAGCTCCGTCCAAACAACAATTTTACGGCGTTTGAGAACCCGGTTTAAGGAGCCATTGCAATCCCGTTTCCCTCTACTTTGCGAACTTTGCTCTTGAAGAAGATTGATATGTTAGTTTCTGACTGGTAGGTGGCCTGAAAGACCAGTAGTAGTCGACCGATACCTGATCGACAGAAATTTCCAGCCACCAAAATTTTAGGCCATGAGAATCTGCGAACTCTAAATTATATGTAGTTTCAGTGTTCTGTCGCTAGGAATTCCACGCGGACAACTCCCTTTGAAAAAATGGATTAGAAGTTCTTTATCGGGAGATTGATTCGAATTCGTTGGATACTGATACCCAGAGCAGAGAGGAATTAGCGCCTTACATTCTGTGTTTTAACAAACTGATGGCTCCTCTGATCCCTCGTACGTAGAAACCTAAGAATTTAACAAGAGGCGATCTGAATGGCCAGTACTTTGGCAGACGGCCAAGAGAAATCTGGTATTCTTAGATGCCATCTGGTACTTTTGCGAGGGCTATCTCATAATTGGATGGGAGATCGTCATCACCACTGCCTTCTCCTTAGTGGGATACGATAGCTCCTCTACCTCTAACTTTCCGTTGGGATCATGGTGAAGATTGCAGCACTGGATTCGTTTACTGCTTGGAAGCTCTTCACTATGGCTGATGCGTCTATTAAGGCTACTATGTATGTCGCCTGCATATCGTTTTATCCAAAGCCAAGGCAATATCTCCATGACTCCACCAGAAAAGCTTTTTCATGTCGCTGGGTCTCTGGTGATCTGCACTGGTGGATCCCAAAGAAGAGCAAACTACTCCGTACAGCGACCAGGGTTGCCAATTTGAGCCTCATCATTAAATGACTCAAAGATATATTATGTTTGTTTCAGATTGCGTACTTGTACAGGTTCGATTGACTAATTATTAAATGGCTAACATCAAAAAGCGCTTTGCGTCGACACCTGAGCTCAATCGTTTGAATAGATCGGAATGGTAAAAAAATCAAGGAAACGCCTGGAACTCGCCAAGAACATGTAGAGTAATATTTTGCGAGCTCTAAAGCATTACAGGGCAAGGGCGAGGCCCAGGACACCGGCAGCACCGGCAAGGCTCATGGCAATGCCGCCAGTCGCAGCGGGAGCACCGGCAGTGGAGGTAGATGTGGAAGATCCGGACTTGGAGGAACCAGAAGCAGTCCCGGAGGGAGTGGCAGTTCCGGAGCTGCTACCGGTGTTGGTCTCAGTGGAGGTTTCGCTACTGGTCTTGGTGACAGCAGCAGACGAGGCAGAAGCCGAGCTTCCGGTCTCGGTGGCCGAGGTATCGTCAGTGGCAGCGGATGTCAAACTCTCGGAGGCCAAGTACGCGGAAGCTTCGGCCTTGAGCTCATTTTCAACGTAGGTCTGCGCACTCTCCGGAAGTTCGGTGACCCAGGAAGGGAATTTACCGTCTGCAACACGGGTCACCTCGGCTTGGGCGTAATCAGAATTGGTGTACATGCTGTTGGCCCAGGCAATCTCCGCGGTGGCAGTAGCCAGAATCTCGATGACGGATGATGGGATGTTAATACTCTCAAGAGCGGAGTCATAATCGTCGGAATCGTCGTAGGAGGAAGATTCCGCGGTAGCGGTGGAATCAGGGGCCGGGGCAGCAAGAGCCGCCGAGGCAAATAAAAGAGCAGCGAGTGTCTTGAATTGCATCTTGAAGTGACTGTAGAGTAGAAAGAAAGAGAGTGGATTGAAAGACGAAGGTCTATGGGGACTCTGGACGTGATGAAAGATAATCTGGGCCCGGGGGAAATGCAGGACTAAATATAAGCCAAGCCTACCTAATCGGGCCTCTTCGCCTAAAATTAACCCAGAATGAGGCTATTAGCTTTTCCATGTTTTCATTTCCTCACGGGGTCGCAAAAGTGGAGTTCGGGCGTAGCCCGAACCACTTGTGCCCCTTGGTTTCGACCAATTTCCACGCTATGGCCATTAGCCCCGGGGAATGGCCCCAATCGTGAAGGAATCGCCCCCAATATCACATTGCAAAGTGGAAAGGCGCTTTCAAACCTGTCCAGCAAACGCCTCTCGTGGAATGACCGTTGTCTAGCACCAGTCTTGCGTGACGCCTCCAGCAGTGTGGGAAGTGAGCGACATCCTACTCGTACATAAATCACCCCCTGAAACGCCACAGGCTTAGACAAGCACAAGCCCAAGTCCGTCCAGTAAGTAAGCGTGGTTTAGGAACCCAAATCTAGACTGGTCCCTCGCAACATATTCGGATTTAAGGCAAGCTAACGGACGTCGGCATTAGCAGCGCCACTGGCTTACTACCCTGTCAATACGAGTGTGAAATTCGCCCCTCTTTAATAGCATCACGTTACGTCTCTGTATAAATGTGAAATGGCAGCAATGACTAGATTTTGATCGCATTCTATTGCCGGTAGCCATAATGCCAATCTGGAGTGGCCATATCTTCCCGAATCTTGTAGGCAACCTCGGCTTCCTCTAATATATTCATATCAAGAGAAATGATTCTCATCCCCTCGTCGCTGCTGTCAAATTTATCCACACAACCAAGAAATGGCATTGCGACTTGAGAGAGCCCAGCAAATCCCTCACTTGCCGGCCCGGCAACATTGCAAAACAAAACAGCGCAAGTGTTCTCGAACGCGCGACTTACAACAGCTGCGTCTAAGAAGGCACCCTCCGACTTTGGATTGTGCTTCAACCCAACCTCCGATGCGTCACTGTATTTCCAGAAAGCAGGTACAATGATTATCTTTGCACCCTGCATGATAAGCTCTCGGAATGCTTCGGGGAAGGCCAGATCCCAGCAAATAAGCAACCCGACCTTGCCCAAAGGGGTGTCGAATGCAACATGACGACTCTCATTTTTAGAGCTCTTGACAAATGGTCGCTCCGGATGCCAGAGATTTTTCTTTTCATATTTTCCTTTTATCTCTCCATTGTTGTCGATGAAATAGGTGGCATTGACGAGTGTATTGTCGTCGTGCAATTCTCCAAAAGAGCCAGGTACGATGCAAATATTGCATTCTTTGGCTAGGTCGCAATACGCATCTAGATAGATCTTCCAGCTGGCGCACTGCTGTCTAATTGCCGGATCATGACTGGGGAAAAAGTCGGCTAAGTGATATTCTGGAAGAACCGCCAGATCTGCACCGCTCGTGGCGGCTTCCCGGATGAATGAGATCGCTCGTCGATGGTTGTCCTTTACCTCATTTGGCTGTTGGGACCCATGGAACATTGATTAGTATATAAAAGCACGGCGTGTGGGTATGCTAAACTTGACGATACCTTCGGACAAAGCTGTATAATTGCAACTTTACACGTATTCATTCTCGAGCTGCCAGTCAATTATATGATTGAATATATTGAAAAATCTTAAATTTTGTTGGAAAGACATCATATTACAGGTGTAAATAATCTTTATAAAGCTGCGGAATCTCGGAAATGATTATCTTCCTACTACATGTTCCCCGCTCTCGAGGGACCTTCTTGAAAGGGAATGAAGGAATATTATTCGCTGTTTTCCTTCTCGGCAAGACCACTGCAACCTTGAAAGGTATATGGTTGGACGAGATAGCCGAAGAACTTAACATTAAAATAAATCAAAAAGTATAAATGCGGACAGTGACTACCCTAGTAGGAAATACTAGTATTAATTGCTAGTATTGCGTAGAGGCATCGGATGTCCGCGGGCCCCGTTATCTGTAACTAATGGGCCCGATTTAGAAACAAAATTCAAATATACTATTAGGCACTCAAATAAAGGAAGATGCTCCCCTCTTTCCTAGCTTCCAAGTTCTTCCCAGCGCAACGGGTGGTGTTGTCAAAGAACTGATATCTGCGCTCCGAAATGACGATATCTGTGTGCAAACTTGATACGGAATGTTTTTCCAAAGTAGATGAAAAGGACATTCCCCAACATAACCACCATCGTGATCAAGCCGAATGTGATATAGAACCAATTCAAGCCGACACGATCAACCCAAGGTTGAAGGGCAAATACAAATAGAGTTGAGATAACGTTTCGAATGAAGGTTAGTGCAACAACAGAATCCGCAATGATCTATAATAGATAATTAGCACCCCATTCACAAATCTCAAGTATTGCAAACTTACATCGGTATACGCATCTGTCAGATATGTAAGTGCAGCACTACTGGCGGGAACAACTCCAAAAGCTGAAACGCCAAGGCCAAAGGCAGGTAAGATCCAATGAGAGCCATTGTTGAGACCAATGCCAAACATAAAAAGTCCAGCAGGGACAAGAGGTACAAAAACTAAGCATAGCCAGAGGCGCATCTCTGGCTCATAAATGCCCCCATTTCTCTTCGCAAGATAAAGAGCTATTGAGTCACTCAAGGGACCACAAATAACAGTGGCGAGGCAGGTTCCAATAAATGGCGGAATCCCCATGAGACCAATTTGAGCTGACCCAAAATTATAAGGCGGTAGCGTCATAACAGAGGAAAGGGTCGTCACCGGGACCGTCGTGCAAGCGGTCATGATGCCATACTCAACGGCCATGAAAAGGACAGCAGGAATGCTGAACATGATGAGGAATGGTTGATAGCTGTGCTTGGCCACTTGCCCAAAGGATACTGGTGAATCTGACCAAAGTGATAATTTTTGCAGGTAAGTTTTCTTCGGAATCGAATAGTCAACTTCAACTGGCTCATAAGGAACTTCATCGCGTTTCGCGATATCGACATCTCCATGAGCCAATGCTTCGGCATCTTTGTCGCCTGGAAGTGCGGATGCCGTCCTGTCGGCAACAGGGACCCCATCAATCGGTTCAAAAGCGAACATCGTTTCTTCGTAGAGGAAGATGAAGGCGAGGAGTCCTGCACCGAACAAGATGGCCATCCACCACCACACCCAGCGCCAGCCCTGCGAAAGGGTAATGAACCCTCCCGCTAGAGGTGCCAGGGAGGTGCCAACCGTCATGAACCAGTAGTATATGGTGTTCATAAGTCCTCGTTCGTGAACGAAGTAAATGTCGGCGACCGTCATTTGCACCATCACCTCAGAAAGTGCCCCAACAATACAACTAAGAATATTAACCAGCATGAGATCTGCCACATTTTGCATCCGAGCAGACCAGATACTGATTCCGCATTGAATTGCAGTACTCAAAATATAGATTGGTCGTCGGCCGAATTTGAGGGCGAAGGGGATGAGGAAGATCCCGCCGATCGCAAGAGCACCACAGCCAGCGGCGTAGCTATCGTTAAGTAGAGCGAAGCTAAATCCCAGCTCGATGTTGAGAGGACCCCAGGTGACAGTGGCGACATTGACCCTGGAATCGTTAGTTTCATACAGGAAACGGAGTCAAGAGGTTATTGCTCACAATGCCATGACCATCACAACATAATAGGAGACAAGGCCAAAATTCAGATGTTTCCTCCATTGTGGCCAGTTCTGTATTTCGATATGAATCAGCACAGCCATCATTATTGGAGCATGCAGGTCGGGAATACTCACTAAGGGGTCATTTGGATCTTTGCTAGGCTTCGGCTCCAGTATGACCTCGGAGCCAGCGTTGAGGTCTGATATAATGTCAAACGATGAAAGTTTCAGACCGATAGTTCGAAGGATTTTGCACGTACCATCAAGACGAACTGTCCCTGGTGGCCAGGCAGGATCGATATTTTGACTGTGTGGGGACATCGCTATAGGGCTTCTTGAGGCCGCGATACTCAAGCAGGAGAACGAAAAAAGTTTCTCAGGTCAGGGATCATTAGCGATTAGAAGGTTTCGAGCCCATTTTATTAAATCTTCGGTATAGTCAACGGGACTTCTGGCCGATGAGTTCACTCTGCCTTATCACCATCTGCTGGGGATGGTGATGATCTGTAGCCACTCAACATCGAACCTGAGAAATAGGCGTGGGACTGATCTATTCTGAAAAGGGAAGTTTGAAGCAATAGCCAATGACCGAGCAGAATCTTGTCAAGCTTATCATGCCTCAAATTCTGTGTTTGCGGGGAAATATTATCAGGAGAACTGGGGAGGTCGGGGTAATAATATTTACCTAAGGGTTTGCAACTCAGATCTTCCAGAAACACTCTTAGCTACCCTTAACCGACCTAGGGCAATCACCAAATTTACGACTCCACTCGTTAAGTAGCTTAATCAATTGGTCTCTCATCGTTTGAAGTGACGAAAAGGGGAGTATGCATCTCCTTTGCTGCCTGTTCTCGGCATGTAAGTATTACCCGACACAATCCATCAACATCCTCCAACACAACTATCTTACATATTTCATATCAGGCAGCCATGGTCTTCCCAAGATTGATATTCATTCATAGTTTGCCGATTCGTTTATCTTCTGTCCGCATGACGGACTCTACTATTTCGACGCCACCCATCTCCGATTAACCAATTGCGTCAAATTGCGCCGCCCCGCAATTCCAACCTCGCCTATCAATGCTTCGCCAATCAATGAGACGGAACTCCGCCTTTGCTCTCGATATCGCCATTGCGACGCCATTCTTAAGCCCCCTCCTCGTGAAGTGGCAGCGGACTATTCTCCGAATATCTCAATTTCCCCATTTCTCCATTTCCCCAAATTCAACCAACCACCAACCCGCCATCCAGTACCAATCATTGGGGGAAACTTCTAGAGACCCCGGCATTTCATTTACCTCCGTCTTGCCCCACGCATGCCATTCAATAAATAACTTGTCAAAGCAGCAAACCATTCAACGCATTCGAAACATCATCTCGATACTACTCCTTCCACAAGTTGAGAATGACTTCTGTATTTCGCAACGGGCGAATCTTCGCGCCATCGCTTTCCTCCGGCAAAGGTGGCAATGAGTTCGCCGATGGAATGATCGTCGAGAATGACCAGATCTCGTACGTCGGGTCACTTGACGATACTAAAATTCCCAATGGCGCCACAGTTGTTGATCTGGAGAATCGCGTCGTGGTCCCGGGCTTCATTGATGCCCACGTTCATATTCTGCACTATGGCCACTCACTGCGTAAAGTGAACCTTATCGAATGCACGTCTCTTGAGCAGATCCAAGAAACTATCAAATCCTACGCGACAGAAAACCCATCTGTACCTCGTATTCTCTGCCGAGGGTGGATTCAATCTACTACCAATGGTGTTGCCCTTGCCAGCATGCTGGATAGTATTGATTCTCGACCGATCTTGATTGACTCGTTCGATCTTCATTCTATGTGGTGTAATTCCGCTGCACTGGATGAAATGAAGGCCCATACAGCCCCTGACCTCCCCGGCGGTACTATTCATCGAGATGAGACCGGAAAGGCGTCTGGTCTTCTGGATGAATCTGCTCTCATGAACCTGGCCTGGCCATTTGTGGAGGGTCTCTACTCCGCCGAAGACAATATCAGTGCCCTGGACATTGCAGTCTCTTCCTATACGGCCGCAGGCTATACTGGCATTGTTGATATGGCCATGGATGAGGAGACATGGAAGCTTCTAGAGGAATATCGCCAAAAGAATAATGTCCCTTTCCATATCGCAGCGCACTGGCTCGTCCCATACACGGATGACCAACAAACAAATTTTAGCTTTGTCGACCGAGCCATCGCACTCAACAAGCAGTACAAGGACCCTAACTTCACCGTGGTTGGCATCAAACTCATCTGCGATGGTGTTGTTGATGGGTGCACTGCCGCTCTTTTGCAACCATACACCGGCAAATCGGACCCAGTGGAGCCAATCTGGCCAGCGGATAAATTGAAAGAAGTCGTTCAGCGCGCCGACGCAGCTGGACTCCAATGTGCCATCCACGCTATCGGCGACAAGGCCATCAACCAATCTATCAACGTCTTGGCAGAAGTCGGCACCCCAGGCCGACGGCATAGAATCGAACATCTCGAAATGAGCACCTCAGAGGACGCAAAGCGTCTTGGCGAGCTCGGTATCACAGCCTCTATCCAGCCCGTTCACTCGGATCCCGCCCTTTTCAAAGCATGGCCCACTCTGGTCGGGCCTGATCGCTGCAAGCGTGCCTTTGCGTATAAAGAGTTCTTGGATGGCGGTGCCCCTATCGCTATTGGAACTGATGCGCCTACTGCGCGTCATTTCCCCTTCCCAAATCTTTACAATGCTACCACTAGACGATCAGCTCTTGAGCCAGAGACCACCAACACTGTTAATGCCCACTTTGGGCTCAGTTTGGCCGAGGCTGCTACTGCTGCTACCACTGGAGCAGCTTATGCTCGGTTTGCTGATTCATGGACGGGTAGCTTGAAGCAAGGACTGAGTGCAGACTTTTTGGTTGTCGATATGGAATGGTCACCTGAAACACTTCTCCAAGCAAAGGTCGCTCAGACGTGGTATCGGGGCAAGAGAGTATATGATGTCAACGGGACTCAAGGAAATTAGATGTCTTGAGACAGAATGAAGCGATCAACAAGGCTCCCTGCTACCTCTGTTGTACTTTTAGTACCGTACCGGTGTCTGAACGAATATGAATGTGCTAAGATGACGTGAGAATTCCATCGTATTGAGCGTTAGAACGACTACACCATAACCTGGGCATACGCAGAAGCATAGTAAATTGTATAGAGAAAATGACATGACAAGAAACCGGAAAATGCAGAATAGAAATGTATCTAGCAAGTATAGACATATAATCATTAGCACGACCCAGTCTAAGACAGTGGCGCCCAGTGACACGTAATCACAAAAAAGGGTATTGTCAAGAAACATGATGAAAAGCGAGTAGTTAAGTCAAACTTCAGCCTCGGTCTTCGCGGCGGGCTCGTCGTCCGTAGCCTTGCCCCAAGCACGCTCGAAGGCGGAATCCGCGCCAGCCTCAACACCAGCCTCTACGCCAACCTCCCGTGTCTGTTCTTGGGCAGCAGGGGAAATAACCTCCTCTTCTGCCTCTTCTTTTTCGACAAGGACAGGGGCACTCTGGGAGATCTCCTCGGTATCAATCTCCTTATCCACCATCACTGGTCCAAACGAAGATGATTCGAGGTTCACCGAAGGCGAGTCTCCCGCCTCGGTAGGCACATCCTTACGGTTGGCACCAAGTAGCTCGAGATCAAAGTTGGAGCTATAGATGACAGCAGAGAATGCTTCCAGCTCGCGGACGTTCTGCTCCATGGGGCCGAGATACTCATTGGGCTGGTGTGAGCCATTACCGATAACGTGCGCTTGGCGGGCCATGACAGCAAGCAAGTTAGCAAGCTTTGTCTTCCGCTCTGACGCAGGCGGGATCACGGTGGCGATGGAGTCGAATGACTGAGGTGCAGTTTCGGGGACAGTAGCCGAGGTCTTGAATGCCTCGTTTGCGCACTTCTGGTCAACAAGGGTGGAGAAACCCTCGTTGTTGAGAAGAGTCAAAACGAAGGAGAAGGAAGGAGAGTCGATTAAATCAGCGGTCTCATCGAGGAGATGGCGCAATTTGGACGCAGTCTGTGAGGAGGACGGGTCTGCCACCCCCTCCACGCCAGATTCGCGCAGAACAGTCTCCTCTTCCTCCGTGGGCGGGAGCAGACATGAAAGCCATTTCTTGGATCTATGGATTGTTTCGGTCAGCACTGGTGAAAGGGTATATTCGGATGTCATGCGTAATGCTCACCGTCGCTCGTCTTCGGTGTTGCCCTCGACTTTCTTCCGGATTTGAAGGGTCAACTCTGACAGTTTCGAGAGACTGATATCCTCACGTGGGTTGAGAGGACCAAATACTTCCTCCACAGCGGGTTGAACGCGCTCCATCAACTCCTGCCACCCACGGTGAAGCAGCCACCAGCTGAAAGCAAGGTATCGTCGATTTGTCTCGAAATCATCGCCCAGGGTTTGGGTAATATCATCATCATGGTCTTCAAGGCTGATGGGTGAATCGGCCGAGGGAGTAGCCAGAGAAATGACACTGGAGAGGTAGTTTCGACGACCGAGGAGGTTGAGTTGGATGCGGGTGAAGATGGTGAGTAACGAGAGGGTATAAATGAGGGTAAAAGATCGGGTGATGGCTGTACATAGGTTAGCCGCTAGTATTCGAGACGAAGGGACATATGCAAAGCCCAATAGCCACACATACATGTGATCTTGACCTCGTTCCACAGCTGGGTCTTGTTTCGTTTCACTCGAGGTTGTTCTTCCGACTCCACGGACTCCCCCACCTGGCTGGCATGCACAAAGCCCTCGCTCTGGAAGCTGGAGAGGCTCTTACGGTCGTCCTCGGGTAGACTTGGGGCCACAGAGCTCATGTCCGAGCCTGTGCCTTCTCCGACGCTGATGCGAGCCAACCTCTCCGCTCGCTTCTTCTGTAGCTCCTTGGTGAGCTCCTCCACGGGGAGCGCTTCAATGACATTCTCGGTTGCGGTGGGTAATAGGGCAAGGACGGTATAGGTGCAGTCGGTTTGGTTTTGTTCGAAACGTCGTCGCAAACTGTTTATTTGATGGTTAGCCAAGGTCTAAACTCGAAACTCGATGTGGTTAGGGAGGGATTGGATCCGTCACAAGCTGGCGGGCAAGCCGACAAGACGACAGGGGCATCTGGAGAATGGGGTAGGCATGACAGGAAAGGAATAACTCACTTCTCTTTTGCGATTCGATCACTGCTCATGCGCTCACGCGCCTCGGAGATCTTGGACAATAGGTACTGCCCGGCCAGGTAACCTGCTCCAAGCACGCCGGCCCCGATCGCAAGGCCCTTGCGATTGCGCTGAAACCAGCGCCTCGTGGCCCCGATCATGGTATTGTGTAGGTAAAAAGAATCGATGTCAGGATGGCAGGTGTTGATGCCAGAACCCGACCATGTGCGACGGAGGAGGGAGGTTGTTTGCCGATCGTGGAGGGCCGGGGGAGTTGGAGCGGCCTCGGCTAGACTCGATGCGGAGAAGATTGTGATCGAACCACTCCATGTTTATACCGCATGGTCATTTTTCTTAAAGCCCTAGGCATGATGCCTGAATACCTGTATTAGAGTGATTCCTAATAATTTCAATCATCACTATTTCCTCAATAAACGCAAACCTGTCAAAACATCGCTACCCTTCAGCGGCAACCCCGGATTTGGTGCGATTGGTCCCGATGAGGAAATCCCTTCATGCCGCTTTAACACAACGGACCGCGGCACAAACAGAACAGAACTATAAAACACTCCAAACAAGAAGAAAATTAGCAGATGAGCAGCTGCGACATTACGTCTCCTCGAAAACAATAATTTCTCAGGAAATGGGCTGGAGAGACGTTTTTCCCTCGGGAGGGGCCATTACTAAAACCAAGTGCCCTTCAGTGATGTTGATTGTCTGATGTTGAATGAAGAGGTGTATGTGCAATACCTAAGTTTGTCCTAGCTCGCATGAAAAAGATAGGTTTGTACATATTCATTTTTCATTTATCGAAACCTGGCGCTAACTCACGGAGGCCCGTGGGATTCATCCTGTTTTCATTGCTCGGGATTTCAGCCCACAGACCGGCAGAGGAAGATACCAGTTTCCATTTCGGGTCGTTCTCGCCAACAGCAAACTACAGGTGGTCGACTTTGACTTTCCTCTTGCGATGTCCAAGGTAATTGGTTGTTTGACATCTCCAGTTCAGATCTTGAAGCACCCCATGTGGGGCCACTTTCATCTATTTAGGCTTTCAGATGAGCCTGAAACAGCACCGGATCAAGGGGTTAATTGAACAGGGTCTTTCTACTCCATAATTTCTCGGCATATATTAATTATGCTTCAAGTCAAGAGGTAGTCACTTATGCTACGAGTAGTTGTTCTCGATACTAATACTGTTCAGTCATCATTATTTATCGCTGCTCAAATATATAAACTGCAACATCCGGCGAAACCTCTGTCAACACACAGCAACATCAATCTTTACAAAATCCGCTCTTTTTCTTCCAGCTTTCATTCAAGATGATAAAAGTGACCGCTCTATTAGCACTGGCTGCTGCGGCCCAGGCACATACAGTTGCTTGGACTAAAGGCATGTATTGCTTCGGAGGTCCAGATCTTTCTACCGACAACGCCAATACCAATACTGCGGTCGCACCACTGTACAACCTCGCCCGCGAGGATTGGTGGTTCCAGCACGACCGCGGCTGTGATGCTGCACCCCCTGCAGATGGCGACATACTTGAGCTTCCTGCTGGCGGCAAGTTCACTGTCGAGCTGGCCCACAACCGGGCCCAAACCTCGCTTTCATACGACGGAAAGTACAGCTCTGCTTGGCCGGATGGGAAAGACCACCCAGAAGACTGGGCTGGTCCTGGAAATCCCCCTGAATGTATTCAGGATGATGGGGCAATGCATACCAACAATCAGTCCACGGCTGCCGGTACCGCATTTGCCATCAGCTACCAGTCCGACTTGAGCAAGGTCACAATGGAAAACCTAGCTGTGTTCACTGTTCTGGAGCAGTGAGTTCTCAAACATACAGGAAGCAAATTCCAAAAGCTGACTTATTTTATCTTAGCACTCCATGGAAGCGTGAGGCTACTTATGAGGTCCCCCGCCGATCTCCCTCCTTGCCCAGAGGGTGGCTGCACCTGCGCGTGGCTCTGGGTACGTTAAAGAATCTCCCCAGGTCTCACCACACAACTAACGCTTTCTTAGGCTCCGAATGGATGTGGACAGCCGAATATGTGAGTCTTAACCCTGCACCCTTGTTCTACCGAGTTGCTAAATGATCGTCCCAAAACAGGTACATGGCCGGTTATAAATGCAACGTGACTGAATCAACATCGTCCAAAAAGGTCGCGCCAGCTCAGATCGCCAAATACTGTGATGATGACATTACAAAGTGTGTCAAGGGTGCCAAGCAGATGATTGCCTTTAACCGTAAGAAAAATCATTCGAAGACAGTTGTTTGCTTCAGCTAACCATATAACAGAGCAAACTGGGAACAATGTTCAAGTACCCGATGGCAAGACACCCATGTACAACAAGGCATGGGGATGGGAATCTGGTATGTGATATGTCCAATTTTCATTGCAACAGGAGAAAGCAAATGCTAATAGCTTTCTTTTACCTCGAAGGCGCCCAAAACGACATTTTCGCTTGAAGCGGTGCACACTTTTAGGGAAACTGTGGCTAAACCCTCCTTGTCACCAATGGAGGCGTAGTTGGATATGGATATAATGGCGGTCACCTGCGGGATGGAGCATTAAGGCTACAGTGGCTTGTCTTGAGGTGGTTGGGCTTCAGGTAGTTGAACTCTGAGAATTGGTCTATGATGGAGATGGGATTATCGAGACAGTAAAGGCTAAATACCTTATAGTTATAAAAGTTTCACCCGACTTTATAGTCATCTATAACTATATGGCTATATGCCACTTCAATCCCATCAAAATTGCTATCAAAAGAAGCGCCAATACTTTCACCGTCTTGACTTCATCTCTATGTTGGTTCAGCCAATTCTCCAACTTCAGTCGCCAAATAGAGTTCCCGCCATCTCTGAGTGCAGATTGAAGACCGGGGAGTCCATCTAAGCTGCGATTATTGCATTCTTGCTGATATTCTTGCGTCTTCCCGGAGCTAACCATTTTGGCGGCATAACGACTCAATGTCTCACGGTCCTTTAGATATGGTTTGGATTCGTCGGTTTCGGAGTCAGTGTCCAAGGCCAGCAATGGAACACCATAGCCGCAAGATGTTTGCACCTAGATAAATCATCAAAACGCTAAATAAATCTGATTCAACCCAGAGGGGTAATACTAACCTTGAAAACATCAAGTTTAATAACAGCACGCGCTCCAGCAACCTCGGACTTGCCCATACGCTTCAAGTATGCAGGAAACTCGGGCTGGTCCCACTCAATAACAGACCCAGTAGCAAAGAGCCGCATGATACGAGGAGAAGCATCAAACGAGCAAAACATCAAAGTAATGCGACCATTTTCGCGCAGATGGGAAATCGTTTCACATCCAGACCCGGTCGAATCGATGTAGGCCACTTGGTTCGGGTCAAGGATGGCAAGGCAAGAATCCGGTAGGCCCTTTGGAGAAAGGTTGATATGCCGGCCACGTAGAGGAGCGGAGGCCACGAAGAAAACTCTCTGGCGTAAGGCCCATTGACCGAGGTCGTCGGAAATAGATTCAAAGAATTTGCCCATGACTGTAGGGGTGTTGAGAGAAGAGGTTCAAGTTTCCAGGTGCGGAGTCAATGTGGTATCCACTACGACGATCCAATGTGAATGAGAGTATACATCCACCGGTGTGTATTATAAAATACAAACACTATGCGAGTAAGCAGACTAGAGACTAAAGCCAAGGCTATCACATCCCAGTACCGATACCCCTGTTTTGAACATCCATTGCCAATAAAGCTCCCAATCGTTACCCATTACAATTGGCGGACTTTTCGGAACACACTGGGTAGTTTAAGAAAAAAAGCCTAGTTAAAGAAAATGTTTTTTTCTTTGAATTGATAGTGACTAGGAATTATATTTCGTTAATTTGGTTGCTATGAGTCATCGCAATATGATTCCCCGCACCCGCAGCATCATGTCCAGATTCGTCGTAAGTACCAATACAAATACGACTCGGAGTCTGTCACATGTCCCTCTACTACAGTGGCGTTGCAAAAGTTTGAAACCCCATATTGCCCGGTAATAGTAATAAACAAACCGCAAACATTTCCAATTTATTGCTCTCATTAGATATCTCAGATCTCAATGAGTAGCTATGAGATTTTATTGGAAATTTCTCGTTATAGCCTAGCCACTCAGCTCTTTCAGCATAGCTTCCACCTCGCCATCAAAATGGTTCAGGAAATCCTCCAGTCCACGGCTCGTGTTCCATCCAAGTTTGTTCCGAGCGAAATCAGCCCGAGCTCTCGAACTAGGAAAATCATTAGTATAAGAATGAAAAGGCTATGGGACTCGGAAATTCACATACTTCGATGCGAGAGAGATCTCTGCTTTACTCTCATCGCCATTGGTAATTGCCGCAGCTGCTTCCTTGAGACCGATTGATTGGACGTTGTTTGTCGCCAGAAGCTTTCGCTTGTGCAGGGCATCAGCAATTCCCTGGCTGACCTGAAGCCATGTGTGCTCGCCACTTTCGACAAAGAAGATAGCCTCTGGGCCTGAAGGAAGCCAGCTTTGCTTTTCAACGACAGCATGGAAGAGGCGGAGGTAAAAGTCAGAAAGATCGTCAATATGCACATGATTCCAAATCTGAAAAGAAGCTGGTCAGACAGTAAATATAAAAAGGGCTTGTCATCACTTACGCCTCTGCCACTTTCAATCACTGGTGTGGATCCACGCTTCCGTGCCAAACGTGCAAGGTTGGGGACCTGTTGACTCAGGGTCGCAAAGGGACCTGATCCCTTTCCATCTGCTAAATATGAGCAAAAGATTCAACTTCAGGGGTTATAGGCATTTTTTCAACATACAGATGGTGGGAGGGACGACAATGTATGTTTTAATGCCTAGACTCTTTCCTGTCTCGACAACAACAACATCGGTGACGCGTTGTCCGTAAGTTTCGGGATGTCCCTTCTCCATGGCGTAAATGTCATCCTTCTCATCGGACCAAATTTTGCCGTTCTGCGCCGTGCCGGTATAGGGATGGTCACCCAAAATTGAGGTGCCGGATGTCTGAAATATATCAGCTTTTGCTCCGAGGAATTCGAGGAATTCCTCTATATATTGAAGGTCTTACATGAATCATGTAGGCATCATTTCCTGTGGCCTTCTTTCTGAGGGCCAAGCCTTCAATCAGGGCCTTAGCGGAACTGTCATGGGATGCGGAGGCGGCATTGATCACAACTAAAAATGTTAGCGATGGAGAAAAGAAATACAGTAACCAGATGGAATCCAATACCATCATGCTTAGAGGCTGCATCCGTGCAAGCTTCTAGGTCATCCAAACCCTGGAATTGCAATGGCTTCACTCCTAGGGCTTCCAGCTTGGCCGCCTGCTCTGGGCGACGGATTAGAGCAGAGATACTCAATTGAGAAGCCTGTGATGAGCGCAGAATCTCAGAGAGAATCGATCCACCACTGATTCAAAAGAAGTCGGATTAGATTTTCATTCGAAGGTCATCGTCAATGTTGGCGAATATTGGTGGCGAGGTCAGCTGCACATACATGTATCCGGTTGCGCCCACGACGAGAACCTGTGTCTTGCTGGTAGCCATTGGGAATGAGATGCTCGGTCAAAACTCTTCAGAATGAAGTTGTGGTCGGTTGAGTTATCTTCAGTAGTCTGTGAGGAACATTAAAGAAGGTTCTCCTGAGGTACTACTTATACCAATATGCCATCTATAACCGTCTCATTGCAATGCCATTTATGGATCAAGTATGTTCATTATTAATTCACCCGACATCGACGACGTCAAGAGACAAACTCTCCGGATTACCAATGTTCGGCCTGAAGATGCCATTTCTGACGTCTATATACTATTCAGCAAGATTGTGCGAATTAGAATTTCCAAGGTTGGACCTTCCCTCTCCTTTGAAGTGGCAGTGGAGGAAGATTGCTAAGCGGGTGGAGTCATTTCAATGAAATTGCCGATGTGATTGGTAGAGCCTGAGAAATTCCCAGATTCCGGAGGAGAAATCCTTTTTGTCTGCTTTGGCCGCTGTTGGGCTGCTTCTGAGGAAATAGAGAGGATTCATCACGCAACTAAATCAATTAAGAGGGCAGGAAATATTTCAATAATCGAAATAATTGAAATAAAAAAGACAGTACATCGCACCAGGTATTACCTCAGCTAAATAGTTCATCTCTAATTGGTCGACTGATATCTCAGCTGGTCAAGATCGAAACGAGGGGGGGTGTAAGGTTGGAGATGGTGGCACCTATGGATTACCGTAGTCCGGAGAACACTCAGCAATAGCAAGGAAGTCCCCTAGATCTTGTCCCTTTCCTTTTTACTCACTACCCAAGAAGCTACCTTATTACTGTCCTTTGACACATCCCTAGGAATGCCCCGGCCAATGATAAGCCGATAAGCCCCATTCGGCCCAGTCCGATCCTAATGGCCGACAGAAACCGCCCCGAACGCATCGGCATCATCGTCACTCCACCCAAGCTATCTGACCCCCTCTCTATGCAACACCTCTCATTCCCACTCTACATTCTCCCACACTTCGAACGCCCTTCAACCTTGTGACCACTTGATCCTCGCGCCCACTCTCCAGTCTCCAGTCTACTTCTCGCCGGAACAAACGCGATACCCCTCCGGTCCGCGTGCTGGGCCGGTCCTCGCGGGCGGGGATGGAGCCCCGCAAAACCCCTCCGGAGTACTTCCTGGAGATCTTCGCCGACACCACCACCGTGCGCGACGTGCTGAAAGGTACTGGAGACTAGAACCGGCTGACATCTACTTGATCCAAGCACATTGTTCGGAAACTAATCTCGTCCAGGTGTCCTAAACCTCATCTTCTTCCACCGCTACTTCCCCTCCATCCGACCCGTCACCTTCGATGTACTCGACTTCACCCTCCCCGCTATCAATGACGCAGACCTTGAAACACTTATAGAGTCCCGCGTAGAGGCCCTCGTCCGCCAGCATCTCTCCTCGGCTGCTGGTGCGCAGGATAGGAAGGCGGGTGGGGGCGGGGGTGTACGGGGACGCATCGCTGTGGAGTTCTATGAGAAGAAACGCCGGCGCTCGGGGATGTGGTTTGGCGGACTTGCTGGGAATGGAGAGGAAGAGGTCTGCTGGGAGATTTGGACGTTGGATGTTACCATTGCGACGCCGCGGACTGAGTCTGGTGAGTAGAGTCATTTCCTGTTATGAGGGGATGGTTTCGTGGATAGGTGGCCTTACGGGTATTCGTCTTCCTCCTCATCTCTAGTGGAGTAGATACACTGGTATATATCAGTGTTTCTACTCAGAAAGATGTGGAACATAGAAGATGAGATCCACGAACCCTACTCTCACACCCAATTCAAATATCTCACATACTAACCATCTGACAGAGCGCGCCAAGGTTCGCAAGGCAATGGGTAATATGCTCCAGAAAGCTGCTCTCAAGATTCTCAACCTTGTCAACAAAGACAAAGATCATATTCCACCAATTACAACCAGCGACTCAAATCCCTTCCCCTACCGCATTGTGGTCAACCCACGGACCGACGGTTGGGGCAACCGCATGGGCCTGTACTAGTCTAAGTCCCAAATTTAACATGGGAATATGAGCCACGTCAGGCAATCTGGAAGCCGCCTCATACTAAATATAAAGAGAAGAAGGCTGTGACTCAACACTTTTCTGTGCAGATACAGATTGCAGCCGAGAAGCGTTACGATCATCACAGACTACCAATATGCATGCGCACAGACCTGTGGCAATGGAAATGAAATGGAAATGGAGGCAGGACCTCACAATGGACTCACGAAGGTCTTGTGTCCTTGAACAATACAATTAATCTTTTTTTTCGGTCCGAGTTATCTCTTCAGCCTAGCCACACTGAACCTAATTCGGGAATGACACTCACGAAATATCGAACAATCCTGCATATCTTCTGTATTCGAGTTAAAAGAGCATACTCAGTAGGCCCCCGGGGGGTCGCTGTAATATCGCCCTTTAACTAAAGGTGATACTCGTCAAGTCCCCGATACAGCTTTGGAAGGCAGCAGGTCCCAGTCGTAACTTCCTAATTCTCATGCTTAGTAGTAACTAAGCCAGGGTTGTAGAGGAAGGTACGTTGGCGTCCAGTAGGCAAGTACGATCCGCCGCACAAACAACAGCCACCAGTGGGACTCCTTCTGTCGTTCCAACTCTCCATCTTCCAATATAATCCTCATGATACATCAACATGGATACCAGTCAAGGAGAACTCCCAAGCCAGCAAGTAAGGAATACACTACCGAAGCAATAAATTCATCCTCAGCGCGGATCATACCTCCTCTCAAAAAGTTGCACTCGGCAAGCTTTTGTTCACCCGCTTCAATAAGCTATGAACAGTGCGCAACTGGGTACAGAACTCCGGAATATGGTTTAGATGACCAGTTGGACCAAGCCCGAAATCATCACACGCCCACAGGATGTGCACACATCTCAGTCAGGGGAGAAGGGATTTTCGGACCTTTGAAGATATACTCGGGATCAAGACAACGATGTGGGAAAATCCTGGATACGAATCATAGCAATCGAAGCCAAGTTTATGGCTCGAATCAAAGGTCGTCAATATGATTCTGCAGGATCATTCCACTGGCAATCCCGCGTCGGGTTGTTCTCGATCGTTTCAATGTGCGTTATATCCAATTCAAATCCTGTTAGATGACAAACACTCAGAATATCAGAACAAAAAGCATTAGTTGAAATTTGAAATATCATTAGGTCCGTATAGCCAGAGTAAAAAGGTTTCACGCTGCAGATCAAGCAAATAAATCTCTCATAACGAAGTAGATTGTATTATCGCTGTTTTGATTCTCTCGTCTCTTTTAAGTAAGCTCATGAAACTTCGTGATGATCCCCTGGATGTGTTCGAGTACTCGTCCACGATTTGTTAAGCCGCCCCTTTCAGCTTCAACCCAATCCCTAGTATCCACAACGAGATCCATCAAACCTAGCCATAAAATTTGCCAGTCCAAAGAATCATAATCCTCCTCCTTCAATAAATCCAGTTCCAAGAATAAGTGACGATGTGGTTGAAATCGGCTTTTCCAAATGCATTCTGGCAACTCCAAATCAAACACGCATAACATGTTACGCATATTTGAAATATCAATTCGAGTGTATTTCAACGGGCAAATGATCTCAATAACCAGGAGGAAAACTTCCATTGGAAGTCTGCAGAGATAGGAACTCTTTTTCAAGCCGGCTCCTTGTGCCCTTTGGTCTTGAGCTAATTTGATTGCCTTTTGAATTTCTGGTACAATCCAAGGACTGTGGAAAATATTAACTCCTTTTTGGTATAGCAGTCCCCAGCTTAGGCGCAGAGAACTTGAACTTGAATCTTCGGCAGGATGGGTCACGCCTTGCCAACGATCCATTGTGTGGTCAATCCCCCACATCCGGGCATATTTTATGTTTCCACTACGCCAATATTCTCTCGCTGCTTGGACGATGGCGCCGGGCATTCTCTCAATTACCTCCTTCCCCAGAAGATGACCCAGGATCTCCCAACAGTGAGCGTGGAAGGGAAACCCCATATTCTTGCCTTCGTAGTGCTTTGATTGTCTATCTTCGACACCTGCCAGAAAGAATTGTCTAAACCGTGCATTGTCGAAGTTCGACGTGATCTTTCTACTACAGATCTGTGCAGAATTTTTATCTCTTGGAAGGTAGAGAAACGGGCCCTTGCAAGACGGGGACCCAATTAATCCAATTCCCGTGAGATAATACTCGGAAGTAGAACAAGATTTAATGACTGTACTAATTGGTTTCAGCTTTGAGTGTTGAATGGTGAAATTAGAACTCACTTGCTCGATAATAGCAGGATGACAGGCAAGTAAACTTAGTGAAATTCGCCCTCTCCACTACGGTCGATGGCGTAATGAGATGGTCAGGAAACGGGTCCCTGTTGCGATGAATTTCCAATTCTGCCTCCTCAAGAACAACCAGCGATCTGTCGGATTTTGTCTCTGAAGATAATGCCGGAGGCGTTGCACCGCAAAGTATGCATGTTATTTCAGACCATGGTGGATTGTATGGCCTTGCCCTTCTCCATTGGCAGCGCTTGGTTGGCATATTGAAGCTAGAATAAATGCCCAATCCTGGGATATGAAAAAAAGAGTAAGGATATTATTGAGAAGAACAGTTTGGATGATACTAGGAGAATTAATGACGACGGAAAAATAGAGTGTACGTGGAGTGACGCAGTAGTTACTAGTGCATGCAATCAAAAGCTGCAAAACGAGAGCCTACGCCGCGTTGAACACAAAATACAAACCGAGGTATCAAGAGGCAAATACAAAAATTAAGCAGATGCACAGCACAGTGTCCAAGAAGCAAGTAGATACGGGCTATGTTCCTAAGGTATGAAACAGCTGGCGAAAGCCAAAATGCATCCACTCTCTTTGCCCGGGGGCATCGCTTCAAACAACAGCTTTCCCTCGCGATAAACACAAACAACGGTCCACCACAGACAGGCCAACCTCAACCTCAACCCCGGCCCTGTCTCTCTTTACTTTCGCTCTTGACTCTCACTCCCGCAGTCCTGATCCTGTCCTTCCAGTCATTTCAACTCTATTGTCGTCATCCTCCAAAAGGCATTCATTTGCACCAAAGTTCTGGCCTTTGATGCGCTTCGTTAAAAGTAAAAGTACCCAGTGCGCGCGAAATCTCGTCATATTGATGAAACCTCCCGAAACTTGTTACAGCTCTGGTCATGATACACGGCGTGGAGTATGAGTCACTGCCGGATCTGCTAGAGTAGACATTTACTGGGACTTGGCAGCAGCCTCGGCCTGAGCGCGGAGGTTGGTGGAGGTACCGGTGCTGGAGAAGAAGCGGCCAGCAACGGGCTGGAGGAAAGAGTGGAAGACGATTTGAGCACCGCTGGGATGGTGTTAGTATTTAATTTCCGAATCTGCGGTTTTTTTCGGGCGGCGCAAACTTACCTGGTCTGGGGAAGAGCCATCCAGAGGATCAGGACGAACTTGAAGATGTAGTAGAAGGCTGCGCGATAAGGTCAGTGTGGGCGTCAGGAAGGTCGCGAGTCATCTGTACGTACGGAACCAGTAGGCGGCGCTGATGGCGCTCTCGATGACGGTCAGGAAAGAAAAGACGACCCAGTACTATTGGTAGAAGAGTGAGTCAAATGTTGCGCGAGGTAGGAAATTGTCACGTGGAACTGATAAGGCCAGTTCCGCATGGACCGTGGTCCTGTGCCGGGAGCAGGTGGCAGGGCTGGGAAGAGGTTGGGGTCACGAGAACTTACAGTCAACCACTAGGATAAGGTAATTGTTAGCATATGGGTTATTTCAAGTTTGCGAAAATGTGATTTCGGATTGGGAGAGTCTCACCTGAGTGTCATCCGCGGTGCCCGAAGTGAAGAGGGCCTGGAGCGAGTAGTAACCGGGGAGGAGGAAACCGGCGAAGTTAACGAGGAACTCGCCAGCGATGTTGAAGAAAACGAGGAAGAAGTAGACGCCGACCAGACCCAGGATGACGTAGACCTTGGGGACGTTGGTCTGGCGCTCCAGGTTGTTCAGAACCGGGTACTTGGAGAGCTATTAGAGAACAAGCGATAGTCAGCACACAAGCTCGTAGAGCGAAATATCGCCATCCTTGACTGCGAAGGGGATGTCGCTAGTGTCGCGCGAGCTGAGGTGTCATCCATCGCAGGCCATCGCAGCTCCTGCAGAGCAGCAAACGGGCGGTGGAAGGACAGCTGCAGCTGGCGAGGCACCAGTCAACGCACACAAGACGGGAACACACCTCCTTGTCGAGCTGGGCAACAGCGTGCTGGGCACGGTCCTGGAAAGAAGCCATTTTTAAAGGATGGTCTTTTTGAATTTTGATAATTGCTTCGAGTGGGCGGATGGCAATGGATCGAGGGATGAGAGGAGAGAATGCAGTCAAGCTGGGCTGGGCTGGCGTGGGCGTGGGCTCTGGCGCTTGTGCCTCCGGAGGCACGTGATCTCATGACGTACTCGGCGGTCAGCAGTGGCCATGAAAGTGGTATATTAGATAGGATGGTTACATTAGATATCATTAACACTGTGGAATAAAGAATAGATCAGGGTTCCAGGATTCCAGGATTCCGGGATTCCTTCATACAGCATATGCACTGATCACCCGGTACTATGGCTGCACTGTCGAGTGGCCGCACAACACATACTGCCCCGGGGTGTGTACCTTTGCATGCAGCATACGCATACCTCGGAGGTACATCCTAGATGTACCTATGCCCAGGCATCTGATTCTGCACCCTTACCCCAGAGTCGTGCATACCAGATACCAATGAGGGGGGTACCTCGGATCAATCATTGACATTATACTAGCATAATGAGGGCTGCCAGGAGTACTTCCATTGCACACGCCTAGGCCCCTCGTGCAACTGAAATTACTCATCGTCTTTGACAGGGGTTGTGATCCGAGCCCACAATCAACCTTGGCCATCACCAATAGAATAAATCTAGTATTGAATCGATCTATCTTCTTTTGGTCCGCTCTTCTCTTTTCCTCTCCTACTGACTGTGGTAACTGTCACTGTATCGATCACGTGACCCGGGCTATACATCCGAAAAAGAAGCAATTTGCTTTTTCTTGCTCATCCAGCATTGAAGTGATAGGATAGAATGTCGGAATATTAACCAGCACGGATAAAGTCAACCGATCAAATGTAAATTTGTTCAAGTTTCCCTGTACTTCTTGGCCCGGGACTTTAGCCCCCTCCGAGGTCCAAGGGAAGCATGCCTCCTCACATCACCGTGGTAATTAGCCGGGACTAGCCCAGGGCTTCAAGTTGGGTTGGGACAGGTCAGAATGCCACAAATATGTACTTTCGAGTGCAGGCAGGCATTGCCGAATGCCGGATTCTTCAGTGGTGTTCATATGCACGATTCTATCATCGGTGGAGTAATTGTCAGGAGTTGAGTGCGGGAGAAGAAGGAATATCACTCGCTCACCGCCAGCTTTGTATGTACTGTCCACCATGAGGTGATTGGAGATGCAATGACTGAGGATTCTAGAAGATGTGATGGCCAATTGCTTTACTTCATTTTGATTGAATTTTGAATTTTTCCCTTTTACCCCCTGGGAATCCCTGGGCTTCCCACGGTCATCGCCCTAGTTCGGCCCGCACAAATAAAGCCAGTTCGAGTGCCATTACGAGTACCTTTTTTCTTTCCCCTCCCCCCTCAAGCCTCGAACCTTCAAGTTTATTTTTTATTCCCCTTTTACTCTTAACTTTTTTTTCCCCTAACGCTCTTCAGTTCGCCCTCAATCCCTTTCCTTTGATCAACTTTATCCCCCTGCCCTCTTCTCTGCTTCCTCTCTCTCCCTCTCTCTCTCCATCTTCACTGACCTCCCCACTCTGTGGCGCCGTGGGCCGACAATCCCATTGAAAACGTCCGTGCACCCCAGCCAGTCCGCCATTGGAAGACCGATGTAACCGATTCCACCTCCTTGAACTCCTCATCGGCCCCCAAGGGTGCTGGATAATCGTGCAACAATTGAGGGATCTATCGCAGTATACGGTGCGAATCCCCCTCTAGCTTTCGACTACCGGTCCTCCCAAAACATCTCCCTCCCCTGTCACCCCATCTCCGCCTCGAACAACACCACCACCCTCGCCCTTGTTTCCGTCACGATCTAGAACGTGAACGTGATCGTGACCGTGACCGTGACCGTGCCATTGACCTGTTGCCCTTTTCGTCTGCCATACTTGATTGCCACTACCTAATACAATCCTCAGACAATCGCATCAATGCGTCCGCAGTAAGTTGTCTTCGGCTTGCTCCTCGCCCTCGGCCAATGCAGCTTCTAATTATTTGGTCGCGTATAGACGGGAATATCACATTGTTGTTCTGGGTGCTGGAGGTGTGGGAAAGAGCTGCTTGACTGGTACACACAATCCCCTTCCTATATGGACAACGATGCTGTGACGAGACCGCGTGGATCCACAGAAGCTCATGCATTGACAGCTCAATTCGTCCAAAATGTTTGGATCGAAAGCTATGACCCCACCATCGAGGATTCCTACCGCAAACAAATCGAAGTCGATGTGAGTATTTCGAGTATCTCGAGTCAATATTGAAATATACTAAACTAACGCGTCATTCAGGGTCGACAATGCATATTGGAAATGTAGGTGCCAGCGAGCGAAGCCGACACCACGACCAAGCTAACACAATTGCACGTTTCAGTCTCGACACAGCAGGAACAGAACAATTCAGTAAGTCCAATTCTGAATTCAAACTGCCAGATCAGAGCTAACAACTTTCCCAGCGGCCATGAGGTACCTCCACCCCCCCTTCCTTCCAGTCCAACCAACACACCGCACCACACCGCATCACCACCAACACTGTCAACCAACTAACAAAAAACCAGAGAACTCTACATGAAACAAGGCCAAGGTTTCCTCCTCGTCTTCTCAATCACAAGTGCCTCTTCCCTAAACGAACTCTCCGAACTCCGCGAACAAATCATCCGAATCAAAGACGATGAAAAAGTCCCCCTAGTGATCGTCGGCAACAAATCAGACCTGGAAGAAGACCGCGCCGTCCCCCGCGCCCGAGCATTCGGCCTCTCCCAAAACTGGGGCAATGCTCCATACTACGAGACCTCTGCCCGCCGCCGCGCAAACGTAAACGAAGTATTCGTCGACCTCTGCCGCCAAATCATCCGCAAAGACCTGGAAGGTTCCGGCGGGAGCGACTCCTTTCGCAAGCGCGAGAATTCCACACGAGATCGAAAGAAGGATAGAGATAATCGGTCTACACGCCGTCGAAGTCCTTGTGTGATTCTCTGATGATAAATTCTATGCCCTCCCCCCGCCCCTCTCCCCTACAAACCCTTGATGATGTTTACCTATTTTTTTTTACCTTCCAACCTTTCTATGGACGCGTGAACTTCCTGACTGCACTCTAGCTCTGCGCTGGAGTTTGAACGGATTCAATTGTTCATAGATGTTCTAGTCACGCTGCCTCCGCATCCACGTTTGACGTGTCTTATGATGTTCTCGACTCACGCTTTCTGCATCTGCGCCCCCCTCTACATAGAACGATGCGTCGCCGCCATTCGTCACATATTATACCATTGCTCTTTTTTTTTTTGCCATTTTCTCTTCTCTTCTCTTTTTTACTATTCTTTATCTTTATTACCTACCTTTTCACCCTTTCGACTGCTTCTTTTATCATTTTTTTTACTTCTCCGGCGAAGCTGCGTGTCGGCTTTGCTTCCTCTTATCTATTCTTACATACTTTGGGCTTTGGAATTATGGGCTATTTGGCAAAAAAGGTCGCGATGAATAAAAGTGTTTATATTTCCCTGTCATTTTTCTACTATTTCTTCTTGTGTTCAAGTTCATTTTATCACTGCTTTGATATTCCCGTCAAGTTACCCTATTTCCTTTCTTGACAACCATTACGCTAAAAGCGAAGAAAACGATATGCTTGATTGAATACTAGACATTCCTCCAGTGACCACATTTCTATATTTATCTCTGAACGAATCCCCATCCCGAGCTGCTTCGCAGCACCTCACATACGGAATACGCCAAACCTAGTCTGAACATCTGGTTCAGCCTTCCCACCCACAGCGGCGGCCAATCCAAGCCCAAGCATTTTCCTCGTCTGAGCAGGCGGGATCACACCGTCATCCCACAGTCGAGCCGAGGAGAAAATGGCCTCGGACTCGTGGTCAATTCGATCTTTCAGTGCCGGATCCGCAGATCGACCGACAGCCTCCATGACAGAGGATAATTGCTCCGAGCCCATGACGCCGATCTTGGCATTGGGCCACATGAACATCAAGCGGGGGGGAGTAGGCGCGGCCACTGAAAGAGAAAAAAGATAATTAGATATATGCCATCAAGATAGATGCAAGCAGGGGGAGGAGCAAAGCAAAGCCAAGCCAGAGAAAGAGGTACGATCAAACTTACCACATGCCGTAGTTACCCGCGCCAGCACTGGAGCCAAAAACAACCGTAAATTTAGGAACATCAGCGCAAGCAACCGCAGTAACAAGCTTAGCCCCATTCTTCGCAATACCACCCTTCTCCGCATCAGCACCAACCATGAATCCCGAAATATTCTGCAAAAACACAAGCGGAATCCGGCGCTGTGCACAAAGTTCAATGAAATGCGCCCCCTTGAGCGACGACTCAGAGAACAAGATACCATTATTGGCGACGATGCCAACACGGTGGCCGTGAATCCGCGCAAAGCCCGTCACCAGCGTCGAGCCATAGTCTCGCTTGAACTCGGCGAATTCGCTCCCGTCGACGATTCGCGCAATGACTTCGTGTGCTGGGATCTGGCGGCGCAGATTTGTCCCGACGATGCCGTTTAGTTCGGCGGGATCGTAGAGTGGCTCTTTCACTGTGATTTCTTCCACTTGGGCGGGGAGCTTGGTTTGGGGGTAGTTTAGGTTTGCGACGCTTCGGCGGGCGAGCACGAGTGCGTGGGCGTCGTCAACGGCGAGATAATCCGTTACGCCGGAGATACTAGAATGTAGCTCGCCGCCGCCGAGGTCCTCCGCTGAAACGACTTCGCCCGTTGCGGCCTTGACGAGAGGTGGTCCTGCTAGGAAGATTGTGCCTTGGTTCTCGACGATGATGGACTCGTCGCTCATGGCTGGGACGTAGGCGCCACCGGCGGTGCAGGGACCCATAACGACTGAGAGCTGTGGGATGCCGAGGGAGCTCATGCGCGCTTGATTGAAGAAGATTCGACCGAAGTGGTCCCGGTCTGGGAAGACGTCTGCTTGGTGTGGAAGGTTGGCACCGCCCGAATCAACGAGGTAGATACATGGAAGTCTGTTCTCTTGTGCGATTGCCTGTGCGCGAAGATGTTTCTTTACCGTGATGGGGTAGTATGTGCCGCCCTTCACGGTGCTGTCGTTTGCGACGATCATGCAGTTGACGCCCTCGACTGTGCCAATGCCAGTGATTATGCCGCCGGCCGGGACGTCGTCGCCCTCGTACATCTCGTGTCCGGCTAGTGGGGATAATTCCAGGAAGGAAGTGCCTGGGTCGATGAGGGCGGATACACGATCGCGTGGTAGCATCTTGCCTCGGGCGATGTGCTTCTCACGGGCTTTTTCTGAGCCGCCCTGGGCGATCTTTCCGTGTAGACTGCTCATTTGGTCGAGGAGTGCTTGCATCTGCTGGCTGTTCTCTTGGTACTCGGGCGACGAGGTGTCGATTGCCGTGGGTAAGACGGAGAGGGCGGAGGCATGATGAGGGTGTGTGTAGCTGGCGACTGTCCTGGAGTGTGTGCTGGAGACAGTCTTAAGTATGGTGAAGTGTGCTGGTCGGTAGTTTCGTGGACCAACCCGCGAGCCCAAGCTCCGGAGGACGAGCGGGGAAAGGGCGCGCATTGCGGGGGATAGGGGGAGTGGTGAGTGTTTGAGGGTAAGAAGAAAAGTTAGCTGTGGGATATTATAGAGAAAAGGTCCTTTCTCATTGCCGTTGCATGGTCAATGTAGAAGTGAAAGTCAATGAGATATGTAGAAAGTAGCGAGGTCAAGAGGTCAAAAGGTCAAGAGATGCCCCGGCTTCCCCAGATGTGCGGAGGTGCGATGATTGCCGCTTCTACCCGCGGCTGCCATCACCGCCTCGAGGTTGACTTGAAGAAGGGATGGGCTGTAGAGGAATAGATTGGATGGAATTTCTAGTTTAAAAGAAACAAAAATAGATAAAATAGAGATTATATACATATCTTCATTGTCAGTAAATCACACCACTCAATCATGGAGGAAACAAGTGTAGCACAAGCATAGTGTTGGCATGTGTGACTAGTATACATCCATGCCTTGTTCCGCGCCGACGACTGCCGCCTTTTCCCTTCCGCATTCACATTCTCTTTAAGTAGTCCAACCTCCACACTTCTCTTGGACTCTACAATCTACGATACACAGGATTTTCGTGGAACTGCATCGGTTTCTAAAAATGGCCTCCATTGCTCTTCCTTCCCTCCTGCGCGCTTCCACCCGCTCACTGCGACGAAGTGCCATCCCCGCACTCTCCACAGGTTTCGTGCGGAGCGTGTCAACGAAGCACCCTGTGGGCTTTGAGCCTCCAACAGAAGATGAACTGATTGAATTGAGAGAGCGTGTCCAGGATTTTACGAGTCCGTCCATTGAATGCCTATACATACGATCCTAACTGACCCCGTTGCAGGACGTGAGATACCAGCCGAGGTTGCGGCGCGAACGGATGAGCAGAACAACTTCCCACCCGAGATGTGGAAGAAACTGGGCGAGGCTGGGTACTATTTGACTCCCATGCTACGGATCATACTTCCTATGCTAATTCATAAATCTACCATGCAGCTTCCTCGGTGTCACTGCGAACGAAGAGTACGGTGGTCTGGGAATGGGCTACCAGGCACACTGCATTGTGATGGAAGAGCTTAGCCGGGCTTCTGGTATATCTTCCACATTTCACTAAACCTTCAGTCGATATCAATCTAATATTTATGTGCACACAGGCAGTATCGGTCTTTCCTATGCTGCCCACTCTCAGCTATGTGTCAACCAACTCTCCCTCAACGGCTCGCCCGAACAAAAAGAACGCTTCCTCCCCGGTCTTCTATCCGGCGAGAAGGTCGGAGCTCTCGCCATGTCCGAACACGGCGCTGGATCCGATGTCGTCAGTATGAAAACTACGGCCAAATCGGTGGACGGAGGCTGGGTGTTGAATGGTACTAAGATGTGGATCACAAATGTTAGTCCAGAGCTTTTCTCATTGTAGATCCATCGCTGACATTCTCTCTACTTTATAGGGCCCTGATGCGGATTTCATCGTCGTGTATGCCAAAACCGAGCCCAAGGCAGGGTCAAAGGGCATCACGGCCTTCGTGGTTGAGAAGAACTTCAAGGGCTTTTCATGCGCTCAGAAGCTTGACAAGTTGGGCATGCGCGGGTCCAACACTGGAGAACTAGTCTTTGAGGACGTCTTTGTCCCACACGCAAATGTTTTGGGAGAGCTGAACCGAGGTGTCAAGGTATTGATGGAAGGTCTCGATCTGGAACGTCTTGTCCTCAGTGCGGGACCACTAGGGTATGTCGTGTTTATCACATAATTATTGATCTCCAATTGCTAACCTTTGCTAGAATCATGCAAGCTGCTCTCGATCTGGTGCTTCCCTATACACATGTTCGAAAACAATTCGGCACCCCCATCGCCCATAACCAGCTGATTCAGGGCAAGCTCGCCGACATGTATACCAAACTAGCAGCCTCTCGGGCCTACACCTACACCACGGCACGAGAGGTCGACAATGGTGCCGTCGCTCCTGGTCAACTAGTCATCCGTACCCAGGATTGTGCCGGCGCAATCCTCTACGCTGCCGAGCGCGCCACAGAGTGTACCCTGGACGCTATCCAGCTGATGGGCGGCAACGGCTATATCAATGAGATCTCAGCAGGCCGACTTCTCCGTGATGCCAAACTTTACGAGATCGGTGCCGGTACAAGCGAGATTCGTCGAATGGTCATTGGCCGCGCATTCAACAAGGAGTATGCTCAGTGAAGATCTCCATATACACAAAGATAGATATCTTCAGAATGTAATTTTTTATCGGATACGGCCCAAGCTCCCAAGTGCATCTGGGCAACAACTTCAACAACTTCCTTTGAATGCCAGTGTACATGTAGATTTCATTGTATTCATTATATCTCATATAGAATATATCGTTCCACCGGTGAGGAACGTAGATAACATCTTCAACCAATTAAATCCAAATCACCCAATTACTTCTTCTGCCGTGTGGATCTGCGCGTGGGAGCAGTCGAAGCACCGGATAAACTACCCTCGCCAGCACCCTTCTTGGACGCAACTCGTTTCGACCGAGTAGTCCGCGGCGAGTCGGTGCCCGGGTTATCCTTGTTTGCATCCTCGGCCGGAGCATCCGCCTTGCGCTTCCGACCCCGTTTAGCAGGCGTCGATGTTGGCGCCTCTGCTGGCACCTCCTTTGGTGATTGCGTGCATTCCGGGGTCGTATTCGACGCTTCCCCTGCATCTCCGGTTTCGCTCATATTGTCCATAGAAACGACATCAGACATCGAGCTGTCGACTTGGTCGTCGTCATTGCCAAGTTTGTCGTCATCGCCATCGCAGGGGAACTCATCATCGGCAAAGGACATTTCATTGTCGGCCTCCGCGTCTTTCTCCTCCTCCTCCTCCTCCTCCTGATCCATGGCTTTCCTCTTTCGCAGCCTCGACTTGTCAAGCGCCGGCTGCGCAGACTTGAAAACCTCCCGCCAGTCCTTCAAGAGGGCCACCTTATTCCCAATCGGCTCATAGAAGACCGCGACATCCTGGTAAGGATCCAGGCTCGGCGTTTTCCAAATCACGCCCTGGAAGGAAGATATATCCGGAATGGCCGAGAATTTCGGTCCAGCGACGCGGTTGGTGGTGGCCTTTGCCTGCGCCTGCGCTCGGCGAGCCTTTTTCTGCGCGGGTGGCGCGGTCGTTTTTACGGTTGGGTCGTCGTCATGGTAATCGTCTGAATAGTATTCCCAATCACTGAAGTAATCCTCCACGTCGAAGGAAGGGTCTTCGTATAGCGCCGCTTCGTAATATGAGCTTTGAGCGAGTTCGTCCTGTTAAGAAGGTCTTGCGTTAGTCTCTGTTTCTCTTTTTCTTTGTCTGCCTGCATTCGTGGCGTAATGTCGAGCAGAGCAGAGTATGCAGGATCTACGCGGAGTGCGTAGCGTGTCACTTACGACAAGGTCTGGAACTAGGTCCTCAAGGAGATAGTCTTCGTCCCACTCATAATACTCGTCGTCGTCGGACATGATCTGCGTCTGGTGTTGTTCTCGGGAAGGAAAAATACAAGGGCGAAGAAGGGGGAAGGGGGCCGGGTTAGGAGGATGAAACGAGTGTCGGCCGAAGGCTGTATAATATGCAGCTCGTGTAAAAATAGAATGGAAACACTGTTAAAATTGTAGTGTCTCTATCGGTAACTGCCAGTGGTTAGTCAGTGAATAGAAACTAGGCATGGCAGAATAAGGCCAGAGTGGAACATTAATGTTCCGGGAAAAGGGATCCATAAATCTTAGTAAGTACTAGTCTTAGTTAAAACTTAAAGATAGATTAAATAAGGAATAGATTATTATTAATAGTATAATACTCTTTCTAAAATAGCTATAGAAGATATATTTAGTTTTAGATACAGTATACACTACTATATAAGATTCAAGGGGCATAGTAGTAGTAGTAGTAGTAGTAGTAGTAGTAGTAAGGTTATTGTGCTGCTAGTATCTAAGGTAGCAGCATATAGGGGCTTGGCCGGTGGTATACTAGTAATGGCCCAAAACTTAAAAGTATTATACTCACAACTTGAACTTAAAGTCTGGGATCTTATAGTATAAATCGATAGGGCTATTTGACCAAGGTGAACCAATTCAATCGAACTTCTGTAATAAAGTTGAAAAAACATTTCTAATGGTTCATTTGCCATCATGAGTTCAATGCCTCTTTGTTGTCAGACAAGGCCACATAAGACCGAATACCAGGAAGGTAGATTTTCCCATTACGTATACACATCATCCAGGGTTTCAAGGCCGCCGTACCAGGGTCTGGCATATGCTTGAAGAGACTGGCAATATTGGAGGCACCACATGGCATTGCAAACTTGAATTCGGTGATATAATTACAATCAATAATTAAGACTGCTTTGTCTATACTAGTACCAAATCACAGGTGAAGCTCACAAGCATTACGAGAGAATATCCTCTGAAGCTGCTCCTGGTCAAAAAGCTCCTTCATTTGCTCATCCATCGTCTTATTCAGAATCTCAATAACGGCACTAGGCGTATAAGGATAATCACTGCCATACAGCAAACGTTCCGGCGTTCCAATACGCAAATACCCATGGATCAAATCTGGAAACGGCATTTCTGCAAGATCAAAGTAGAACCGAGTGGAGAAGATCTCTTTGACCCGCTCGCTGGCCATCTTTTCGCTAGATTTGAGCATTCGCGTAGAGAACGCAGAAAAACGTTCAACAAGAGGCGGCAGAGTCGCACCACAATGCGAAACCAGGGATGTCAAGTTCTCGAATTGTGTCACTGTACCCGATAGAAGCAAGTTCACGACAGCCCGCTCGGATATTGCGCCAGAGGGTTCTCGGCTTCCGGATTATCCAGAGAACAGCATTGAGTAGGATGCATGAAAATAACAGTCTTGTGCTGATTCAACTTTTTGAACACGGGGTCAAATCGAGAATCGCCCATGTAGTAAACCTGGGCATTGGTCATGGCTGCGAACCCAGATGCCCCGAGTTCGAGGGCATGATCGATCTCTTCGAGAGAGCCCTCGACATCTGGCAATGGGAGAGATGCGAATCAACCAAATCGGCCAGGGGATTGGCGGCAGATTTGAGAGATCTTGATGTTCGTCTCTCGCGTTACACGCTTGGCTCATGGAAAGTCTCCGACTTTGAGAAGCGTGCCGGGCGAGGTAATGCTCGGAATTGACCGCTTAATACCGAGCTTATCCATGAGTGCAATATGTCCCTCTGCCGACCATTCCTAGAAATTCCATCAGCGAGTTTGTCAATTAGACCGCGGAACATAGACGTACCGGAATACATGGCATGCCATCAGGCTTGTCCCAACCATGTTCCTCGCACCATTTTCTCCAGCCTGGAGGAACAATATGGCAATGTGTGTCAATTTTCTCCATCGTCAAAAGAATATTTTGAGACTCGGAGTTTGCAAAATTGAAGTTGCCATCCGCCAAGATCCGCTCGTTGATATAGAGACCTCCTCATATCCGGCGGGACTTTTCTTGTAGCGGGGCCTTTGCCCCCAAAGAGCTTTCAGGGCTGTAATACGCCCGGTTGAAAAACGACTTCATCTCCATAATAATGCTGTCGAGTTTATCAACTATTATTTGGTGACAATAATAAGCAGTATTGCTGTTGTGGCTATTACTAGTAGCCTGTAGGTATGCATTGAAAATCCCAAGTTGATTTTAGTGTTGTTTAGTTCCGAGAGTATATAGACGTGCTATAGCAGAGACTCTTGACGCAATTCCCATTTTGCAATGCCAGATATTAAAGGGACCGTCGCCTAAATATGAACAGAATCAGGATTGAATTGGCGTGGGTAGAGTTTTAGATTTGCCTAGCTCTACTTCCGCCTTCCACAGAAGCCGTCACTTGAGTTTGTAGGCGACAAAGCCCAACACCGCCACTGATTTTTCGCACAAGTGCACAATAATGAGAAAAATAAGACAAATCATATTAAGCGATGGAATTATGAAGGGAAAAGCGATCGATCCGTTCGCGAATGCTCATAGTTACATAGCTTGCGGGGCCTATTTGCCGGATTCGGAAGCTTACACTATGATGCTATTGGCTCCGTCCCCAAAAACATACGCATCAAAGCAAAAGCGGGGGGTCTTGCATTCATAGAAATCAGGGCAATTTCTCATTTTATTGCTCTACAACCGAAATAACCTGAACAGATATTAAAGACCCATTGCTTCCTCGCAACCCTTCCCCCGCCCATCCATCCTTCACTCCATGGGTGCAAAATGTCAGCAACCCTGATATCCAACGCACGCATTTTCAACGGCGTATCAGTTGTAACTGAATCTGGCCATGTTTTAGTTGAATCCGGTCGCATCTCTCGAATTTCGCTGCGAGAACCATTGTCGACACCTCAAGGCTGTGCCGTGGTCGATGCAACAGGATGCACTCTACTCCCTGGTCTTATCGACGCCCATGTGCATGTTTATCAAGATGTCAATCTTTTGAAAACTGCCATCCAATATGGAGTTACTACTGTATTAGACATGCACAACGAACCGGAGTGGTTTCAGGGTATCAGCAAGGTGACCCACCAGCAAAATGATGTGTCCGATGTCAAGTCTTGTGGATTTGGGGCTACAATCAAAGACGGCTGGCCAGCTGCGATTGTCAAGCTGGTTTCGCAAGAGCCGAACGTTCGTTGTTTCTTTCTTGGGAGAACTACTTGGTGAGATCTTCAACTTACAAGTCACAGATCGAGGAGAGAATTTCCAAGTGGCCCAACCTCACCGACAGGGCATCGATAGAAGGATTTATTGCCAGAAATCGAGCTGCGGGTGCCAGGTATACATATTCAAGATCTATGGACATTGGAGTATTTTGGGACTGATACATCTTTACCAGCTTTACTAAACTAATGCAAGAGGATGGCCATACTATGAATCTACCCTTCCCGACTATCCCAGTGCCGACTCCATCCGTGGAAATCCAAAGAGCAATTGTGGATGCGTCGCACGAAAATGGCATGCTGACGATTGCCCACGCGTTAACCAACCATTCGACACTCTCAGTGCTTGAAGCCGGAGTAGATGGATTAGCTCACGCATCAATTGAACCGATCACCGAGGAAGTCGTCAAGGCTTTCAAGAAGAACAATGCATTCCTAGTTCCTACGCTAGCTGTACACGCTTCTTGTAGTGGTGAAGAGCAGGAATCTCGTGAAAGATTCTCAGCTGATTTGGAAGGCACTGCGAAAGAGCATCTTCAGGGATGCCTCCATATCACTCGGGAAGGATTCACTATTAAGAATGTGTATGAGCAAGTTATTACTCTGAAAGAGGCGGGGATAGATATTATATGGTAAGACTCAGGTTCACAATATGATGCAACTACTAGCTTGCTAATATAGACCCAGTGGAACGGATACGTCAACAGATCTCGTTGGTACTCGGGCCGGGGCTTCGGTTCATCATGAGTTGTGGATGTATGTCAACCGCTGCCATTTCACGCCTCAGGAAGCACTCATTTCGGCAACATCAAAGACGGCCGACCGATTTAAATTGACTGATCGGGGCAAGATCGAAGAGGGTCGCCTGGCAGACCTGCTACTTGTTGCTGGAAACCCGGCAGAATCTATAGATGCCATTGCCAATGTTCAAGGGGTTTGGAGGAATGGAGAGAGACTAGCCAGGAAAGTCTAATATTATTTATTCTGTTTCAGCTCAGTACCTCAATTTACAGCACTTTCTTATTTCTTTTACCCATCTACCATACAATAACTTGTAGCTATACTCAGTTCTCCGAAAGAGGCAGGCGGTGCTGCTTATGTCACCTCGGCTTCCCCCGCATCTCGCATAGCGTCGGCTTAAGCTGGTCTGGAGAAAGACCGCCCTTTCTTTCCCTTCCTTCCCCCCCATCTACTCCACGAACCATCATGAACTCTCTCTGATTCTTCAACCTTGCTGGATATAAATCAGCGAAGCAGCGCAACACCATTACCATCTGTTGCTGCTTTCACTCCATTTTACGCCCGCCATGACCCTCTCGTCCCTTCTCCGCATTACTCCCCGCCTCGCCCCGACTGCCGCCCGCAGAACAACAAGGGCCGCATACTCCGTCTCAACCACACCGCACAAAACAAACTCACTTGATTCAATTCTAATTGCGAATCGGGGAGAAATCGCGCTGTACGTACACCCGACTTGGAGAAAACCCGAGACGATTTGAGCTAATTGTTCCTAGACGTGTTGGACGCACAGCGGCGGAACATGGCATTCGCGTGACAACTCTCTACACCGACCCTGATAGCCGATCTCAGCATGCCTTGAGCTCCCCCTTTGCTTTCAACCTGGGCTCAGTCTCGGCATACTTGGATGGGGATCGAATCATCGAAATTGCTAAGAGGGAAGGCTGTCGCGGGATACACCCCGGATATGGCTTTGTGAGTTACCATTGCCTTTTTGTTCATTGCATATGTGTCAATGATCCAGTGTAGACTAACAAGTTTCTTAGTTGAGCGAGAATTCCGCTTTTGCGAAGAAGTGTACCGAGGCTGGCATAGTATTCATTGGCCCTCCATGGAAGGCTATCGAGGACATGGGTGACAAGAGGTATGTACGACGAGTGACAGCTTTGGATATCTCTTGCTGATTGGTCCCAGTCGGTCGAAGGAAATCATGCTTGCGGCCGGCGTGCCTTGTGTCCCCGGATACCATGGTGGTAACCAAGATCCTCAATTCCTCGAAGCCGAAGCTGATAAGATCAAGTACCCTGTACTCATCAAAGCTATCAAGGGTGGCGGTGGTAAGGGTATGCGGATTGCCAGCTCCAAGGCTGAGTTCCAGGCTCAACTCGAATCTGCAAAGTCCGAGTCCCGTAACTCATTCGGTGATGATAACGTGCTCGTGGAGAAGTACATTACGACTCCACGTCACATCGAGGTCCAGGTATTTGCCGACAAGCATGGCAACTCGGTCGCTCTTGGTGAGAGAGATTGCAGCATTCAACGAAGACACCAAAAGGTTCTGGAGGAGTCACCAGCGCCTCACCTCCCAGAGGCGACCCGTCAAGATCTATGGGCAAAGGCTCGCTCTGCCGCTCTAGCTGTTGGCTACGAGGGCGCCGGCACCGTGGAATTCATCTTCGACAATGACAGTGGCGATTTCTATTTCATGGAGATGAACACTCGGTTGCAAGTGGAGCACCCAGTGACTGAGATGGTGACTGGCCAGGACCTGGTTCACTGGCAGATCATGGTTGCCGAGGGTGCCCCGCTACCCTTAACACAAGAGCAGGTGGAAGAACACATTGCTCGGAGTGGCCATGCGATCGAGGCCCGTATCTATGCAGAAAATCCTGAACAGGGGTTCATTCCAGACTCTGGGCGCCTCATTCACGTCCGAACTCCCGCGACGAGTGAGGATGTCCGGATCGATGCGGGATTTGTCGAAGGTGACGATGTCTCGGCGCATTACGACCCAATGATCTCCAAATTAATCGTCCGTGGTGAAACCCGAGAGGAAGCCCTCCGTAAATTGGCCGCTGCATTGGAAGAGTATGAGGTGGCCGGCCCAGTCACAAATATTGAGTTCCTGAAGACAATCTGCCGAAGCCCTGATTTCATTGCCGGCGAGGTTGAAACTGGCTACATTGAGAAACATCGAGAAGAGCTTTTCGCCGAAAAGAAGATCGACGACGAAGTGCTTGCTCAGGCTGCTCTTGCCTGTCTACACCGTGATTCCCATTCCGCATCGCAGACTTCCGGCGGATTGGCAGGAAGTGCGATCGGATTCGCTCCGAGCTACCAGGAGCGAAAGCTGTCGTTCACTCTATCAAAAGGACCCAATACAGAAGGGCCTAGCTTCAGTGTAAGCGTGAAACAAACGGCCGATCAAACCTTCGACATCAAAGTGGGCGACAGGGTTTTTGAGCAAGTGGAGAGTCACATGAACCCGTCCTCTCATATTGTCACCTCATTCTTCCCTCATACTCGCCTGGACACGACCGTTGTCCGTGATGAGGATACTATCATCGCGTTCCAGAAAGGAATGCAATATCGACTGACGGTGCCACGGGCAAAATGGATGGAGAAGGCGCTGGGCATGAAGGATATTGCCAACAGTGTTTTAGCACCGATGCCGTGCAAGATTCTACGCGTGGATGTGCAAGCTGGCGACGTCGTGGAGAAGGACCAGCCCTTAGTGGTGATTGAAAGTATGAAGATGGAGACTGTCATCCGCAGCCCGCAACAAGGAAAGATTGCGCGTGTCGTCCACAAGCAAGGCGTAAGTTGTTTACCCTTCCCCCACACCTCCCCTCTTCCAGACCCTCTCCCAATTGGGGACATCTCGTGACCCCCTGGTTGGTTTCTAAATTTGATCTGTCCACTTTTGCGGCTGGCTGGTATTGGTTCTGTATCGAACAGACCAACTGGCCCAGTGTGCTCATTTCCCGTCGAGCCCGTCCTCCCCCTCACAGAAATCGTTTCGGCATCCACCAAGCATGGGAGAATTGAGCTAATTGCAATTTATAGGACCAATGTAAGAGCGGAACACCCCTAGTTGAGTTCGCTGATGCGGAAGCGCAATGATTGAGCCACGGGGATCTTAGCCTTATCTTTTCTGTTTGTTTTTGCACGTTCAGGAGTTTCGGCATACTGCAATTGAAATAGTTATTACAATAAATTCAAATTTACTCTAGACGAATCAAGTTCCGTGATTTTTCCAGAGCGGATAGAAGATTTGCCAACTCAGAGTACATCAGGTCATAAAAAAATAGTAAGTCTTCGCCAATACTAGTATCGTCTTCATGCACTTAAGTCACGGTTGCCACCTCCGTATTTCATACTACTAGACTCTTTGTGTGACCGAGCGTCAGTGGCAAAAATAACCGAGCACGGTAAGCATTGCGGCGAATAGGCACTTCATTAGATCAACAAAATGCCAGCATCTCCGTACACAATACCTGGCCGTTCTCGTAATTTTAATGATATAGTGAGATGACTGATCTTCCGTCTGACATCAGCGGGGAACTTGCCCCAGCTTTCCCCAGACTTCTCGTCGTTGGTCTGTTTGCTTGCCCCAAACCTGTAACTTAATTGCCTCTCCCTCGAAATCCGACAATCAGAGGCCGGTGGCTTGCATCATGCTGGCCCCTGTGTTCCAGAAGCTATCTTTAATTGGCGAAATAATAATGAAGTAGCTAATTTGGCATCCTAGACAGTCCTTCCATATTTTGTTTTCTCCGAACTTCTGCTCCTTCCCTCAAACTTCCCTTGCTATCAGATTTACTAACCTTCCAGCGAGCTGTCGGCTTCCCAAAGCCATTTCACTAATCATGTTTCATCGCATGGTCCCCCGAACAACTCTGAGCACTTTCACCCACCCGGCGGCTCTCACAGCTACAGCGAGGCTAGCACCGAGGAGTTCCAACTTGATCCGCCCATTAAACTGCACCGCAATCCGTGCCAACCAAAAAGATGACCCTTCGAAGGACCCGATCCTATCGGCCACAAACAAAGCACCGGGCGGTGCTTCCGGCGAGCATGAAGGCCAATTCGCCCGAACAGACGAGAGTGTGCAGATCGAGTATCCGCCTGACAGTGAAATGCCCGCTCAGCCAGTCGTCCAGGGCCGTGGTGGGATGCACTTCAAGCGCACTCTGGCGTCTTTCTCGCTCGAAAACAGGGTCTCTATGGTGACTGGTGGTGCGCGTGGACTAGGACTGGTCATGGCGCAGGGACTGGTTGCTTCGGGTTCGGATTTGGCTATTGTTGATTTGAACAGTGGGTCTTTTCAAGCTTCTACATGAAGTAGATGTCCTTGGAAGTTTGACTGCCAATACTGATACTTGCACTCAAGAGGCCGAAGCTGAAGAACAGGCGCAAAAGCTCATCGATCAATTCCAGAAAGAGAATCCCAGCCTTGAGCAGTACGCTCCCCATGTCCCTCCTTCCCCACATAAAGAAGCGACTAATCAATTCCCTCTCTCAACGATCTCAGACTCCCAAACGTCACAGCCCATTACGCCGACGTATCCAACCCGGACTCGGTAAACGCAGCCCTCGCCGAAGTCCTCGCAAAACACAACCAAGTCGACAACCTCGTCACATCTGCCGGATTCACAGAGAACTTCGAAGCGATCAATTACCCATTCGACCGCATGCAAAAGCTCTGGGGCGTCAATGTTGACGGGACATACCTTTTCGCCACAGGCGTGGCCAAGCATCTGATGGAGCGCAACGCGCCCGGCAGCATCGTCATGATCGGGTCGATGTCCGGATCGATTGTCAATGTCCCTCAGCCCCAGGCGCCGTATAATGCGGCCAAGGCGGCTGTGAGGCATCTCGCTGCTTCGTTGGCGGTTGAGTGGGCGGGCCATGATATTCGGGTGAATTGTATTTCGCCTGGTTATATGCTGACTGCTTTGTGAGTGTTGTTCTTTTTTCTCTTGCGACTCACGGCTGGGCTCGCCGTGCCATTTCCATGCCTGATAGCTTCCTACTTCCACTAAGCAAAAACTGACATTGCCACGCAGAACACGCAAGATCCTCGACGAAAATCCCCAACTTCGCGATAAATGGACTTCTTTAATCCCTGTCGGAAAAATGGGGACCCCAGAAGACTTGATGGGTGCTGTCACTTTTCTTCTTAGCGATGCCTCGAAGTATATCACTGGTGCCGATCTCCGCGTGGATGGTGGATATACCTTGACTTGATCCATTGGAATTCGACCACCGGCCACTCTTTATGGCATGCTTTCGTGTATTCGCATTCTATTATATGTCTCGCTCGCTTTCAACGCGGAACTTGAATGGCATTTGGTTATGTTGATCTTCCATACTCCGGTCTACAAAAACTACCAGTAGTCTTAAAATTGTGTAACAATAACAACTTTAGAAGCACAGTTTGTTTGCAACACTTGGATATTCAACCAGTTGAAAATCCTTGTTCGGGATCATTCTTCGCGGCCCTCTGCGAGTTGATGCGATACAAACAAATCGGAAATCAGTCTTTAGGTGGTGCAATCCAACTAGCAAGGTCTAGCCCCCGTAAGCATTGCTAAGCTAACCTTGAATATTTACGATTTGTATTTAAAGCAGACAGCATATGGATATAGACAATAATATTCAGAGAATAATAATAACTTGGAATAAGAAGATAAGGATAGACATGCATGCCCCGAATCACCCTCCAGGGCCAGGGTGAGATAATAATAATAATAATAGAGATAACAATAAGCAGGAGGATGAGGGTAGACATGCTTGCCCCGGGTGAGGCACCCCCTGGGGCCAGGGTAGAGATAAGAATATGAATGAAAGTAGAAAAATGAACGGAAATGAACGTGTGCCCCCGTTCGGGGTATGGAGATAAAGATAGAAATGGGCCGTGGGGTGACAAGAGCCATGGGGACCCTGGGAATAGCAATAAAGACGGTCAATATAACGAACGGAAAGGAGTGTCTCGGCCCCCGTTCAGGGCCCCTTCTGTGGGGATCGGAATTGAAATCAGCCCGGTTGAAGAGCACGGAAGATCATCCTCGGCACATCAAGTAGAATTCGGGCCATTGGCCCAAATATCCACTGCCACCGATATCGAGGTCTTGGGGTAGATTTTGAGCGAGTGTAACAATGGTGATGCTCACCATATACTACAAATTTCTCTATTTTGTGAAAGTTAGTACGAATCTTGGCCACTGAGGCTCTCTCTATAAGTTAGAAAAACAGCCTCGGGATCGGGATCGGGATCGGGGATCAGAAAACTGTCTCATATCACATTGTACAAGGTTGTTTCTTGGAACTGCATTTCTGCAGCGGTTGCTGCTTGTTTTCTTTGGCGATTGCGGGTGGAGTTTTCAAGAAAAGTGACCAGTGAATCGCACCTTCCATGTTAAGGTTCCTTCCTGGTACCTAAAGATATGAAATGGAGAAGAGCCTCGACACAGAAAAGCGGTGATTGGATGGGAGAGAGATTGTGTGTGTGAGAGAGAGTGTGTGTGAAGGTTTGGGAAGGAAGGGCACTAGCAACCTGTGGATGCCTGAGGCTGTCCCAGGCACCGCGCCTCAATAACTCCACGTCCTAGCTGCCCAATGATGCAGATTACTGATATTTCGATCTTCCTGGCAAATAGCGAATACCTAAAGTTACCATTGCATGTTCTCATATTCTACCTAACCATGTATCATTGGGTGAGCCCGACATCTTCATTCCCTCAAGTCCCACTCCATCTCAGTATTTATACCGGAAACTAAGATTCTCCCGGTCTGTCAAATCGTCAAAAGCATTATCCAAGTTCGCTTCCGAAGCTCTCCAATCCTCTTCCTAAAAATGGGATTGTTAATAAATGCTGTAATCGGCTTCTTCGACATTGGGTGAACTTACCTGTAGTAGATCCCGCTTGTTGTTCTCCCGTACAAGGTGCCAGCGGAGAACCCCAAGGAGAATAATGATGCACGCGTAGCATCCCATATGAACCGAAAAGCATGTGAAGTATCTCGGGGCATCCTTTGATTGAAATACCTGAGGTCCGATCATATTGCCCACCGCCCAAGCAAGGAATAATGATGCCGTGCTGACTGATTTCTTCGTCTGGCCAGCTACATTTCGAGAAAGTAGGGACATGAGAAGCACGGTGGTGCCCCAGAATGACAATGTACACCAGTAGGCGATCAGGAGGCCGACTTTGGTGGAATTGGAAATGGGTACGGCTGTGGTATATTAGCTCTGGTTGAAGGAAATGCCCACTATCATGCACGCTTACCCATTAGAACGGCCGTTCCGGCAATATTTGGTATCAAGAAAGCCTTTATTTGAGTTCGTTAGCACGACTCTTGGTTTTCAGTTTCAGAAAACCTCTCACAAATTGGAACAGAATTGTTTGGTTGTAATGGCGAGATAGCCATGCTGCGCTCAGAAGTACGACACATTGAACGGCGCCGTTGACCATAGAAAGTAGCTCGGTATCGAGCTCACTGAATCCAAAATTCTTAATAAGGATTGTAGAGAAAGATCCCAAGCCACCAGTTGGAATTTGGATGCTGAGGTCTTGTTATTATTCGCACAGTGAGAAAAATGGCATCACGGCACAGACTCACATGATTTGAATCAAGATGTAAAGCCAAATCTGAGGATCTCTGATAGCCTCCTGGACATGTTCCTTTTTGAACTTGCGGTTTTGAATTCCAGTTTGATTAGCACGGACTCGCTCGATGATGAGAATCCGATCTGTTTCCGAATAGCATGTCGCCCGCATGGGGCTGTCGGGCATCCACCAAAAGACGAAGACGGACCAGAGGCAAGTGACGCAACCAAGCAAGACAAAAAGTAATTGCCAGGACTTGAGAACGGGGGAGTGGACGTGGCTCATTCCGTAGGCGAAGAGACCGCCAACGATTCCTTGAACACCGTTCTAGAGTGGGTTAAAATCTTAGATTTTCTTTAGGAAAAAAAAAAGTAGTCAAACTCACCATTCCCTAGATACAGTTAGCATGATTTCATATCGCAATGGGATTAGTTCACTGATACTTACATACCAATAGGCCACAATGTGAGCCTGTTCCTCGCGCTTATACCACATAGATGAGAGAAGCAAAAATGTTGGCTGCGATACAGCTTCGAAAATTCCGAGCAGAACCCTCAACGCACAAAGTATGGCAAAGTTGAACCCGAAGACATTCATAGTCAGAGTCAATCCCCAGAGAAAAATGTTGGCGGCAAGGTATTTTCCGATCGGAAGTTTTTGCACAAGAAGATTAGTCGGGTATTCAGCAAAGAGGATTCCGAAATAGATGACCGTGTGAAGCCAGGAATACTGATGAAGTTAGAGAACTGCAGTCACTCAAAATGAAGTTGAAGAACTCACATCTTGCCCCACCAGGTGGGCATCTTCCTGAATACCCATAATAGCAGCGAAGCTGATCGCATTTTTGTCCAGAGATTGTAGGAAATATGTCCCAACCATAACGATCAAGACACGTTTGTCAATCAATCTTCGAAGTCGCTTGCTAGTCGCCTCGTCCACTTCGACTGAGCCCGCAGCGACAACATACCTACGCAGCTCTTCATCGACCGCGGCATGCTTGTCTGGAAGGACATCGGGATCTGGCGACGCAATGCGCTCCAGGTGTTGCTCAGTTGGCTTTGGTCCACTCATCCTGTGTGCGTAGGAAGGCAAAGTGCATGCCAGCTAGATCCACATACCCCACACCGGCACCGGCAATTGCATCTTATACTCTTCTTCCCCACACTATCAGCATTGACAGCATTGCGGGGGTGGAGATAAGACAGTGATCGCAAAAACCTACCTGGAAGAATTTCCAGTCTTCTGAGCCAAACGTGTGGTTTCCGATAGCACTACGAAATATGCTTTCTCTATTCAAGTTATCCGAACACATGCTTCGCGTAGATGACCCTTTCGGATGTCTCCGATTTCTACTCGATTCGGTTCTTGCATCGCTGGGCCAAGCTTCGGATAAGCAGTATCTGATTATTGAACGCTCGGACGATCGTGTTTTTCGTGAGATGACTGGTGGAAAATCATCGTGGCTGGAATCCTGCGCGCCACAGATGTAGATCAAAATCGGAAACCGGGGTAGCTAACTGAGGGGCTCTTTGCGGAGGACGAGGATCATCGGAAATCTTCTGGTCGCTTGCATTTTGATTGATGGAAGTGACCTTATTCCTCGGCACTTGGGGCCGATCGCTTTTCCGAGGACGCCATTCAAATACAGCAATATGGCAACAACCAACTACAGCCCAAAGTTGTAATATTTCAACTTGAGCTGACTTTGTGCAAATATGGCAGCAGTCGACGACGTATTGTCCGTGTTCCTCGCCAAGGATGGCGTGGTGAATATCCCATTCGAAGTGAAAACGCCACTTGCCGAGATGAGCTTATCCGATACCAAGTCCTTGGCGCTCAAGCTTGTCGATAGCCTGGTTCACTTGAAGGACGACTCGGGGGGAGTTTCGTGTGCCAATACCAACTGGAGGTTTCAAGGTTGATTCCAAGTCATGGAATAATTGGGAGTGGACACAAGGCGTTGGTTTGTACGGAATGTGGATGCTCTTCGAGACTACCGGAGATGAGACAGTCCTTAAACACATTCAAGAATGGTTCGACAAACAATTTGCAAAGGGCACGCCAACTAAAAATGTGAACAGTATGGCACCTATGCTCACGTTGGCCTATCTTTATGAGCGAACGGGAAGAATCGAGTACCGAGCGTACCTTGAATCTTGGGCTGAATTCATCATGGATGGGATTCCTCGAACAGAGGGTAAGTGGCAATCACAGAATGAAAGAAATATTCCGTTTCTAAAATCTAGCGCAGAGGGTGGTATTCAGCACATAACTTTCCGACAAGTCAACGAAGGCCAACTTTGGGACGACACTCTCATGATGAGCGTTTTGCCACTTGCCAAAATCGGTGTTTTGCTCAACCGCCCATCCTATGTCGAGGAGGCCAAGCGACAGTTCTTGCTGCATATCAAGTATTTAACAGATACACGAACTGGCCTGTGGTATCATGGTTGGACATTCCTGGAAAGACATAACTTCGCCGAAGCACTTTGGGGAAGAGGCAACTCGTGGGTCACAATCGCGATCCCCGAATTTCTTTCTCTTCTTCAACTACCTCCCGGCGACCACATCAGGGAGTTTCTTGTTTCTGCCCTTGATCAGCAAGTGCTTGCTTTGAAGAAGTATCAAAATCCAAATGGGCTCTGGCATACACTCATTGATGATTCGAGCTCCTACCTGGAAGTATCCGCTTCAGCGGGATTTGCTTTCGGCATTCTGAAGGCGGTTCGGATGAGATACATCTCGAAGGATTATCAAAGCATTGGATTGAAGGCTCTTGAGGCGGTCATTAATAATGTCAATGAGAAAGGTGTTGTCCAGAATGTAAGTTTCGGAACACCAATGGGGCCAAGCAAGGACTTCTACAAGGCGATCAAGCTCACGGCCATGCCTTATGGCCAGGCTATGACACTACTGTGTATTGTGGAGAAAATGAGATCATTTTTGTAACTAGAATCAAGATATAATGTCGTTAGAAATCTTATAAAAATCTCAGTTCTATCGGATGTTTCTCAAGATATTATCGTGTGCCTGCTCGCGAAACTGAGCGCAAGACTTCAAAATCTAAAATCTTTCCAGTGCCGGCTGATGCCAACTATCTCAAGACTTGGGCACTTCGACAACAATGTGTCCAACACCTCGGGAAACACAGGAAAGCATTTCGGATTTCTGTTCTGTTTTAGTGAGGGCAGATCCTCGATGCTGTACCTCTCCACATCTGATCGGAATTCGACAAGTTCCACAGTTTCCAGTTTCGCAGGAGCTTCCTATTTCGAAGCCAGCATCTCTCATGACGTCTAGCAGCGTTTGCTCAGATTCAACCTGCAGCTCAGCTTTTCTTTCGTCGGAGATAACTTCCACGGTGAACGGGTCTCCTGATGTATCAGCTTGGAAGACCTCATAGTGCAGCTCGTCGGAAGGCATTTTGATAGCAGAGGCAGTTTCTATTCCCGCATCTATCATCCGCTGCGGTCCACATATATAGATGTGGCTGTTCCAAGTCCGGTTCATGAATATATCAAACATGTCCAAGCGCTGCCACTGAGATTTGTCGTAGATGGTAATGTTGGGACCGAGCTCCGATAGCAAGGGCCTAAATGCGACTTCATCGGATTTCCGGACCGCATAGTGAAGATGAAATGATTGGTTGGTATCGATAAGTCGCTTCATCATGGCCAGAAATGCGGTGATACCAATGCCTCCAACGATGAAAATGTGGTGTGAAGCCATATTGTGTATAGACATGCTCTGTGATACCGCTCCTAAGGACACAATATCTCCGGGGTTGAGACTTTCATGGATATAACTTGACCCGCCGCGGCTAGTATCGTCCAGAGCCACTCCGAGTACAAAGGAATTTGTGCTTCCACTGACGATGGAGTATGCCCGCTTCAGCCCGTTGGGTAGTTTGACCACAGCATGGCTGCCAGCAGCAATGTCACTAGGCTTTTCGGTCTTCAGGACAGCTTCAAGATCAAGCCGAACAATCCGCGGAGTCTCCGGAGTTTTGAACTTAATCTTGAAGTCCCTCCATGTTTGCTTTGTGGCAATTTCCTTTTCTTGAATCTTTTGCCACCTCCCTTCGAAAACATCTTTGCACTCGGCGCCCATCTCTTCAATTTCCATGAGCTCCTGCGTTATGGAAACATCCGTCTTATCTCGGTGGACGTAATGGTGCAGCCGAGCAATGGACCATCTGGGATGACTCCTCTGGATGACTCGGATTTCCATCTCTTCTTCAATCCAGCCTTCTTGCTTCACGCGGTAATACCATCCAGTCTTCGCCTCCTGGTGAGTTCGAGGAGCAAAGTTCTTGATTCCAAACCGTTGGTTCAGCTTGAAGCAAGGTTGTCTCGGCAAGCTAACCTCCAAAAGGCAACCATTGCTACCACCTGTAAGAAGAGAACCCGGGGGGCCAATTCTCACTAGGTCACCAATACAGATGTTATCCTCGTCAAACCCATCGGCAACGAGATTTTCGCCGAAGCCTCCGGGCACGAACCGCGCGCGGGTTTCGGGCGAAGAATACAATTTACCCCAGAAGGCATAGTGACCGATGCAATATTGATGGATGGCCTTGTCGATTCCCCCATGGAAAGTAAGGTCGTGCTCGTCTTCTGACAAGCCGATTGATGAGACATATAATTTCCCAGCGCGAGATTGCTTGTCGATGCCGGAGAGAACAGAGCCGAATGGGCGGAGTTTTGAGGTCCGGATTTGTTCGAGAGTCGTGGGTAGCGGAACTTCAATTGGGAATAGGTCAATACTCGTACTGGGCATCATCTTGGATATCATGACGCCAGTTTGAAGAGCGACCCCTCAGTGGCAGAAATATGACTTGTTCTCTGCTGAACTTTTCAATTTTCGTTCATTCCGATGATAGAGATGGGAAGCAAACCTCGTCTATATCCTGATGGATTTGGTAGGAAATTTATCGCCTGTGCAGTTAATAATCTATCCCGCTAATCAGAAACCGTAAAGAGTCATGGAAGGCTTGACGATGATTCATTGGGTGCTCATCCGAGGATTCCACAACACTTCCATTGCGCGCCTCAGCACTAACTAACCTTGGAATTAGCGCCGCACACCGCGTATGGAATAGCGCAGGTCCCACAATTTGAAGCCCGACATTTTTACTTACTTGTGAAGATTATCTATCAATATTATGTTACGGGTAGATAGTAGAGCTCTTCACTGGCGTCTTATGGAGCATGTTTCACCGTGTGCACTGGCACCTGGGCGGTGTCGGATTTTCTAGATTTTTGACCAGCAGTAACGGAGTACTACTAGTAGTGACTAACTATATAACGTGGAATACCCCCTGCCCGCCATCCCCCCGACCCGCCACCCCCAATACACCATAGTTAAGGCAATAAATTACAACTCAATATCTCAACAACACTTACTTTGTAATAGGATTCTGGATAACATAGTATTATTTATAATATTACTTCCCAGGTTATATGCTTGGATATCCCTAATTTAAAAATTTACTGTCAAAATATATATTTATGATATATTGAGCAAAAATACTCTGTAACTTTTGGTATTATACATAAAAAATAACTTAAATGATCACAGAAAAAAACGTACTATTATGTCACTTGAGAATAACTGCTATGCCAAAATTGAAATCGAATAAAGGTGTTGTTGTTGTTGAGATAATTTTATTTCTTAACTATGGTGTTTGGGGGGTGGCGGGTCGGGGGGATGGCGGGCAGGGGGTAGGTATTCCACGTTATTGTCTTCGGAGTTGCTAGTAGTAAGCCGCCCGTTACACTGGTGTACACCGGGGCAGCTTTCATTGACAAATTTGAATTCAGCACAATCTAGATACGAATAGTACTACTAGTACCAATTTTGCATTCGAGATGCTCACCCTCCAAGTTCGCAAATAACCTTGAAAGTTCAGCCGCTCAACTCCGGCGTGTTCGTCAACTCCGGACCCACAGCTACGCCCCGCGAGTGATTTGAACGTAATATAAAGTTGAGGGTTTCAAGCCCACTTCAAGTTCATAACTGACACACTCCGAGCATCAAAAATGTCAAAAGTATACACCACAGATCATTCTACCTCGGTTATCCAAACGCACGGGTGGCGTACGCTTTCCAACTCCGCAGCCTATGTGCTTCCCTACATCCAACCCGACCTGCGAATCCTCGACGTCGGCTGTGGCCCAGGAAGCATCACAATTGATTTCGCCAAGCACGTACCCCGCGGGCACGTTAACGGTATTGAATATGTCCCCGAACCGCTCGATGGGGCCCGAAAACTCGCTGCTTCAGAAAACATCACCAATGTCAGCTTCCAAGTTGGCGATATCCATGCTATCCCATTCCCGGATGATACCTTCGACATTGTCCACGCACATCAAGTTCTACAGCACATAGCCGACCCCGTTAGAGCTCTCCAGGAAATGCGTCGTGTGGTCAAGCAAGGTGGAATTGTCGCGGCACGCGAGTCTGCGTCGCAAACCTGGTACCCCGAATCAGAGGGTATTTCTGCGTGGCAAGAGCTCGGGGAGAAAATGGGACGTGCGAAAGGAGGGAATCCTTATCCCGGAAGATATATACATGTTTGGGCGCATGAAGCAGGATTTCCACGGGAAAACATCAAAAAAACTGCAGGTTCGTGGTGCTTTAGCAGCCAGGAAGAACGTGAATATTGGGGCGGTTCCATGGGAGAACGAACAAGATCGTCTGGATTTGCGACGACTGCTATCAAGGAAGGGTACTCGAGTCAGGAAGACCTCGACAAGATCGCTAAAGGGTGGAAAGTCTTTGTGGAAGATGACGACGCATGGTTCGGATTGTTGCATGGGGAAATCGTTTGTCGCAAATAACAGCAGCCCTCAGTTCCAGGGCTGTTGAATAGTAGGCTTCGATCTCTCAATTATCGTGAATAATACCTCTACTTGAACATTTTACATTTTAGTTTTCACCGAGCCAGGCTAGAGCCTACCTTGGGGCATTTTAGTACGGTCGCTTTTGAAGGAATGGATCTCTGCATCATTTTAGCGAATTCTAATAGCTTGCTGGATTTTCTAGTAATTTATGGTTATTATGGTGGTCTATTTGATTCTGAAATGGTAACCAATATCTGAGCAGTCCGCAAGTTTGTGAAGCATTTTCTGCGAAAACACTTCAACGATCGGGGTAATGGTATAGGGGTATTACGTTCGCTTCGCATGTGAAAGGTCCGGGGTTCAATTCCCCGTTACTCCATCAGTTTTTTTTCATGTTTTAAAATGCATTTCATTTAGCCTCTTGATGTGGGGATCTGAAAGTTGAGGTCCGAGCCACGGAACGCTAATCCAGATTGAGTTAGCTCGCGGGTAAAGTGGGGCCATTTCATTTTATCCAGCTTACCGCCCTTCTCACCGCCCTAACTCTACCCTCACCACCACTCGCCGCATCAACACCTCTACCAATGACATGTATACATACTCCTGGCATTTTGGTTCAGGCTTTTTCAGGCTTTTTCGCCCTTTCAATTCCCAAAGAGATCACGGGCCTTTCACCTTGCTGCCTCCCGCGAGGAAACCTTGTTCGTCCACGACCTCTATTGCGACCTTTTTGACAGCGTCATACCTCTGCCGGAGATTAAATCCGACATAGAGTCAGATTGGACTCAGCTCGAGTTAATCACTCGGAGGAGGAATTCCAACACAGTACCTGGCAATCGACTCCGACAAGCCATGCCAGGCGACGCAGCTCTCCGTTCCTAGCGATGGGCTAGGGTATAGTACATTGGAACTAACCAAGCTTCGGCAGTTCTAGAGGATACCGTATTCCGCGAACGACAACTTTATCGGATTCTTTAATTTTCCCCTCTATTTGTCCCTTATCCAGCCCTGTGGGGAGCCCCCGTACTGGCACACTACCGAGGTAACCGTACGCCTACGACCTGAACTGTTGCTGTGAGCTACTGCAAAATGATAGGATGATTGTTTTGATCCATGCTTATAGTAAGTTGGCTGTTGGTCTGTTGGCTGCAGAGGGTGAGATTCTTATCCGGGTGAGATAGCAGCCGGCCAGCAGGACGTGGTTGGAGGGATGGTTCAGCATTGTGGCATGGGGCTTCAAGCACCAGCGCAGTGATTGCGGATTTCGGGTTGTGCATTGTGAGTCCGTACAAGTTTCCACTTCCAAATTTCGCGACTTGAGTCGACAAGGTTAGTTCAGGTCGAGTTCACATAGGGCTATTTCTCCATCTCGTATGTAACGAATCAAGGTACCCTGAGTGTTGCAAGGGCGCCGTCAGGATTGAACACGGCTTCGGCGTTCTCGCCCAACGCACGCATGTAGAAACATCCGTGGCCATAGATCAACACGGTTTGGGGGACAGCACCCTACACGGCTGAGTATCTGGGTGCTGCAAGAGCGTCGTCAGCCTTCAGGATTGATCATGGCTTTGGGGTTTTCGCCAAGTGCGCGCATAGTAGGGATTGGCTTGTTGGTATACCCAAGAGAGCAACCTGAAGTACTCAGGAAGTACTCAGGACACCAGAGATCTGTACATCCGATGCGAATGCATCACAGCATCGCCGGATTTATCCTGCCAGGTTTTCTTAGCATCGGCTCTTTTGGTGGGATGAAATGCTCGTACCCTTTCAGTTAACCTATTCTCATGAATGGACCGGCAGCAAATCTATACTCTTGTTCATATCTGCTGGTTTCAAAGCAGGAGGAAGAAAAGAAGAGGAGAAAAGTGGGAATCTCGGGGGTTTAAAGAGCAATGACGCCGCGAAGGGCAGTGAGGCCACGAAAGCAGCAGCGAGGCCATAAAGGTAGTGAGGCCGCGAGAGTGGGCGGTTGCGAGCATTAGTAGTAATGAGAGCCACATCGGTAGGAATAGGCGGGGGAGACGGCCGCGGGTCGAAAGTAAGAGATGAGGCGAAAGAGCGCTGGTAGTGGTTGCGAGCGCCGCGAGGGCGGTGCCCGTAAAAGGAAACAGAGGCTGTTTCGACGAAGTGGTGGTAAATGGGCTTGAATCAAAGAAGTGCCGATGAAAGCGTGTTGCGGCTGTTGTTGTGGCCGCTGGTGGCGTGCCGAAGTGAAAGATAGCGCGCACGCGGCGGTGATGGCGCCCCTCTTCCCCAGAGGGGAGAGCAAGAAAGTGGCGATAGCGATAGCTCAGGGAGCGTAGAGAAAGGGACTCATATAACCTATACGGATGGTAGTACGTGTAGTAATAGAAGGTAGTTGTATTGTTAGAGTGTGTGTAGGAGGTGAAGGTGAAAGCTACGGAGACATTGCTGACTGACAGCTTCTATCCTTGATGATAGAGGTCGAATTCTACATGAGAGGAAGAGAGAGATTATGATGATCTCGACAAAGGAGAGAGGTTGATATAGGTCTATCTAGAATGCCTGAAGCATATGCCTCAAAAAGCTCTTATACATGCCAATTTGTGTATATTTTGGATATTATGCGCGATAGGGATCTGGCTTACTCAGCTCAGTTATGAAGATACTTGATGGGCGTATAACTCAGTTGGTAGAGTGTTCGCTTTGCATGCGAAAAGTCTGGCGTTCGAATCGCCATTCGTCCACTTTTTGCCCTAGCAAACTGGTTTTTGTTCAGACGATTTAACTAACAAACATGAAATGATTCAATCTGCACATGTATGAAATCTACCACAACACGCACAAAGCAAGACACCGTGTTACTAGACCTATGCAATGTCACATTGAGCCATGACAGAACAACTTCCATACCTGATATCGGACCGTGGCCCGTGGTGGAATACGAAAATTCTTTAGTTTCTAGTGTCATGAACAAAATTCAAACCTTAGAAGTTTATTTCTTTATTCTTGAACAGTGACATAGATCAGATCCATTTATTTCTTCCCCTGAAAGTCGAAAAAGGTTGTCGAAAGGCAAAAATGCCAGCAGACAAAAACCGATGGAATAACGGAGAATGAACCCTGGATGGGCGTACAGCCCTGACCAGCAATACCCCTGTACCCTTACCCCGATCGTTTGGATAGCTTTCTCAGAAAATGCTTTACAAATCTGTGGAGCGCTCATCTATTCGTAGTTTACCATTTCAATATCAAATAGACCACCATAAGAAGCATATATAACTAGAAAATTCAGCAAGCATTTGGAACTCGCTAATACAATACAGAGATCCATTCCTTCAAAAGCGACCGTACTAGAACGCTCAGGTGGACTTAACACTTAATCCATTCAACCCATCGAGTACGAAGACGCAAGAAAATCAATGAGCACGTGTTTTTGAGGATGATCATGGTTGTTTCTATAGACTACTCTGTGAAGAGGCAGGGGGGAAGGTAGCCCGAATCAATACCATAACCAAGGAGCACCGGCGCTACTGGGACCGGCGGTAATTTGTAAATAGGTGGTCTATAGCGAGTGGCGGCCTGAGAAGACATTTAGTTCCTAATGTCATGTTCGCACAGGCAATAGCTAACCTTCAAGTTGGAATCATAAACTGAAAGTAACTCAACCGCACACCCAGAGATTCAATGAATACCATGAGAGAATTCAAGCACTCGGCATCCATAGATGTGCACACGATTGGATGCCCAGGTGCTATGTAGATATCAGTTTTCCAATCTTTCCCAGAGCCATATGTATATCTACTAGCTGGCAAGGGGTGTCCATTTAGATCAACCCCGCTTCTCCCATTTTCTCTGCACCTTTGAAATACCAATCGGTGGGTCTTGGAGTGGAGGCCAATGCGGGGATATCAAGGGGGATTTCCCCCAGGCCTGACGAATGCAGTCCAGATGAGACAAGCTTGCGTCTGCAGCTTGCTCACATTCCTCCAGCGTGCAGTCTCGTCGAATTGATTTGAACAAACTTCTCCACACTCGCGGGAAGGTGCAGTAGGGAGAAGTTCCATGCATCAATCGAGATGGAAAGTTCGGCCACAGGTTGGGCAACAAAACCACCGGGAAGGTTCTCATCTCCGAAGATCCCTGAGGATCTCCTAGGAGTGCGTGTTTGCTGATCGTCGGATCTCCAAGGTAGGTGTTGTTCTATTCGCCCTCGATCGCAGGTTGCCCATTAAATGGAGTTGAAATGCGGAATATTCAGCCATAGCGAACTAGCCCAAGTTCAATTGCAGGGGAAGGTAGGGCGATGGGGCACCACTATTCGCAAGGGGCAAATCGGAATGTAATGATGAGGGGGCGTGTTTGGATTCAAATTTGTCATTTGAAGGCCGGCTGCTCCAAGAGGTACTAGTAGCTCGATCTGGCTACTCCGTATGGAGACTGAGACCGAGACCGAGACCGCTAGCCCTTATAATCCGGTCGAGCCAGCCCCCAATCCCGGCCCGTCCCGACTGTCCGATTCGATGACAGGAAACATCCAAACCTTCTAACGCCACTTCCTCTTTATTCGCAAAGCAAATCATCCATACCCACCTCTTTGTGGTTTCGTCACTGCTTGGCCTCCTTTGTGGTGTTGGGTCTCCTTTTCACTGTGCCTGCTCACCGCTGGTTCGATGTCATAGTTGGATGTAGAATCGTGGTCCAGTCAGGTAGCAGTTGGGTACAGTTTAGACGTGGACCTTGGATACTGCTTTGGTCCTATCTTGGGTTTTGAGGCTGTGGTGTCGTCTTCAAGAAGATTGGTGATCACTGATCAGTACTGTTGAAGTCACTGGACAAGGAAACTCGTGACTTCTGAGGGACAACGCAGAGCCCCGTCGTTTCCCCTTCCATCAGACCCCATCTGACATCCCCCGTCAAATCAAGTCAAATCAACCATCAACGCCATCCAATCAACTACTCATCCGTCCGCCTATATTGCTTCTTTGACCCGTTGCTGCCCCCCCCGCATTTCTTTTTGACTGGTCGCCTCACTGTCAGCAGCTTCACCGCAGCCTGTACCAACAATATCGCCATTGCCAAATTTCGGTGGCCTTTGGCTTTCCCACTCATCCTAAATTCCAACTATATCGAAGCATTCTAGTATTCCCTCAGAGTACCGTTTTCTGGTTCCTCATTTTGTCATTCTAGCCGAAATCCTGGGGTTCTGTCACACCTCGCTGCCGTCCCCGATGGTCACCGTCTTCACTCCCTTGCATCATCCTTACAAGTGCAACCCCGTGCTCCAGCACTCTTGACAGCTCCGAGTCACCATTATTCGCGACTCATCATGGACCAAAAGATGCCTCAAAGTCTGTTGATGATCTCGCAGGTGACCCCGGAGGAGTTGCGCAGAACTCAGAATGTGGATCTAATAATGGTCAAAGGTCTCTGGCAAGGTATGCTTGAGCTTGCGACATACGATTTAGGCAGACGTATCTAACGTAGTCGGGACCGTTAGCTTTCCTCGTCTCGCGGCGTGCCAGCGAATCCCAGGCAGACCGCAGATTAGAATATCTCTTCTGGCGAATCTGGAGTAGTGAAAGCCTGCTCACCGAGATGAAGGTTGGGAGGTTGAACGATCTTGTCTCTCGGATTATTCTTCCCACTGGCCAGACCGGGAAACCTCCGACCAAACAAGCCCGCAAGGTAGGTATTCACCAATGTGACACATTCACTGGACCTCACTCGACCCCACTCGACCCAGCTTCCCAACCTCTCAGCGTCACCCCAGCTTCAACTCACATACTTCCTAAGGTGCTAATCACATCTACACTGCACAGTCTCGAGCACAACCAGAATACCACCCGATTACTGGCTCTCCATCCTACGCAGTATCACAACCAGTATCCCAACCAGAGATGAAACCACAGCCAACTGAGGCTAAGGCCATGCCTCAACCTATCTTGAAGAAGTCAAGTGCCCCTCAAGGCGAATCGAACAAGACCACGCGGCTGCTTCTTGAGCAGCCCGATGGTGGGAGTATCACCCGCAACCCATCCCACTCCCCAACTCTCAGCTTAAATGAGAATGAGAATGAGCCGCAGCCAAGGGAGTATACACCAGGTCGACAAGCTCCGAAGAAATCTCAGTTCGCCTCGGGAATACGATCCGGGCGCCGTCGCCCTCTTTTCAACCGTCGCAAGTCATCGCAGGTTTCTGTGACGAAACCGACGGCCAGTCCATCCAGCGAGCAACAGCCACCGCCACAGCCGCAGAAAACTCAACCTCTTCGACATCCACCGGCCGATCCTCTTGAATCCATGAGCTCCTTTGAGCTGGTCTTCGACCCTGATTACGTCCCACCCATTCAAGACTCACCTCCAGCCACAACCCCAACTCACACCCAGGAAAACATCGAGCTCGCCAAGATCAAAGAAGCTCTAGCCGATATCGGTAGCATCGAGATCCCTCGACTATCCTCGAGCAAGACGGCAACGGCCACAACGACAGCAGCAGCAACCTCGAACGTATCCGAAGCTGACACCCTTCTCTCCCAAGGACTAGAGACGGTTAGTCATGAACCCCAGGAAACCCACTTCCAGACAGGAGACCATGAAAAGCAGCGCGCTGAATCTCAGGACCCTAGCCTATTCTCTAACGGAATCGCCCAACTCTTCGACTCATACCCAGTGCCCGGATTCCCGGGCCTTCTACGAATCCCGATGCCTGAGAAGATGGAAAACACCCTCCTCGGCATTCTCAACGACGACAGTCCCCTCGACGGCCTGATTCCCCTCCCAACCAGGCCATGGTGGATGTGCGAGCATGCATGGAGCCCAGTCCCTCGCAAGGAGTATCTCAAAGAATGGATGTTGGTAAGCGAAGAATGGGACAAACAGCCAACTACTACGCCACTCAGCCATCCAGAGTTTCGAACCAGGTTTGTTGAAGCGGTTGCCGCTGCCAGAGCCGAAGAGGAAGCGGCAATTGCATTTCTGAATGAGGTCCGGGTGCCTACTCTCAATGGCCGGGCCAGCCGAACTGATAACGAAAGCGAAAAGTCCACCAGTTACTTCTCTGGAATTTCTCATATGGTGGGAAATGAGTCCCAAGAGAGCCGCTCAGCGCGGGCGGAGGATCTGGAATGGGAGCGCAAGGAAGAACAGCCCGATCATCAGGAGAAACAAAAGGTTGTCTGGCATGGAACTGGGAGTGATTGCATCTTCGAGAAATCTCCTTTTGCCATTGCCCTGGAGCAATCGGCTCATTCCCTTGATCCGCCTTCCTGGTAGAACGAGAATTATCGGAGAGAGAGAGAGAGAGAGAGAGTGCGTGTTCGGGCCAGTGGCTTTTCCGTTTATCTACTTCTATTCATCGCAACGATAGTGTTACTGGGGCTGTGTCCCGACATGCGCGAATCTTTAATCTTTCATCAGCCATGGTATCCCATTCTTACCGGATACTATCAATTATGAGCAGAGATGGTAATGAGTCGAATTTGAGAATCGAAAACTAGCTTTCCTTCAATGTGTAACCCATGATACGCTAAGCCGAACGGCTAGCAATATGTTCGAAACCACCGTGACCTGCGCCCATTTTGATATTGCTAAACCTCGAAGGTCAATGTACTATCCCATGGATGTCCTGCTGAGATCTTCCACTACTTCGAGGCAAAAGGGTGGTTTCCCCCCCCTAGTCTGTCCTGAAGCTCATTCTGATCAACTGGAATGGGCCAGTAAATATCAACATTGAAGTTTGATACTTGTTGCACAACCATCAGGGGTTTTAAGACAAAGACCAACTTGTTGATATCATCGAGATCAGTACTCCCGCGCATGCCGCTAGTGAAAGAGATTCTGAGATCTTCAACACCCCGCATTTTTGAAATGACATCACATGCTTCGTTCCAGTAATAAGTCTCGTCGTAAGGTCTCATCCACGCATGACCGAATCCGAAGAAAAGCTTTGGGAAGATTCGGGTATTGAGATGGAGAGAAAGGATGGAATCCCAACGGTGTGGCACCATTACTTGTTCCATAACCATGATAGTCATTGGTGATCCGATAAGTATGGTACTTCCTGTGTAGAGCAAGTCTATAGATTCGGAATACCTGGATGGCTGTCAGAGAGTAGAATAGAAAGTGGAGGCATAAAGCGACAACAAGGTGACTAACATTCTCCTACAAGACCGTAAGAGCCCGCAAGCCCCTCTTAAACGAGGACAAGACAGATCAAAAATTTTGATTGTATTATCTCTCCAATTGACCGGTTGCCATATATTCCTCTGCCGCATCTGGCGACGAGTACGCGCATCGGCACGTGAGAAGTCATCCTGCCGGTGATCTGTTATGGCCACATACAGATCCGCTCCATTGGAGGGCATCATTACCTGATGGTATATCATTCTCCGGATTTCCATGGGTAGTTGGAAGAATGGGGATTGCGCTTGGTCAAATGTCTTTTGGCGTCGACGCCAAGGGGAAGACGAATCGGGCAGTGGAAGTGTCAACGCACGTTTACGAACACGGGGCTTCTTCTGTTTATGCTTGCGATATGAATCATATGCAGCGGAGGGAACCATCACGGTAAGCCATGCAAGGTAGATAGGGGTAGCGACGATGGCACCAAGAACAATGAGCCACGTAGGCGGTCCCATACCTTGGAACATCTTGGGACAGGGTCGGCGATAATCAAATCCTCACCAATTCAAAATGGCATTGAGGAAATCAAGCAGAGAAAGAAATTTAGCTCAGTGCGTATATTTACGGGGGCCAAGGCTAACCCCGGGGGCGGACCCGGGGGCGAAATTGAAAAGTCAACAGAAGTCAACAAGGGTCCGCTGGCCCCGTTTTTAGATGAGGCTCAGCCAGATGGGCCTGGGCTCTATATGGTTTGCATTGCTATACGGTATAAACGTGAAGGTCCTTTTGTAGATAGTGTGATACAACACGAATCTGCTTCATAAGGTATTTAAGGCTTCCTTTAAAAAGTACTCAGCATTCCACCAAATGTTATGACAAATTCCTGCGTCCTTCGTTCGCAATTGAGGCTATGTGCAATTGCCAAGAAATTGAGTGTTCCAGGGTGGTATATCAACCAATGATGTACTCTTCAGTAGAATTGGAAAATCAATCAAGGACCAAGAAGCCCTCGCCAGAACTTGAAAAAGAAGTGACTTCCAAATTATCACTTCTAGGCACTGTATACTGCTACATGTGTGCATAGATTTTTATGAAATCAAGATAATATGATATTGATGCTTCTGGTAACATAGTGAAAACAGGAATAACTCCCCCCCGAAAATTAGCAGAAACACCTAGACCTAGGGACGCCATCTCACAAATGAAACAATGCAATGATAGAACAGCCTCCTTTTTCCTTTACATCTTCTGAGGGTAGAAAGCGGAGGTAGGAAGAAAGATAGACAGGAGAGCCCCCCGCAGGAAGAGTGTTGAAAAAAAAAGAGAGAGAGAAGAAAAGAGAAACGACATATCACACACCCTTGGCAGCAGGATCAACCCGCAAACCCAAACCATTCACGACTAAGAAAATCACCTCTAGAAAGAAGCCCCCTCACCCTCCTTCTCAGAATCAACAACAGTAGCAGCACCACCGTCCCTCCTCGCCTTCAACCACTTAAGCAGAATCCAAGAAGAAGTAGCCACCCACATAAGCAAGTTGATCAAATCAATCCAACATGCATGCCTCATCCGATTAATCTTTGACGCATCGCCCAAATCAGACTCTTGCTTCTTCGAATCCCCATCCGCATGAACACCGATATACAATTTCCCGAAGATCCCGAAAAGGGTCAACCAGAGGATACAAAGGACAAACTCCCACACAAACTGCGACACCTGGAGCGCAGGATTGGACGGGCTTGATGCCCCACGAGACGTGCGACGCATCAAGAACGGAATAACCATGTGCACGATTGCGGTACTGGTAGCCAGGAACGCGGTGATGACGGCATAGACCCATTTCGAGTTCCACTCGTGCTTATCTTCGTGGTCGTGGTGGACGTCTTTGCCGTATAACCCGATGACGGTGAGACCGAAGACGAATTGGAAGAAGCGAAGGGCTGAGATGAGCATTTCGGCGAATTTGGCACGTTTGCTTTGTGGGGCGCCGTTTGGTGGTGGATAGCGCATGTCAGTGCCCGGCGTGACGCCGGGAGGATATGAAGACATTGGGTACGGCTCTTGGGGGTATTGGGCGTTTGGATAGGGGGGGTTGGCCGTAGAGTTCGGCTTCTTTTTGGGCCTTTTTTGAGGCTTTGTTTTTCTTGTGGCGGTTGTAGCCGAGTTCGAGGACTTTCACGAGGAGGAAAGCCATGTTGGGGGTTGTGGTTGGAGTGATGGAGATCGAAGTAGTCAGCCGAGAGGTTTGGTTTGGCAAAAAGAAGAGCTTGAGAGGAAAAGACGGAGATTGAGGCGATGTAAAGAAAATGCGCGCAGCGCAAGGTATTGTCGTCAGGTATATACCTAGGTAATATGCGATGAAGACCAGTGAATGGCGAAGGCTTGGATGAAGTATGCAATACGAAGGAACAATAAGTCTAGGCAGAACTTGAACTCATCAACCAGGATGATTCATAGACCACCGGAGTCAAAGAAAGACCGAGATGAAACGGATAAAAGAAAGAGAGCAAGAAAATGCTGCAGTCAAAAAGAAAACAGAAAGAAAGTCGTAGTCGTAGTGGTTTCATCCAACCAGTGGATTTGATCAAGTCTTTATAGCACCGAGCCCATGGGATCTTTTCATACATACCCCTTCCCCTTGGCGGCAGCTGCGACAGCTGCGAACAGCCACTGCCGCCAAAGACTGAAAAAGAAAGATCATGTTTCTATTTTCTTCAACGCGCCTAGCCTAGTCCATAATGAAACTGTCTTCACGGGTCGGGTGGTATGGCTCGGCGGTTGGCGAACAAAGGGTCTCCACCCTGTCGGTACACGGGGCAGCCTGCTCCTCCATAGGTTCGCGAGGCAAGAGTGAAAGCTGAAACAATCAGCCCAGGGGGTCAAACAGACATCGCTATTGTCGGCATAGGGCTGGCGCTAACTGAGGGACGTCGCGCGGGACTGCAGTAGGGTTGGGCGCGCGCTAAATCAATGCTGAAGGGTCGTTTCATCGCGGGGGGAGTAGACACTGGAGAACCAATCAATGGTTCATGTCTAAGTATATCAACAGAACGGGATTTTGATTGGCGAGAGCTGGATTTGGGTTTTCCTGGAAGCTAAGAATAGGTGGTGACTAAGGTAAGTTGGTCAAAGAAATCAATGTCAGATGGGGAAATGAGGGGGATATGCGAACAAAGGACTCGAGCTACATCGAACCCTTTGAAAGAGAATTATTATACGGAACAATTGACGATTCTTTCAAATGGTATGCACATTGCCCTACTGGCCATTCTGTCATTACAATTACAGGTCCTCAAAATGAACCCCGCCAAATGAACCAAATGAATCGCGCCAACCCAAGATGCTGGAGAGGGGATTTTCGTGATGCAAAACTCGTAACGTCAATCCAAAACGCCAAATCCAAATTGTAAAAAAGAAATCGACATGAAACTACGCCCCAAGGGAAGAGTCTACTAGCTCTGACCTATTACAGTGTCAGGGTGGCCGATTTGCCCCAGCGTCTGCAGCGCCCCCATCATCCCCCGCCGTCGCAGCCAGTTTAGGATAATTGCCAGACGGGGGGAGGGGCGGTTTAAAGTCTGCCGGAGACACGGGGTCATGCGAGGGGATCGGACTGGGTTCATCATCATCGTACTCGTGTCCAAGATAATCATCATCCGGGTGACCAGATCCAGCAGCTGAGGAGTGGTCGACCGAAGCACGGTCGTAGCCCTGCTGATAGTTCTGGTGACCAGGAGCATTCTTCGAGTTCTTTGTCGCCTTCTTCGTCTTTCGGCCCTTCATCTTGGCCTTTTCCAATAACCGCTTCTTCTCCGCAAGCCGCTTTCGCTCTTTGCGGTCTTTGATCTCATACTGTCGAATCAATGCCTCGGGAGGATGTCCGAAAATGCTTTCATATTCACAAAATTCGCAGATCCAGATATCTTCCAACCGAGGCGGGTGGTGGATGTTGCTATACTGTTGCTGGATTTTGCGCTGACGCGCTGCCAGCGAGTATATACTACCGGGTGACCGCTTTTTCTTACGGCCCACGGGAGCTTGTTCGCCTGGCGCCGGCTGCGTGCCCGGGGGTGCGGCCATGCCTGGACTTGTCTGCGTCCCTTGTGTAGAGAATCCTCGGGGGTTCTGCGTGGTCGCAGCAAGGGGCGAAGTGGACGAGCGGTGGGGCAGAGGAAACGGACTTCGCTGCATGGCCATGCCTTTGGAAGAGTCGGACTCGCATGTGAAAGTAAATTGGGTCTTAGTCGGGGTGGTATTCTCCTGGTCTAGCAGGCTGACGTTACTTGAACCCTGGGGCGGAGAGGAAAGGGTGGCTGCGTTCGCAATGGCAGTGGAAATGATTCCTTGGTCCGAATCACCTTGTGAAGCAAGTCAGCATTACCCCGCAATTTGGTCGCATAGACCCAATACTCATTTATGAGCAGGTAAGCATACCAGGTGGTCCAGGAGACGACATCAACCCATCCCGACGACTCGGAGTACGAGTGGTCATCCAAGCATTCTGGGCGTTAGCGGACAATGGGTTTCGACCGGAGTTGCTCCGCGCGGAACTACGTCCTAACCTGCCTCGCCCAGAGCCTGATATCCCACTGGCCAAGGGCGAAGCAGGGTTCCCATTCCCATAGTATGTGCTAGTCGCCATGCCATCACTCGCCGCAGCCGGGGCAGGGCTGGAGTTGGCCAACCCCATACTCGCAAACTCGGGGGACAGTGCCGAGTGGTGGCCCCCCATATTCCCCGGCGTGGGAATTTTTCGTTTCTTCTTATTATTTGTGTTCTCAAAAGCGTCATAACCATCCGGACCCGTCGAAGATTTGGGGACTTCGTCTTTCCCGGAATACCCCTGGGGGTGTGTACTCGAACCCGGTGACATTGAACCTCGAAATCCAGCGCTGCGTCGAACAACTACTGGCCCATCCTCGTCCCCACTTTCAAATTCAGCTGTCGTTTCGAATCCGTGGTGCGTGTCGGCCTCGGGGGTTAGTTCATGCCGGTCCGACTCGATAGTCTGCTGCACGTAGACTTTGGCGTCGTTGACCGCCTCTTCCGAGTCCCCGGGGACGCCGTAGAAGATTTGGGAGGCCGGCGGTGTTGGTGGATACAGAATTGTGTCGGCGGCGTCGATAGATAAACGAGAGCGGAGGGTCTTTCTGGGAAGTGGCCGGATCAGGCGATCGGGGTAGACGGCAGAGGGTGTGTCAGGGGCCGAGTTGAACGTCCCGTCTGCAGAAGCACACACGACGTCAGTAACCGAGTAACCAATACACTACGTAGTCCGTAGAGAGTGATCTGGAGAGCCTTGTATAGCCAACGAGGCGACTGGACAAGGAGGTCCCATGGATATAAGACGAGTTGACATACTCAGGGTGGCAGTCATCATGCAAGTTCTCAACACTTGCCCACAACCAAACCACAACCGTCACGATGTGTGGAATGGGATGTGCCAGAATTGTTTTCGCTTAATTCCTACTTCCCCCTCCTCCGAGTAATGGTTGTTGAGGGGGAAATCCAGCGAGATGAATGATGATATATAATATATGGCTGTGGGGGAGGAACGCGGGAACGGCGGGCACTGTGGTCAGGACTGGTGATTAGTCCTCATGGATCGGAGTAATAGGGAGATCTTGGTAAAGGGCAAGAGGGGCCAAATGGGGGATCACCAAACAGCCAACTTGTCATTCCCTTAATATTCAAGCGGGCTCGGGCGTTCCACAATCACGGGGAGTGGGAATATGAACATACCCACAACGAGTGCCAATCTTCAGCACCAGCACCAACAAGGGATGGAGGTGACAGGAAGTGGAAGGGAGAGGATCTGGACTGAACGCAGAACCAGAATGCAGTTGGCTCTCGTAGAAAAGCCCCGAGGGATCTTGTGAAGCACGGCGGAGGGGTTGGCATGGAAGGACTAGAGAGGGTCACGGGATTTCGGCTTTCAAGGCGGGCTAAACCCTTTTGGGGAATTCTGGGCACCCAACGAGCTACTCTGGGGTACTTATTACGCAGCATCAGTACAGCAGGCTGTGTCACTGCTAATGGTAGTGGTAGTGGTGCATGGTATTGTGAGTGACCTTCGATGTCAACAGGCTCGTCTCATATCCCGATGTGTATGTGCATGTGCATGGCTGAAAGAAACGAAAGTGCGGAGTTCATCGGAAAACAACATGGTACTGTATGGAGCAGCTAGGGTTAGGCATGGCGATGGAATTGATGGGTGCCAGTGACTACGGATAGATAGATAACATGTACCGATCAGTACTTAATATGTAGTTACTCAGTAGTAGGTTGTACCTGAACACTAAACGAGGGGGAAGCTGGACGCCCTAACCAAAGATGACTACAGCCTCGTTTCATCCCAATCGATCAGGCTATGCTCTGAACGAAACGAAACGACCTTACCGTACCTGCATTCCGGGCAGCGAGTAACAGCCCCGGTGCCTTGCGTTGGTACGGATTGGATTCCAGCTTCTCGACCCCCGGTAACTCAATCCTGGCAGCTCAGCGCCGTGACGGTTACACCATCTTTCAGCTGCAAGATGTTGGTATGGATTGTAGCAAGCACAATTCAGCAGCGCTGGGAAGAAAGCCTCGGGGAGGAAAAGGGAGAGATTGGGCGCGAGCGGTGCAGATTCCAAGGAACCCACCAAAGAGACACTGGGCAGAGGCGTGTAGCTTGGGACCAATATGAGCGCCACTTGAATAAGTCACCTAGTAGATAGTAGCTATGTCATGGCGCAGAGACTGGAATTTGTGCATTTTCGCGTCAATCCCCTGCCGATCAAGCATTGAACCGGATTCCCTATGGAAGGAGATAGTGACCTTGCCGGTAATCGCGAAGGAGAGAGAAGGAGGTGCAGGTCAGCCGCACCCTGGGGCAGCCGTGGCGAGAGGAACGGATTTCTGCCGAGGGGGGGCAAAGTCAGCATTGGCGTGATACTAGTGGGAGATATAGTCGAGAGGGATGTATTCGAACACAATGGGAATCATTCAATGGTATTAGAAGGAGGGGGAGAAGGTAAGTGGAAGCCATAAGAGGGGATGTTAAAGTGGAAGTGGAAGTGGAAGTGGAAGTGGAATGTCGCGTCAAAGCAGAGCGGGGAAGGACGGGCGAGGATCTTTTGGAGTCCCGTTCCGGCGCTTTTCTCCTTCTCTTCTTCTCTGCTGCACCCCCGCCAATCTCTTCTTTCGTTCCTCAGACTATGTAGTCATCGGGCTCTTACTCGAGCCCTGTGACGTCCTGCTTCGGTTTCTACTGCGATCCTCAATTGTCCTGCTCTCCTTCTTCCACAAGAAGCTCCCCAATCGCACGAAGCTCCCTCGCAACCACTCTGGCTCGAGGCGGTGCTCCCCCAACACCCACAACGCCCACCTACCAAGGATCTGTTGAATCTCCTACCTTGTTCTCTGAATCCTTATAATTCCATATCTCCTATTTCCTCGCATTTCTCACCCCTCCTAATCCGCCACCATGACGCCTCGTCGCTCTTCGAGAGCCCGCACCACCCAGCCTTCTCCTGCCCTCCTCCAACACACCAACACGAACTCCTCTGCCAGCTCCTCCAACTCTACACGCGAGAGAAACACCCGCTCGAATCACAAAAACCCTTCTCCTCAAGGTTCCACCGGTGCTCGCTCCCAGTCCATCGACGATACCGAAAACGGCTCGAGGGTCGACCTCCCACACACGCGCCAGCGCCAACGTGCCCGCGATGATGACGACGAAGAAGAAGATCCCCCTCGTCCCCTGGAAGATGACGAAATGGACGAGGATGAAGAGGAGGAAATAACTCGGTGTTTGTGTGGCCAGCAGGACTACCCCGGCCTGCCCCCCCCTCTCGTCGCGAAGCTCTCCTGCTCGGTCGCAGTGCAATCAAGCCGGAGGGCGAACAGCCTCCTCCTGATTCATCTGACTTGCTTTCCGATGAAATCGGTAGCATGTTCATCCAATGCGACTCGTGCAAAGTCTGGCAGCACGGTGGCTGTGTGGGAATTATGGATGAGGAAACAAGCCCCGACGAATATTTCTGTGAAGAGTGTCGAAAGGACTTGCACATCATTCGCGACGAACCAAATGGGTATGTTTGCAAACCAATCCTCCCGTCTTTCTTTCTTTCTTTCTTTCTGCTTCTTGTTCTTCGTCCCTCCCTCCCCCCATTCGGTTTCGTTGCGTTGCGACTGCTCGTGCTGGCTCAGGCTGGTGCGAACAGTCGAAGCTGCAAATTCTCGTTGCTCAGGTGCAACTTGGAATTGAATGCCGATCGGAGGACTTTGGCCGTGTTCTCCTTGCAATACTCCTGCCAATTCTCCTCTTCAAGAGACAACATGCTAATAATCTCGCAGCCAGCGCTCGTCCACCTACCTCCCCGTCAATCCGAAATCATCACCCGCCCCCTCCGTGCCCTCCTCCCGACCCTCTCGAGCCTCTTCCCACGAGAGCTCATCCCAACGTTCCAAGGACGCGAAATCTCGCCTGAGCGAAAGCGAAAATGTCAAGCGACGGTCGACCATGAACAGTCGTGATGCCGCTTACGATGAAGAAGAACTAATCCGACGAGCGATTGAAGAAAGCAAAGAGGATACCAAAAGTCTTCCCGATGATACATCCAGCCGCCGGGGAAAGAGAAGTCGTAGTGAGAGCGAAGCGTGCGTATCTTTCTTTTCCTTCACATTTAGACATGTGGTTCGGTAGCTGACATCCCACTTCCAGACACAGAGAAAGCACCAAACGCCCGCGAACCGGCTCTCCGTCTCCTGCTGCTCCCATATCGAAGGAAAACAACCCCGTGTCCCAACCTCCCTCTGATGATGAGTCCAAAGCGAAGCCGGCAATGAACGGCACCCGGAGGCAAAGGGCCGCATCTCGGGGCCAGCGTGATAAGGTGCCCCCCCAAAGAACCAGAGGAGCCTGAGGTGGAAGCTCCTGAAGCTGTCAATGGTCGAAAGGAGAGAGTAGTAGAACGACGCAAAGGAGATGGTGAGTGCCGAGAGACGTTTCCCCTCAACGACTTCGGAGTATTTGCTTACATCCCGGTTCTAGAATCCGAACCTGAGATTGGATCTCCTGTAAAAACGGTACCGAGCGAGCCTGAACCAGCACAAGCAAGCCCGGATACCCCTACCCAAGAACCCACACCAGCTCGCCCATCAACACGCAAGTCAGGTCGTCCGCCTGCACGCCGCGGCCGAGTTGGACGCAATCAATACACCAAAGATCGAGATGTTAATGGCAATGGCACCGAGTCACCACGTCGCGGGCAATCTCGCGAAATCGGCGGAGATTCTCCCAGAGTGGGATATAGCAACACAAACGGTGCGCACGTCAATGGGGGAGATACCGGGCGACCCAGCAAGCCTCGCAGTATGCACCCGCAGCGCACGACGATGATTGAAATGAAGAGACGTGTGGCGGCCATTCTTGAGTTCATCTCACGTATGCAAGTAGAGATGGCTGTTGCCAGCGAGAACTCCTCTACCCCAACAGGAAACGAGGATCGTTCTCAAGGCCTGCTTTTAAAGAGCATGGTCGAACAGATCGATGCCGCCATGGCATCTACAATCAGTGATGGCGGCGAGTCTGCCCCACCTACGACAGACGGCGACGGAGACGCCCCATTCCATGAAAAAGACTTCAAAGACCTCAGCAGTGTGGAAATGATGGACGTGCTCACCCGTCACCTCCTCAAGTGGCAGCAGGAATACGGGAAGTTTGGGGAACGGTAGTTTCTGCCGTGTCACCGCACCACGCGCGTGTGTGTGGTATTGCGTGGTTATGCGTGTATTCCAAACTAGACCGATCATCTGCTGCTTCTCATCACGATACCCCCTTGTTTCATCATTCGTCCTTGTCGCCCGTTGTATATTAGACCCTTTTCTGCAGGCGTCTGTTTGTCGTTTTATTTTAACCTTTTCAGCTTTTTCTTAGTTATTTTTCTTTCGTGGCTCTCGCCATGTATCATCTCCTTCATATCAAATTGGCGTCTTCATCATCATTGGAAACCGAGAGTGGTCATGGCTAATTGCGTTGCTCCCACCTTCTCGGATCTCGAGATTTCTTCTCCTTTTCCTTCTCATGAGTCATATTTCATTTCTGAACTCCGGTCTTGTTTTCTGAATCTTGCGGGAGTTTTTTTTGCTTCATGCTGGGTTCCTTTCTTCACTCTTGTTTGGCTTGGGTTGGTGTTTTGGAAAATTAGGCTCTCTCTATACATCGGCTATTCGGTAAGAATTTCCTCTTGGTGAAATCAATATAACTACTCTCTTGTGCTATAAATTTGATGTGTCGAATTGTAATCTTGAAATGATTGCACAATCTTCTTTAATTGTTCGCGGTGGTTAGTAAACAATCGTAAATCGGTTGAAAACTCACGCGAGATTTCAGAGCCACGGACAGCGACTCGATGGATCTTAGCTTCGCTTACTGCTGTCCGAGTTGATTCTGTAGCTGCAGCCATTCAAGGATGATATGCTCCTCTAATAAATCATCCAGTGACACCTTTTACCTGGGCATAGAAATAGAGATATCTCCAACTCCACCATCCACATCCACATCCAGCTAAAGTTAATTGATCCAGGTCAAACCTAACAACTTGGAATCAAAGCCCACCTGGGCAGATAGTCAAATAGAAAAACAATTCCTCAATCAAAATGATACGATTTCCTTGAACTGAGGCCATGATATGTGGGGCTGCCCAGGTGCCTTGCTTCATCCAGGCCTCGACTGCGGCTTTCTCACCGGTGTTTATACTTCGATCACCCCAGCCCGTATCAGATTGAGAATAAGGTCCCTCCTATTGGCGACCCCACGCCCTCCTCTCTGCGTTTACCCCGGATTACGGGAACCAACCCGTCGATATCTGTCTCATTGAATGCCATTTTGCCGTATCTGTAGATAGAAGACATAAAAAATGACCCGCCCCCGCGCTGGTCATCGTGTGGAACTTGGAAAGCTTTTAATGTAAATACCATAATCTGCAGGTAGACCTTAGACCTGCAAGTACCAGTCCTCAAAATGGACGATATCGCACATTCAAAACCCGGTACGGAGGCTGTTGAATACGTCAAGCCGGGTCCGCTGCAGCAACTGCCTCTTCCAGTGGAGTTGGCGTCTTTGGGGAGCGATGAGATTGAGCAGCTTGAGAAGGGGCTAGTTCGCCGATTGGATACCTGTTTACTTCCATCCGTGGTGATTCTTTTCTTGATGAATATTCTCGATCGGTATGGTCTTCCCTCCCAGATTGGTCCCTCCAGCCCTTTGTCAGGTTCAACCAACTAACATTGGAATTACTCCAGAAACAATATTGCGAATGCAAAAATTGCCGGACTACCCGATACACTCGATATCACTAACACTCAATATAATACCTGCCTCATGATATTCTACGTTGGATGTAAGACAGTATCCAAATATCCCACTCCCTCGGGGGGAAACGCTACTAAACAACACACGCAGACATTCTCACTCAGCTTCCCTCGAATCTGATCATCACAAAGGTCAAGCCCTCCATCTATATCGGCACCGTCACTGCAGCCTGGGGAATAGTATCCATGTGCCAGGCATTCACCCGCAACTTTGCAGGCCTATTCGTGTCTCGTTTTGTCCTGGGATTGGTAGAAGGACCTTTCCTACCGGGAGTTTTCTTCCTCATGTCCTGCTGGTACAAGCGGTCTGAACTACCCCCGCGCATCGCCCTTCTATATGGAGCGAATATGCTGGCTAGTGCTTTTGGTGGGCTAATAGCTGCGGGAATTGTTGCTCGCATGGAGGGGAAAATGGGTAGACCGGCATGGGTAAGTTGTTTCAATATCAGAATAGTAATTACTTCCAATCGCAGTACTAACCGCGGGGGTTCTCTGGATTAGCAATGGCTTTTCATTATTGAGGGTTCGATGACTATTGCAATCGCATTACTTGTTATCCCTTTCATCCCGGATTACCCCGGTACCACCAAGCGCTGGTGGATGGACCGCGAGTATCAATTGCTGGCTGTAAGTACTATTGCTCTAACCTAAAGATGTTTCAGCACGAAACGAGCAGACGGACTAATAATACTTGATGCTAGGACTGGCGTCTCCGTAATGAAAATGCCGGACTCACTGACGACGACCCTGGTTCCCTACTCTGGGGCGTCAAGCAAGCTCTCGTTGACCCGAAACTATACATGTTCATCGTCCTCCAAATGGCTCTTCTAACAGCTCAGTCATTCAACAATTTCTTCCCTTCAATCGTCGGCACATTGGGATATAACAAGACCATCACTCTCTTACTAACCGCACCACCGTATGCATTCGCATTTATCTGCTCCCTGATGATCTCCTTCCATGCAGCTCACAAACAAGAGCGAGGTTTACACATCGCCATCCCCTTACTCTTCGCATTTCTGGGGAATCTCCTAGTAAGACCAGATCCACACCCAAGCTATTAATTAGTCAAGATAGCTGCGCAATTCTAACTAACGTCATTTCACAGGCGATGTTCGTCCCATCCACAGGTGGTCGTTATTTCAGCATGTTCCTCATGACAGCGGGTTCCTACTCACCCTATAATCTCTGCGTCTCCTGGCTAAGCTCAACACTCCCGCGTCCCAAAGCAAAGCGCGCAAGCGCATTAGCTATCGTTAATTTAATGGGTGCTGGCGTGGCACATTTCTACACCTCGTACATGTTTCCAGATGCCCAGCAACCGAGATACTACGCCGGCGGCGGTGTTATGAGCGGTGCTTGTCTGGTGTGTGCGTTGATGGCATTGGGCATTAAGTGGCATTTGAAGAAGCAGAATGCGGAGATTGAGAGGGCTGAGATGGAAGATGGTGTGCTTGCTAGTAGTTCGGCTATTACTGGGACGGCGAGAGCGGATGGAGTTGTTTCGTTCCGATACGTTCATTGATTGTGTCTTTCATGTGATATTTACCTACTGGTATTATCCCTATACTGTGGGGTTGTTGTTATTTTGATGAATGGATGTCACGATTGATTATCAAGATTCCTTCGACCATACTAAGTGAGGCATCCATCGGCACGTGGAAGAAATTAGCGTTGGTGATGGTTACTAGTATGTATATCGATCATTGCTTATGGTACTATCCTCTGGGGATTATACATCAATCTGGAATTCTTCTCGTATTGTAGATAGCTGAATCATAACACCCATCGAGCGTATTTACTCCAAACCTCAACGCGCATAAAAAAATCAAACAGCCCTACCAGATACATACAACCCCAATGCGGAAAAAGACATAAGGTCATTCAGACAATATGAACAGGACCTATCAGTAATAATAAAAAACCAAGTCGTCCCTCTCCGAATGCACATGTACGCCAACCCGAAGCAGAACAAAGAAAAGAAACAAAAAAACAAATCAAATCACACCCAAACAGCGACTCCAGATCCAATCCATCGTAGTACAATTACCTCCATCCTATTCACAGAAAGCCTTTGGTGTTGCTGGGCTTCCGCTGTAGGGCGTCATTAGATCCATAAGCAGCACTTCCCTTCCGGCTACCAGCATCGCTGAACGCAGGCATTGGGGGCCGACCAATGACGCTACCGCGGATCTTGTACCCTCCAAGCTCTCGCTCCAAGCGGAGCACCTTCTCCTTCTCCTCGCGCAATTCGCGCTCAGCGCGACGGACGCGCATTTGAGTATCGGTATCGCCTTGGTTGAGCTCATCGATGTTCTGAAGAAGGCGGGAAATCTTATCCTGGGCCTTGTTCATATCTTCGGTAAGCTGGACATTGATCTTCTCGCGTCGATCGATTTGAGATTGGAGGTCCTTCACAGTGCGATCAACGTTCCGAAGGGAGCGCTGTTCGGCACTGTTCTTGTTCTCTTGCTCCTCGAGGTGGGTTTCGAGCTGCAGGGGGTGTCATATTAGCACATGTAATCTAGGTGTCAAAGAGAATACAACTTACTTCCTTGACGCGCTTGTGCAGGAATCGCACATCTTGACTACCGGACGAATAGCCCTTAGTTTCGAGATCCACGCATCGCAGTTGGACCTCCTTGAGCTGCTTCTCAAGCCGGGTCTTATCCTTGAATAGTTGGGCATGGGCCTCGCGTTCAGCAGTGAGCTCTTTCTGCATTTCGGTGTTAAGAGCATCAGCCCGGCGCATCTTGCCAACAGCCGCGGAAGAGACATCCTCCTGCTGAGCAAGCTTAGACTTGAGCTCAAGAAGCTCACGATCCATGCTAGCCGCATTGCGCATAGACGGGCTTTCGCCCTTGGCAAGATCTTCCAGGCGCTCGCCGGCCTCGGCCAAACGACCTTCCAGCATCTTCTTGTCCTTCAGAAGAAGTTCACGTTCGGCAGTGACATCATCGACAGAGGTACGCAGAGTCCGGACTTGAGAAAGAAGGGAGACCACCTTTGTTTGAGCCTCGTTATGTGCCTTAGACGCTTCATCACGCGAGTTGCTGATGTCTTGCATGACCATGTCCAGGCGGGCCTTCTCCTTGGCCCCAAGTGGAGCTGTTGAGAACTTCGTTATCCCACTTACTTCGAAGATCCTCAAGCTCCTCGCGCAGACGGGTGTTCTCACCCCGGGAGTGCAGAACACGCTCCCGCTCTGCCTCAAGTTCACTGTTGATGGTGGAGAACTCTCGCTGGTACTTTTGTCTGGTCTGCTCCATCGAAGTCTCCTTGTCTTCGATGTCGATGGCCCGCTGGTTGCGGTAGTCCTCTAGCTCGTTCTGGAGACGCTGCTTGGATTGCAAGGCAGCTTGGAGTTCGGCAGCTTGGTCTTCCATGCGAGCCTCCAGAGAGGTAGTTTCACGTTGCAAGTCCTCCACAAGACCGTCCATTTCCTTCCGCTCGGACATAATCTGGGCACAGGTCTCTTCAGCTTCCTGGCAACGGGATTTGGCGAAGTTCTCGGCGCGAGTAGCCTTTAGAACAGTAATCTCAGCTTGTTCAATCCTGTTGAAGTACTCATCAGCACGAGTCTTATATAGGCTAAGGCTAGACTCCAGGTCGGCGGCTCTCGAGGATTCAGAATCGAGACGAATCTGAAGATCAGAGAATTCTGAGAGGAGTTGGTTGCGGCTGAGCGCGTCCTGGTCGTGGATTTCTTGCATCTCCTGGGTTTCGGAGCGGGCGTCACGGAGCTCAACTTCCAGAGAAGCACGGCTGCGCTTGAGCTTCTCAAAATGAGATTTGGCCTCGCCGAAGTCAGCCATGGTCTCATTGTGGACCTTAAGCAGCGAGCGACGGGACTGCTCCTGTGAGTTTATCAGGTCATACAGCTCCTCATGTGATTTGGCCTGGACATCGCGCAGCGACAATTCACCGGAACGAATACTGCGTTCCAAAGATGAGACCTTCTTGGCAGAGTCATCAAGCTGATCATGGAGACGACCGTTCTCGCGCTCAAGGAGGTTCATACGACGGACAGATGGGCTGTCATCCTGCCAAATGTCTCTACCAGGAGTTGAGTGTTCAATCTGGCTTTGCAGATGGCGGTTTTGCATCTCCGTCATCTGAAGCTTGTTCTGCAGCTCTTCAATCTCAGCCGCGGTGTCCATACGCCTCTGGTACCCGACGGTATCCACGGTCCTGTCAGAGCGAGCAGAGTCATTCGCCGTTTCATAGACGTTGTGGAGTCTGTTGGGCGTCGAAGGATTGGAGAATCGCTTCAGCGCGTTTTCGGAGTTCTTCCGGAAATGCTGTGGCGTACGGTTGTTGGCCACTTCATTCTGATCGATTTCTTCGAGCAAGGCACGCTTGGAAGAGGAATACTTGGTGTCCAAGTCCTTCATCTCATCGGCATGGCGGCGGCGTATCTCGGCAAGCTGGCTTTCAGCTCTGGCATGCTTCTCCTCAGAGACCTTTAGCTTGTGCTGCACAGTGTCGATAACTTGTGCGAGGTCAACCTGTTTGGATAACTGTGGCTGGACTGCTTCCCATGACTGACTAACTTCCGTCGCTTCAGGCTCAAACACCCGGTGGAGAAGAATGAGCTTTTGGTGCAATTCCTCGACCTCCTTGTTGCTTCTATCAAGTGTTCCCTGGATTTGGCGGGTGTTTGATTGAGCCTGATTCCGTAGCTGGCGCTCGTTTTCGAGGTTTCGGTTGGCCTCTGCAAGCTGGATATTGGCAGTAGAAGCGGCCTTCTCTGCGTTGCGGCTGGTCTTGTGTTCCCTCTGGATCTCATGGTTTATATCCTCCAGGCTCAAAGCCAGTTTCTCCTTTTGTTTTTCAAGAGATGTGATAGCAAGCTGAGACTCTCCAAGCTGACGCTCCAGCCTCTTGTTTTCTTCGTCGAGTTTGGTCTTCTCCTTCTGAAGATTGGTCAACCGGAGTCTATTATTGTCACTCGCTTTGGAAGTTGAACGAGCAATGTCAAGGTTCTTTTGTTGGATCTTCGTAAGCAGAGATCGGTTGTCGTTCTCGGAAGCCGTCAATCGGCCTCGCAGGGTAACCAGCTCTCGCTCTAGACGTTCTTTGTGCTGATCATGGCGAATACGGAAATTGTCAGATTCGGAAATTGCATGGGTGAGCTCCTGAACCCGAGCGGCGAGCTCAGAGCGTTCCGCCTCGATATCTTCAAGTAGTTCCGTCTTCTCGGTTAGATCCTTGCGCAGACTGGTGATACGCTCATCGGCCTGGTTCTTGATCTTGCGTTCGATTTCGGCCTCGGCGTTCAAACGAGCACTCTCAACATTCGTAAACCGGTCACGGAGCTTGATCAACTCGCTCTGCAGATCCTTTCGTGAAGTCTCCGCATGAGCCCGGGCCTCGTTGGCTCGGCGAAGGGTGTCTTGCTGAATGTACATCTCCCTCTCGATTGTAATCTTGGATTCATTGAGAGCGTCATACTTGGTTTTCAAGTCCGAAAGGTTGTGGTCAGAGAGCATTTGGACATCGTCCCTTGATTGACGCTCTCGGCTGAGGTCTGCTTCGACCTTGAACAGTTGGTCCTTGAGGTCATGCACTTGGTGTTCTAGGAATTTCCTGCTTTCGCCAGCCTCGGCATCTTCGGTTCTCTTGTCCTCAAGGAGTTGCTTGACGGCGGCCGCTTCACGCTCAAGCTGAGCCTTCTCCGATCGCATAGCATCCCTCTCCGCTTGCACTTCACGGAGACGTTGTTGCATGTTGTCATGTCGAGTTGAAAGAGACTTCCTCTCAACTTCGATACTCTGCTTGTCTTCGCTGTGTTTCTTTGCATCGTTCCGGAGGACGGCCATTTCGCTCTCTTTCCGTCGCAAGAGATCTTCATAGCCAGTAGAAGTAGCAGAGAGCTCAGAAATTTGTTGACGTACGGACCGATTGTCGTCCTGGAGGTCACGAACTTGTTTCTTCGACTTGTCAAGCTCCTTGGAGGTGTTGGCAAGCTTAACGTCAAGGTCTTGATCTGTTTTCAGGAGTTTGGTCTCAAGCTCTTGGAGCTTTCGGTCTTTGAGGCTCAAGTGACTTTGGAGCATCTTGATTTCTTGTCCAAGCTCTTGAATCTGGTTATCCTTGCCGGAGAATCGACCTTCGGCTTCAGTAAACTTTTCATCGAGTTCGGCCAAGCGCGCTTGTGCGTCATTCTTCTCGGCCTCTAGTGTCTGAATGATCTGCCCGGCTTGTTCAAGTTGAGTGATCCGGAGTTGGAGCTGCTCATCAGTCTTCCTCTTCGCATCAACCAACTCGTCAAGTTGTTCTTCCAGACTCTCCTGATCGGCAATAGCCTCGGAGAGCTTTTCCGCCAGCTCTCCTTCTCGTTCTTGCAGACGCTTGAATATTTCTTCCTTGTCGAGGGCAAGGGCACGCTCGCTTTCCAAGGTCTGTTGGATCTTCTGGATCTCCATCTCCGTACGTCTGCGCTCCTCGTCGACCTTTTGACGATCCGAAATATCTCGCTTCATCTTCTCTTCCAAAGATTTAATCTTGTCATCTCTTCTTTGAACTTCTTTAGCAGTACGCGTATCACCAAGGAGAGGCTTCATCCTTGAGAACATGCGCCACCAGGGACTACCCTTTAGCTCCAGATATGAGTGGAAGTTTTGCTGAATGATACGGGTTGCCTCGGCCCGGTATAGGCGTTTGTTCGAGATACGGCGCTGGACGAATCCTCGGGCCAGGGATTGGAAACGGGTCATGATGGTCCGAATTATCTCATCTCGCTTCTCTTCCAGGTCGGCCAGAACACCGGCTCGGAAGAAAACCTTGGTCCGACCAACGCGATACCAAGACCGGTCCATGCCTAACTTCTCAAGCATCATTTGAGCTGCGCGCTGGCCCTCCAGATAGCCCTTCGGCATATTATGGCAGAGAACCCCGTATCGTTGCCTAAACTCGGCAAAAGGTAGTCGATTGGGGAAGCCAGTTCGCGCAATGCGAATTCCTTCCAAGACACCATTGCAGCGAAGTTGATCCAGAACCAAGGGTGCATGAAGCATCTTGGGTCGTTTCTTGTGGTTTGGCAAGATACAACGTACGAAATGGGGATGAGTGGAATGAAGCTGGCTCATCAAAGTTGCGAGCTGTTCCTTGTGTCGTTGAGCTACTGTTCGGAACAGGCCCTTCTTGACCCGGCTGCGAGGGAAGTCGCCTCCTGACTCGGGGTCAGCGCAGTCGGCGAAGATGTTGGCGACATGTGGTTGTTCGGAGCCCGCCAGGAGACGTGTGATATTGTCATTCAAAGGATCTTTATTTTTCTCGAGCCAATCATGCGTGGTGTACTCGACTTCGGCGGCGTAATGTGTGAGAACGAAACCTTGGCTGAGGCGAGCGGAGCGGTATTTCGGCGTTTTACGGTCCCAGAGCGAGTGAAGTTTCTCGGTGAAAGACTTGTCTGTGGCCTTAGGCATCACACAATCCTCATCCAAGCAGGAGAAGATACCAATTGGATTGGTCAATTCGATCAAATCGATTGTCGGCTGCAAATCTTTGCCGAAGTCAATGAACTGCCACTCGATCTGTTCCCTCGCGTATTCTTCCTGCTCCAGCACAAACATGTGATGGTTGAAGAACTGTTGAAGCTTCTCGTTGGTATAGTTAATGCAGAGCTGTTCGAAGCTGTTGTTGTCGAAGATTTCAAAACCAGCAATATCCAGCACGCCAATAAAATAATTGTCATCAGCCATAGAACGGCCGAGCTGGTTGTTGATTCTAGTCACAAGATCCCCGAAGCCACGCTCATAGATACCCTTAGACAGCGCATCCAGGGCGAGGCGAACTTGCTCGGGAGTCTGGACCTTTTCAACCCATTCCCGACCAGCTTTGACTTTGGGGTTCAAGAGACCCTTGACAAAGGGTTCTGTTGGAATACCCAAAAGCTGGCAGGCCTTCTCCAAGCTCGCATGTCCATCCGAATTCAGCGCTGCCTGCTCCGCACGCGCGCTCGCCTTTGCAACGGATACATTGCCAAGGTGCAGCACTGCGGCGATGGTGCGTAGAATACAGATCTGGTCTTCCTCGGAGAAATTCATGATGTGGAATGCTTCGACGAGAGAGTTCCACTCATCCTTGTCAGAAACGCCCACGATAGAGTCATTTCCATCTCTGGTGTATGAGAAATCTTCCACTTGAAGGTTATCGAGCAACAGCTTCTCTCGAGTTTTCCTGTCCGCTCCCTGGAGCAGCTGGTAGAAGATGTGGTAGTTACGCTCGTTGGAATTGGGTTTGACAACTCGTGACTTTTCAAGCAAGTACCAGTCGATCCATGCTCCGCAGATCTGACCAGACCGTGAGAATTCAATCCTAATGAATTTTCCGAATCGAGAAGAGTTGTTGTTCCGGACTGTTTGAGCGTTTCCGAATGCCTCGAGGATAGGGTTGGCACGAAGGATTTGTTGTGAAAGATTTGTGAGATTCTTAGTTCCAGATCGTCCATAGGGAGTATCTGAGGTTGCGACTGCGGCCAGATACTGGATGACCTTTTTCGTGTTCTCGGTTTTACCAGCACCGGATTCACCTCTGAGCGTTGAAGTGATTAGCCTTTGCAGCAAGACGAAATGATTTCGCCAAACTCACGTTACAAGGATGCTTTGGTTTTCACCCTCCTCGACTAAGTTGCGGAATGCTTCATCTGCCATCGCAAAGATATGTGGACGAGTTTCCTCCCTCGCACGACCCTTGAACATCTTGATATACTCGTTCGTATAGATTGGGAGTGGGCAGTAAGGGTTGATGGTAACCAGGAAAAGACCGGAATATGTCTGTAGGCAAAAGTGTCAGTGCAAGTTCACAGTCCGCCTGTTCGAAGAAGGCGACCAACATAGATTAAATCCGACTGATATCTCGTGTGGAGATTGTGTACCACGGAGGCCTCGTTCAGATGTGTCAACTCGGCCATATCGTCGGCTTTGTCGAACTTGGCCGGGTTGACCTTGTCGACTTGATCGGCTTCAACTTCGCGTTGCTACCCGAAGTGTCAGCACTGTGTCCATAGACCGAAGAGTCCGAAAGCTCCTACCTCTCCATCGTCACTTTGGACCAAAAGTTGGCCTCCCTCCAACTCTTCCAAGACAAGGCCACGGACAAAGGCCTTTTCAGGATCCCTCAGCCAGACGTACTTGTTACCGGAAAAATCATTGTCGCCCTCCAGTCCACGGATTTGGTCCGCACTGCGTCGCATTTCCTCGGACTTGATAAAACTTGGCGCAAAGGTTCCGGAGGAAGCATTGTTACGGCCGGAGTTTGATCGTTCACGGGTTGTTGAAGCCGGAGACCGTGCGGGGGACAGTTGTGAGACAGAGGAGTTGCGGAGATGCCCTCTTGCCGACTCCAATCCATTTGAAGGCGTAATGATAGCTGATTTGGGCCTTTGCTGTGAGTGTGGTGCTGGGGATGGCGAAGACCGACCAAATGCATTAGCCCGCTTGGGGGAGCTATTCAGTTGAGAGGGAAGCATTGCGTATTGGTGGGTTCAATTAGTACATCATTAGATCCCAGTTGTTTTCGTTTCGCATAGCCAAATGAAGGCAAATAGTCGCAAGGAGGAGAATATGCGACACACGAGAGAAAGAGGAAAGGGAAAGGGGAAGGTAAAGGGAAAGGGAAAGGGAAAGGGAAAGAGGTGAGGGGTGGGAAACAGCAAGTGGGTAGAGTTACGTCGATGCAGCTGAAGTTGGAAGTTGGAGTAGGCGGAGAAGGTGTTTTGTTTACATTTGGCCCTGCACGGACCGGCGATCGCGGGCGCCCGAGGAACGCATATGCAAGGTCACATGACTGCATTACAACATTTTCGCGGCGCTTAATCCTATCACACACCTCAAGTTCCTCACCTCATCTTTCACCTTTCGATCCTGACTTTCGGTCACCTTCCCACCCCGATCGCACTTAGCACCTCTATTTCTCTCCTCTCTTTGTCGATCCACGCGCGACAGCCACACCCTTCTTTCAGTGGGCGCCGAGAGTGACACGGTAGAATACCGCCGCGAGTTTTCTAGGATCCACCATACTTGCGATTTATCGAACTCCAACCGCCATGACATGGAGTATCTAGCCGCCCTCACATACCCTCTCAGTTTACTTTGACATCAGTCGATTCACACTATCCGTTGGGATTCACGTCGACATTTTTGAAACTTTGCTTCACGATGTCAAATAGTCAACCACCCCCTTCATATGGGGGTCACCCCAGCTATGCACAGTGGCCTCCTCCTTATCCCGGCATGATGCCTCCGAATATCCCACCGGGCCAGTATCCTCCTCCCATCCCACCACCTCTCGCCAACACCGGCCAACCCTTCCCATATCATATGGGAGGTTTTGACCCAAACGCGACCATCCCCATGCCTCCCAACGGCGCACCAACTGGTCCTGGGATTTTTTATCCACCTCCTTTCCCTTTCATGCAACCGCTCGATCCATCACAAATGCCGGCACAGTCATTTCCTCCCACGCCCATGCCTCCACTTGGTTATCCACAATTTCCAGCTCCACCGGGGTCCTCACAACCTGCACCCGGACCCTGGGACGCGCATTCAGCAGACACGAGTCGAGCGCAAATTTCTCAATCACAGACGAGAGCCACTAGTTACACCAATTCCAATCGTGAAGATGGCGAAGTCGGCGACGAAGAAACAAGCCCAGCCTACAGGGTGACGGAAGCCTCGAGACCTGCCAGAGGTCCCGGTCTGGTTCAAGCATCTTCTGTGCCACATGACGATTTGGAAGAAGGTGAAGCACTTTCATCGCGATCGTCTAGCAGAAGCAGTTCGCGTATGTTTCTCTATCTCGATCTTTCTCCAGCCCGCCGGCTAATCCGATCACGAACTTTTTTTTAGCCTACAACCCCCCTCTGTCAGTTTCCGCGGATCCCGACGTGGTCAACCGTGCGATCGAGATGCAAAAACGAGAAGTGACGACAGCGACTTCGGAGGACTCACAGCCATCCATTCCAGCAGCACAGCTGCGAGTCCAGGCACAGGGAGCTTTACTTAGCCTTGCGCCTCACAACATCCGGTACAATGAGCTAGTAGCTGAGGGTATTAACCCAGCACTCTTGAAGCAACTTTACGAAGATATCGGAATTAAAGTCGCTGCGCCCCAACCTGAGAAGAAAGCCGCGCCCATCACCCTCCCCTCGGAGCCATCCAATGCGCCCAAGACGAAAGATCTTGCTCCACAGCCTACGCCTGCAGTGAAACCCACAGAGCTTGTAGTTCTGGACAGTGCGGAAGTCAAGTCGAAAAAGCCAGCGATAAAAGTATCCCAGAAGCCTGCCACGAATACATCTCCCCCGAGCTCTACGAAGCCCATGGAAAGAAAGGAGGTTATTGCCCGGATGCTTGCTGCCAAAGCCGCTGCGAGAGCATCCGAACCCAAGGTCTCTCCCAAGGTCACTCCTACTCCAACCCCGCCAGCAGCCCCAGCGGCAAAGACGAACGGAGCTGGTGTGAGAGAGAAAAAACAGAGCGAAAACAGAATTGGCAAGGCAAAGGATTGAGGAGCTCAAGCGACAAGCCCTGACGAAAAGGGAAGAAAAGAACCAACAGTTCAGCCAGGCTCCTTCTGACCCGGCTCAATCTGATGAGCTTTCAGAGGGCGTTGCCCCAGCTGTGCAGCATCCTCTTCCTGTTCGCCCCCCTCCGCCATCTTCCGATCCCGCCAAACTTCCAGGCCTCCTCTTAACGGGTTCCGATCCAGAAAACGGTTTGCCTTCTACTCTTCCGGCCTCCCAGGTTATTGCTGTCGACTCGACTCCAGTGTCCCGGGCAGCACAGCGGAAGAGGCCTCGGGCTTCTGATTTTGATGAACCCGCCAACTTGCCGAAGAAGCCTTTCAGCTACTCTGCTGCCCCCTCTGATTCAGAAAGCAAGCTTATCATTGACATCAGCGAAGATGAGTCTCTCTACGGTGATGACGAGGGTGCGAATATGGACGTGGACTCCAGTCCGGAACAGGAATCGGCCCCTGCTCCTTCCCTCGACGCCATCAAACCAGCTCTTTCAAGGAATTCCTCAACCGGAAGGATGTCTAGCTCTACCCTCCAGGGGCACGATCAAGAGAGTATCCGCGAAAGGGATCTCCAGATCCAGGCTATGCATCGCAGGATCGCAGAACTTGAACGAAAGCGAAAAGAGAAGCTTGCTGCCAGCCGCACACAATCGCCTCTCCCTTTGGGTGATTCAACTGTCTCTTCGAGTGGACAATCTAGTGCTGCCAGTGCGGATATTCCCGAAACTCCCTCTGCCCTTGCCGCCCCGGCCTCGGGTTCCAAATTGGCACCGACTACGTGCACTCATATCTCTACTCTTGTGGATCGGCCGGATCTCATTAATACCTTTAGTGAATCCTCCATCAGAGTTCTCGCCTCCATGGATATCGCACAGTTGGACAGCATCCGTTCTAAGATCCTGCGCATGAAAGAGATTGAGTCTGGTCTCCCAGAACTAGATAATGAAATCGAGTCATCTGAGCAGCGTCTGGCTGCCTGCAGAGAAGAGGCCAACATCCTGCTAGCAGAAATTACAAAGGGCAAAGAAGGACGCATTCTACTTGTTGATGAGCTCAAGAGACTCAGTGATGAGATCGATGGCTTGACATTAGAAGATCTTGATGAGCTTCGCCGACAAGCTGAGATCAAGGAGCAGCATCTCGCTACTAAAGAAGGTATAGTAATTTCCTCGATACCACCCATTTGCATTTTGATTGACATTCTCTTTTAGCTTCGCCGGTTGCAACGGTTTCTGCAGATGCCAAAAGCAGCCCCGTTCCTAGTGCACACGTTTTACCCAACGCCGAGGCGGTGACAAACATGCCCGACGCTCAAGTCAACCGAACAGCGCAAATCGACGACATGGAGGATGTTCAGGGGGAAGCATCCCCTTCTGAATCAAACTCTGGTGGGTCTGCCATGGATGAATCCGATGATAGTGACAGTTTCGAGGAAACACCATCCGTTCAAGAAGAGGCTCCTGTCGCAAGCCCTCCTGCCGATGCAGAGCCTGTCCTCGAAGCTGCTGCCGAGGCTAGTATCGATCACTCGAACACATCAGGTCATCCTCTGCCCACGCAATCGCTGTCAGCAGCTGAAGAAGACGACATGATTCACGATCAAAGTCCAGCCCAAGAAACCGAGCAATCTCGACGGGAAACGTCGGAGGAATCAGAAGATTATGAGCCCCCCTGAGCCTGATACTGGAGCAGAATCACCTGGTTCAGCATATAGTCCTCCCCTAAGCCCCGCCCCGCTCGCCATTCTGGACGGTCCTCCGAATTCCGCTCCTTTGAAGGAACAGCCTCTGAATGAAGTATTCATTAGTGCGCCGCCTCCCGTTCCGGCCTGGGAGCCACGACAGATAACCGAAATTCTTGGGGCACCTGGTGTACGAACACCTCTCCTGTGAGACATTGTATAAGAACTGACCCTGCCTGCAGACCGGAGTATCACCTTCGCAACTGGACCCCAAATTTACCCCCCTACATCAGTCCGCTTAAGATGTTCCAGGCATATCGCTTTCACCCCGAATTCCTGAACGACGTTTCGGACGGTTACCGTTCGCTAACATACAGCCATGATATTGATTCGATGAAAATGCTCTGCCCATATGAATTGGCTGGTGGTGTGTGTAACGACAACACCTGTGGATTCCAACATTTCCGGGACATAATTCCAAGCGGTGCGTCGACGAGTTGAAGCCGTGTACCACACCCCATATGGTTCCCATCTCTACTTTGGTTGTCTTGCCATGCCCCTACTGCAACGAGAACCGGTGATTCTCTAGAATCTCTTTCTTCCCGTCGTTTCCTTGCCTTCCCTTTGCCTATCCCCTTCCACCACCACCACCACCATACCCTCTCCGCCTATTCTCATTACCCGGTCCGAATGCTGACCACAGTGCTATTAACCTCGGCAGATGACAAAATTCTAGTTCAAATGGGAGCTCTCCGCGAGGGCCAAACCGAAGAAGAAAAAGAAAAGTACCGCACCGGGTTGAAAGAAATCATCAACGGCATGCGACGTGACAAGGTGAAAGATTTCATCACTGTGGCCAACGAGATAGCCGCATACCGTAGGCGTGTTCTCCAAGACCCATCCCGAGTCTTGCACCTGTAACTTTTCGATAAGTCCACAAGGTGAGCTGGTATCACCTCTCAACCAAGTGCTGGCGAGTATACGCCAACTATCCATCCATCCATCCATCCCCTCACCCACCAGTACTACTACTACTACTATTCCCACCATCTCTTACAATACCCCTTCCGCCGTCCTCTCGACGCCGAGGAGTTTCCCTTGTCTTGCTTTTTAACCTACCCCACCTCCCCTGTTACTTTCGCGTGCATTGCATTTAGCCAGCGCGGTGTTCTCCTGCATTTGAGCCAAAAGAAAAAAGAAAGAGAAAGAGAAAGAGTCCACGGACCACAGACCACAGACCACAGACCACCCGCGACTGGGCAAATCAATGCCTCGTCCTGCCATTTTGGCAAATCTACCATCAAACCAGGTATATGGTTCCGTTGACACTTGGACTGTTTTGGCCCAAGTGTCTTTTCAGCTGCTGGCCGTAACTTTGCATTTCAGCTCAACGCCGATCGGCACTTTTTGGGATCTTCTTCGTGGATCATGATGGATTTATTCTTATATTTTACTTGGGGAGGCTGTATGACTACCATGCGCGGAGTGGCGGTGCTTCGCAGCACATATTCAATTAACACTATTCCAACCAACCAACCCTTTCGATTCTTTCTTTTATGAATTAAATAGGATATTTTATTTCAATTCTCTCTTCGTTTCAAGTTATTTGATTTAATTTCTTTTTATTTTCTCTTTTCGGATGCCAGTTAGGACAACCGGTAGGTAATAGACCACTCAGGACAGATATATATATATACCTACAGGTGAAGCATTCCAAGTTATGACTCAATTTTAAAACAAGATTCGAGCACATCATGTGGAAAATCGAGAGATTGAAAACCACTATTATTCTGTTTAATTTTCTTCTATAAAAAAAGAATTAATTTAATTAAAATACTTCACGTTGGAACATGACTCACTCGCTGCAGCTTGAACGTTTCCCCCGTGACGCCGCCCTCGGGATCCCGCCTTGCACTGACAGGCCCTCCCACCCAGCAAAGAAGAGTGCTTGGTAGTAAGCAACAACCTTGGAACATCCATCTTCAACGATACTCTCAATCACATCCGACCTCGTAATTCTAACCACGGCCCCCCAAAAATGAGAATAGAAAACAAAAAAAGAAAAAACAAAGAAAGGGGGGACGGCGCGATAATTTCGTCAGGAGGGGAAATGAGATATGCGTTTAGAATTTGGCCCCCGGGGGATCCTATCCCATGACCGTGCTAAGTATAGAACAGCTAGAGTCCATGATCTTCGCGATCTTTAGATGTGGTTTAATTAGAACTCCGTACCTCGTATTATGATGGTATGCGAGAGAAAGGAAATGAAAATCAAAAGCTGAAACTTAGGTGGGACGGGTCGATGGGACTAAGGGGTAGACTATGTGACAGGTGTCTCCCGTTCGTGGTGATCTGTACTCAGAATCGGTAGTTAGGATGGCAGGGAGGGTAAAGTAAAATAATCGCGCGGATGATCCCTGGGAGGGGCCGGGGGGGCCGGGGGGGGCCAAGCGGTTGTTTGAGGGGGGATCGTCAGGATAACCAAACCATATAGCCTGAGCTACTCACGGAGAACGCCGTTGTAAGAACTCTGTACATGTATACAGATGCTCCGTGCTTAATTACTATCTCCTGAATGGGTATAGTAGAACGAAGCCCAGACCATGTCACGGGTCATTTATGTAGATGTATTTTCCGCCCCCAGATTTTGGCTATGCAGATGAACGAGGTCATGGCCATGGATCTAGAAACGGGGCTATACCGTCTTTGAGGGATTTGAGATGATCTTCCCCACTGAGAAGGAATGAAGGAAGGAGTTGTGCTGTGAGTCAAAATCCCGCAAGGCAGACTGATGTGATGTGCCCAGGATGACAGTGATCGCATCGGAGCCGGATCGACTCGATCATATCCATTGGCTACGGTAGAATACTAGCTTAGCCTCACCTTTTTCTTGTTCCAAGAAACCGCTTGTGTGCATATGTAGTGGACTACTCGGGAGAATCGGCAGAAAAGCCGCGGAGAAGGTAACGATTGAAGACGAAGACGTACTAGTAGCTATCTAGTTACTAGTAACTAGGAGTCTCGTGTTCACGCCCGCACCCGCTGGCATGGCACCCGCAGTCGCGCCCGAGAAAATTGTCCGGAGAGAATCAAGCTAAAGCGGGACAAGCCAAGTACGTAGAAAAGAAAGGACAAATGAAAACAAGAATTGGGCGCGACGTCACTGGGTCGGAGAGGCGCTACGGTGGAGATCAGAACTCTTGGCCTTGTGGATGGGGATGAGGATGGCCCATGTCTCCGCGGACCACATAGCTGGGCTCCCGAACAACCGCCCTGATCTTAGCAGGGGGTGTTTAGTGCTGGCGCTGGCTTGGGGCGTAAAACGGACTAGACTATTGTATTTCCTTAGCACAGCCTCTTGTAAAATGACGAAGGGGGCAGTTGGACCGTAGTGGAGTGAGGTGGAGGAGGGTGGAGGGTTGGGGGCAGAAGTAGATGTGATGCAAAATGGGGGTTGTGGTTAGGGTTTGGGTTTGGGTCTGGACCTCAAGGGTTCAAGCTGGGATGGATGGGTTAGGAATGCATGTATGCACCGCTTCTTTACGCAGGCGATAGGGCTGATTGCTGTGGAAAGCCAGACTAAACGGCGGTGATGGCCATGTCGATCGGTCGTGAACAGGAACATCAGGCTTTGACCTTCCACCGGGGCTCAAGTGGGTTGTGGGTTGTGGGCGCAGGCGCAGGCGCAAGCGCAGAGCCAAGCCATAGCCCAAGCCCAATCCAAGCCCAGGTACGAAACCGAGGAGGGGCATTTAGCAGTTGCAGACGCCCCGGGCTAGCTAGTGCCTTGCGAGTGCCCTAGGCAGCTAAGACGATGCCTAGGGTGTTCAGGCAGAGAATCCACTTTTCGGTGCCGCGGGCTTGTTCATTGGTGATTCCGATGCGATCATCCTGGTTGATGCGTCGAGGCTCAAAGTCACGCTCACTTTGCTGCGGCTCGGCTGAAGAACGCCAGCTACAACTGCAATGCAGAGTGAAAGAACCTTTGGGAACCCCGGCTGGAGATCATCGATGACTCGATTCTCGGCAGTAGTCTACAGACGGTGCCTGGGAGGGAGGGTGGATTGAGAGGAGATGAGAGGAGATGAGATGAAAATATCAGCGAATGAGAAAAGGAATAGTCCATACCCTAAGCCAAGAATGACTGAATAAACTACACGGGGAACTACTTGGGAAGGAGAGAGAGAGAGGAATGGATGATACCGAAAATAACAGTAATATTTCCGAGATAATCTCAAAAAAGACTAGCGCAAGTAAGGCAAGGCAGACAAGGGGCCGGCCCCTCTCGCCCTAAACCCAATCGGGTAACCGCGAAGTATAGATGATGGTCTAATCTAAGCAGAACGCAGCAATGAAGATCATAAATGCCAAACACATCAGAAACAAAAACAGAGTCGTACAGTCCCAAGGAAACAATGAAAAATGCACCAGGCTATGCGGAGATATCGAATCGCTTTGCAGAACAAGAGAAAATCATAAAAGGAAACAAAATGGAATAAAAATGGGAAATCACATCAAGTTGTCGGATACACTGTAAAAGAACCTCGTTAGCAATGCGACTTGTGTAACTGTGTGTCGAAAAGGGATTGAATCTCACCATCATGTCGTCGTTGTTCTAGAATGTCTCACTTCACATAGGTGCAGCCAGAGCAGGCAGTATGGCTGCAGCAGACACATTGGGGCTGGACATCCCAGAGCTTGGGACCGTCATTGCACTGGCAGCAGATATACAAGCTACCATGGCTGTATACCTTTGCGCTGCCACCAAGGGGCAAGGCCTGCGCATCTGACTGGCGCAATCGGGATAGAGGGCGCATGCCGGGCAGGTCTGGTAGAGGGATGGGCGTGCTCTTGGTGTTGAGAGACAGGGTCTGCGCGGTGTCGACAGCGACGGCAGACGGGTATGGTGATGCCTCGTGGCAGTGGGTGTGGGTGTGAGTGTTGGCGCTCAAGCGCATATTGTCGTAGCACTTCTCCTCAGGGCAGAAGGTGCAGCGTTCGTCTCCGCAGTTGATACAGGCGCCGTAGAGGTTTGAATTGTGAGGGCCGAAGTTGCAGCCACAGCAGTACCAGAGAGAGGCCATGATTTTTCTGGTAAAGTTGGTTGGCGTAGTGGTAGATATCAAAGCGATGGGAAGTAGGCTTGATTGATGGAAGCTGGCGTAAGGCTCAAGTTGCGCGAGCAGTCACGGGTGTTCAAGTTGGTGTTGATGTTGGCACCGGAGTATAAGTATATTGATTCTGGTGTGCTGAAGAGAAGACCAGGTTCCGAAGAGATGAGACAAGGTTGATTGAAGAATTGAATTTAAAAGCACGAGACCACGACCTGTTATTTAAAGAAAAGGAATGACTGAGGACGAAATATGCAGAAGGAAGAGTACCCTAGGGTAGGCAGATGTGTCGCCCGTTTGGGTTTAGAGGCTTCCGAGCCAAAGCCTCCATAATTCTGCCTATGAGACCATTTCGGGAATGGATGGGGTTCACCCGGGCTCCATGAAGAGGGTGACGGGGCGAACGGTATTCAGTCTAATGGGAGAATCCACAATTCTCATCGCCCATTGCCCATTGCCCATTGCCCATTACCTGGGGGAGGGTCTAGAGGAGTGGCTTGTCGCCTCGGTGCCTGGGTGAGGGCCGCTTCGCCTAGGTGGGTTAGCCCAGCGATCCCCACTGCACCAATGGGCAATGAGCAATCCACAATGCAGAAAGAGTGTACTGTACAGAGTACGGAGTACAGTGTTCGTTTTGTCGATTGAGTCAATGGATTTGGGGGCTCCACTGGGCGAGCCAAGCTAGACAAGGCTGCACAACCCTGCGTGCCGTACACCGTCTTCCAAAGGGCGTTCTGACGTTCTGACGCGGGTAATGCTGGTAAGTAACGCCCCGGCTGTGCTCAGTTGAGCGGTCACCTCAAACTTCAGATTCGGTCAATGATGGCCCGGGTATGGCTCATTTTCCCCGGCTTTGCTTGACTTTGCTGCTTGCTGTGTGCTGCTTGCTCCATCGTCCCGTGCCTTGCCCGGCGCCTTGGGGATCTGGATTGCAGGCAACGGTTTCTGGTCGCGATGAGTCGAAGGAAAGAGTCATTTCTCGTCATGTGTCGCGGCTAAGCCCCTGCTGCCTAAGTCATCGATTCAGCTTGGTGATAGTGATGGTGATGGCATGAATGGGGATGGTTTTCTTTCTTTCTTTCTTCCTTCTGTTTCTTCTTTTAATTAATTAATAATATTAATATTAATATTATTTGTTTAATATCCATTTCCTTTCATCCTTTTACGGGCTCTCCCTGCTGTGCAACCTTCTGTTGATTTCCAAGTCATTCATCCATTGCTAAGCCATTGTTTGTCAATGGCTGGATAATCTGTGTAGTCGCAGGGAGATGTCAACCAGGCAACGGACTTGACTGCCAGTAAGGGTAGTGTATCACTGTAGCTATAACTATATGACTATAATAACAATACATCTGTAGTAACTGGTGTGTGCCTGAGTATGGCATGGCAGGAACGTGTAGTGTATTACGTCAGTTGGGGCCGCGGCTTCCCTGAAAACATCGTGAACTGCCAGTGCTGGGCGCAACTCTTCCCGCCTCGCTGCCGACCTTTCACCTTTCATTCCTCTCTTTCCCCCCTCCCCCCGCGTGTTCACACTCTCATACTCAACCCCGTCCATGTATCTTATGACGTGACCCGCTCGAGGCAGAACTTTTCGATGGCCGGCCCGGACGCGCAAAAACGCGCCAACCTGGTGGTCTCGAGAATCATCCCGCCCGTGTTACTCGGCATCGTCGTCTACGCCAGCTACGCCATCACAAAACCTTTATGCAGTGAGTATTTTATCTGCCTGGACTACCACCCTGCGTAACGAGGATTCCCCCAGGTTACTCTATTTCACTGGCCTAGCCTAGCTAACCCGCCCGCTACTAGTTGATTATCTCCTTCATCCGTTACCCTCCTATAATCGCACTCCTCGTGTCGGCGCAGGCGCTGCCATCCTGGTTATATTTTACCTCCTCTTAATCCTCCTCATTGCGACATACCTTCGCCTACTGTATAATGTCATCGAAAACCCGGGTTTCCTTCCTCTTGGTGCGGATCGCGTGCCGGTCGAGAAAGCGGAGGACTCGGAGAAGCCACAAAAGCAGCGGCGGCACCGGCGCTCAAGAAAGCCGCGCGATGCGGAGAAGGTTGATGCGCCTGTGGACTTAGAGCGAGGAATTCACAACAAAGCTGGCGGGACATCTTTTGATTCAGATTCATTTGGCTTGGAGAGCTTCTATACAAAGGATGTATTTGTTTGCCAGGAGGATGGGCGGCCGCCTTATTGCTCCGCTTGCTGCCAATTCAAGGCCGACCGATCGCACCACTGCCGTGAGCTTGATCGTTGTGTTCGCAAGATGGATCACTTTTGTCCTTGGTATGCATCTCATTCTTGGCCGTTACGTGAAGTTTCACTCGTTGACTTATCTCACAGGGTTGGCGGCGTGGTGTCGGAAACATCCTTCAAATTCTTCATCCAATTCGTCTTTTATACAGCTACATACTGTACCTTTGTCCTCATAGTTTCTGCATATTTTACGGCTGAACTTAAACGCAATGTGAGTGACTCTACGATAAATCCCATCTTGATCACCTTTACTGACTCCTACAAGACTGGCAGCGTCAACGCGCAGTGGTGCGTTTGTATCGGGTTGTAAGTGGTTATGCATTTTTCGAGATGTTCTTCTTCTTTCTAACCCTTCATAGGAGTGGTCTTTTCGGTCTCTTTACCGCCGGAATGACCTTGAGTTCCCTCCAACTTGCCGCACTCAATCTCACAACCATCGAGAATCTTAGCCGTCGATCCGTGGTATGGACATTGGCCATCCGCGTCCCTGAACATCTATTGGCTCGACTTTTCACCATGAATTCGTCCTGGGCACCCACCTTTCGCATGGTAACATACCCTCTAGAATCATCTGCCCCAGCACAAGCACAAACAACCGAGCACGCCGTTGCCGAGCGTCACGTCTTTGCTATCCTCCACACGCAACCTGGCGAGAACCCGTTCAGTCTCGACAGCCCCCTCAAGAACATGCAAGAAGTGATGGGCAACAATATCATTGATTGGTTTCTCCCGCTCAAACATAGCCCGTGTGCCGACCATAGCAGCCAAGAGAGCGCCTTCGCCCTAGGCCCGGTGGTTACACGATTGAAGCAGGAGGCCGGGTTACTGCCTCCGCCCGAGGATGGTCTCGAACGGCAGCATTCTATACATAGTCGCAGAAGCAACAGACATAGACCTTGACGTGCTTCCCATAATAGAAACATACCAGACCCCGTGCTTCGTTTCCAGTGTCATCACCATACCCTCATCCCCCAATTATGTATTAACGTCATGCATGTCGTATGCACGGCCGATGGATCCCGCCCCCAAACTCCAGGGCCCCCAAACTGGAAAAAATGTAAAATTAAAACAATTGAAAGTGAAATTCCAACCATTTTGCCCGCCCTGGCCGTAGAGCCGTAAGCCATGCAGAAATGTGGAAATCTCCACCCGTTCAGCCGCCCCACGCGTAGGGCTGAAAAGCGCCAGGGGGAGTGTAACCAACAGGGACAGGGACAGGGACACAATTTCCCATCTAGATACGTTTCCGTTATTAATAGCATGTTCCATCCGAAAATGTCCGCCAGGTACCCTGTATTCCATCCAGAAGCGCTAACTGTATCATGATGATCTTCTCAGCCTTACGCTCAAGTGAGAACTCTACTCAACTAGAATGCAGAGCTGTATATGGAGTACAGTGCATGCGATACATGATACTAGTGAACAACCCGGACCTTGGAATGTGAGGCTGGCGAAATGATCACCCCGCTCCTTGACTTCGCCTTGTGGGGTAGGTATAGGTAGTATTCCACCTTGAAGGTTGTGAATGTATCCTGCGGGGTTCTAGAATGGCTTGATGTGGAATGCTAGACTTTGCCCAAGTTCAGGGTTGAGCTTTTGACGTCAAATCAGCCTCGGACTGATCTAGACCTCCGATTTTGTTTATCACCGGGCGTTGGGACCAAGGGTGGTACTATTAATGAATGAACCAACATCGAAAGTGGTCCCCCGATTCTTTCACTCACGGCAGATCTTCTCGTGGGGGTTTTTTGAAGTCAGTTTCTCTCTCTTTCCGAGCTTGGCTCTTCCACCTCCTCTAGGAGGATGCTCGAACAATTTTCCACATTGATTAACCTCGATTATGGCCTGGGATCGCAGGTTGGGTATTGTTCTCCGAGATAGTTTAAGTACGATTGCGAGAACTTTGTCTATGCTGGTCGGCGTGGTTCTTGGTCTAGTATCTGTTACCTATCAACAAGCCACTTTATTGTTTCCCCCATGTCCAGGTGCTTTACCTTCAATATTGTCGTCGCATAGAGTCAACTCCCGACGAACAAGAAGACGTGTAGAATCTCTATGAAATCAACCCACAGTGATGGTCACTGCCGATGAGTGACGTTGAGATTGCCGAGGAAAAGCGAACCATAAGCAACAAGGTCGTAGGAGAGATATGCAACATCGTACAAATGTAGGTGTTAATAGTAGTAATCTAGGAATGAAAAGTGTGCCTTCTGAAGATTATGAAATTTTCGACAAGTCGTATGACTGATTTGGACTTTTGTTCCCCGAGCTCATAGCAGAGGTACTGGTAGTGGGGGGTACCGGTCTATTATAGACCAGCAACACGTAGACATGCAGCTTAGGTGCATACATGGCGAACTTTATAACAGCTACATTCGAACAGAAGTCCAGCATATGCGATAGATATAGTTAATTCATATCAGTGAGATGAGTGGTTAAAAGAGTGTTATGACTTTCATGAGATAGAAAATGTTGGGCCACTGTGACCCCAAGGAAAAGAATGACGTATAGTTAGGAGTGAAACTTGAAGAGAATCCATATTCGATATCCGATCCAAGGAAATAAAGGAAATCATCGCAAGAAACAAAAATATGAGGACGAGTACGCCAAACAATCTGAATCTGGTTCCGAATACCGTCGAGCTCCTGCCACAATGCACATTATCAACAGCCACGGTCAAATCCGTATAGCTGGAAAGCATATGATGTTGCGCCTTTATCCGTGTCCATTTCGGTATCCATACCGATGCCAATACCAATGCCAATGCCAATGCCGATGTTGGTGCCGTTGTCCATGCCCATATCTATACCCATACCCATGCCCGTGCCCAAACCCAAACCCAAACCCAAACCCAAATCAAAACCCAAGTCCAAGTCCAAGCGCCTGCATAGAAAAGAGCCAATTGATTCATGTCTAGTTGCAGTAAAGACATTTGCCATGGCCACAAAGGGGACAGCGTTCCGGGGACAGAACATTGCCTAGGCCACCGCAGTCGCAGCAGACCCAGACTCCATCACTCATTGTCTGGAGTGGAACATTGGCCATTGGAAATGCGGAGAAGCCAGGTAGGATGGATGGGCGGCCGCGGTGAACGCAGAGGTTACTGCCAGTGGTAGGCCCCTCCAAGTCGTTGTCGTGGGTAGAGGAGACTTGAATGGCAGGAATGATCGGCTTGCAGGGACCCTCCAGTTCCGCGAAGGGACTCGAACTCGAGGGGACGGCGTCGCTGGCCGCATGCGAGGAGCGTTGTTTCAACTTGTTGATAGTATAGTAGGCCATTATGTTGGTTGGGTTGAGTGGAGAATATTCAAGTTGTGTTTAAGATGGTAAATGACAATTGGTAGTCACCTGAAGTGTACTACCGAAGATAAAGTTGGAATCAACGACTCGGATGTTATTATAATGAGAAGATGATGGAGAAAAAAAAGCTTCAAGGAGAGATGGATGCCGGGCGTATATATAGGAGACTAGTAGCAACCAGCCAAGAGGGCGCTTCACCCTAACCATCATCATCGCCAGCACCCAAAGCCCTCCATCCAAAAACCCCAGACCCAGGAATTCTCCCGCGACCAATATCGAGACTCCACGCTCGCAGCGTGGCAGTGGTGGAATCCGCATCAGGGCTCCGGCGGCCCTTAAACAGTGAAGCAAAAAAAAGGAAATCAGCTGAGCGGCTATCGCTATCCACAAAACCTGCATTATGACGAAGTCTATCCCAACTAGTGACAATCAGTGACAGGTCGATTTCTTGATCCTTTCATTCACCGCTTCATGGCTCGTTAGTATAGCCATAGCCGCACCCAGGTAAGTAAACAGCGCATCCGGGAACCGGGGCGCAAGTGAGAGTCCCGACGCGCGGGTGGGACGGCATTTCCTGCTATTGCAGCGATAGCAATAGCAGGCGCAGGCGCAGGCGCAGACGCGGTGCCTGATGCCCGGCGTCAGGCTGCGTGGACTAGGTCGGGGATCGGGGCAGGGCTGGGGTTAGTGATCGTCATGTGCATTGCTCCAGTTGCGAGGTAGAAGTGGAGAGTGAGTGGGATCGGAGGGATGAGGGGATGAGGGAGAGAAGCAGAGCCAGGGCCAGGGCCAGGGCGCGGGCTATGATGAAAGATGCAACCGAGAAGACGCAGACTCGCCCTACCCTTCAGCTTTCCAATCCAGCGTGTATATCTATACCGTGACCCAGGTGTCGAGGGGGACTAGTAGAAGTGAAAAGTAAAAAAGGACGGCGAACGCCGTAGCCAATAGCACGCTTTGGAACAGCAGGAGAGGGCTCCCGTCTAAGCCAGGGCAAAGCCAGAATCCGTGATACCGAGTCTAGGGTACGTGGATCAGGCTAGTGTCTAGTTTGATGCATGTCCATCGGGGTTATCCTCCCGCTGTGCCGTGTGGATCAAACATCTATGACGGACGGGTCCTCGCGATATCGATATCGATGTCGATGAGGTGCATGTGCGCGGCCCCTCGGGAAGAGGGGTAGAGGGGTAGGAGGTTGGAGGGGCTGGAAGGGGCAGAGGGGCGAGGGTGAGGGTGAGGGCATAGAAACAAGTGATATTGAAACGGCCGGAGGGTGCCAAAACGTTGTTAAAACGGGGGTGATGCACCATGCGTCTCTTGGAATGTGTTGTGGTAGGCTGGACTACCGATGATGGACCAAAGATGGGGCGGTTAGTGCCGGGGCGGGGGGGCTAACCAGAGCAAGGCAGAGTAGAGAAGGATTGATTCCAGTCAAGGATGATTGGAAGATGATCATCACAATGGGAATACGAATAATAGGATCGGGGCAGTCTGGTCCGCGGATGTTGATTCCGTTATTCCTGGTGGGGACGGAATTTGGCCCTGTGGGTTTAAGTTGGTTGCATTGGGAGTGGACTAGGAGATATTTCAGGGAGGTTGAAGGTTGGAGGTTTGGAAGAGGGGCATGAGATTGGTCAATGGGGTTAATGGGTGGGATGGGTAGAATTGTGGGATCCGGGAGGTTCTGGAGCCATGGAAGAGGTGCATTGCATGAACTGGAGAATACTGGAATACTTGGTGTCTTCTAGAATGGTTGAGTTGTTCCATGGATGCATGGCGGATATCGACCCGGTTCCATAGATTCCATAGTTCAAGTTCCATATAATATTCAATACAAGTTACCATAAAGGGTATCATATCAACAATGACCAATTCTAATTCCTACTGTATCCCTATTCTTCCGATCATATGATTCATTCGACGACAGTGATCCTCGGCTCCACCGCGAGATCATCCCTTCTGGAACATTGCTCAGCCCCTGGGGCTTCGGGCTTCCCTGCCCGACGCCCAGGTGGGGCTCTGTACAAGGTATACCAGGATCGGTCAGCATACTCGTTTACGAGTGCAGCAGGTATACTGAGTATAGACTGAGCTAGATATCACAGCTATAGCACAGCTACAGCTATGCTATGTCTAGCTATAGCATAACCATCGCTATACTATAGTGAAGTATACTAGTTATACTATAGTATACTCGTAGCTGCTGCTGCTGCTGCTTCTGCCCGAGTGGGGCGGCTCCCGCACTTTGACTTGCGTCATTCCCTTCTTCGAAACTCCCTTTTCCCTCGTTTCAACTCTTCCTCTTCTTTTCTTCGAATCTCCTTCCCCCCCCACCTCCCATCTCCTTCGGTATCGAATTGATCATCCCGCCTCCTGCTAATCTCCCTGAGTACCGGCAGTAGCTCCATCTCGCACCCGGCTGCCGGCCCCATCGCTCAAGCCTCGCATTGGGCGTACTTATACTTCAAAGGATATCGACTCTTTTCCCGTGAGTGCTCCATGGATCTACATCGGGACTTATGATTGCTTTGCTTTTTCTCTTTTTTTTTTTCTTGCAAGTCAAACCGTCCTAATGCCGACCGTTCAGCCTCTTCCCCCTGCCTCCATCGCAGCGGCGTCGACCAAGTCGACCCAGTCGGCACCACCGGTCGCCTTTCAGCGCCCAGTCCCACGTCCACGCTTTTGGACCACCCCCGTCCCACGACAAACCCAAGCCATGGGATATCATCGCAATCTATCACCAACCGGCGGAAAAGGCCATCTGTCTGGCCCGCGGTCTTCCACTGGCATGGTCCAGCTCCCCTCTTCTGCTTCCTACGATCCCTACGAAGGCCCCAGACGCCACTTGGATTATGACGATTATTACCCCTCAGATGTTGGCTATGGTGCCCACCGCTACCAGCCAAGACACCGCTCAACCGTCGACATCCAGCCGACCTCCTCCCAGACATACCGTGACTCTGGCCACTCCAAGAGACGCACAGAGTATGCTATTCAGCCTCACAGCTCGAGTCAGAGCCAGCCTCAGACTCGGCACAGTCGCAGTCGCAGCAACACCACTACTTCTGCAACAGACCTGCATAATCAACCGCTGCGTATTGCCGTGCCCTCGGGCTCCCATCTTCGTCCGGCTACCGCAGGTCGGATTGCCAGTCCTCTTCTCACGGAATCCGGCCATCTCGTCCAATCGCCTTCTCACCATGGCGGTCATCACCGTCGGGTCTATAGTAACACAGACTATGCAAGCGATACTGGTCGCTTAGAATCCCGCGAGAGTGACAGACATCGATCTCACGGCTCGCGGCAGGTCCACCCTCCGCCCGGACATCGACGATACCCTCCATACGATGGCCTCAAGAAGGGCGATGACATTGATAAATATGATGCATACTCGTATACTACCCCGCGAGAGCAATTCGACCGGGACTACCCCGTCAAACCCCGCCATCCCGCCACTAGGTCTTCCGTTGACCGGCCTTCCAGTATGAACGTGATGGAGGAGCATCCGCAGTATATGCCTCGCAAGGAGCGCCAACATGGCCCTCCCCCTACCTCCTGGGGGTTTGACAAGATTGAGCGCGAGGGACGACCCCACAGAGATTCCTCCCGGACGAGAGATACCTCTCGGACTCGAGACACATCTCGAACTAGGGGCAGTGGTCATGACCGTTCGTTGGTCGTTAGACCTCATGATTCAGATGACGGCTATGAGTCTTACAATGATCCCCATCGTCGCTCCCATCATGGCCGGTCGCACCGCGATAAAGACCGGCATTCTCGAGATGATCGCTCCCCGCGGCCTCACAACGGCAATGGTGATATGGCAATGGCAACGGCCGGTCTAGCAACAGCTGGACTGGGAACGGCCGCTTTGGGCGCTGGCTACTCTGACCTGTCGGACTACGATCACCGATCGAGAAATCAGCCTAGACGCTCGCACGACCCGGAGCGTGACTACGAAGCTCCCAAGCATTCATCCCGAGACCTTACCACCAGAGGCCTCGATGTTGCAGCTCCATCGGATCCCGAGAGAAATAAGCAACAATATGTAGAGCCGGGCGACCACCACCGCAGTCGGCCCCGCAGGCGCTCGGGACGTCGCTCAGAGAGTGACTCCGAGGGATACACAGATGATGATGACCTTCGGAAATACCGTCATGAACCATCTGCTACTGCTCGTCGCCGACACAGCAGCACCGATACGAGCAGCGGCGATGAGCGATCCAGGCGTCAGCCTCGAGACCGTTCCCGTTCCCACCACCGGTCTTCTCGGTCACAGCGCATGCTGGAGGATCATCGCTCAATTGTGTCTTCCCACCCCTCCCCCTCCCAGAGCAGAGACGACGTGAGGAAGCCTATCACCGTCGAGCCTGCCGCACAAAAGGAGCCAGAATCTGCACCTAGGGGTATCCTGAAGGCCCCCCGCCAGAGTTTCCCCGAGGAGCCCAACCCAATCAGAGAGGGTGTGGCTCCCTTGAAGGATGCCAACAAGCAGGGTATTCCGCCTGATGCGCGGTGGACAAAGATCGATCGGAGATTGGTGAACCCGGAGGCATTGGACGCAGGAAATGAGCGGTATGAAAACCGATCGGAGTATGTCATTGTGTTGCGGGTATTGTCAAAGGACGAGGTCCAGATGTATGCTGTAAAGACTCAGGAGATCCGAGGTAAGTCTCTGCCAACAACTTTGAGAAGCCAGTTTGTGAACAGCCACTCACTAAGTATGCAACAGATGCCCGTCATAAGGAACAGATCGAGGACAAGCGTCGACGAATGGAGGAGAAGCAACGCCGCGGTCACCGTGGCGCCGAATCGTCTAGCGACGATGAGGATGAAGGAGACGAGCCGTTGAAGATTGAGGCGCCCCCAGTTGAAGAGCAGAGGCCCGCTCTGCCAACGCGCCCTCATCCTTCCCATGCCCATCCTTCCCATACCCACCCATCACATCCCCATCCATCGCATTCGCAAATGCACATCCCCGAGCCCGAGAGAGTGAGAATGAGCCCTTCCGCTGCGCCGGCGTAGAGGAAACGGAACTTGTTGCCCACCTCAACTCACTTATCTCACATCGCAAGGGGGACGGTGAGACACGACCTTCATCTACCCGAGCCCAGAAGATACTTACAGCCTGGCCTTAGCGCCGTCGAAGGATCACGCCAATCCCCGGTGGGTTTCGATCATTCCCCCCTTTACTATGTATTCCCGTTCTGTGTTCCCTTCAAAGTTGACTTGCGTCACTTGTATGATAGAAAGTTTCGCATTTACACCTGCATAGCCTAGAGTAGCCTGAAGAAAAGAAGCATTTTTGACTAACTCTCACGGCTACTGGAAGTCGAGTTAACACGATCGGTGTCCATAAATATAGCGCACAGCAATACGTTTGAAAGAATCCAAGGGCATTTCTTAATGATTGCCCGGGTGGGAGGCCTACTAGCTACACTTAGAGTAGGTACTCCTGAACCGGATCTTGTGAAATGACTTTCAATTCCAGGCCGAAGGAGAAATTCCAGACTCGAATGCAATATCTTCCCAGCAAACAGAATGGCCTCAATCTCACCTCGACCTGAGTCACTATAATTCCTTTCTGAAAGTCGCCATGAAAATAAGCAGAACGTAGAAATTACTCTTGGACGCCTCGCCAGGACCACAGCAGGAGAACAACTTGGAAATAAAAGGTTTCTCGAGCTGTCACTTCAGCTCTTGTGCTACCATCAGCCTAAGTAAATCAAATCAAGTCGAGCCATCTGCACCTGTAGTAACCGCATGAAGTCATCTAACCCCTATTTTCTCCTTTCTCTCCGTTTTTCTTACCTATCCAGATTATCGACACTCTGTACAGGTGCAGTAAGTGATCAATATACCGCATGTCGTACATGTCGAACCAGCCCTGCGGAGTACGGAGTACTCTAGGTAAAGTCTGCAACGAAAAAAAAAGCAACAAAATACAGACCTCCCAGCCAAAACGACCGCAGAAAAAGAAAACAAAGTACCACATCACTCTATTCAATATTCAGACTTGACGGCCTCTGAACACTAGCAAAATGGGTGGTATTTGCTCACGTACATATTTAGTATGTACGTGCATAAGTACCTCCTACCCTGCCTGTATTGCTGTGCAGCATCTCCATACAGAAGATGAGTACTTAAGTACACATATCGGGCACAGCTCCGCTACTGTACCTACATTCGTACTATATGTACGTACGTACTCACGCGATGATGTATGTATGATGATGGTCCAGTTCTGCGCATGCGAATTGCATCGACGACGTACATGGAAAGCAGTCAACATGCCGCATATGTTTTCTTTTTCGTTCGGAGATAATCGCGGCGTCTAAGACTGTCTTGCCTCGGGGCCTTCCATAGGTACAGTACAGAGTACGGAGATTGAGTTGATCGGTTTGACAAGAGGACTGGAGCTCATTTCTCTCCAGCTACAGCGTAATATGTACGTCTCTTGGATATTAGATTGCTGCCTTCCCCCCCCAAATAGCGAAGTACAAAGCACACCTGTCGTGGGCATGTAGTACATTCAATGTAAAACATTAAAGGTAAATCTAGTCAAAACAACACAGGAAAGGCAACAGTTACTGTACCCCGAGGATTCTAGGATATGATGGAATCAAATGACCGATTGACGCACAGCGAAGATGGAAAAGAAAGTGAGAATGAAAAAAAGAAAAAAAAAACTGGTCAGGGACTTGCACGAGGTTCATCTCGATCCATCCATCAGCGCCACAATCAGTACAATGCAGCAATTCAAGTAGCAAACATTTTCTCTGTCTCGATCTTGGGGGCGACGAAAGTTAAATCCAATATTTATTTCATGCGGTATTCGGCAGCCACAGCCTTCCAATTCGCTGGAGGGGGAGGAGTGTGATTCAAAAGAAGTAGCTCCTCGCAAGCCCCCCAATGACGCAGTGTTTGCCCGGGTTCACCCATTACCCCATCACGACTCCATCTCTTCAACCCTATCTCCTTTGATCATTCGCTAGGGAAGAAGAGGGGCAGAGATGAGCTGAGATGTACGGCGTATTTTGTATCTTTGCGTGCTGAAAATGTAACCATCCTGTCACTCACCGGGCCCAAGAATTGAGCAACGCCTTGACTAACCTCCGTAGCTGAAGCAATGGGTGACAGAGATGAGCAGGGGCCAACGGAGATAACGGTTTCCGACCTCATTTCGTTTCGTTTCCTTTTATTTGTCAAGGCCAAGTCCAATCTCCTAAAACAGCCGGGTGAAGGGAACCCCGTCCTTCTCAGTCTTCTTTCTCGTCCTCGACCTCGACCTCGACCTCGACCTCCGCGGAGCCGAGCACACACATTACAGCCAGCCTAGCCCCTGGTTCAATTTACCCGCGAGAAGATGCGTTTTAGACTTATCGCCCCCATGTCTCGCTCGGCTGGTGCAGATCAGCCCGTTCCGTACGGAGTACTTTAATCGAGTCCACTTTCTCCCAGTCCAACCCTGTAACATGCGCCGTCCACTAACCCTCAGTCATGTACGGAGTACTCCGTAGCAGTCTGCCTTTCTCCTTTCTTGTGTGAACAGACCCACGCGTATCCAAGATTCGCAGCGGGATTCCCCGCATTGCCGGACGTGGTAGGATTTACGTGGCCAGTGAGAAGACAGGGATTAAGCCAGAGAGATCGGGATCCTTCGATGGTATCATTTCTAAGGGAAGAAGGGGGAAGGGGGAGGGGGGGGCGTCAAACAAAGAAAATCAAGTTGGTCGAATGATCTTCGTAAATTGAGTGGAGCAGCCGAGAATTGAGTACATCAATTACTTAAAACAGTGAAAGGAACTCGAAATAGACGAACAAAACTCAATGCTACCCGTCCATAGAACAAAGAGAGAAATTGAAAAGTGGACGGGAGGAAAGCCGCCCCCGCATTTGAGACCTGTTTTTGATTCCTTCAGGCTTCCTAATTCTTGTTTTTTTTGCTTTTCATTGGTAGGGATACTAAATCCTGCGGATGAGCGCTTTTCCAGCTTCGAAATTAAGTACGGAGTATACATACATACAGTAGGATCTTGCGAACGGACCGAAAAGAGATAGAGGAGATAAGGATGGAAATTCTATGTTCGAAGGATGTATGTACTCTGTTCGCGCATTACAACTTTGTAAGTCCTTCGCACATGCAAGATGGATCCACCAAGCTAAAGTAATGAAATTATTTCACCTGGATCTAGATCTTCTGGGAGAAATACCTCAATCTAAGACAAGAATCAAACCATATACAAGACCTACCTAGTCAAAATTAAAAGTTGTATAGGTATACTCAATATATCAAAGTATGGTTAGTGACAGTACCTAGGTATCATCTCGTTGCAGTGTACAAAATCTCTCACCACATACTTCGTTTGTGCTCAGGTGCAGACGGAGTTGATGCACACGGAGTTGAATGCACTCAAAAGCACCCATCACTAGCATACATACAGTACTTGTGTAATCCATACTCCGTAACGACCATCCAATCACCTGGCCAAGCCGCATGCCAAGACTAGGGAATACGTATGTAGTTTCCAAGGGAGGGAAACACAGAGCCCCGGCTATAAACAAATCGCGTGCATCATTACGAGTCACGCCCGTGAACAGGCCACACACCCGATGAGCATTATCGTACTCCGGACGTCTTCCAACCTCCACATCCGCTTGGTCGAGCAGATGGACAGAACCTGTCACTTTGTTATACCAATCCCATCTGACGTAGATACCCAGGCGTGCTGTGGCTAGTCAAATGGTCATTGCGCAATAACGGTTATGCTCTTAGCGCTGATACTCTACAAGTATTGGCGGAAGGATTGACGTTTGGGGCAAGTGGGCCGTTCGGGCGGGGGTGGTTGGAGGTCTCATGGGGGGGGTAGATGAGATCAATCTGAGCTCAGAGGCTTGTTTTTTGAGGGATTCGGAGGGTAGAGGGGGAAGGGGAAGAAAGAATGGTCGTGCCAAGGCTAAATAGATTTACTATATTTTCTCCTCTTTGGGTGGGATGTCCGGGGAATGGCGAGTCAGGATGGAGGATGGAGACGGATGATGTAGGCACCTATCCGAAGCTATGGTACGGGTCGCGTAGCGCTGGGAGAGATCGATGCAAGTTCTATCACCTGTGCGGCCCTGACTGGTGCGAGTTGGGGAAGGAATTCGTCCGGATCGGCACGAGGACAAAGACTGCCGGTTTCTAAACCTGTTATTGGTTGTCTTGCTGGCCTTAGTACCCTGTGTTATACAGTGGCGACCAGTGTGATGGGAGTTAAGTTCGAGTTCCCCAGTTTGATTCTTTGATTGCCTTGAGACCAAACTTGTCTACGATCGACGGCTGGATACATCGGATGCATGGGTTGATTGATTGAGCTGAGATTACTCATACACTCTCCGCCCCTACGTCCTCTGTCCTGGGATAGGTCGGGTAAGGTCAGTCGTTGTTGTCATGTTGTCATGGGCAAGTATCTGCCGACGCTAGTTGAAAGAGCCTTAGAAGAGGTAAAACAACGAGCATAATCTATTTTGACTTTATCCAGAAAAAACCACACGATGTCCCACCGGAATTTGTTCCGCGCCAGTGTTCGACCTGGCGAGACTCGCAGATCTCTAGTAATCCCCACTGACCTTTCGTTCTGTACGCACAGCATAACACAAGTAGAGTATACGGTCTACAACTGCCTACCTCGGCAGGACCGCGGAGCAACGGAGTGCTCGACGCTACAGTAGTTAGTTTGGTTCGAAGTGGAGAGTGCTTTGTGCTTTTGTGCTCAAGCCCTACAAGTGATAAGTGTAGGAGGGTGGGGGGGGAGGGAAGGTGGATTCGAATCAATTCGATTCGCTTCACGATCGACCGCTCGAGCTTCCCCTTTGCGCCCCACTAGCACGCATATGCATCGTGCTGCGGCGAGATTCTGAAACATCTCGCGAGGGCCACGCGACACGCTACTGCTGCGTGCTGCAGGTTAACGCCCGCGGGAACGATGGCTCACAAACTCGGCGGGTTGAGAAGTATCGGTGTAAATGTAAATTCTTGCGGTCTGGCGAGGTCATCGTGTTTCTCATGACTATCATTTTGGTTATTATATCTTGCCCAATCAACATCCTCCAACTCTCGTGATGTGCCAACATTCGACGCTCAAGGTGGATATATGGGGTTCCGCTACTCTGCTAGATTCAATCGCGTCTCGGTACTCACGCCGTCGAGCTCGTGGGCCATTTTCGGGTCCGGATGGTGGGGCCGCATGGAAGGACCCGATTTCGCGAGAATTTCGGTCCTCTGGTGGATGATCGGGAGATGGAAACACATGCGAATCTGGGCTGAAGCGAGACAAGCCTGAAAGATGAGAAAGAGAGCCAACGGGGGCTATTCTTGTTGTATTGCGTGTTCATTCGGGAAGAGCCGCCCGATGGTCAGAGGAAAGGGGGACAGGAAAAAAAAGTAAAAATAAAAAGCAAACAAAGAAATCGCTATTTCGTACGAGTACTCCGTACGAGTAAATACTACTTACCCACTCCAGTTTAGGCTCGCCTTTCAAGCTGCAGTGTCCTGAGTGTGATGGAGGAAAGGCTCGGGCTGGACCTCGAACTAATAATTAGCCTGCCAGAAACCGGCACAATCCCTTCAGTCTTTGGCTCTCCGAGGGCTGCCGGAACTGCTCTCTGCGTACTAGGACAATCCGGACCGCGGAGAATGGTATTTGGTGGTGATCCAATGAGGTCGCCAGCCAAGGATTCCCCTGGCCCCCCGCGTGGTCCATCCTCCGTGCCCATCCAAACCCTAAAAATCGCTCGGCCGTTGGCGTTTTTTTCCCGGGGCAGATCCTCCCGGGGGTAGATGATATTTCCGTGCTCAGCGACAAGGGTACGACAACTTTATTTCGAGTTGATGCGCGTGCGAATGCGGGCGTGATATGGGTTTATCCGTACTCAGGTGGAGATCTCGAGGATATAGCCATCCTCCGAATACGAAAGACAGCGCTGGGTGGACGATGTCGATCTTAACGAGACCGACATTCAAGGGATTAGATTGACATCAATTGTCCCATTCCTAGCAATGTTGTCTAAACCCATGGTCCATCACCCCTCCGAACCGTGTCTACACTAGATCCGAAAGGTATCCTCCGATATTCCCCTTACTATAATGTAGTATATTATAGCACCGTCACTGGGATCGAAATTCACCAGGCAGACATAGTCGATCATGCTAGTATAATAGAAACGGCTATACATCTATGACGCGACACTGACGCCAGGTGGTGGTTCTGGTAATCTCCTCAAGCTAGCGCCTAGGACTCCTTGACCCACGTTAGAGCGATTAGCGAGACTCCGCATTGACTGACCGCACGATGCGACCAGCTTTGCCGATTGCCGACTCCACGGGCGTGACTGCCTGGATTATCCAGCACAGGATGGAGTAGACAGGCTAAATGGGTATACTACTACCTACGGAAGAGCAGAGGCGAACTGTGGTTGAGGTGAAGATCAATAACTCAAGTAGTATGAGTATGTGCGTAGTTCCCGTTCTTCCCCAGCACCAGCATCGACACCTCCAAGCGCGATCTGCACCCAGCAAGGGCGGGAACCCCGGCCCTCAGTTCCCAACGTGGCCCGCTGGGAACTAGATGTGCAGCAGCAAGCCCAAAGGGCCCAAGAGCCGAACCAAAACAACACGGAGCACGGCGCCCCGATACATCTACCACAAGAGACAGGTTTTCTCCGACGGTACCCCATCTGGAGTGACTAGAATGACTATCTAAAGTGTGGCGTCGAGGATACCTATGGTATGGCAGCGCGAAGCAGAAGGGGAAAACTTTGGGGAGGGTAAGGTAAAAGGCACTCTGTCGTCTCCAATCTCTAATCTCCGCCGGTTCCGATGTCGATTAATGATGAATTTGCTATGCAGACGCAGCCTGCGCAGTTCAGCCACGGGGACCAGAGCTCGGCGACCAGCAGGCCCTAGATGACACTAAGACGGGCTAAGGAGTGAGGTCCATATTCAAACGGCGGCGCACCGGCCTTTTTCTTTGTTTGTTACGCATGACGTATCCCGAGGTCGGATCGACATCGGGGGTAAGGCGATTTTGAGTCTAGGAGTTGAGGCATTTCGTGGATTTGACTTTGATTCTTTCGGCCGTGGCAGAATTTAGCAGGAGCCAGCAGCAGCAAAAGTCGCAGCAAAGTCGCAGAACTAGTCAGCGGGAAGCAAGCCCGACTAATGCCCAATCCTAGACTTGCGTGCTCAAGCGACCTCCCTAGTCGATCCGGGGCGGAAGTGGCACTCTTAGCAGAGCAAATCGAGAGAATCTTGACTTGATCCGCCCAGGGGTTGGAGAGAGGTCGCTTCCACGACCACGACCTTCTTTTCCTTCTCCACCACCAGATCACGGTTCCAACCGTGAAACCTTTCTGGAACGGTACGACGGCAGGCTGCTCGCATGCCGTCAGCGGCAAATGAATATGCTCCTTGCGTGAAAATGGTCAAACCCGCGTGGCCAGTGATTCGAGAGAGAGCGCGGAGACTTGTGCCGGAGGGACACCTTATACTCGATGCAGTCTAGATGGGTGGTCTTTGCATTCATGCTAGTAGATCGAAGTGGATATGGCACCATGGCCTGGCTCCTCCATCATTTCCTGAGTTGGGGGACGATCTTAACGAGGACAGCTGAAAGGGTGGGACCCGGTGCGGGTACGGCTTGACGCGACAACCCATGCACCCTGCATCGATCACGACCCTAGCACCAATAAGCGGAGAGTCTGGAATGACACCGTTTCTCTCGGCCCCCCCCGAAAATTACATCCCAAAAAAGGGATTAATTCAAAAGAGAAAAAGAGAAGACCGAGAAAAGGGGGGGGGGGAGCTGGATCTATGCACCGGCTGGTTTAGCCCTAAGTTTCGAGAGTTCCTCAAATCCCCGGCTGAGCAGACTCAGGCTCAGTCTCGATGGATAGTAGGTAGAAATGCTTACTGCCTGATTGGACTAACCAATCCAACATTCGCAACTGGATTGTGAATGGCTCTGCTTATGGTTTCCCCTCCCGGAGTACATGCTAGGTACTAGTCTGCTTCTGGAAGCCAGCAAATGACACCCACCCACCATCTTTTCATCGGTGAGTGTGAGTGTGAGAGTTTGTGCAGGCACTCTGCGGACCTCGTGTGCTGGGCTTTCTCTGTGATTCCAATATTCCATCGCCTCTCCTAGTTTTAAAATCGACCCTACTCCACTTGAGCCTCAGCCGATTATCCCCGTCTCAGGAAGACGGAGGATCAGTTGAGGCCGGTGATATGAACGGATCCCTAATTTAGGGTCGCTGTCTCCTGTGGTCAAGCATTTCGGACATTCACATGGCCAATTTGATAAAAATACACCTCGAAGAAAAGTCCCCTCGCAAAAAAGCAAAATCCGACGCCTTCTCGAACGCCAAGCTTGGACTAGGTCGGGTGGAGGCCCGCATCGGGGACAGCCTGCGTCCACATTGGCCTTGGCCATCTTCAGCGTCAGTACTCCGTATGATCGTATGTAGGCAATGCTGAAGGTGGGAAGACCGTCGCTGTCACTGCCACCGCTTTGAATGACACTGCCATGTCCCCGCACACCAACGGGAAACAACATATCCCGTATGATGTGCCGGTCATCTGCATCGCTGGGGAGTTCGGGAATCAGCTTGAGGCTGGAGGAATCAAATCAGGGTTACACGGCACTCTTCCTGCCACCCACGAACGCACCACGGGCCAGTGAAAGTGTGATAAGCGGCCGTTAGCTGTTTCGAGTTTATTTAGACGGGGGGGCCCCGATGGGTCGCATGCTTCATTGGTGGGGCGCGTGGCAGTAAGCCTGCATCTACTGCATATCTAGTGTACAATCCGTACGAAAGCCACTCTGTATTCGTACTCCATAACAAGCGTTAGTGCTCCGTACGGAGAAGACAGATCGGACCCAGTCACCTCCGTCTATCTGCCGATCAGCTCGATATACTCCGTGAAATCGCTCAGCCCAATACGCTACTGACGCGTTCCTGAAACGGCCTCTGCACGATCCAACGTCAATCATTTTGACTTTGCACCTTTTTCTTTTCTTTCTAGCCTGCTTCTCTGTCTGCCTCCCGCCCTCCATTCCAGCAGCTCCACCCCTACTCCATCCTCTCCGAGATCCACCGAAAGCCTCTCATGCTTAGGAGTACATACATCTAGACCGCATTGTGGACCAGTTTGATGCTATCCGATCTACCAACGCTAACGTCATTAGCAGCAAACATACGGAGTACATAGGCCTCGTCCGTTAATCTCCCAGCCCTAGACTAAAGTTGATCGCACGGCGTGCTTTGCATTTGTCTCGCCCACTTATTCGGCACTGTGTACAGTGCTGCCGGTGGGGTTTGTCCTGCGGTTTCCTCGTAGGTAAAGTTTGCGCTGTTTTTTCTCCATTCCAATTTTGGATTTTTGGATTTAAGACCTTTTATTTTTTCCTGATTTGTTATGTCTACGCCTGCTTTATTTAGTAAGGTCTACTCACGCCGACGAATCCTGCCGGGAACATGCAATCTCCAATCTCACGGCGTCGTAGGAACAACGTCACCAGCGGGCCTTTTTCTTCTTCTTCTTTTTCTTATTATTATTTTCTTTCTTTTATTTTTATATCACGTTGCCTTGGAAATATTTGCTCTCCTTGGCCTCAGGGCTACCACCAATCTATCCTCGAGATCTACTACGTAGATGAGCCTGCATTTGTTGCTATTCGCCCACGTTGGTTCCAGCGTATCACGACATCTCCACTCGCTCCGGAAGACCGGCTGGCACTGGAGGAGAGGAGGGCGAGCCGAAAACATAAAAAAAAGCGTGTTGGAGATATCTCAAGCCGTTGGAACGAACCGGGTATAGATCTGCCAGGTCTCAAAGGTAACAAAGACACGTTCCCCACCATAGATAAACCGAGTGCCGGCCATTGTAAGACTTCTCCATTTCCCCACCGAAACCTAGTCTGGGTTGAGCTAGAGTTCGATTTTCTTGATTTTCTTGATTTTATTTATTAGAATTTCTGCTCGTTTTGGAAAGACTATTCTCACACGGAGTACGGAGTACTTTCTTTGACACTCTCTCTTCCACGCACCAACTCCTCTGCATGCTGCACATCATTTCCTTTCCCCTACCGCCTGTCCACCGTCCATCGTTCACCCTCTCGCAAGCGTTTAAATCTGGCTTTCGGCTAGGTGACGGATGATGACACCCTTTTAATTTAAAGAGTAGAAGTTCCACTGAGGCTCGGATGTTTGCCAGACTCGAGTCTTTGGTCATCTCCCTCCTGCATTCATCCTGGTTCAATATTACACCCGTTTCCGCTAGTGAGCAATCCTGATACTCTCAACTTCTCTTGCTTGCCTAGCCATCACTGCCTCTAACCTATATTGGATTTCTCTTTCTTTTTTTCCCTCTTCCCCCCTCCTCCATTTTCCCTCGATTTTATAATTCTGGATATTTCATTTTTATTTTATTTATTCTTCTCTTTTACCATTCCCTTTTTGATCCCATCCCCATTTCTTTTACCTTGCCCGTTTCGCCCTAATCTAGCGCCGCGGCTCTCCCGAACGAAGCCAGGATGGGTCTCAGTGCAGCTAAATAAACGACCCTGGACCCTCCCTCTTCGCTCCCATATCGTGCCCTGAATCCACCCCAGTCCAGAACAGAGGCTACTAGCCGTGTGTCGCGCAGCGGAGAGCCTCAGTGCCGGATCGTCTCCCCTGTTCTTGGCTTTGCCCGCTGCTATTTACCCTAGACCGTTGGGCATCTCCACGCGCGTTTCTTCCCTCGCGCGCCAAACCCTCGCACTCACATCCCGGTTCTTTTCTTGTCAAACCTCATTGTCCCCCTCCTACTACCTCATCCCCCTCTCCCTTCACACACTCTCGACCACCTCGTTCCATTTCTGCGAACGGAAATTCGGTCCCAGCCCGTTGTGGTCGGTGACCGGTATGATACAGTCGGACCTGACCTCTGCTCCGGTCTCAAGATACAAGGAAGAGCCGCCGGATGATTCCGTGAGTACTTGATTTTATTTTTGTGTGATCCTTGCGCTGCTCTACTTTGTCGTTTGCCATTTCGTTTTCCACGGATTAGAACTGTGTCGCAAAGTTTTTCCTACTACAATATCATTCCCGATCTTCTGAGATCTTGTCCTTTTCTTATATCGGAAAGATATGAGCCTGCAAACTGTCTTGTTTTGCGCTTCGCCCGCTCTACTCCCTATTCTCTATTCACCGGCCTCATCGCTGTGACATTTGAGTCTAGCAGACAAACCATTGTCTGCTATGTGCATTCCGCCATGCTCATTCCGCCATGCTCTCTGCAGCGCGAGGGTGAGCAAGCCAACCTCGGCAAGGGCTTATTACTCCCATTTGAGCCCACGGGGGCATCTGCGCCCCCGCCTGCGCCATTGAAGTCACTATGATGAGGCTGAATCTACCCAAACTCCCGCGAGATGTCTCTATATGAAAGCCAAGATATATCCCCCGGCGCCTTTGTTGCCACGCTTGCCTTTCTCTCCAGGAGCTGTGTACAGCAATTGGTCCAGCAAACAGGAAACAGGGAACATAAATAACACGATGAAAGCCACGTCCTGCGTTGAAACGAGCTGGGAAAACGCTGCTTGAGTGCTTTGTCCCTTCGGAAGGAAATAGCCACTCGCAGCGTCGAGCCTGATACATGGCTACACAAGAGCCATGGTTTTTTGGCCCTGACTGGCGCATCCTGGTTGTGACCCTGGCCATTTGGTCCGCTCCTAAGCCCATCCCTGCTCGAGACATCGTTTCCCTTTCATCCACCCCCTCCTCCTTTCTTCAGCCCATTCCAGATCAGCCTCTGTTCTTGGATGATTCGAGTCCCCGCTCTTGTGTCGTCACTCGGAAGATCTGGCTGTGTTCGCAAGTCTCTACTGCCCTCCCATGTCCACGTTCTTAGGTTGTTGTACCACCCTGGGGGCTCGAACACCTCTCGTCGTCTTGGGTCTCAGTGTCAGTTCACTGATATGTGCTTTTGCCACAGCTTCGACTCGGCAGTTCGAACCGCCCGAGCTTACAACACTCTCAATCACAGCATCCTCATTCAATCCAACCACACCCAAATTCTAGAGGTCTCCCATCACCAACTCATTCGATAGCCTCTATTTCTCCAAGCACTTACCCCCAGTCGCACTCTGTAGGCAGCGGTGCGTTACATCACGCTAGTGCATACGGACCGCCCTCTCAGGAACCACCCTATTATTCTACACATCCATCTTCGTATCCCCCAGCAACTGCATCCGCGCAGTATCCATCCAGCGGTATGTTCTTCTTGAGACTTATTCCATTTCTATAGCGCCGTGGTGGCACGCGCGCATTCTTTGAATGCCCCCTAGCGTATATGCCGGGGTATCTACTGAATCCAACTGACGCGCCGAGAGTAGGATCCTCCGACCTCATGGCCTCCACCGCTCAAATGCAGAGACCTTACCCACCCATCTATCATACCCCCCAGTCCAATTCACCAGCATCGGTAGCTTCACAAACGCATGATCAGCATGGTCGAAATCTCTATACGCAGTCACCACAGATGGCGCCCCAGATGTATGCATATCCGCCATACTCCCCCATCAACCCCGTTCAGGCATCGCCATATGCGGCACACCCTTCACCCCAATCGCATGCTCTCACAACACAGTCTATGATGATGCCACCACAGACAACAACAGCGCAGATGCCACCACATCAATCCTCACACACTCCCAACCCAGGCTTATCCAACAGCCCGGTCATGAAGATGGACTCAACATCACAGTCAGGGCCCAACCAGCGACCAATGCTCAATCCACCTCTTTCGTCGCCTACATCTGCTCTTCAAGGAAGTTCTGTCCAGTCGCCTCTTGGCGCCAGCTCCAGTGCTGCACCGGGTCCCATTCCAGCTACCACCCCTCTGGTGGTACGGCAAGACAGCAACGGCGTGCAATGGATAGCCTTTGAATATTCGCGGGACCGAGTGAAGATGGAGTATACAATTCGGTGTGACGTTGAGTCGGTGAACGTGGACAATTTAAGCTTAGAATTCAAGACGGAAAACTGCGTGTATCCGCGCGCCTGCTGCAACAAAGACAACTATAAGGGCAACCGTCTTGTCTACGAATCGGAATGCAATGCCGTGGGCTGGGCCCTGGCCGACCTGAACCCGGCTTTGCGAGGTAAGCGTGGTCTCATCCAGCGCGCCGTCGATAGCTGGAGGAACAGCAACCAGGACCCTCGACTTCGCAGTCGAAGAGTCCGTCGTCAGGCTAAGCTCAGCCGCCGACAGTCAGTGCCTGCTACCCCGATCCCTCCCCCACAGATGGTACCTGGTGGACCTGGCCCTCTCGGTCATGGAATCCCCAGTATTGTTCCTCCGATGCAACACCCACCTCCCAGTTCTCGCCCTAGTATATCGGGTCCTATGAACATGGGTCCCCCGCAGCTGCATCATCATCACGCTCAACCGGATGGCAGCCCTAAGATTGAGGAAGTCAGCGGTATGTTCCACCAGATCTGATGCGTTTATCTTTCCGTCGATGTTTCTTTTTTGCGACATGCGCGGCGAAAATTCGGTGACTTCTTGCTCTTCTCCTTGGCTTTTGTATTCCTTTCTGTTCTTTTACTGTTCTTCATCTACCCTTTCCTTGCTCCATTCTCTATGGAGCTGATGGATGGGTGGTGCTCAATGTCTCTTGCACTATATCCCTATCATTCTTTTTATTATTATCATTCTTCCTTTGGATGTGAGACGTGTATATGTGACTTTTTGTCTTTGTTAATGGCTGTTGTGTATGAGAACGGGATGTACATCTATTTGGTCTGGGACACGGTGCGATTTAACTTGAGCTTTTACCTGTATCCTCTTTTTGTTTTCTTTTCTTCTTTTTACTTCCTCTTCTTGATATTGCTTTTTCCTGTCCCGTCTTCCGTCTTCCATACCCTATGTTTTCTCTCTTGTCATTCGATACCGCCGCGCATTGCTCTGATGCTTTTCTTTCATGTGGATCTCGATAGCCTTGCCCTCCATCCGAAAGTACAGCGTAGGCTAATTCCCGCCCTCTTTCAATTTCCAATTATATAGGCACTACAGATTACGGAACTCACCGTCCACTGGAGACCACCCGTCTCCCGCACGCACCTCTCGCCGTCGCCGATATTCGCCCAGCACAAGTCTTTCATGACCCCCATATCCTCCCAACGCCCGCCGGTGCCGGTTCCCTTGGCCCATCCATGCCCCCCATGCTCCGCGACAGTGGCTTGGGTGCAATGAGTCGCCACCCAACAATTGCCACCTCCAACCGTGTGGAGGCGCCAGCAACGGCACCAGTGGCAGCGACAGCAGACACAGACGACGAGCAAAGCCCGAGCAACGAAGACCTCTTCGGCCAGCTCCCCGGCGGCAAGCGACGCACGTTCATCCTAGTCGAAGACCCACAGCGAGGCTCGCGTGTTCGCGTGAAGGTCGGCCTGGATAAGATCAACATGGACGACCTACCGGACTCGTATCGCAAGCTTAACGCCGTCTACCCACGCACCTATTTTCCGGTGCAGATGAAAGACGGACCAGGGGCGAGCGTCCCGTCGAACCGGTATTTCCGTGATGACACGGAGGTCGCGGATGACGATGCGTTGACTGTTGGACGGACTACGGTTCCTACGCCCTCATTGGATGGCGAGCGAGACATTGTTGTGCCTAAGCTTTCGCGGCGGGGACATCGGAAGGAGGTCATGTTGAATGATCTGGGGTATCGACTTAGTTGGAGTCAGAGTCGAGTTTTTGCGGGGCGCATGTTGTTCTTGCAGCAGTCGTGTAAGTTGACTTCATCTCTCTTCTTCTTCCTTTGTTACATGTCTCCTTGAAACCTACTTCTATCCCCTTTCTTTTCCTTCCCTTCCCTTCCTTTTTTTTCTTTTGCTCCCACTCTCTGTCATTTTGTTCTCCTCTCGACACCGCACATTCCAGCTGCAGCCGAGCCGTTCTCCTTGCGTGGTGCGGCACTGCCCACGTGCGGCGCAAACGGGCTGAGACGTGTCTCAACGAAAGCCGAGGTCTGCCGTGTTCGTGACGATTATAGACTCAACTAACTTTCGCATCGGAATACAGTGGATGCCTACCGCAATAAAATGCGCAGTTCGATGTTAGCGGCAGGACAGGATCCGGCGGAGATTCCGGAGCATTTTGATACCCGGCGTGGCAAGCGACGATTTTTGGAGCGGGCGGGTCGGATGGGGTCAGCGGTGCAGCGTAGTGCGGAGGAGGTAGAGGGGTAGGTGAATGGGAAGGATGCGATTAGTAGCTATTATCTTGATCTTGTTTTAGTTTTTATGTTTAGTTGTTTCCAAGGTTGCCTAGTTCGTCTATGTACAGTGGAGTACTGTACGTGGATGTGGCATGTCAGTCGCTATCGCATGTTTATTGTTGGTCCGTGTGGCTTGGACTGGAATGCGGCGCTCTCTTGGGATATGATATGATATGATATGATATAGTCTTAGCGATTATGAGATACGAGATATGATCACTTGTCTTACTTGTAGTATCAGTACTCTGTCAATTGTAGATGTATAAATGTCAGGTGAGAATCAACCATGGATCTTGACGGAGTGGACCAAGGGTCTTCGGGCTAAAAATAGGGCGCCCCACCCACATTTCCGTTTTCCCTCTTCAGGGTCCGACCGGACCCTTTTATTGATTTTATCAATTTCAATTTTATTTATTGACTGTCATGCAGTATTGTAGATATGTAGATATATATTTTAAAAAGTAATTATATCAAAGTATATCTTAGAGAACACATGACTATTATGCTAAACCTGCAATACTTAATGCTGGTGTTGTGCTGATCCTGTACTGCACCTACTGTACCTACTGTGCTGACCGGCTGCGGTGGTTTCCCCGGTCACCCCGTGTTTTTCTCACCACTCGCTTCCCGTGCCCTCCTCCTCCTCCTCCTCTTCTTCCTCTTAGCCTCCTCCTCCGGTTCTTTTACATCTGACTCCCTTATTTTCTTCTCCTCCTCCCTTTTCCATCAATGAAACCGTCCTGAATTAATTTTTATCAACCTGACACATTTCACTGTGCCTTTGTGACCCCTCGACCCACCTACCCATTCCTCCACGCATCTCGGGAACCGTGGATCTGCGCTTGCGATGCCTACATTCTGATCCTTGACTCTCCTCCCTTTCTGCTTGGGTTTCCTCCATTCCTCTCTTCTCTCTTCTTCCTTCTCTTTCTTCTCTCCTCCAACTCACCACCACCAATATCCATGAACTCCGACATTCCCGCTCCGTCCCATCGCTACGCTCCAGACCGAAACAACTCAACCGTCACCCCAGGCGTCGATAATCTCGGCCCAGCTTCCGTCGGCGGCGGTATTAGCGGTATTGCTCTCGGCGTCGCGAACTCTCACGATCGTCTCAGCGGCATCGACGCTGTCCGTGCCATGGATCAAGATCACCACGATAACTTCACCGGCCCCGCCGAGCGAGGCTACCACACCACCGGCTCCGACAATCCTTACGTGCCACAGGGCTACACCAGCGCCGAGTCTCTTCACGCCGAGCGCTCCTATGGCTCAAATATGGCCCTAGGTGCAGCGGCCGCTCCACCAGGCGCGCAGACCCCCGGTCAATCTTCCATTCATCTCAGTGAGACCAGTGCCAATCGCCGCAGTACGGTTGATCAATATCCCGGTTCGTATGGAGCTGGCGGTATCGTGAGCGATGGTCCCTACCAGCGCCAGTCGCAATATAGCACTAATATGCCCGACATCAACCCCAATGACATTGCCGACGATGACGATGAATACGCGCCTCGGTCCCGAAATCGAGCTGCTCCTGCAGCTGGCGCGGCGGCTGGCGCGGCAGGCGGAGCTGCTGCTGGGGGCATGTTTGGATTTTTTGGCGCAAACAAGGGCGCCGCCGCTAGTACTGCCTATGACCCTGTCCCCGGTGGAGGTGGCGGGGGACTTGAAGCTGGCCACGGTGGTGGCTTCGGGGGTGGTGGCAGTAGCGGCGCTGCTGCGGAGAAAGCAGCAGCAGCTGAGGCATCTCAAGCGGCACGGAAGAAGCGCGGTTGGATAGCTGGCATTGTTCTCGGGCTAATTGTTGTCTGTGCGATTGTTGGTGGTGCCGTCGGTGGAACACTCGGGAGTAAACACTCGGATGGCTCTTCTTCCGACTCGAGTAACGAGTCTGCGTCGTCGGATTCTTCGAAAAACGGCGATTTGAATAAAGATTCGTCTGAGATCAAGGCACTCTTGGACAACGACAACTTGCACAAGGTCTTCCCCGGCATGGATTATACCCCTTGGGGCGTGCAATACCCGCTCTGCCTCAAGTACCCTCCTTCTCAGAATAACGTCACTCGCGACATGGCTGTTCTATCGCAACTCACCAATAACGTTCGACTTTATGGAACAGACTGTAATCAAACAGAGATGGTTCTGCACGCGATTGATCGACTTGAATTGACCGACATGAAAGTGTGGCTGGGTGTTTGGATTGACACGAACAAGACGACGACGAACCGCCAACTCGATCAGCTTTACAAAATTCTCGACGACACCAAGGATACCTCTATTTTCAACGGCGTGATTGTTGGTAACGAAGCTCTATACCGCGCTGGCCCAGACAAGCAATCGGCAGAGACGAACCTGCTCGGTTATATCAAGGATGTCCGCAGCGAGCTGAAAAAGCGCAGTATTGATTTCGATGTCGCGACCTCTGATCTTGGTGACAACTGGAACTCACAGCTTGTGTCTGCCGTAGATGCCGTCATGTCAAACGTCCACCCGTTCTTCGCAGGAGTCAACATTGATATTGCTGCTGCGTGGACGTGGGATTTCTGGCAGAGCCACGACGTATCTTTAACTAAGGGCACGACAAAGAAACAGATCATTTCGGAAGTGGGCTGGCCCAGTGGAGGCGGCAAGGACTGCGGTGAAAGCCCATCTTGTGACAGTGATACTCCTGGCTCCGTGGCTAGCATCGCCAACTTGAACCAATTCATGGAAGACTGGATCTGCCAGGCTCTGGAGAACGGCACCGACTACTTCTGGTATGTAACCATTCACGCATTACTCGGCAATTTTCCATGTTTGCGTTCACCTCGGAATATTACTAACAAGAGAAACAGGTTCGAGGCTTTCGACGAGCCATGGAAAATTCAGTATAACACCAAAGACGAAAACTGGGAAGATAAATGGGGTCTGATGGACTCCGGCCGTAAGATCAAGGATGGTCTGAAAATCCCGGACTGTGGTGGCAAGAAGGCTTCATGAGTGCGCCTTGTGTCTGCTCAGCTTCGGCCTGCCTTCTTTTCTTCTTTGTAACGATCATGAAAAGCACGTTCCGTGCATGCATATACGTCCCGCTCCGCTTCTACTGACGACTTTTGTTTGCCCCTGTATCCATGTCCTCGTTTCCCTCTCACCCTTCTCCTTCACATAATTACGCCCTCTCATCTATTCCTCATCAAATCCCTCCCATTGATCTGATCTGATCTGTTTTATTTTTACGCATGGCATTGATTATGATGCTTCTCTTTTCTCTTGTTCTACCTCCATGGCGTTTTTTTATCTCTTCTTTTTTTCCTTTTTCTTCCTTGTCCTAATTGCGTTGGACTTTCGGATGGAAATTTGTGGGGCTGTCAGGATATTTAAACGTTTAGTCCTCCCGATGTTGTGAGAAGGCTCTTTTTGCTTTGCGCTTTGTTTGTCTGGTTCTAAGGTTGTTCTGTAGATAGCGAAATTTAAAGAGCCTACCATGAGCCATCAGAGATTTACTTACTAGTACTAGTAGTATTTGATAGTAGCAATGTGTTAGCAGACTGCCCAGGTGTGGATTATGCTAAAGCCAACTCGAAGGGTCCACGGGTGCCCAGGTGCCCAAGTGCCCACCACTCTAGAGCGTTTCCCGGTGGGCTTCTAAGGTTCTCAGGCCGGTATGGGGAGTATGTCAAAGATGGATCAATTGCAAATATACCATGATATGCACCAAATTTTCGAGAGCTAGCCTTTCAAGAAAATGGAATATACCAACATGTGAGACTCACGTCAAGACTCAGAGCTATGTCCAGCCTTCAGTGCCCGACACGGCTGGTTTTAATCTACAATCCCAGGGCGAGTCACTGCCTCCACATTAATGTAGAGGTGAGGGAAACGGAGCGTAGTATACCAAGCCGGTAGATTGAAGTAAAATTCAATGATTCAAATTATCTACACGTCAAACCGTTGAAGAAACAAACTTTGGAAAAGATTTTCCATAAGCGGGGAACTGGCAGCCAAGCCCGAGCTACTTTAATGCTAGAAAAGCCAATAATTCGCTCGGGATAACATCAAGTGCCTGATCTTGGTCCCCGCGGCCACTTTAACTTATTTGCACAACAGATGGTCAGAATAGGCGATCGAACTGCTGGTGGGATTGGTGATATTTATCTTGGCTCAGGGTCTGTGGCGTCTTCTAGATTTCTCGTAGAGGGAAGTTAGGTCAAAAACAGTACATTAGATAATTTAGGTGAGTGAGATAAGCTTAGTTTTCAAAGTATTCAGGCAGGCTATTGAACCTTATGACACGGCAGTTGCATTACTCGAGAACGCTAAAGAGGAACACTTGCATTGCATTTCTGCAAAAGAAGACTTTTCTCCGAAGTCCTAGGCCAGTGTACATGCTGTGTTCTAGGCCGCCATGCGTTCGGTACGAAGCTCCAGCTCCTTGATCAACTTTATTCCAGCCTTAGTAGACTCATCCAGATTCTCCTCCGGCAATCCAAGCAGCTCATTCTGCACCCTGTACGAGAGATCACTAGAAGCATCCGGGTAAAAAGACCTCGCGTACAACAGCTTGGCAAAACCAGCCATGTTACCCTTTTTGACCTGTGCCAGACCATCCTCGTATCGCTTCTTGGTATCCTCGTGAGTAATCGTCCAGTCAGCGTCGGTAGTGCCGGTGACACGTTTGACGCTCTCAAAAATATCATTCTGGCTAACTGCAAAGCTCTTAATGTAAACACCCTTGTTGAGGAATGTCGACAGAGTAAGGCTCTTGTCGTTTTCTTCCTCGGGAAGCTCATTGAGGCTCAGAACCTTGGCCACGGCGCGTCCGACCTGCGATAACATCGAGGTCGAGACCTTGGTGTTGCCATCGTCGTAGAGTGTCAGGGAACGCTTATTAAGGTCGAACCCAAAGCGCGCATCCCCGCCGGCCAGGCTGTAGTCGTACCAGAACCCACAGCACACTGTGATCCACTGCATGCCGAGGCTCTCGATCTCGTC